CTCTGAGTAGTTTCAATTAACTAGAGGTGTTGTGGTTGAATTGACTTATATAAAGCAATTCAGGCGCAAGAAAAGTGCGCCACTCGTTATGCTGCGCCACTCGTTATGCAAGTACGTTATATATAACTGCCTTTATAAGCTGATGATATTTTTAGAGAATTACTCCGTGTTATTTTTAAGAAGTCAAAATCATATTGTACATTGCGGTGACTACTGGAAACCTCAGTGACTACCTACTTGCTGCCCTCGAGTGCAAGGAGATAGACTTCCTCTATCCTCGACCGCATCACTCTCTCGGCAGAAGCCGGATCCATCCGCTCCTCCGGTCCGGTGCGCATCATTTTTCCGACCAGGAACATTAGCTTGCCCTGCGGGTAGGCTTTCGCCTTGCCTTGCTTGAAGCGTAAAAACTCGCCCAGAACCTTGGCCTCGCCTTCGACAGCCTGGTCGGCTAGCGCCGCATAGTCTTGCTCCGAGATCTCCTGAAACCATAGGTCATTGGCATTGATAGCCTCTGAAACTGCGCCAGAAGTAATGTCCCCACGGAAGACACCCCAGAGCAGGTCCTTGGCGACTTTGGCCGTGATCTCTCTTTTATGAAGATGATACAAAATGGCGGCTAGATCAGCCGATGGAACCTTGCACTCACCCTCCGGTGTCATGCCGAGGTCGGCGGAAAGCTCCGTCAGCTTGCCGAGTTCATGGAGACACCAGTTGACAGCGAGAAGGGCGTGTCGATGACCGGACCGTGTCTCTAACTCGGCACTGCTGTCGATTCCCAGGCGCTCATCTAGAGTATCCAGGAGTCTGTAAAAGTACTGGATCCGGGCTCCGTTGTCCAGCAACATGAGAGACAGCGCGTCCTTGGCACTCAGGCCGTACCTCGCGATCAGCATGTCGATCTCAGGATCCGGCAAAACCCCCATGGACGCGGCCAGATGCCCGACCAGGTCATCGCCAATAACAACAGGACCGAGATCCGGATCGGGCATGTACCGATAGTCGACCTCGCCCTCCTTGCCACGCAAGCGCCGCGTTCCTGTGCTGCCGAGCGACCAGCCGCGTGTCTCACCCTCCACAACCCCGCCAGCCTCCAAAACAGCGATTTGCCGGTCGCGCTCGGCAATGATGGCGTCCTCGACGGCCTTGAAGCTGCTCAGGTTCTTGATCTCGGTGCGGGTGCCCAGCTTGCCGGTAGCGACATCCTCAGTCCTGCGCACAGAGACGTTCACATCGGCGCGCAGCCCGCCGGCTTCCATACCCGAAACGCAAGCGTCGACCGATGCGAGCAGCATCTGCACCTTGCGCACGAGGGCGGCGGCGGTGGCTGGGTGGTGGATTTGCGGGAGCGTGATGATCTCGATTAGCGGCACGCCGACGCGGTTGAAGTCGAGCCAGTGCACCTCGCCGGGCTGGGCCGTCGTCTTGGCCGTGTCCTGCTCCATCTGCACCTGCTTGATGCCGACGTCGACGCGGTCGCCGTCCTCGGGCGCGATGCCGTCTCGCGCGTACAGCGTGATGCGGCCGTCCCGCGCAAACGGCTCGTAGTATTGTGTAATCTGGTAGCCGGCGGGCTGGTCCCAATGGAAGTAGTGCTTGCGGTCGAAGCGGCTGACGGGCTGGATGGCGCAGTTCAGGGCCAGGGCGGCGCGCACGGCCGGAATTAGCGTCTCGGGCTGGAAGATTGGCTGCGAGCCCGGCATGGCAACGTCGAAGAGTGCGACATTGCTGTTGGGTATGTCGTTGAAGGAGGTCGCGGCCGCGGAGAAGAGCTTGCGGGCTGTGTTGAGCTGCGCGTGTATCTCAATGCCGACAGTCAATTCCCACCCCGGTACTGTCTGGTTGTCCGCGTTCCTCTTCTTCTTCGTCCCGGACGCTTTGAGCGCCTTGGCCTGTTCTTTCAGCTGCTTACGGAGTGGCGTAACGGGCGCGGCAGAAACGCTAGGAGCAATGGAGGCGATCGTCGCGTTTTGGCTGGCGAAAGCTCTTGTTTGTCGAGAAGGCGATGCCGTCGTTCCGGGAGAGCGAGGCAGACGCGCACGTAGACAGTCCCGGCAACGGATGTGGCCTGTCAGCAGGTATCTCCTGAGCTCAGCCGTTGGAACCCGAGACATGCCGACATGTAGGCAACGTCGAGGTGCTCAATTGAGGTCCAAAGATGAAGATGAAGCGCGTGCAGAGGTTAACATCAACGTTGTTTAAGGGTTAGCCAAGCTAGATCCAAGCTTCTGGGGTGGGGACTGGTGGAAGCGCTGTGACCGGAAAACACCAGGTCAAAGTGGGTCCCAGGGGGGTAGTAGGGTGCCTTCTGCGCGCGCAACAGTCAGTAAGCCAGTAAGCTAGCCTAAACAGCCAGTTCAATCTTGCAGCCGTAGGATAGGCCCGAAAACGTGTTTTCTAAGGTTTTCTTCGAATACATTCAATTCTACAATATGTAGAGCCTTAGTTAGCTACCCTTAGTTAGTGTCATGAAATGACCGTACTGATGGCCGGGCGTGGGCGTAGTCGTAGCGTGGGAAGCCGCGACGACCAATCGTTTTAAGTAACCAATAGGAAAAGGATCACGCTTGGCGTAGTGATCCAGGTATAAGGGATCACCAACAACAATGGAAGGCTCACGGTGAGCTTGGTGAGCATTTACAAGGAAGGATCACGGGGAAGGGAGTGATCCTCAAAGACAACCATTAGTACATTAGCTAGCTAGTCTATCCTTTGGAGGACCTCCTGAAGGTTCTCTAGTAAGCAATATAAGCAGTTGTCTTTTGTCACGAACAGACCTTACTGGCGGCCAGGCATGGTCACAGCCGCAGCGCGGGGAGCCGCGGCAGCCAATCACTCAACTAACCAATCAGAATGGATCACTAGGGAAGGAGAGTGAGCCAACATAAGGATCACTGGGATCACGAAGTGAGCCAGGTGAGCCAGCACAAGGATCACTGGGATCACGAAGTGAGCCAGGTGAGCCAGCACAGAGATCACTGGAGCAAGGAGTGATCCTCAAAGACAATCATTAGTATATTAGATAGCTAGCTATTCCCTTGGAGGACCTGCCAGAGGTTCTCCAGTAAGCAATGCAAACAGTTGTCTATGCTACTGTGTGAACACTTGCTTGTGCACTTGTTGTAGACCCTTTGGCTCTACCGAACCTCACCCCGTCTTTAGTTAGACCTTCAGTCTCAGAGGAGTCCCTTTCAGTGGTAGGGGACCGAGATTCGTCACAAATAATAATTATAGGCATTGTAGCCAGCTTACTTAATAGGTTTACAAAATATATAGAATTCGATGGAATTGACGAACAACCTTAGGAAACGCGTTTTTAGGCCTATTTGCCAATATCAACAGCTTTAGGAATTAGACTGGCTATTGGGCCTGACCACCTGTTGCGCGTGCGTGGGGTACCCTACTATCCCCCTGGGACCCACTTTGACCTGGTGTTTTCCGGTCACAGCGGCAAGCAGCTGTCGTGCTGGGCTGACACCTAGAAGCAGCTGTCGACAGGACCGAGAATTGCGGAGTAATTGTCATAAAACCAGACAGTTTTCGGCCTGGTGCCTGAACATGGAGCTTCTTCATCCTCAAAGTTGCAGCCGAGAGATTCGATCCGAGTGGCTTGGGCCGGTAACCTTTCACTAGGTTTCTACTTTATTACCGGTCCGTCCTCAAGTACGACACGGCACACAGTTCGTATTCCTTTTACTGTGCTTTTCTGTACTACTAAACAGTACACACTGCGACCATCCCCCCCATTGCAGGAGCCGCGGCCAGGACGTCCGAGATTGCGAGTTGAAACTTCTCCATCACTTGCAGCCGACTGAGTGAGACTAACAATCCGTTAAGTACCCCGTACAAACAATGGAGTGGTGAACCGGAGACAGGAAAGCTTCTAGGGAAACAATGAGCGTTGGGCTCGAGCCCGAGGAGTCCACTCAACACCCAGTTGGGTTTCCTCATGTATTCTAAACCACAGAGCAGACAACACGGACCAAGGAAAAGAATAAAGAAATTCCATGATACATATGTTAGTCTCAAACACCGGAAAGAAAGAAAAAAGACACCGTCAAACTCAAATTCCCGAGTCCTCCTGCTCCCAGAGGGGGTCATGTGCCCGCCAGGAAGCGCAGACGTCGTTAAACACGCCGCGGCTGACCTCGTCGGTCACAATCTCGGACTGGCTCTCGACGAACTCGAGCGAAAGGCCCTGGCTGGCGTGCCAGGCAATGTGGCAGTGTGTCAGCCAGGTGCCTGGGTTGTCGATTTGGAAGGCGATGGCCAGGTAGCCTCTGCCCGGCAGCGTGGCGACGTCGCGCCGCGCCGGGTTCCTCGTGTTGAAGCTGCTCATGTTGCCATTGAAGACGCCCTCCTCGGCGGCCAGCACCCAAAAGTCGTGGCCGTGCAGGTGGATCGGATGCGCAATGCTGCAAACAAACGAAAAATCCTTGACGTCAGCTGGGATCTCCCCGGGCAGCGCGCACCGACTTGGCAAGGGCAAGGACAACTTGGAAGTGGAGGGGAAGGGGGGTTGGGGCTTGGGAGGCTTACGGCAAATTGCTTTGGTCTTGAATCACTAGGACTGTCCATTCCGGGCCAGTGCCGGTTTTCTGCGAATCAGGAACGATGATTAGTCGAAATCGCCGCACTCTCTGGGGGTTCGGGGTCACTGCAAAGTTGCAAACATAGGAAGACTCACGTTGACGGCAACGACGTTGTACTCGGTGGGGAAGAGGACATCCCCGTTGAAGATTCGGGCCATCGTCGGGTTCCCCCAATCGAGCACCAGGCTGCTCGTATTGAGAGTCCACTGGAAGTAGTCGCCAGAGGTCGCGTCAAAGGACAGTTCCTCAACGTTGGTGCCGCCAATGTTGGTGACATCGAGCGACAAGTGCGGGATCGTCTTTTCATTTGGCTCGCCGAGGCAGCTGCTGGTTTTTGTGACGTTGCTTTCGGACGTCGGGGGGTCGATGCTGCTCGCGTCATAGCGAACGATGCCCGTCATGTGCTCGGGGTGATCGTTGGTCACGCAGGCTGTGACCCAGTCGGCCCGCATCCAGTAGTTGCCCGGCGTTGCGTTTGCCTCGACAATGATATCATATCGCTGGCCTATGGTGATCTGGACGCTGTCGGTCGTGTAGGGGACAATGGGCACCAAGTCCGTCGCTATGACGGTGAGGCTGTGTCCGTCGATGCTGAACTGGAACACTCCGTCGATTGCCACGTTGATGAGGCGGATAAGATATTTCTTGCCGGGTTCGAAGACTGTCTCGAACTTCTTGCCGTTGCCGGTGCACTTGGGATCCGCCGGCGACAGTGTGGAGCAGTCAAATGTGTTTGTGCCGTTGATCAGGCCGCCATCGAGTGACGGAGGAAACCCGGCTTTCGCTTCATGCCACCTAGTGAAGGCTTCGACGTGCGACCAGTCCTGCAGAAACAAGACTCCGAGATCCTCGTCCCAGTTGGCCGTGCTAGGCCCCCGGAGAATCATGCCCCCGAAAAGACCCTCGGCGTACTGGAGGCTGAAGTGGCTGTGGTACCAAGTCGAGCCGTACTGGGTGACGTTGAAGCGGTATGTCATGGACTCGCCCGGGGCGATGGCGCACTGCGTCACTCCGGGAACGCCGTCGTTGAGCGTGTTATTCAGCATGCGAATTCCGTGCCAGTGGATTGCGGTGCCATTGTTGACCATGTTGTTTGTGACATGGATAACGAGCTCGTCGCCCCAATCGGCGAAGAGGGTTGGCCCCGGCACGGTGCCGTTGAAGGTCATACAGGTCCTGTTATATCCGTCTGGGGCACAAGGGCCCTCCACGACACTCAGCCAATACTCCTGCGGCGGGCGCCCGGTGCTGGGAAGAACTTCATAGTAGTTGGTGTCGATTGAAAGGTCACCCCAGCATTGGCGAGACGTTGCAGTGTTCTCGCAAGCTTGCCGGGGCTGAAGCGAGACCTCTGGGAGTTCAGGGATGGCGAAGGCAGATGAGCCCAGGGCGGTGGCAAGAAGAGCAAGGATTGATTGCAACATGTTTCTTGACTTGAGTGTCTCGGTTAACATGGTGCTATCAATTCAAAGTTGAACGAATGTGGCCGCGCCTGTTGAGTGACCGATGGCTTTTGGTCCAAGAGCTGCTTGGATAGACTTTGGGACATTGCAGGAGATCATCGACTTTATACTCGTACAGCATCAAGATCAGAGCCGCAAGAGAAGGCGGGCTTGGCTCCATGTCGCCTCGCAATGAGTCTTTGGCGAGGCATTCCACGATCCGGCCCGGTTAAGCCGAGAAGGAGTTGTCCCTGGTCTACCTTCCGTAATGGGCCTGCTCCCCTGAAGCTCACATCAATAGTATCATATGACAACTCCTTGGAGGAGCATTCGGAATCGTAATTTTAGGTGTGCCGCACGGAGGCTTTCGTCAGCCACGATCGTTATGCTCAGCTAGAGGCCTTCAGCAACTTGAAAGTATAGCGCAGCTCCGAAGGGGGGAACCTATCGTAACGTCAACATGCTCTACGAGGGCTAACTGGAAGGAGAGGAACCCGTCGAGTACTACAGTCCCTGCCGGAACTTACAGAACACCATGACTACTACAGTGACGATGTATTGGACTTCAATATATCGCTGCAAGTGGTAGATCTTGCCCCGTATAGGATGGTTACCCTGGGTGCTGGGTCTTGTTGACTACGGGATCCGGGGTCAGTGCCTGCTAAGTCCACGTGGAGGAAGGGAACGGCAGCCGAAGAGAAATCTTTGGATCTGTATGACATGTCAAACTTACCTGTCAAGGGCATAACGCTCGGTGGCTTCTGTCCCCCTGATGCTGACACTTTGATTAAACAGTGATTCAAGTCCTTGGAAGACTCGGTGAGCAGCGAGTAAGTGTTATGTCTTTATGACTCCCTCTGGGCATCACGTCACCTGAGCCAATGAAGGGTTTGGATGCACCGCACGCTATACGAGGCGCCTTCAAACATGTACCGGTTGTGGCCGCTTATTTTTGAGCAGGAAAATGTAGCATATAGGACTCTTCGGGTACATGTACAATACCAGGCTTCCAGGGGTCGGTTTTCGTGTAACTCTAAAGAGTCCAAAGGATTCGCGGGAGCCTTATGGGCGGTGTGAATACGCTTTGGCAGTCCCAACATGCATTGAAGCCCATGCAACCCGTAAGCAAGGGGGCCAAATACGCTTGGAGGATTTCAACCTCAGCTCATGTTAGGCAAACCGTGCAGCTGAGGAAGTTAGGAACTGCTGCTCTTTGAGCATGGGCTGGTACTTCCGTTTCGCATTGCCGCGTGTACCTAGGTCTTGGTCTACATGTGGGTTATCAGGGGAAGGGTTTGTGATCATCCGCCTTCTCTCATCAGTTTGAGGACTTCCCTGTATAAGTCATCTGGGCTTCGTGACTGTGTGTTACCAACGACACTAGTACCTTGTGTAATGTACCCACGCTTTATCTCACCTGGCAGGAGCAGAATACATGTTGGTTGGTTATTACTCTTACGAGCTTTTGGGCTACATAGTTCATACTCGGTGAGTCCAGCTTCAGTTCTCAGGATGTGCACAGGGCCATGTGGCTGCTAGGGTCCCTAGACCCTAGCTCAAATGTAAGAATCGGGGGCCAATTAGTATGCTGGTTCCTTGATATATAGTTGGTCATGTTAAGACACCGCGCATTTCGCATCATTGGACCAGATATTTTAGGCAATCAGCGTTAACATGTCTGTTGGGTGCGGATCTCGCGGATCTCATGGTTCATCCCGTGTGGAGGCCACCATCCGGATTGGCCGGACCCCTGATTGTTTGTTAGCTTCGAGAGGAAACTACGCATACTGTAGTAGGAGTTTGTGCATACAATATATGCCTGGGTAGTATTTGCTTAGTAGTATGTACGGAGTAACTGCATGATCGTTCCCGAGCCCCCAGCCCCCCCAACCTCTACATCTACATGATCTCCAGTCTGCGATGACATTCGTACCCCCTACCAAGGTAGCCATGCAGACACATGGGTTATCCCTTACCAGTTGCCACTACCAGGCCAGGGTGGAAACTAACGTAAGGCATGCTCGATGGCTGCTCCTACTTCTCCAGGCCATCAGGCCTGGTAGGTGTCATTCATGCTACCGCACGAGCCGCGCTATCTGCCCATTCCTCCCCTCTCCTGCGTCAAGCCTCAAGACAGAGTTACAATGGAAATTCAATATCTCAACTCCCGATATCTTCCCGTGTCTTTGCGCGCGCTTGATGGGTCAGAATGAGGGGCGTGGTTGCACCAACTGTTTCGCGAAGTTTCGGTCCCTGATTGGCGAGAGAAGCGGAATGCTGGAACGGGTTGACCGTGACCCTCCATGCATGTGCGTGACTTCAACATCGGCAGCTTGAGCCGAACCACTGCGCAGTACCTGCTTCCAATCTGCGAACCTTCAAGTGCTCGACCTGCCGATGTTCCCTTAGCGCAGCAGCGGAGGTAGGAACTGTGCATACCGGAGGTTTGCAGCGAAGCATGGCTAGCATGCCTGTATCCGACGAAAAGTCCTGGCTGGGAGCCTCGGTGAGTTCGGGGTTATCATCCGGATCAGGATCGATATCACAGTCCCGAACATTGGTTGGATCTCAGCGTACCGGAATTACGCGTCGAACTAGCCCAGACAGGACGCTACTGGGATTCGCAGTTAATCTTCATAGGGCTGGCCCCCATAGTAGGCTAGCGATCGGTTAATCCCCGATTGCACGTGTGGAAGTCACATAGTGGCCGTGGGATGCGTCGAGGCGATCCGGACATAGACCCGGAGACCAGGATACTGCAAAACCGATTCATTTCCGACAGTTTCGTACTGTGTCTGCGTCAGCGCCACAAGCGACAGGGCCACATGCCGTTCCTGGACCGTTGTCAGTTTCTCCGTGGCGGAGCAAATGCGAAGTCCAGACAGACGCAGAGAAGACGCAAATATGGGGCACAGTTCCCAGGTTACCTTGACCTGCTCGTCCGTGCCGTTCGTACACACGGCAAACTTGCCAGCGCCCCTTCATGCACCTGCGTTGTACAGCGGAACGGTCGAGGTCTCTCAGTACAACGACGGGAAGGTCAATACGCTATTGTGGCCTTCCTAATGTTGGCGCCGAGTCATGAGGGGTCAGCCATCAGGTTGCCATCGGTACACCAATTCGGCTCTGAAAACGCCGGGGAACGCGCGTCCACCCATTCAATACAGGAGATCAGAGGTACCTAGCCTGGAGGCATGTCCCAAGCCTGTCATTGATGACAAAGTGTTGTTGATGCCTTTGAAACACCTGCAATGCCATCCGTCAGCATGAATAACAATCCGGAATGCAATGTGTGTAGTATTGTTTGATAAGGGAACTTCTCCTTGACCCCTTGGGCTTGCCTCGGGACTTGCAGTGTCGAGTCGTCAAGGAGCAGCATAACTGAGTCCGACCTTTGAGAACTTCAAGTGCTGGGTGGTATGAGTCGAGCACTCTCTGTCGGATTCGGAAACTACTCCGAGCAATATTGATAGTCCGCTGCAAGTTCAAGGTCGTCACGGGTAGACAAGAAGTCGGCAGTAGGACGGACTTGCTAGAGCCCGTCCGATGACTTGATATCGGGTAATGGAAAAGAGTAGTAGCCTATCAACAAGCTAACTGATCAGTAGTTTGTACCCAGCCATACGCAAAATAACCGACTCATTGGAGATAGAAGAAGCATTTCCACTTACCTAAGACCAATGTCGGACACTGCATATTCAAACTACCTGCATACCTTATCTCACCCATTGAGACGAAGATCATCTTCTGCTATACTCACACAAGGGGTAACACCGACAACCTCTAGGAATATGAAGCTAACCCAGCTCTTAACCATGAGGATCCGAGCCCTTGCGACTTGAACAACTCTACTAAACGATACCGAAAAAATCTCATGAAGAGGAGGGGCAACAAAGAAAGCCGCAAACGAGGAGAAAGGTAAACGACAATCGCGGACCAGCACGCTAAGTGCCGACAATTATGAAAGGGTCTAATAGGAAAGGTATGGGAAAGGCTAACTAGTGCCAGGCCGCCAGTTAGCAAACCTGATAGAGCAAATAGTCAGGTGGTAATCTTGGACTCTTCCTGAACCAGACTAACCTGCTTATTCCATTCATCTGTCCCCAAGGATATAACATCGCTAGACTCTCATCTGGAGATCCCGGCTCACTGGGCTCAGGACAGCCACACCAGCGTCCATCGGACATCCTAGCTGTGAAGGCTGAGACGGAATGATCGGTAATTTCTTCTAGAGCAGCGACGGCAAGAGCAAAAATAGTATCGTGAATTCCGGCATTGACGGCAATGGCATCGATATCGATGACGCATATCGGGATAATAGGCGTAGCGATGAGACCGGCGTGAGGGAGCTAATGGGTAGCAGGCGACGTATTGTTGACAGGTATCACACCACCCCCAGTCAGTCATGTTGAATTGTTGAGTTGACAACGTCAGAGTAGCCTGGATATCTGGCTTCTGGTCTGGGTCAGGACGGCTAGGGATGTGAAGATGAATCGGGTCGATGCTTAGAACAGTGACCTGAAGGTAGCTTCTTCTGTGGAGTATTGAGTTTGTACCTGTGAGGCCTTAAGGTACTTGTACCTGAGTCGGCAGCCTTGAGTTGGGAATGACGAGCTTGAAGAGCCAAACCTAGGAAATCATGTCCAGTCTCATATACCGATAGAGATGCAATCTTATATACTTTTTTGCTGAGCTTCAGAATCACCTTGTTGAATGAACAATGAGACACTGCCACTTGACAGATGAGATAGTGTCCGTGGCCAGTACATACAGTGGAAGTCCATTTTGGGTGTGAAGCGTCGGTTTTGCAGTGTCTGGGATTTTCGCCATTGAGCTAGAATTGCGTCTTTGAAACATTCAAACTTGCTTGTGACGGTTTTTGAGTTGGTGGGAGCAACTTAAACTTCACAGCAGCGACACGCGCACTCATCACTTTCAGGGTTATGTTTTGGTGAGCTTCACGCGCGAGGGGCACGTTGAGACTGTAGCCGACCAACCCCCAAATTTTTTGGCCTCACACGCCAGTCAGCAGACCACGCGCACCTGGCGTTACTTTCTCGCGTCGCTGCCTGCGGGTAAATGTTGGATTATTGTGATTTTCACTATGACTCTTGAGGTTTAAATGGAAACGCAAAGCTTGAAAAGCCACGGACCGGCAAATTCGAGTCGTCGAGCCCACCGCTTAGTCACCAGGCAAAACTCAAAACCAACGCAAGAAGAACCCATCGAAAGCCACACATGTCCCCCAGCCAAGTCTGATCAGTTCCTCTTCTCGCCGCCCCCAACCGACGGGCTTGCAAACCCGAGCGTCCTCTCCTCCGAATTCCAAACGGTATAATACGACCTCAACAACGGCGACCCAACGATCCACGCGCGGCGGCCCTGCAGCGGCTCCCTCGCCGGCCGGGGCGGGTCCAGGAACACGCCCTGACAGAGGCCCGGCACGCCCGGGTACTCGCCGACGTTGATGAAGGCCTTGTCGAGCGTGACGTCGACCTGCTCTTGTCCCAGGCCGCCGTCGCCGGCACCGCCCAGGGTGAAGGTGACGTCCCTAACGGCCTGATCCAGGACGTCGCACGGCGCGCCCCAGCAGCCGCGGCAGCCGGCGATGGGCTGGATCTGGTCTGACATGAGCGCGTACAGGTTGCGCGTCGTCTCCACGTCGGGCGTGACGACGACTGCCGCGCCGGTGTCGACCAGCGTGACCGAGTCGGTCGAGTTGGCCAGCAGGCTGCCGCCGATGCGAGCCCCCTGTACCCCGACGACCCAGCTGCCCCTGCTCTCGGACAGTGGCCAGTCCAATGGGATTGTCTTGAGCGTGCCGGGGATGTATAAGGAGGGGTCGGTTCCCCCAAGTGTCAGCCGGCCGCTCCGGGTGTTTGTCTCGATGAGTGAGAAGCCGAACTCGGGCCGCCGCAAGGTCCCGCTGTCGAGTAGGTTGCCGTACGCGGTCGAAAAGTTGGTCCACGGGCCGAAGGAGAATCTGCGGGTCGAGCCGAGCCCAAAGATGCCGTCGGCTAGCTGCTCGGCCAGGCCTGGCGAATAGACGTCGCACAGGAGGAACTGCTGCTGCTGAGCCTGACGGTCGCCGACGTGTACCGTGTCGATGACGGCGGTGCAGTTTGCCCCTTGGGGATCTGTGGACGGGATAGTGTGGCCAGTGGCGCCGGCGAAGAGACCCTCGATCCACACTCCCGGCTGAGCTGAGAATGTGCCGGAACTGGAGGGATCAAAGAGATTGTGGTGCCCGCCGCACGTGGTGCAGTTGCTACGGGGTAGTAGGAGGGCTGCCGCACCCGTGTCAAAGACGACGTTACTGCCGGGAGTCAGCATTGAAAAAGGCAGCCAAGAGCGAATAAATTCGACGGTCAAGCAACGCAACAAAGTACTTGTTCGTGGTTCAAACTTACAAGATCTGGGGCGGATTGCCCACGGCAATGTCGCCAGACCATTGGTACTCCGTCATGCCTCTTCCCCATACCTGAAGGTCAATATGGATCGGGGTGGCGTCCCGAGGCACGGTCAGTGAGCCGCATTCCAGTGGCGGTGGGGTGTCCCTAGGTTGAGCTCCCCGTCCAGTGATATCTTGCAGCACTGCTGACCAGCACAGTGCGACATGAATGCTGAACCAAAGAAGCACCCTCATTGTGAACTGCGTCGAGATTGAGAAGTGAGAGGGAATGAAGTGTAAGTTGGTGATACAGCCGAATTGCTTGTTCGCTTCCAAACCAAGAGATGGGATGGTTCTGGGTTCCGGTCTTATTTAAGTGTTACATTCAACTTGTGTTAATGTTCCCAGCAATGCCAGCATTTCGGTTACACAGAAGAACAATACTAACCCCTGGAGTCGCGACGCCTATTTTTCTAGGCTATGCGAGGCTGAATGGGCAGCTGTTGAAACAGACAATACTAAGCCCTGCTCACTCTACCGATTGGAACAGAAGTATAATAATTATGAGAAATTAAATCCCAAGCCATGGGCAAAGTTCCCTCCCCAAAACTTTAGTTCCCTTGCAGCGAAACCTCCCAATAGCTTTATTCGAGACCGAGTTGCTATACGACACCAGACACGTGGTAACAAGCCAATCGAGATCCATGTGAGGGATTTCATCCGACTAGCAGATAGGTACGAATATCGAATAGCTGGCAAATCAATGGATAACGCCTCAATAGATCACGCTTGGGGCTCTTAGTGTTCTGGCCCGGTCCGCGGTTCGGCCATTCCGACCCTGATGCCTGCTTGATCAAGGCCCGCCGTGGTATTTCCGGCCCATATCTGCAGCTCATTGTTATCCCAACCAGCCGTCTGCTGGCTGTGGCGTGCGGAAAAGTCAGGTAGCGGTGTCGTCGGCGCCGAGAGCTCCGAAACCCTGTTACCCTGCAGTGGCGTCGCCTCAGCTGCCGAAAGTTCAGCGAGGCCCGGGCTCCCTGGTCTGGGTTGCGACTGAGTATTTGAGAGATATGAATTTTGCGACATGAGAGACACGTGGTGACTATCTTTGTGTGCCATCCCAGGCGACAAGGGCGCCAGGGTGCCTTCCCCTGTCCCATGGCTGAGGTCACGAAGGTGGTGGAATCTCGACAAATCGAATCCTGAGAGTTACACCCTAAAGGTCAGTTTGACTCTTTCCCTCTAGGACGAATATCTGATACATACCTTCCGGTGAGCCCATGATAGGCACGGGACCGTATCCCGCTGGCACTTTCCCGGGACGCCCGCCCCCTCTGAAATCTTCGACCGCAGCCCGTCTTCGATTCCGTCGACATCTGAAGACTAGAAACGATAACATCGCGATCGCAACAACGGTCGCGCCAATCGCAATCCCAACAATTGCGCCAGTGTGTAGCCCTCCACCGCTGCTACCTGTATCGGGGAGGGATGGAGTCGGCGCCGCGGTGCTGCTCGTCGTGGGCGCTGGATCGGAATTGCCGTCGACAAATATACTTCGGTCCCGAGCATCGGAACTGAGAAACGCTGGTGCGAGACCGTTGGCATGACATGACCCAGCACTGCAAGGGTTTGCCTCGCAGCAACCCATGAATGGGGGCTTGGTGAAGGCGCATGAATACCATAGGGCCCTTTGCTTGTCGCCACCACATTGTTGAGGGGGTACGGAATCATAGCTGTCACTAGAGAAAGAGGCTGGTCGGAGGGAGCGGGTGGGACATACTCCGGACCCAGTTTCGCATGGGTTTACGGTGCAGCAGCCGACGAACTCAGTCGCGTTGTTCTGGCAGACATAGAAGCTACCCCCGCTCGGGCAGCTGGCCCCAATTGACGACAGACTTGCCATTCTTTACGTTGGGCCGGACGATTTGTCTGTCGATTCGGTTTTAGATGCTATCGGAAACTCTTAGGAGTTGAGAGCCGATGTGACCTTGTAGTCCGACATGGAACTTTGAGCCAGGCAAAGGACCTAAAAGATAAGGAGCGGCTTGTCCATTTTCGCTTACCAAGTTCTGGCTCTGACCCTCCAAGGCAATGCCGTTTAAATCTGGTTGCGGTTTGCTCGGTTCCATGTTCTGTAGTAATCGACGTGAGGCAACTACTGCACTGAAACCGCCAACGGGGTAGTACCAGTTAGGAATCTCCAAACTTGGTTGGTCCAGTGAGCCGAGTGACAGCCACTACAGTATGCAAACGTTAAGGCGTGCATCTAACTCGGCTCATTTATGATCGGGACAGGGAAGGTGGGTAAGAGAACACTGCATTCAGCAGCCAACAAAGCAGCTCCTATCCCAGGATTTAGATGTGACCAGTCTCATAATCAAGTATTGCTAAAGTGACGAGCAGCGGCGGGCAGGGCTACCAACTTCTCCACAGCAGCGGCTTAGATTTTCGAATACGAGAAGTCGGCTTGCCATGTGTTACACGCAGCGCCTTCAAGTTGCTCTTGTAGCCTGGTCACTTGGTGGGCAAGTTGAGGTGAAGCTGGTGCGGGTCTGACCTCACACCGAGGCCGGGCTGGCCAGCCACAACGTGGTCCAACACACTCACTACCCTTTATAAAAGGCACCTGTTCCCTACTTCGTGATCTCTCCGCAAACGACTGGCTCAGGTCCAAGAGTCCAAGAGATACTGTATGGCCATTCGTCGGCACTCATCGAACATTTGTCTCAAGGCTGTGCTGTGTCAAGCTTGACGAATCCCATTGCGCAGCACTTGGTATCGTAGACCTCCACGGCTTCATAATGATCGGTTTGTCGACTAATTAAGTCGAGAAATATAACTTAGGTCAACTTCCAACAAGGCTGGAGGGGTCGGCGGGGAGGCAGCTGGGACCCGTCAGGCTGTCGGGCGAGCCAACATGCTGATTTGTGCAACGCAAGTTCCACCTCCAAGTTGGTTGCTCGCGGGTCACTGTGCAAAAGGCCGGGCACAACAATCAAGGCAGCGAGATATCCAATAGGTTTTCCAACCTGCATTGATTATGGGGTCTGATGTGATGCTGTAGGCTGGGTTAGACTGGCAGACTGCTTCGTTGTGCACATGTACTGAGCCTTGGGTACCACAGCCTCGGCAAGCTCATACAGTCAGATTTTCAAGGAAAGGCAGATAAATGGACACAACTCAAGCGTCGAGACTCTGAATTCTGGAGCTCAACGGATACTTGGTTGTTAGATGCCAAAGTCAGGCCAGAAGTTAGAACTTGAGGCGCGCTTACGCGCAGGTGGCAGCTGCGGGTCGTTGCACTGCCGGATTTTCCCGCGCGGGCCGTTGTGGGAAAGTGGGTCACCTCAAGCTAGCGGACCCACCCTAAACTCCGAAGCCAGCTCGGTTGTTGTCGAAGTGCCACAACGAAGCATCACGTTCACTCCTGAGTCTCCTCACTTCACGGTGCAATCATCTGCGGACGCTGAACTCTTATAACTACTGACATTCGCTAATCAACAGACGATGAGCGACGTCGAAGTAAAACCACACGATGCCGCTCCGGCGGACACGCCTTCGGAGCCCAAGGCAACAGGAGATGCCCACCCTTCCCAAACCTCAGTCACTCCGACTGCTCAGGTCAACCAGGTGAACCAGGAGGCGACGACTGCGACCAGCGCAGCGAACCCGCCTCCTAACGAAACTACACCAATCGCTCAATTGTGGAGCCTTGCCCAGGCTGCCGGTCACCCCGAAATCTGGGGGGTAACGCTTGCGGATCCGGAAAACCACATCCCCACTCGGATCATCTTGCAAAAGTATCTCAATGCCAATGATGGAGACCTCGCCAGAGCCAAAGACCAGCTGTCAAAGACATTGGAATGGCGTGCCAAGATTAAGCCGCTAGATTTGGTCAAGAAGGTCTTCAGCAAACCCAAGTTTGAAGCCCTGGGATACGTCACCACCTATGTAGAGGAAGGTTCCAGCGAGCCAGAGGGCAAGGAAGTGTTTACATGGAACATCTACGGTGGGGTCAAGTCAATCGACGAGACGTTTGGAAAGCTTGAAGAGTGAGCATCCGATTCTGCAGAATGAAATATAGTACTAACTATGTCTTCTCCGTAGGTTCATAGAATGGCGCGTGGCTCTGATGGAGATTGCGTTGCAGGAGCTGGCGCTCTCGTCAGCAACCAAACCCATAACGGCTGACTACGATCCGTACAAGATCTTCCAGGTTCACGACTACAAGTCCATCAGCTTCCTGCGCCAGTCGCCTCAGGTCAAGTCAGCGAGCTCCGAAACCATCAAGGTTTTTGCGCAGAACTACCCCGAACTGCTGAAGGAGAAGTTCTTTGTAAACGTCCCGGCCATCATGGGATTTGTTTACACCTTCATGAAGATGTTCGTCGCGCCAAAAACCATCAAGAAGTTCCATCCCATGGCGAACGGCATGAACCTCGCACGAGAATTCGGCGAGAGCAAGGTCTCCAACCTGGGAGAGAGGCTACCTGCAAACTACGGCGGCAAGGGTGCTGAGCTGGCGGAACAAGGCAAAGGTCCGCTCCTGGAGTGATGCGTTTTGTTGGCTGCCCATTCTCTGCTCTAGTCAGATAGTTGTTAATCCCCTTGCAGTCGGTCATTGGATAGGTTGTAATAGAGACCCAAAACTGCTTCCATAATACATACTAGTATCTTATTTGGCCCGCTATTGGGAGTATACCAAGTGAACGACTTGCGGCTACCGCTCAGCACCAAAAGGACCTTGAAAGGGAGAGATTTCGGCTAACTGAGTATGTTGGCTGACCTTGAGGATTCAGAACTGGGAGAAAATCAGGCCGTGTCTTATGACGGATATCCCAAGGTGGGATGCTCGGAGACCGAGATAATGGTGTGTAGTGCCTTATTTGGCTGCACCATAACAGCCATGAATAGCAGCGCTTCATCCGACGTTTCTCCTTTGCAGAGGAGAACCTTGATGAACGATCACTCGACTCAAGAGACGGTCAGGTGTAGTTTGGTAGGAAAACGTGTCCGAAACGAGCGAGGTATGAATATTGTTATTTCAACTGCACAAAGGCGCTTTTGGTCTCGACCAAACCCGACACTCCAAATTCGCTGTTTTCCTGAGTTACTCATTTCCATCACCGTTTGGTATCACTTCGCGTACAACTCCAGCGCCCGTTTGTGCAGTGCAAGGTACATGTACAATACGTCCGCCTTACGCACGAAACAATCTGAACCTGGTCCCAGGAACGCAAGCTTAAAGTATTGCACATTCCCTGGCCGGACTCCACTTAAGTAAACCTTCTCAGACTTGATTTTTAAATTCTTAGAGAATCGAGCAACTTATCAGTGTCAACTTTCCTGCCTTCCCTTACCATACTCCTCAGTAACTGAGTGCAAGGGAAACGCCGCGCACTCCCACCTCCAAAGCTTGCTACCAGTACCAACAGGGATGGCGAATATGTCATCACCAGCCCATAAACCTGTGCTGCCACATCGCCGCGGGGTCTTCGCTCATCGACTGCTTGCTATACTCATACGGGCTCTAAACTCGGTACCTCAAACGATACGTACAACAGTGCTCATTATCCTCCTCTTCACCCACATCACCGCCGCCGCGGTCATTCCAACACCTACCAGCACTCTCGATGGATCAGGAAGCATCGATATCCCAAGCTCAACATTAACTACGACTGCAACTTCAAGTCCCACGCTCTCCACAGCCGAGCAGTTGTACGGCACACCCGCTCGAGCAATCTTTTCAGGCCTGGCTATCGGGTTTGTCGGGTCCCTCGGTTTGTGGTTCATAATAGGGAGTTTAATACTCGTTTGCTGGGCCATTGCGCAGGAAATTGGGGTCAACTGGAGGTGGGTACATGACTGGTGGGGGGAAGCTGGCCGAGGAGGAATCAGATGGGAGCATTTGAGAATAGCGTTTATTTTTATATGATCTTTTAGGTGGAGCGCTGGGAAGGAGAAGGGTGCAAGGGAGAGGAGGTTTTATAGAGTCATTACCGGTGGATTCTCTCACTTCACAGGATGAGCTACCCCTGATATTGCATTGCTTTGGTTAGGGAGTGGTCAGATATCTGGCTGGAGCGGCGACATAAATAAGTAGGTGCTTTGGGAAGTTGATGTCAGTGTTGACCTAGGGTTTGGGTGCTTTAGAGGGTGCGGCCGGAGATTCTGTTAGATAGGCCACCACATAGTGACTGGGAAATCTCGGAAATACATGTAGATTCCAGGGCTGCTTACTTGTAAACACATAAATGAAAGCATTAAGTGACATATATCCGCAAATGGGGTGGTTCACGAAACTCCCGTCTGAGGCTTGTCCTGAGTAAGATAAACGTAAGGATGGCTAGAATAGATCTTAGGCTCGGCCTTCAAGAAATTAGGAACCCGAAAGATAGATTATCTACAATTGGAGATAGATGGCAGGAACCGGCAGCCTCGTCACTGAAAAAGTGAAAGAGCCACGTCGGCTTAGGAAAGCAAGGTGCGTACCCTCCCCCAATACCAGGAAGCACCCACCAAGCTCAGTTGGTCTAGTGATCAGGCCACAGCCTTCTGGTTTATGACTCCTAACCTTGGTCACCTTGTGTATGTGGGCTGGTTGAGCTCCCAGGAGGTCGCTCGTTCGAGCCCTGGGGTTTTTTTTTTTTTTTTTTCTTTTTGCCCCAAAGTCAGAGTCAACAAGTTCGCCGTGCTTCCCCTTACCGTGAGTCCGCTTCCAAGCACTGGATTGTTTCTTGTCGCCGCTTGGGCAAGCAAAGCCGCTTTGGCCTCCGACTTCCCGTCCCGTATATCGTGCCCCGAAGTTCCGAATTTTGGTCCAGAATGAAGCTAACTTCGCACAGTCCTCCGCCCTTTGTTTCCATACAAGTCCAAGCGGTCAACAATAACAAACAAGGCCTCTGGATCAGTTTCCCATTTATACTGCACCCGTCAGCTGACTGCTGCTCAAGATGTCTTGGGTTTTTCGATACCCGGACATGCCCATCCTGACAAACGACTTTGAGGAAACTACAAGCGCAACGTTAGAAAACACAATGGTGAGTCGATAATTGCTAACCTCAGGTTCGATTTTGAGTCTACTCTCACCTATCTTCCGGAGGTGATCGAGCCCCATCTATTCCACAGTGTTGCAGTTCATCGCGTCCTAGCCATCGGCCGACTGACCAAGCGCTCCTAGGACGATGCCATGGTTCCCGCGATAATCATCGACGTCATCTTGGTGATGGCCTGCTTCATCATGCTGGCAATCAAGTTCAAAATCGACTCTACCACCGATCCAGCTGTGTTCCGGAACTTCGACCATGGCTTGCCGCTGAGCAATCCAACCCAGGATCGACTCGTTCCGCTTTCGAAAGTTTGCTCGAGTCCCCAGGAAGAATGCGAGCCTCGGACGCAGAGCGGTCATCATGGCATAAACTTAACTGCTCGGGTCGAAGACCAGGGATCCAAATCTGCAGAAGACGCGGCTGGAACCACGATCAGTGAGCCCCGAGCTGTACACCCCTACCAGTCCCCGACTAAAGACTGCGGCTCCTACACGGTTCACACCAACTGCCCTTGAGATATTGAGAGACGGGGCTCTCTCGCTCAACCCGATCCCAATTCTCTTCGACAGATCTTGCCTCGCAGTCAGGCAGGGGATAAGGAGCCAGAGAGGAACCTCCCATGTATTCAAAACTGATTATGTGGGTTATCAGTGCAGTAATGAATTCATTCCAGCAAGTGTTACCTCCTCTCCCCGTCAACACCAACTGTGTAGCCCCTCGCGACACCACTCCTGCCTTCTTCTATCGCCGTGCTGGCCTCGCCTACGAAGTCACTACCGAGGCCCTGCCATGTTCGCTGAGATCGTAAGAACTCGGCACCAGGGCTCACAACTCCGTTTACTGTAGCTAATTCAGCTCTCGGCCGCAGGGCCAGGGCACTCATGTTGGGTGCCGTGGTTCCTCCGGTTGAGATAGCACCATTTCGTATCTCGCCCTTTCCACCACCCGTTCTCATCGGCCGGCTGTGACTGATTAGCCTGCCAGTACGCAGGTCGAACTCTGGCGGCGCCGACTCCTCGTCCTCAACCCCATCCTGCTCATACGATCCCCCTTGGACATCCTCTCCCCCATCCCTGTCTTCCTTCACAGGCCTGTTATCTTCCTCCTCTCCTCCTTCAGGCCCAACTTCATCCCCTAGCACTGGAACGCTCTCAATTCCACCCCACCACTCACCAGTCCACACCCTCTTGTCATCTCCGACCAACGCAAGCCCAAGCTCAAACGGCGTGACGACGGGCCGGTAGAAGCCCGCATCATCCTCGACCAGCGAGCTCTCCCAGCAGCCGACAACGACCCAGCCCTCCACCTCGGCAAAGTTGGCCAGTTTGGCCGGATTGAGCTTTCCGACCACGACTGTGTAGCTCTTCTTGCCCGCCGCGGCAATCTGTCGCCGTATGTGGTCGACCGAGGACAGGTAATTGGACACGGAGAGCGTGTTGACCAGGATGCCAATCACCCCTGACGACGCGAGGGTCAACACTTTGGCGTATCTCCGCCCGAGCAGGCGCGACGTGGATGGCGGAGCGGGCAATTCGAAGTCGGAGGATGAGGAAGGGGTCGGGTGGATGTCGAGCGATTGGACCCGGGAGGAGAGGGCTAGGAGGAGGGCGGTGGGAGGAGTCGAGATGTGAAATATTGAGTAGGTTGTGAGGTCGTGAGTTGAGGCGGTTGGAGGAGGGACGTCGGTTCCGTCTTGTGGAACTACGAGCTTGCGGTTGGGGATCTTGCCGGTTGGCTCGTGAACTATGGAGGTGGAGAGGAGGTTCGTGTAGCCGCGGGTGTAGAGATCGGCTGCGAGGGATGGGACGTGGTCCTGGTAGGTTACGTCTGCCATGAGGATCACGTTCGTGGCTTTGTCTGGGTATCTCTTGATAAATGCTTCCAGTGTAGCTTCCCGGTCGAGGTTGTGGTGTGTAAAAACGTATATCACGGGCAGGCGGGAAGTGGGCGAGAGGCAGGCCCGGCCATAATGTACCACCACGTCAGCATCGACATGTTCAGCCGCGATCTCGTCGACGCAGCATGAGCTGTAGGATGTATCCGCTAATATGTATATCCTCTCATGGGGATCTGTTTTATTCGCGCCGTCACCGTTCGTGGTCGTGGGAGATGTCGTAATGCCGGCTTCCGATTGCTCGTGAAGGGAACTAAGCTCCAAGTGTAGGGATTGCACTATCCGAGGCGCATCTCTCAACATGGAGTCTGGAAACTGCAGTGCTATCCTCTTCCACCTGCCCTCCCGGATCTCTTTGGCCGTGCGGGCGACTTCGTAGATGTCGCGTAGTTCATCGTCTGACTTCGGTTGTTCCGATGCGTCCGGTTTAGAGGGGACAGCGTGGTCGAATAGATCTTCTGCTGGCGTTGAAAGCACGGGCGCAGCAGATAAATTGCTCGCCATGATCGGTGATGCTGGGTGTCTTGGGCAGGAGGTTGAAATTTCCAGCAAGGCGGGGCAACTGAAGGTTCGAAATTGCCCCGCAATTTGGGTGACGTCGGGTACAGTACCTGCGGGTCGCCGCAACTAGGGTTGAGCTTAGTGAGTGGGCCTGTTTCATCTCCCTGAGGCAGTGATTCCTTCACGTCCACGAAGATACCGTTAAGGTACACGTACTCCGTAGCGACATGTCCGCCTGCATCATTCAGAGAGAATTTGTCATTGGCAACGACATTCGATGCAGAGCTCCAAGCGATTCTAGAATACCGTCCCAGGGTTCCATCCAACAGCGCGAACGCGAGCTACAGTATAGCATATCAGTGCCGCCGAGTAGGCAACTCCGCTAAAGATTATCAGGTATCGCCATCCCTGGTCTCCCGACCCCGAAGCCAACAAGGCACCCCCAATGGGAAGGCTGCTCAGTGTTCCGAAGCTTGCCACCATCATGGCTGTTGAGAATAGTCGACCAAAGCGTCGGTGGTCGCAGAGCTGTCCCAGACAGACGGGGACCAGCCCAATGTTGCTCCCGCTGGCAAACCCAAATAGCACCACGTACGCAATCAAGACAGCCTTTGAAGTGCCTGCTGGTAACCATAGGGCAACCGTCGTGATTGTGCACAGCGCAATGGTGGAGATTATGACGTTGAATCGGCCAAGGCGGTCAGCCAGGTAGCCCGGAAGAACTCGGCCCACCACGGATCCGGCATTCAAATATGACAGGAGGAGATAGCCTTCGGTCGCGGCCTGCCCGTTCGCGGCGGCGTATGAGACGATGTAGGTGAGGGGAATGAATAGGCCCCATTCCATGAAGAAGACGCCAACAGCTGCAAAGGCAAACCGGGCATCCCTGAAAACGCTGAGATCGGGCCAGACCGAGTGTATCTTTGGGCCCTCGCCTTTGCTCGGGGTTAACCTCGTCCGGATAAAGAGATTGGACGGGATCGCAAGGCCTAGCATGATGAAAGCGAGGATACGACAGCTCCACGCAAACCCAACATTAGGCAGCAGCTCACGGAGCAGGACAGGAAACACGACACCGCCCACTCCGCCCGCAGTTGAGGCGATTCCAGTGGCCAAGCCGCGGCGGACATTGAAGAAGTGAGCGATGGCCCCATACGCGGGGCAGTTGAGCAGTGCACCACCAATGCCGCCCATCACTGAGTAGGTAAGCATAATCTGATAGTACTCTATCCAGCGGTCAGCTCGTCGATTCTTTCATGGTGCAGAAAGCGAGGGCACTTACGATCGCACCAACTTAGGAGCAACAGACTCAGGACTATCAGCAAGCTGCCGACCGCCACCAGCGCTCTTGCCCCAAACCGATCAAAGATGGGCCCGACCTGGATGCCAACGAAGAAAACAATGAATAAGTACAGGCTGAAGATCCAGCCAATCTCTGACGGCGTGTTCTCGACGAGCTGGTTCGTAGAGAAGTACGATTCGAATACGGCCGCTGAGTTGATCAGGCCGAATAGCGAAAGCATTGCGCAGAAGGACCCCAAGACGACGAGCCACCCTTTCACACCGCCTTCTGGGAAGTCGACTGTGGTAGCCGCCGACGGCAGCTGTTCCAGTTGAGCGCCATCATTCTCGCAGCGGTTGCGGGCGGTGGAGTCATCGCTTCGGACACCGGGAGGTGCGGCCTCCTTAAGATCACTTGCCTGAGGAGAGACAAGCTTGTTGAGCCCGTAAGGGCTCTGAATCTCCTTTTCCGCGTCTAGCAAAGGCAGGACGGAGTTGCTGTTGCCGGAAAGCTTGATGCCACCTATGCCGGTGTTCTCTTTTGTGCCACAATCTGGCTCTGTCGTCATCATTTAGTAAAGTCTGAATCCTTGTGAAAGGCACTCAACACACGCAGTGGAGCTCCCAGAGCGCGGATCAGTAGCGGCCACTCCTTATGCCCTTAACTGATGGGTGCGACACGGCCCGCTGGTGAAACAATATCGTCCGCTTTTGTGTCCAGTAGGCTAAGGTTGAAAGCAGGTGGGTTCGTGACCACGAGTGTATATAAGGGAAGGTCGTGACGAGGAGAAAAAAATATATGTATCTGGCCAGTCAACTCGATGGAATACGGGAAAACTCATCGACATGGGTGAGATGATGGTACTCCACTTGGTGGTTACCCCAGTTTTGAAGTTAGAAAATCGGCCTTTTCAACGTCGGCAATGGACGGACATACATACATTGAGATGACTTCCTAGCATTCTTCGCGCTAAGTTTCCGAAGCATCTCATCCAATGTGTCTAGAGCGAGCGGAAGCGAAATACCGTGGTTTCGACCTTCGGTTCTCTCACTTTGACGTTGGACCAGAGGAAATGCCGCCATCACCCACAGCAAGGCAAGGGCTTGGCAGTCCCAACCCTACGCCCTTCCTTCCATCGGCTTGACATAATGACATTCCACATCCGGTGTAGTGTATGCCGGTACAATGTTGCCGGTGGCTTCCTTCCCCGGAGACATCCGTGATCGGACTTTATGCACGCCCCTTCCCCAGTTCCCATGCACAGGGCCAACTCGGGCAACTCTCACCATGCTGTCCGGGCTTGCTCAAGACGGACTAGAGATCTTCGCAACACTGACGACCATGTTTTCCCTATCCCGGTGAAACTACTCCCTGCTTTGCGAACATAATCAGACCTTCTCCCGTCCTACCAATGTCCAAGATCTCTTCTCAGACATCAGATTCTGGCCCGGTCGCGATGCACCCTCAGCTGACGAGTCACAGTTTGGGGCGTTTTAGCCAGTGCAAGATCTCGGCAGAACCCAAGATCGTCCAGCTTCCTTATATGTATCAATGTGACGCTTGGCTCAATGCCATCTCTCCCTGGATCTACCGCAGTGAAGTGCTGATATGGTGATTTAGTGAGCCAGCCTAATGCAACTCGGAAATCGGAAGTGTCCTGACAGGTTTCCAACTTGTTTGTTCAGATACATGCCAGAACAACCACGCATCAAGTGTCCCTTCACCAGAATGACCAGATTGCCTCAAGCTTCTTAGTTTGCTTGGCTCTTCCGCTTGTGGCGGGCGAAACGTGGTGTAACTGCGACTCCGTCATCTCGTTGGTGCACTGCAGCAAGAAACCCACGAACCAATCTTGCTTTCTGATCTGGACAAGCCAGCTTGAGAGATTATTTGACACTGCAGCGGGTCCTTCGACACGCATGCTCGTCGTGGGGCAACAAGGAACAATATCAACGTCAACAAATCGCTCTCACGTTGATACGGTGCCCCTGTTAAGCTTCAGCCGGAGACCAGTGAACTTTCTTCTCGCTAGCGATGATCATAGATCATATAACCCGTTCGATAAAGACTGATGCCAGAATTGCAAAAGAAAGCCCCTGCTGCTGCTAGGAAAGGGAAGGTAACTAGTATAAGGCCTCTGACAGACTCCGGCTAACTTACTCTAGTCATGATCTAAGCTAAGCTCCATCCAAAATAAGGAGAGACCCCCGAGAGTATACTCTGCATTCACCCTAGCCTCCCCAAAGTCGAATTTGAAAGGGGAACCGAGCTTGCTGTCCGGGGTAATGGACGCGGGTGACTCTTGTCCCAATCTTGCTGCCTTTGACTTTCAGCTCTCTGTTCGTTCGACTTTTGAGGCTCCGGTAGTGTTGCGATCCAAAGTTGCATCTGGTTTCTCCGGAGCTCCTCTGCGTCCCACAATTCCTCCCATCTCCGATCGAGTTGCCGGAGGATAACGCTGTTATCATCTACCGGCAATTCTTGTCGTTGTCCAGGTCGTCGCCAAGGAAACCACGACCCCTTGGCCAGCTTCATCCTCATGAACAACATACAATCATTCAAGCTCATCTTTCTAGGCGTATCACAGTCCTGGAGAAGGCAAGCGGGAGCGGGAGAGGCCTCCGAATGGAACAGGTGGTTGAAGCGAGAAAAGACCTGGTTGTCGAAGATGAACTCGCTGCTGAGGATAATGTCGCAGGGCAGGTCCTCGATGACATGTAGATCACAAACGAAGGTTGTCTTTGTTGCCGCGGCACGCCCCCCTCCTCCCTTGCTAGTGAGTGTGGCGAGGCCATTGGCATACTCCAGGTACCTGTCATAATCGAGCTCCCTTGGCGACGACATTGGCGGTGCATCAAACTCCATCTCGGCGTTGAGGACCATGCCGTCTGTCCGAATTATCGACCCGTCAATGAGTTCAATCGACCGCTGGTACCTCTGCCCTCTGTGGATGGTGAAGTTGTTGCGACGGGCAAAGTCCCCGGACACGAGCATGAGATCAGATCCCGTGTCTGGGAATGCTGATGCGGCACAGCCGTTGACGGAGCAGCGAATGCGATCCCTGGGGGCCTCGTCCAGGAGGAACAATCGGCTTCCCTTCTGCGCGCAGGGCCGGAAACGGTCGATAATCCGATGCGTATACTTGGTCAACGTCTTCGTCTGGTCAAGGAATTCCCGGCCCAACACCCACGTCGTACACGCATTTCTTCAGCACGCGGAAGTTGCGTCGGTATACTATGCTCTCGCCCCGAAACTTAAATTGGCCAACGGCCAGCCCGGTGCTTTCGGCTGCGTTACCTCCGGGAAGCGTAATCGATATCTTCGCCGCTGGTTCAACTTCGATCCCGTGCCGCCTCGCAAAGTCCTCCGAGATGGCGTTGACAGAAGAGCCCCAGTCCGGTAGTGCGTTGACTGGAACCCCATTGATCGTGCCCGGGACTTCCCAACACTTGATACCACATGTGCTCGGGGTATAGAACTGCCTGAGACTTGAGTGCACGGCAACAACACTATCTCGGAGATGATTGCCCCCGCAATACGCCTGGTTCCAGTGACTCCAGTCGCGTCGACAGATCGAGCAGCCTAACATCACACGATTGCAGGCAAGGCAGCGAACGTGAAGCCGACCCAAGGCGGTACAATCACTATAGCTTCCGCAATTGCAGCAAATATATAACCAGGCCGAACAGTCGGGAGCATCCATGTCCGTTGTATTTAATGTAAACCAACTTATCCTCGGCCTTGTTCGACTTGAGTTTCTTGGGCATCGAGGTGGCGGAAAGATTGGGAGGTTGAGATGTGTTGAAACTTGAAAGCGGCTTGGCTGAGCCGTGAAGCCCTGAATCTTTGGAGTCTGTCCCTCGTCGAGGTTTGCTAGTCCTGATTTGAACTCCAACAGCCACAACTACCTTGAAATTTTTTTCCTGCAAGTTTGGTTGAAGAAAAGGATTCATGGAGTGTTGCGAAGCACGCTGGCATTGCCAGGATGGGACGGTTATTGGCCCATGTCCAGTCGTGGACTAGCTGGTGTCGACGTGTTTTCGCCGCGGACCAGTTACTGCCCGCCAAGGACTGTGGCAGTGCGGCTGCTCCGTTTCTTGAAGGTTACCTATTTGCCGTTTCCCTCGACTTGGAGCCAGGCTGCATAGCAAACAATGTGTCCGAACCGAATAGCCTTACGATACGCCCATCCTGTCAAATACCCCTAACTAGCAGTACTGTATCTACGGACGTGGCCGACAAATGACGCCAACGTGACTTGGGCCCTACCACACCACCTGGCCGGGAACACCGCCTGCATTGACAAAAGACTCGTTTCCAAAGAAGATCGCAGAACGGTCTCTCCGGCACTTACTGCCCAGCTCATGGATATTGAGACGGTTAGCGAAAGTGGAACCGGCTTCCCCCTCTTAGCTGAGAGGATTGCCCTCAACCCGGACTGTGAGACTTTCATCTTTCGCCGCTTTGACCGATTGAGCGCGCGCAACCTTCTACACCTTGAAAGCAAACTTGCGTATCTGGAATACAAGCTCGACAAAGCCGATGAGCAAGCATTCGGCTCTCCCGATAACGAGACATGCCGGTCGATCCGCGCATGGGAGGCCTTCGAGGAGCTCGCACAGGATCCGGCTCGACCAGAGCACAGGCGTATGCAGCTTGCCGAGCAGATTCGAGAAACGCTGAAGGAATACCGTAAGCTCTCGGGGTTCATGTCTGGGTTAATAAAAAACAACATATGCTGACTGAGTTGGCAAACTTTAGAAGAAGCTCTCCTAAGGCAAAGCCAGATTGCCGCCTTGGAACCGCCTCGCAAGCGGGCTCTCGAAGTCGCTTGTAATCAGTCTTATCAGACAGTATATGATTCAGCTGGCCAGAAGCGGAAGCGGCATATTCTCTCGGGTCTTGCAGAGAAAAGGCTCGATGAGATGAATCAGCACGATCTTGTGGCCGTGAGACGACCACCAGAAAAGGACCTTCTCTCGCGGTTTCTCCAGGACCGGTGGATGTTCAAAGTACGTAACCGTTAAGAGGTACCCACTGCCTTTACACAGCACTTCTCATTTATACGTATTGCCCAGCGCAAGACCTCTGGCAAGGATAATAGACAACGAGAATGACAGACGATACCGAATACATCAAAGAAAGCCACGTCAATTGGGTAGCGGCCGGGATTAGCACTGTGCTTGCGGCCATCTTGCTGCTCGGAGCCATTGTGGTCCTGCGAAGAACTGACGACGAGAATGCTCAACTTGGAGCCATCGCCGCTTTTACGATTCTCTTTGCCCTCAGTGTCGGGGTCCTGACAAATGCAAGACGGGCCGAGGTTTTTGCGTCGACAGCTGCGTATGCCGCTGTGCTCGTTGTCTTTGTGTCGTCGAGCTCAGGGACGGCAAGCTGTACTTGTACTACTAGCACCCCTATGCCAAATGGCTAAGGCCTTACGTTTGCAGTTCCATGCCATATGGAGCCCCAAGACGCGGGACCACAACATCCCTTCTCGATACTTCACGGCGCAAGCTATCTGAGCTGAGGAGAGCCGGGATTTAGGGTTGCTTGGGGAGGAGCCCAGCCGTACGTCACAAATGCCGCGTTTGCGCCTAACCGGTGATATTGTCTGGTAGGAACCGGTTATCACAGCCGGCTGTGTCAAGTCTGTGTACGTTGCCCAAAAATTCTGGGGTAAATCTATCATTCACCACTTTAGACCCGCCTACCTCGTCTGTCACGAATGGCAATAGGTGTCGCTATTAGATCCTAGGGAGATATGAGAATCCTGTGCTAGCCAATGACGAAATTGGAGCGGTGTGTGGGGAGCTGGATCAGGAGCAGTCAAAGGAACCAGTTCCTCGATTAGGGCTGTATTTGGGTAAGGTGCAGTTCAAGACGCAAGGTCCGGTAAGTATCCCTTGTACGTGATGAAGGGGGTCTGCGATGTCATTCGGGATACGCATGGCCGAAAAAGGGGCGGTTCTTAGAGGACATGTTGAGTTTGTTATATGAAATAGGCCAGCCGGCACTTGGTGGTTGGTCTCCGGATGTCCCGAAATGCTCTCTTGATTCCCCTTTATCCAGAAAGTGACCTGTCAAGCGCCTATCGGTTTTATTCCTGGATATGAAGTTACATTCCCCACCGATGGAGCTTGGCCAAACAGCGTCCTAGATATAGGTATGGTAATAATAAACAGGAAGCCTTGACTTGACGGCAGTTGTACTTCTGAAGTTTACCCAGGAGCATGACCCTCAACAACCGCCCTCTCTTTCACTCGGATGGTGAACTCGGCAAGACATGGGCAGAATGTAAGGTAGCCAAGCATATATTAGAAGTGATGGAGCTGTGTCAACAGTCCATATAGTACTGGTTCTGTTCCCTGGGTCTCGATTCTTGCCGTATTCTCAGTTGCTTGCGAACTTGCAGTCTTGTTGGACCTCCTGGGTTCTTGAAGCTCAAAGACGGACTTGTACCAAACTAGAAGGCAATCAGCGAGACAAGTCCAACAAAATGCAGCTCAAAGCCTTCCTTGCCGCGACGGCGGCACAGCTCGTCACGGCGCAGGAGCTCATGCGGTTTGGCTGCTCGCAGCTGACGTTCGACCGAATTGACCCCTTGGTCAACCCGGGCAGTCTGCCGTCGCCGCACATGCACCAGCTTATTGGCGGCAACTCGCTCAACGTCAGCATGCCGCCTGTCGAACACGATCCTCCGACCAAGTCCACGTGCACCAGTTGCACCTATTCCGAGGATTTCTCCAACTACTGGACGGCCAATGTTTACTTCAGGGCCCGCAATAACACCTTCAAGAAGGTTCCCCTGGTGACCAACCTGGGTCTTCGAGTCAAGGGCGGAATGACTGTCTACTAGTATGTTGAGATATTGTATTCTGAAGTCACCGTCTGACAGTCCAACCCACCAACCACCAGCATCCGAGGATACCAGTCCAGCGCCAAGGTTACGGCGTTCAAGCCGGTAGGTCACACAAGTCCCAACTACACGGCAATGAACCCCAACTGATGCTGAGGACCACAGGGCTTCCGCATGCTCGTCGGCGACCCGAACAACCGGGACGCCAGCAAGGTCCCGCCCGGACTGTGCTTCCGGTGCGAGGCGAACATGGAGCAGAACCCGTTCGGCGGCGCGCCGTGCACGGGGTCCGACACCAAGTACTTCCCCAAGTCAACATGCGGCGGCGGGTGGCGCGTGACGGTCACCTTCCCTACGTGCTGGGACGGCAAGAACGTCGACACGCCCGACCACAAGAGCCACGTCACGTACCCGGCCCGGGGCACCTTCGAGAGCGGAGGTGCCTGCCCGAGCACGCACCCGGTCAAGATCCCGCAGGTCATGTACGAGGTCATGTTCGACACGCGCCAGTTCAACAACAAGGCCGAGTGGCCGGCCGACGGGTCGCAGCCGTTCTACTGGAGCCACGGCGACAACACGGGCTACGGCATCCACGGCGACTACGTCTTTGGCTGGAAGGGCGACGCCCTGCAGCGCGCCATGGACTCCAAGTGCGCCGGCGACAACTGCAGAGCCCTCCAGCGCCAGTCTGACGCCCAGGCCATTGCTTGCACCAAGAGCCAGTTTGCTCATGAGGACATTGGCGAGAACTCTTGTAAGCATAACACTAGTAGTGGTTCAGGGGTTGACGAACACTAACAACACTTGTATAGGGCTCCCGACTCTCCCGGGCGATCCTGCTATCTTTTAAGCTGATAAAGCTTCAAGCAGTACTTAGCTCAACCTTGCCAGGGACTTAGATGTTGGGTCGATGGGGCAAGTGTGGTTATCCAAGTAGCCGGTGTTTCTCGCCTCGCTGTTTACATTAAGGAATAGTATGAGCCTATCTTCACTGTCCTATGTTTGTCAGTTCTTATCAGCCTGTCAGATACAAGTTGTTAAAGCCAAGTTTGCCGTCCTTTTGCAGGATAGAAAGTTCCCCCTTTTGGTTGAAATAGTTGTGGAATGATCTGATTGCTGTTAGCACTACTAGTAGCACAGTATATACCATTACCATTACCCCTTACGTTGGTCTTGAAGTTCACCGAATTTAGGTTTACTCGTCCAAAAACCTCGCACCTCTTCCAGTCGCTCCCACAAGTTCCAGGTTGTCCGTCACCCCGGGGATCTCGTTGCGCACCCACTCGTGTCCCCCGCAGCCGCTTGCCAGAGCTCGCCCGAATCCGCCCTGAGGGACATCGCCGTTGGTCTTCTCCCAGCCCTCCCCAAACAGATAGAGCGGATCCACCGTGCCAATCGCGATGCTGATATTCGGACCCGTCTCGTTGCGCCAGTACAATCTGGTCCCACACTCGCCACAGAAGCCACGCGCCCTGCCTTCTGTGCAATAGTAGTTCTTCAGGGTTTCTGTCGGCGTGGTCCAAGTGAAGGACGAGTAGGGCACCTTGTGGTACATGAAGAAAAGAGAAGACGTGCTCTTCCTGCACTGCGTGCATTGACACGTGCCGCTCTAAAGTCTCGTCAGTGACGGGGAAGCAGTTGAGGGGCGAGAAAGGCTTAGACAGCAACAAGTCATACACTGTCTCCGAAATCATGGTCCTTGGGGAAATCGATCCTGTATCCGAGCTTTCCGCAGAGACAGCCTCCCGTGATGCTCTTGGGGAGCGGTCCCAGATAGAAGCCCGAGTCAGGGTCGTATGCCATTATTTGAACACCACTGCCACTGCAGATTGTGATGCCTGTGATGCTTGTCAAGTTCCTTGCCTGGATCGAATATCGAATCAACCGATAACCAATGGAGCAACCTGGATTGAGGTCTGTTTGGAGTCTTTGGACTTGGGAGTGACCGTCAGGGAGTCATCTCTTGGCTTTATATCATTCTGTAAGCGCTAGCATTTCTCGGCGCAAGGTCCTGGATCCTAACCCATGATCTATCAGTGGTTCAACGCCTTTGCACCTGCAACGTTGCGTCAGAGCGGAACCTGCAGGCATCTAAGGCAAGTAAATGCTCCTGTCTCTACTAGGAAGGTGAGAGTGATTGACCCGTTCCAAGCCCGCAGCATGATGGCGACGTACGGTACTCCGTAATCTCGGGGCTTTTTGATGCCGGCGCCGGGGCGTGCAATACCTGGTGAGGACATAGGAATAACGTCAACAGGTGAAGACGCTATACCAATGTTTCCTGGCGAACCGCTAAAGAGGTTTGTGGGTTTGTGTCCGCCTGGTACTAGCCAAACATCAGCTATCCCAAACAAAGCATGAATAAGCCGCACCTAATCCCCCAAACTTATCGCGATGAGTTCTTCCGAAGTATTCTAGTCTAGAGTACAGTACACGGACGAGTCTCTGACCTCTAATCTGTATTATGGCCAACATGTCGACACGAAGAATCTCCCTCCTTTAGCGAACAACCAAAGCGCAGCAATCCCTATCGGCCCAGCCACCCACAGAACGCCCCTACTTTCAGCAAAGCCAGAGCCAAGTGCTGTCTACCTTGGTAAACCCTCGACATTTTCTCCACTTAGACACACATTCCCGCAGGCGAATAAGTGTGCAACAGCCAAATCAGCAAGCCCTTCAGAGCGCCTCAATAGCACGAAGCAAGACCTCAATCCCTCGTTCATCGACTTCGCACTCGCGATCTTCTCCTTCCCTTTCCTCCAAACCGCAGCGTAGTAGACTGGCGACATCACTCAGCACACCCAAGGGGATATAGCATCCCGTTTTCGCCCTCTCCAGACTCTCCTTTAGACGACTGGTATGCTCCCACTCCTTGGCCGCGACCTCGGCCCGTTCAATCACCCTCGAAGGAATACCGCACATCGCTGCACAGTGCATACCGAACGACCCCTCCGCAACGCCGTCTTCCAGCCGATAAAGAAAGGTAACCCGCTTTTCAGCATCGTCCACATGAATCTGCATGCGGCGCGGCCTTATCTCTGGGTGGTTCTCAAACTCGGTCGCCAAACTGTGATAGTGCGTAGCAAAGAAGCCGACACAGCCAATGTGGGACGCGACGTGGTGTAGGACGGCCTGGGCAACGGCGACGCCGTCGTACGACGAGGTGCCACGCCCGAGTTCGTCGAGGATAACGAGCGAGCGCGGCGTCGCTTCCGAGAGTATCTTCTTCGTCTCGGAGAGCTCGACAAAGAAGGTGCTCTGGGCGGCAAAGATGTTGTCGTTGGCCCCGAGGCGCGACATGATCCGGTCGACCGGGGTCAGGCGAGCTGAGGCGGCGGGCACGTAGCACCCTATCTGGGCCATTATCACTGCGATACAAGACTGGGGGGAGGCGTTAGCCAACAGGGGAATAATGGAGGGGAAGCTGCAAAAGAGCAGACTCACCATTCGAAGGATTGTCGACTTCCCCGCTGCGTTTGCGCCTGTGAGCAGGTTGATCTTCGCTTCGTCGCCGCCGAGGTTGATGTCGTTAGGGATGAAGTCAGCAACGGTGTTGACCATGCAAGGATGGCGGAGCTCCTTGAACTGCACCACGCTCCGCTCATCGTCCAGAAATACCGGGCGGCAACTGGGCACGCCCAGAGCAGAGGACGACTTGGCCAGGCTAATGAGGCAGTCCAGCTGCGATATGATGCGAATCGCCTGAAGCCAAACCTCGTAGTCAACGTCAAACCGCTTGAAGAACCTTGAAGCCACCTCCTTCTTGATTTGAGAATGAATCTCCTCTGCCTCTTGGAGCTCCCGCACTAGGTTCTCAAGGTCCTTAAAGTAGTAGCGTTTGACGGCTGCGGTCGCAGACATCTGGCGCCAGCTCGCAGGCACCTTGACGTTCTTGGGCACCTCAATCTGGTAGATCTCTTTGCCCACGTCTGTGAACTTGAGTGTCTTACACCTTAGCGCCGACTTTTGTTTCTCGAGCAATGAATGTAGTTCGTCCTTGATCCGCTCGAGCTCGTCTTGGCTGCTATCAAAGTCCTCTTCGATGCCCTTCTCGGGAACCAGCACCCTCTCATCGCGAGCTTTCTTCCTGTCGAACGCTGTCTCCCAGTAACTCAAAGGCTCCTTGAGATTAGGCATCGCCGCGATGAGCCTGTCCACTAGCCCGTTGCCGCCGCCGAACGCACCGAGAAGGCCCATTGTGTAGTCGATTTGTTCAAATCCTTCGAGGACCCGGACAAAGTCATCGGGCCTGCAAGCGCCAGCGTGGATACGGGAGATTAGCCGCTCGAGATCGGGCATCTTTGCCATCTGGGATGAGAACTGCTGGAGAATGCCCCTGTCCGCATTCAGCATGTCCACCGCATCAAGCCTCTCGTTAATCTTCTGGACATTGCACAGAGGGTGGCACACCCATTGCCGGAAGAGGCGCTTCCCAAACGGCGTCATGCACCTGTTGAGAAGACTGAAGAGTGTGCCCTCAGGGCCGCCGTTGGCAGAGTTGGCGAAAATTTCCAGGTTGATGAGGGTTTGGCCGTCCAGAATCAGTGTGCCATTCCGATGAATAGGGTTGTACCGCTCAAAGTTTCCTTGGGACAAAAGGTTCTGGTCTAGCTTGAGGACACGGAGGTAATGGGTCAGCCCTCCCAGGGCGGACATGGCTAGGTCCTTTTCCTTGACTTCTTTGAGCTTTTCTGGCCAGGACTCTTCTCCACCTTCCCGCTTGAAATAGTCGCTGCAATCCAGTTCACGCCTTGTGCGGTCGGCATCCCAGAACTCGGTTCCCGGCTTTAGGTAGTTCCAGATAGTAGTAGGTCCGGTGTTGTTCTTCAAGATACGCAGGGCCTTGGTTGACAGACGTGATTTCTCCAAAAGCAACTCGCGAGGTGATGTCTGCGCGACGAACGTCTCAAACTTTGTCAAATCGACATCGTCCTCGAACTCGGAGATGAAGAACTGGCCGGTAGCTGCGTCGACAAAGGCAATGCCAAATGCGGGCTTGCCATCCACAACAGACTCTTTGACGGCTGCACAATACGTGGCCATGTCGTCCTGCAGCATGCTCCCGTCAACAAGGGTACCGCCGGTCAGAATGCATGTGAGTTCCCTGCGGATGATCTTGTCGGCCTTGCTCGCCTTGCTGTCACGCTCGCGCATCTCTTTTCCCAGTGCGGACTCCATCTGGTCAACCCGAGCGACTTTGAAGCCCTTGGCCACGAACTGGTTGACCCACATGTCCAGCGAAGACTCCGGGACGCCAACCATCCGCATATTGACGCGGTCGGTGAGCTTGAGGTCGAACAGCTGATGTCCAATTGTTGCGTCGTTCTCGTACAGCTCGTAGAACTTGCCCTTTTTGAAGAAGACAACGGTATCCCAGAGGTTCCTTTTGATCTCCCAGTACTGCTTCTCAAAGGCAGAGAATCCTTTCCAAGCTGCCGGTGGGATATAGATGGAGCCTGGGTCGAAATCTGGGTGCCCAGGAGGGTTCTTATTGCCATCCAGGATGTTGGCCAGCCACGGATACCTCTCTTCAGGCTCCCTGGTGTGAGGCTTCGGCTTCGGCTTCGGGCCTGAGGGCTTCTTAGTAGGGTTGGGCGCCCGGGACGAAGGCTCGCTTGGCTGAACGTCATCCGGATTGTATTTCCACTTTTGGGCGGTCGAGGTTGACGGCGGAATGTCCTCCATCATCTCATCCTCGTCCGCTAGTGGGGAACGTGCATCATCTGGAGATGAGGAGACGTTTGACTTCTTGCGTGGGCCTGTTGATTGCGGGGCAGGCCGCTTTCTTTTCTTCGACCGGGAAGGCGCATCTGATTCATCGGAAACAACGAAATTATCTACATCATCTAAGAGAATTGTCAGCGAAGAATCACTTCAAAGTTATGGGCAACGCTTTACCATCGTCGGCTTCGTCAAAGTCGTTGGCCTGCGCCTCATAGTTGTCCTCGTCCTCCTCATCCGCGATTGCGGGACGGGAACGTCTTTGTCTGGCTTTCCTGGCATTCAAGACGGCAAAGACACCATCGTCGTCTTCATCGGATGACTCGGCGTAGTTTATGGCTTTTTTTGCCTACAGAATGGGCGTTAGACCGTGGAAGAAGAGGGGCGTGCTGGGAACTCTACCTTGCGCGACGGGCTGCTATGCAGGCTTGCTTTCTGCTTCTCCAGGATCTCAGCAGGTGAAGTCGACGATGGAAGGTTGACGCTAAGCACCTTGGCATTGCTCTCATCTCTGTTCTCCTGCGAGCTCGAGGGCTCAATTGCATCGCTGCTGGCAATGGGCGTGACGGTGGTGGTGCGTCTGGATATGAGCATCGAATTGGACCGAGTTGTCTCTTTCAAGCATTGTGAAGAGTCCCCATTTTGTTCCTTCTTGCTGTTGGGCGTTTGTTTGGTAGATGGCGAGGGGCTCGGCCCACCAGTATTCCCGGCGGCAGCTGTCCTAGAGAAGAAGCCGAGGATGCTCTGTTGCTTGCCCGTCGAGGGCGCCTGGCCGGCCTTTTTCGCTGCGGACGGCGTCCTCGCTGGAGTACGAGCCGCTGCGGTCGACTTTTCTCCCATTTTGTCAAAGTCTTGTTTGTTTGGGGGATATTGATGAGAAGACTGAATGATATGTAACTGAGGAAGAAGGGGGAGATCCGGGCCCTTCCTCTCTCTCTAAGTGGGACGCGAAGAAACGCGAGGTTCCAGGAAGTCGCGTCCGCGTTGAGCTAGTTTAGCGTTCATAGGCGCGCCCGCCCCAGACTAGCTTATGTACTGTACAGTACAGTACAATACAAGTATAGTACGATCGGAATGAAAAAGTTACCACTAGTACTCCGTAATTACCCAGGTCTCATTTACAGCGCGCCCAGTCCGAAACGGTCGTTAAACAGGCCTAACGTTACATTTCGTGAAGCTCTCAATTCCGAAACCAGGAACCTCAAGCTGGTATCCATTGATTTCGCAATAATACACGAAAGTAGTTTCACCAGAACCAAAGAAATGAAGGGTTACCGTCTAACTCAGGATTTCACCCGACAGTGATTCCGCACATCTGTACTGTATACATACCATACAAGGTGGGCCGTTTTCAGGAGGCCAAGATGCGGGGCGTGTACGGTACCCAACATGGTCCCCAACTCACCAATGTAAGCAGGAGGTGCAATGTGCAGAAGGGAGTGAAGCCTAGAGTGAAGTCGTTCCGGCCATGAAATGAGTATGTACATAGCTAATTTCACCATGTGTGATATCTTAACGGCAATAGCACGTGGCAATGGCACGCCTGAAAGCCGAGCCAACCACGGGAGCACGGCAAGTCAACGGGCAAGAGCACTCCAATGGATGTCACGCTTTTCTACCTCGGGGGTTTACGCACCATGGGAGTCAGCAGAAATCAACGAAGCCGCTCAAACCGAAACCTGCTATAAATGTGCCTTAGCAGTCACGGCAAGATAATGCAGTCTCGATGATCTCTCATCACCACTACCTGGCGTGAGCGGACAGAGCGCCCCGGCCTGGGCTCCGACACGAGGGATCCGCTTCTCCGCTGCTCCGTGACTAAATTCGCGACGACGGCTGCGAGGCGCTGATGCTAGATAGGCAAAATACCTCCGAGGCTACCCAGTTTGGTCAAATATCGATTGGTAGTGGCCAAGGCGGGAGAAACGGCAAGCTTTCACAGGGCACGGTTAAATCCTCTTGTGGACGACACCAGCATTCCACAGCGGCGTTGGCCCAGCCGGCAGCGATGGGAATTGGGATATATGTAACACCCTAGTATGCGGACCCTGTGATGCCGATGTCGAGTTCAACCTCGACCAAAAAAGCTTTTGGAGCTGCTAAAACCGGTCGAGTTGTTTCAAAAGCGGGCAGCAATGCCTTGGTTTCGCCTCGCCCTCGGTGTCGACGGTATTCTGTGTCGACTATCAGTCCCTGGCACCTGCAGCAGGCACAAAAGGGGGGTTATTGGGGGGCTTTTTCTAGGCGCTCGCTTCCACCTGGCAGCCCTGTCATGGTCAGCTGCCACCTGCCCGAGCGCCATTGCGTATTCAAGTTTCCTCTCCAGCACACGGCAAAGCTCCCCGCAAACATAACGCAAAAAGGCGGGGATTGTGATTGAGTGGCTGCGAAAAGGGCACAACCTAACGGGTGCGCGCCTGCGCAATGGATGTCGACTCCAAGGATCGGGCCGAGGCTGCTGCGCCTGCAGCTGAGGGCGTTCGCGACTCGCCTAGGGATCAGAACAGCCGCAGGGCAGCCGCTTGCCTGGTGTGTAGGCGGTCCAAGATCAAATGTGAGAAGGGCCGCGCTCAGAATGACGACCGCTGTCATCGCTGCCTCCAATTGGGTGTCCAGTGCGTCCGGCCCGACTTTCACGTTGGCCGCCGCAAAGGTGTCAAAAAGTCAGATCCTACAACTCCCTTCTTTAACCACCGAACGGAGCCCATTGCTAACCCTGCTCGCAGCAAGCGCACAGGGTTGGAAAAGGCGTTGCATCAGGTGGAGCAGGCCCTACGACGGACCGGGGGAAGCGGGCATGGCACCGACGGCGCCAAACTCGTCTCGGAGCTCAAGGCCCTGCTCGGGTCCGCGCCGAATGGCGGTCTAGCGGCAGCCAATCGCGACCAGTCCGGCGCCGGGACTGCCGAGCCCCGGCGGGCCTCAAAGCAGAGCGACATCCTGCTGCCCGATGTGTCCTCGGACGCCGGCGATAGCTCTGCGTCTGATCAAGACATCATCAGTATGCCGCAGGAGTCAACGCCTTCCCAGGGCCATGTTGCCGAGGAAAGCCTTGCCGTCGACGATGCCGAGAATCCGCTCCAGCTTCTGGCCCGAGCTTCCGACCTGCATGTTTCACCCAAAGCGGGAAACGACTCCCTGGCCACTGAGTCCGTGGCGCCCCAACGATCCCGCCAGAGCAAGCAGAACGAGAACATATCAGAAGTAGAAAAGTTCTTCAGATTCACCCAATTCAGCCTCGACATTGGGCCCGATCTAGATCCAATCGATCTGGGGCTGATGACACTCGAAGAAGCTGACACCCTCTTCGCCTTGTGAGTATCATATTATGTTATGACCCCCTCCCCTGGCCAAGCCTGACCGCATCAAAGCTTCCATCACAGCCTCGCCCATACCCGCTGGGGTCTTGACCCTGTCCTCTACACGGCCGCCTTCACGCGGTCACGCTCCGCCTTCCTCTTCACCTCGATCGCGGCCGCTGCTGCACTCTTCATGCCGACAGCAGCCGCGCTCTCGCGGCGCCTCTCCAACCACTGCAAGACACTCGTCAATCGCATCATGGTGGACCGCTACCGCTCCGTCGAGATAGTACTCGCTTTCATGGTTAATGTCCCCTGGATGTTCCCCGGTAAGCACAGCACAGACGACGAGACGTGTTGGTATGTCTCCATGGCCAGTACCATGGCGCTCGACCTGTCGCTGCACAAGATTCTGGTGCCGGTCGCTTCGCTTAGGGACGGCCCCGGACATAGGAACGGCCCTCCTAGCGGCGGTGGGATTGCCCGCGCAGATTGTATTGATCCCAAGGTGGCCTTGTCCCTGGACGGATTTGGCGACGTGGATCCCACCTCAGAACTTGGGCTGAGATTGTTGAGGAGACGGGAGAGATGCTGGATTGCATTGTTTGTGTTAGAACGAGGGTATGCGCTCCTTAGGTTTCGCGCCCTGGAGGGAAGTAGTGAGCTGACATTGATTCAGAATGTGCTTGGCACGCGGGCGCGCTTATACCGTCCCTGTCACCCCTATTCTAAGGGGTTGCGATCAGTGGCATTTGTCCAACATTGCCGATACCATGGACGGACATCTGGTATCTATGGCAGTGTTAAGAAGGGACTTGGTAGGTTAGTGGGCAGAAGGTGTGATACAGACTTCTGACCAAGTTCAGGACGACCTCTTCGCCTCCATCCGGGCGCTCTGCGACAGATCCATAGACGGCCGAGCAGACGGCTCTATCGTTGCCGGGACGTACGTATTGGTTTACCATCCGCTTCCCTAGTCTTCTCTAACGCGCATCGCAGAATCCAGATGACTGTGGAGAAATTCTTTGACGAATGGCATGCGAAATGGGGCATCTCCATTGGCAGCGGCCCTCGTAAGTCCAGCCCATTTTGAGAGAGAATAGGGGCCAGCAGGATTGACCCGGGTCAGAGCATCGACTACCACCGTACGTGCAAATTCTTGTCACGCACACACGCCTGTCGATCTACAGTAGCGTCATCAACCACCCAACCGCCCCGACCGAGGTGCGCCACTTCTTTCACGCCGCAGGCCTGTCTTCGGCACTCAACGTCATGCGCGCGGCGATTCAGGGCGAGGGTCAACTCTCAAGCATGCCAAATAACACGGCAATCATGATATCGTTTGCAGCCTGCTTTGCCCTGCGGCTAAGCGGCCAGTTCGCGGGCAGCTCTAACCTAGCACCCAGTGTCCGAACGCTGATCGAAGAAACCGCAGAGGTCTTGGAGCGCATCGGGTCAGCCACAGAGCACCGCAATGGTATGTCGACGTTATACGGCAAGTATCTAAAGTACATCGTCAAAAAGGCGGCAGCGTTGCTGCCTTCGTCTACAGAGACCGCTCCAAGATCCCGCGGAGGGGCGAAACCAGGCCTCTCGCAACCATCAGCCACACCTAGTTATTCCCGAAATAACAACTCCCGAGCCAGCTTCGGCATGGCAGACGCAATCCCCACAAACCCATCTGGATCCGGTTTTCTGGAGCCGCGTCTCTGGTCAGAGCCGATCCAGTTTTCATCCATGTCCGACGATCAGATTGTCGAAGCCCTCAGCAGGGTTAACAACGAGTTTGACCCGGCTTTGAGCATGTATCCCTGGGACGACGCTGCCGCACTGGACTGGCTCAATTGGTCCAATCTACCCGAGTTTGGCACTTGAATCTAGAACCCGGATGTCACACCGTCGCACGTGCTGGAGACGAGGCAGAAATGTTTACGAGTTGCTGCAGCTTTTCCATGAATACAAATGTCAATACGGTGTGTGGTCTGTCTCCCAGTCAGCCGATCATCGCGATGAGGGAAAAGAAGCCGGCGTACGTCAGTCTGAGCCAAGCGGGCGTCCACCCTTTCATGAGGAATCCGGGTCCTTCTTTGCTCAGTCCATCACGGACGACGTGCAGCACCTACAAGAAGGCCCAAGAACCAGATTAGCAGGGAAAATTGACCACTTTGAGGGGTCACATACACTTGATCCCTTGGACGCGCTTTGTATCCTACTCTTGAGGACGTCAGCCGGCGCGCAGGCCGTCGTGGCTACTGTTCCAGCAAAGAGCGAAGCCAGCGCGTGGGTTCGGATGTCGTCGCGGAGCTGGGTGCGCGACAGGAGGATTCGCTTCGCCGCAGAGTAACTGTAGCAACAGGTCAGTTCCAAACCTGGCCACTTTGCGCAAGCCAGGAGTCGGTGTCCACTTACGGCGCAATCTGCGAGATGTCTATCCACAGCATTGATGAGCTCTCTCTCTTGTTGCGTCTCACTCTGGGGTTTCTTACTCATGAGCACACTTCTGACAACGTTGGCAGACAGCCCCCTCCCGAAAACCCTCAATCCTTCTTCCTCGGTGATTCGACACAAGGCGGTTATGGCGTCTGAGTAACGGAATCGCTCTGCACTCGGTTTAGCCGCATCGGCACACATCCGGACGAGGACGACCTGGTTCAAACGGTCAGCGCATTCGAGAAGGACATCCCGTACGCGCATAGCAAGCTCACCTCTGTCGGATTCCCAACCATACCCGCCAACCCTCCCGCTACGCCGGCGCAAACTATGGTAGAAGTGGTGGACAACTTGGGGTTTCCCGTCCTTTGTTGTAGTTGACGAGAGAGAATGCTGTACAGACCGAATCTGGCGGTCGAGTATGTGGATTGTCGGAGAATCGAGGCGGAGAGACCAGACCAGAGGGAGATGATGCCTACCGGTGGCAACAACAGCAGGTTAGCTGGTTAACCGCTGTCGAGGGCAGTTTCCCTTGAGTTTATTGGCCTTACCGTCTCGTGTGGCGAACTTGTATAGAGTCGAAAGCATGGGTGCGCGTGTCTGGAGCACTTGCATTCGGCTAGGTGGTGTCAGTCTCGGGGCGCGTCTGACGGTTTCGCATCATACTGACGTACTATTTCGTGAGATCTAACGGGTGTGCTGGAGCAAATATGTTAGGAACATGGCATGTTCTGTGGATATTATGCTCGGCATTCTTCTGCCGCTGGAGATCGGAGCAGAGGTATCAACTTACTGAAGCACACTGCCATGGACGCCGCTGCTCCGCTGCAGGACGATTTCGGCGACCGTCAGAACAGGAACTGCAACAGGAGCCCAGGCAGAGAACTCACCCAAGCCAAAACGGCTGCTTGGATTGCTTCTGTCCGGCCATTGCCCTGACCAGTCCCTGTTTGCGCAGAGGGCAAGGCGATCTTCACCAACAGAACTTTTGGATAGGGATAGCGTTAAAGTATTACTGTCAATGTATTATGCATTGCACGCATCCACATCTGCCACAGATAGATTACAAGCGACCCCCAAAGTGAATCTCCAGTAACCCGGGGAATCAGAACCCTAAATGCCTTGTATACCTAGGTAGGCTCGCGATAGGCGATAGCTCCCCATATCTGGTCACCGCTCGACCCTGCCGGAGCCGCAGGAGAAGAATATGGCCGAAGAGTAGCTGGGGCCGCAACATGCGGGACGATATAACCGTTCCAGCGGGTCCGCAGCTACTTGTAAGCACATGCACGTGCAGGTATCCGGCGTATTGAATACTGGGCTGCCAGGAGCTAGATACCAAAGTTGTTGGTTGATTTTCCGTCACTCACCCAAACTCAGGGGGGGCGCAACTTGGAAACGTTGTAGAAAACCAGCCATGGCCGTCTTGGAGAGATACAGTCCTGAGTTAGCGCCGGTATAAGTACTGAAGCAGTACCTAGGCAATTATAGGCTCTTGTGCTCTTAATCCCCTAACATGATCCAAATCACGCCCGATCTTAGCAAACTCCAATGTGTTTGAGAGACAGATCGCGGGCGCCACCCCTGACAGCGGAGGCCGGAGGTTGGGGTACTTTGATGGGGCACCAACAGCCCACTTCCTCGGTTGAATTTCTAGCGCCGATGTTGCCCCGTCGGGCCTGTTTACCCCACTGACAAGGAGGCGTTGTGCGGGATTGGACAGGGGCAGCTCAGGAGGGTTACAGAGGGGTCCTCTCGCGTGCCGATCCTGATGAACACCGATCTCAATTGCAAGATGATGTGATCTCATGCTGTTCTGCCGGCGACGCAGACCAATTGAAGACAAGGCAGCTAGGCCTGATGTGATTTTTACTGTCTTCAACATTCTTCTCTTCTACCTTCTTGTGATGTGAATTGGAATAAATCGCTGTCGTCGGAGAGGAAAAGAATTATTGGTAGAGGCAGAAAAGGAGAAACGAGACATGTCCAAACTGTCGCCCTCGCTCAAGGCGCTCATCAACGCGCCCTTCGCTCGCCCCGGCCAAGCACCGGCCCCACGACACATCCGTGACATCTACACCCGCATTGCGCGCGAGGCAAGAGAGCGGCAATATGGCGAGCGTCCGTGGGTGACGCTCTCAGTGAGTCTTCCCCTTCACCCAACCCTCCAATCGTGAAAAGCATACCTCTAACCACCCCTTGATGGAACCAAAATAAAAAAAAAAGGCAGCAGCAACTTTTACCCTCAACTCACCCGAGTCCCTCCTCAACCTCCACCAAATCGCCTCCTCCTCCTCCTCCTCCTCCTCCTCCTCCAACCCTTCTCTAACCCCATTATCAACCGCCGAACTGATCCGGGAAATCGGTCTAAAATGCATCTCCTTCAACGGCATCCCACGGACCATCAACTGCCTAGGCGCCTTCAAGGCCGGGATCGCGGCTGAGCCCTGGGCGGCCGACCTCGCGACGACCTCATCACGGGAACTGACGCCGGACAACCTGCCCGCCGTCGCCCGCCGGGGGCGCGAGCTCTGGCGGAGCATCTACACGCCGTTTGACGAGAAGCTCGAGGCCAAGCTGGCCGAGTCGCACCCGGACCTGCCCGTGCACATCCTGGGCAGCCACTACGGCCCGCTGCTGGGCGATCCCGAAGGAGGAGCAGCGGGAGATCGTAAGGGGCTGGCCAGCGTCGGCAGGAACCTGACGAGCGTCGTGGCCATTGCCTGCTTGCGCGCCCAGACCGGGGTCGGGCCGCAGGTTCTGTCTCATGTGTTTGGGTTGCGGAAGGGGGTTGAGCAGGGGACGCATTGGCACGAGTTCGGTTCGGAAAAGGGTGAGGCGGAGGGGGTGGAGAGGTTGGCGACGGACGAGGGGTGCGAGTGGCTCCTGAGGAGTGTGGACGACATTGCCGCGGCGATTGGGGGGGGTTTTGCCAGCTGGGAAGGGAAGAGGGAGGCGAAGTTGTAGATGAGGCGATACGTAAGGTCAGGGGTTGGTGTAAATGTCGTACTATTATGTACATAGATGCTAATAGAAGTAGGTAGGTATGCAGCAGAAGGCCAAAGTCTATATGGTAAATCCCGCTTATTCCATCATCTTCAAGTCCTCGGCCACTGCAAACGTGGCATCTGTCTTGCTCCTTACTTCCTCCACATCTACTCCCGGCGCGACCTCGGTAAGTGTCAGGGTCCCGCGTTTGCGATCGACTTGGAAAACGCACTGTAGATCATGAATTGTCAGCCCATCTCTTCTTGGCACCCGGCCCTGGATCAGGGAGGGTCACGTACCAAGTCGGTGATGATGGTGCTCACTACCCTTGCCCCTGTCAGGGGCAGGCTGCAGTTTTGCACAATCTTGGATGTCCCGTCCTTGGCAACATGCTCCGTCGCTACGACGATCTTGGTGTTATCCGGATTCGACACAAGGTCCATCGCGCCGCCCATGCCCTTGAACACTTTCCCGGGGATCATGTAGTTGGCCAGGTCGCCTGCCGCGCTGACTTGCAGCGCTCCTAGAATGGACACATCGACATGGCCACCCCGGATCATGGCGAAGGATTCGGACGAGTCAAATGTCGATGCCCCAGGAATGAGCGTCGTGGTTTCTTTGCCAGCGTTGATGATGTCCCTGTTAAATACTGACAGTTAGAGTTTGCACAGGTAGCAACTTCGAGAAAAGAGAATCTCACGGGTCGACTTGGTCAGGAAGTGGGTAGTCGCCCATCCCGAGAATCCCGTTTTCGGATTGGATCCAGACATGCTGCCCGGGTGGCAGGAACGAGGGGGCTAGTGTGGGAATTCCTGGGGAGAGAGGAAAGAGTCAGCCTGGCATGCTTGTCTCCTCCAAGACAACCTTGCTTCACGTCCAACTCACCAACTCCCAGATTAACATAAAAACCGTCTTTCAACTCCTTGGCTGCACGCTTCGCAATTCGGTCCCTTCGTAACTGCGCATCCCCCTTAGTAGATTTTGAGCCGTCACCTTTCTCAGCCGACCGCGTCTTTAGAATCTCAACTAGCGGTGCTTCTGTCGCCGGCACGATCCGGTCGATGAAGATTCCCGGCAGATCGACATCGTTGGGGTCGATTTCTCCCACCTCAACGATATTCTCGGCCTCGACAATGGACAGCTTGGCTGCCTTCGCCATCAGCGGCGCGAATGACTTGGCGGTATATCTGGACTGGTTTAGCAGTGAGCCAGACAAGGCAATCAAGTAGCTGCTTACCGGAACACGCAGTTTCCTGCCTTGTCCACCTTCCAGGCACGGAGAATGGCGACATCACCAGGCAGCGCCGTCTCCATGAGGAAGGGTTTACCGTTGAATATCCTCGTTTCTCGAGGCTTTCCGTACTCTACCACGTTCCCATTCGCGTCGAACCGAGCAGGGATTGCGCCGTCTTGGACAAGAGTATCTATGGTTCTCGTCAGAATTCGTTCTCCAGACGACGGTGACAGCTAGGGAAGCTTACGCCCGCCAGTAGGGGTAAAAAACGCGGGGATGCCGCTCCCTGCAGCTCGTATCCTCTCCGCAAGTGTTCCCTGAGGACAAAGCTCCACGGCAATCTTGCCAGTCAGGTACTGCCGCTCCAAGATTTTGTTAGAGCCCAAGTATGACATGATCATGCGGTCGACCTGGCCATTCTCCGTCAGGAGAGCTAACCCGCCGCGTCCTTCAGCCCCCGCATTGTTGGACACAGCAGTGAGTGAGTGGAGCGACTCGGGGCCCCGTCGGCGGAGTGCTGCAATCAGTGTAGCTGTTAAGGGCGTGTCAGTCCAGTGTAATTCTCCAGAGAAAGCCACACGGAAACTCGTTTGAGAGCTTACATGCGACACCACAGAGACCAAATCCGGAACTCAAAAGCACAGAACCGCTCTTGATGTCGGCCACGGCGTCGTCGGCACTTTCCCAGAGCTTCGAGCGCCCCCGATTGACTTCGGGCGTCGAGGCTGACCTCCAATTCCTTGACGATGAGAAGCTCCGACTGCCAGGGACTTCTAACCAGAATTGTGTCGAGACCCTCAGGGTCCTCGATGCACTGCTCACACCAACGCTCTGCCGGACACATGACTGCCTCCTCAGAACAGGCGCCGTCCGCCGCAACACGCGCGCCACGCCAGCCATCTTCTAAGAATCACAATAGAGTTCAGGTTGCCTCAAGTCACAGAGCACCATGCAATTGGAAAGATGCTTCTCGCTGTCCTTACAGCGCCAATTAGGGAATGCACGTGGCTTCATGCCTATCCGTATCTACAACGGTCCTAGTTCTGCCGCCGAGGTTGATGAGCGCCAAGACTTCTATACGTCACTGAGGAGCTCCCCTGCCGGCATCCAGATCTTGGCTCCGGCCATGCGTCGATCAGCCGAGCGCGGCACCAGCTTCGGCAAGCGGCAGACATCCACAGTTTCGGGATCGATTTTGTGGCTGCTGCACGCCTGCAGGTTTGCTTGACAGCATGTGAATACTCCAGAACGTTTGCCAAGAGAACCTGCAGAGTCCGTTCCGCGACCTCTTCTGGGGTCCAGGAGATCAGCGTCAGGTATCTGTACCTAGGGTAAAAATATAAGATCAAGGTGGTCATAAAAGAAACTTCAAAAATGAAGCTAACATGATCCGATCCAGGTTCGAACTGGAGACCTTCAGTGTGTTAGACTGACGTGATAACCAACTACACCATCGGACCCTGTTGGTGGACTGTAGAGCACAAACTGCTCTAAGATTGCTCCACTTGGAAGCGTGGATCTACTGTGGGTGGCGACGGCGTCAAAGGCCTTGCCCTGTGTACTGTGTGAAGCCATTCCGTTTCCTCAATACATGTTCATCGCAAAGGCTGTTCTTTTCTTCAGATGAACCTATGTACGGGTACTATACTGTGCAATGTCAACTTTCCTACCTATGATCATCTCCGTATTGTTGATACCAGCGGTCCTGGCTCTACATTTCTGGCTGTCTACGAAGTATTCTAGTCTTTTTCAGGACACGGTCCGATGATATCCACAGGCCCGCCGATGGCACGGGCCCGATGCGTCACCTTGTCTCGGCATCGGTCCGGGCCAAGGTGCCCCACCACGGCCGCCACTAACAAACCAATCGGTGGCATTCGCTAAAGCGGTCGAGGCGGCCACCGGCCCGCCAACAGCCAGATCAACCCATCTTCTTGGACCGCGACGCTGCAGAATTGCAACGGCCGCTGCACGGGGCCGCAAATTGACAGAGCCAGCCTACAGTAAAACTCTCATCCATCCTCATTAACACCGGTCAGAAACAATGTTCTTGTTTCGTTTGCGACTCGCTCGGCCAGGCTCCGGACGACGGTCGATGAGCTGCAACCAATTCCATGCAGCCGCCTATTGATAGTTGATAGAACGATCTTTTCCAATCACCTCTCCGTGGAATACTTATATCGCTTGATGATCGACGGAAAATCTTGCACATCATCCGCTCATTCTCTCATCAAGCAACCGGCTGAGCCTGCTCTGGTGCCCTCTGGGCAATATCTCTTGTCTTGGCCTGATCAATGTGATCATTACTATCCTTCGCCGGCTCCTGCCACTCCTACATTCCACTGTCTACACAATATACTCGTTTTATGCTACTGGGATTATCACCATCATCACTCCTTTCGGCCCCTGGCCAGGGAAAGGACAAAATTTTGACCCAGCAACTGGAAGTGCACGAGTCTCCAACCATGCCCTGCACATGCCCTGCACATGCCCTGCGACTTCCAACAGCCCGAAGAATTTCGACAAGCCCACTGTGGCCCTGCCCTAAGGCTTCAAGATCTTAGCGTGCATCGACCAGAACCTCAAATTCACGGCGCAGCTGAACGCGTCTTTCAACTCTTACTACCCAGAGAAGCAAGCCACAGCAATTCTTATGACCATCCAGAGCGTGAAGTGGCAAGGGAATATGGGCAATCTGCAAACCTCGGTTCCGGCGCTGGGATAGGTCCAATAAGTTGGCAGCATCGCCATCAACAGCAGGGCGAGTCCGGGCGACTGCAACAGCCACATATCCCGTTCCTGCTTCCATTCATTATCGTCCTTCTCTTTCTCTGCAAGAACCGGACTTGAACTCCCAGGCTCTCACTCATTCATTCCACAATCGTTACTCTCATACAACCCGTTGAGGTGGCAGGAACGCTCGACCTACACTAACTTCATTCCACGGTCATTACCACACTCCTGTTCCAGCTCGGCGTTGGCACCGGTGTACACATTCATTCTCATTTTGGGCAAGAAAATTTGGCGGCGTTTTCGTTCCAGTCAGCAACTTAACTCATTTTATATGCTCCCAACTAGTATAAGCGTTTGGTCGGTCCTTCATTCATCTTGTCTTGCTTATAGACAAGCATCTGGTTATTTCGTCGATTCCATTCACTTTCGGTCGTTTTAAAGCCACTCTCCAATTCCCAGTCTTCTCCAGTTCTCCTTCTCGTCTCGTCACTCCTTCCATCGGCACTGGGTTCGCCGCCGCTTTCCAGCCACCGTTTTGGGCAGTCTTTAAAGTTTAAGCTAGACTCTTTGCAGTCTTCTCACTCATTGATCGGCTCACTCGCTACTGGGCACAATCACAAACCACTCGCTTACACTTACCGTGGACCTCCTTCAACTGCCTACTCACTCATTTTCACGAACTCACTCGCTACGCTACAACAACACTCATTTATACCAACTGGTTCTTGCCAATTCACTCGCTTACAAACTCGCTCTCACGAATTCACTCGCTTACAATCGCTCAACGTACATCATTGCCAACTCACTCGCTTACTTCACTCGCTCTTAACTGTCTCGCTGCAAGCGCCACCCGGTTGGACATACCATTTGCTTACAACTTCCACTCCCTTAGAGCAACTCACTCGCTTACCGACAACTACCCCCTCGGTCATACCAACTCATTCTCATCCATTGCTCGCTCACAACTCTCCCGCTTGCCGCTACCCCTGGTTTACAACTTCCGCTCGCTTACAAAAACTCACTTGCTCCAACTACAACTACTCACTCGCTCAGTCCCAACACACTCGCTCAATCCAAAGTTGCTCGATCAGTCCAAAGCCATTCGCTCAATCCAAGCCACTCGCTCAACAACTACTCACTCATTCATGCCAACTCACTTGCAATCCAAACCCGCTCACTCAACAACAACGCACTCGTTCATATCAACCACTCCCTCGCTCACGCAAACTCAATCGCTTACAACTCTATATCTGCCTCGGGAGCCGCCTCTACCACTCATTCTGTCAGTCGTTCAACCTTCAACCACTGCCTCGACGGCGTGGAATACTCCAGTCTTTACTTGATCTTTCTACCGTCACTCCTTTACAGCCACTTTTCTCGGTGTCGATGTCTTCACCGATTATCGTTCCTTAGTCCCGTTGTTCTTTCGACGCCACCTTCTCTCAAGTCCTTCGCAAAAATACCACGTCCGCTTCAAGCGCCATAATATACCTCCCGCTCGTTTGATCCCGCTCGTTCCATCAAGCTTAAATCAAGCTTCCAACCACGTTCGCTGCGTTCTCATCTACAGTCCCCGGGTTGTCTCTTTCCAGCCAGGTCGCTGCTTGACGCGAGTTGTTCAGCATTCGAGTATTTCTTCGGCTTCCACAGTCATTCTTCGGACATTCTTTCGACATCTCTCAAGTTGATCCAGTTCTCTCGTTTCCAGTTTGGATCGCTACTCTCAGTTTCGACTTTTGAGGTCGTTCTTTCAACATATTTTAAGCTGATCTACTTCTTTTGTTTATCTCTTGGATCAAAAACTTTCGGTTTTGGCCTTTCGAGGTCTCGGTCGGGCCATTGGTTTGCGCGAGCAGCTGTTCGTCTGACTTCACCCTCGGTCTCTACTCTCGCTCCTTGATTGACTATATTATCTCTCGTTGCTCGGTCGATGACACATTTCTCTCACTTCGCTCTTCCATTCATCATCGGCAGCTACCACGCTCTCTTCACATCTTGAGTCACTCACTCGTTTTAGTTCGTCTTTGCACCAGCTTTCTGTCACTCATTCCCTTAAATCCTGGATGTGTTTCTTGCATTTCGCTCGTCAGCATCTATATGTCGCTCCTAGTCGTTTTCCTTTTCTTATCCTTCTTGCTCAGGCATTCAGCCTTTCTGTATGAATAGAGGTTGCATATGGTTAGGCATATTTTGCGTTTGTATCCATAGAAGTGGGATAAGATCCAGGACAGGAGTTTGGAGTTTGCGGGGGCAATGGTGGGCATACAAATATATCGTGATTCCCTTTCCAAGACTTTGTCATGCCTGAATCTCATTGCCTGTGACTCGTACATGAAGGAGTTGCCATGAGGGCCAGGCATGACTCCTGATAGCAAACCTTGCCACCGGGAGTGTTCAGGGGCTATCAGTGACTCGCATGCTGTGAACATGTCAAGAGGACATAACGCTCAAATTGACAGGGACTATTCAATTAATTGATACCGTAGGCCTTTAGGCCTGCAATCACCTCGTTTGACATAAAAGCTACCAGGGACGAGGATAGTATTAGTAGGGTCCTCAGGGCTGCAAGGCCATATGTGAGAGTTGCGCTTCTCGGCAGCCCATAACGATTTGCTCAATCCATTCGACTCGCCTCCGGCATGAGAGTGAGCTCTAGAGTCACCGGCGCGGTGATGACACCGGCAAAAAGTGACATTTCGCTCGTGGCTTGGCGTGTGGGGCGTTGGGCATTGTACCTGTGGGTCGGGAGTGCTGGGTTTTCAGGGGGAGGAAGGCGTACTCGGCGTGGTGAGAGCACACCCGGTGCCAGCACGCTGCCCTGGGCTGCGTTTTGTCACCGGCTTCGTAGTGATAGAGTAGACCAAAACTCTGCGAATTGATTGGTTCGGAGGGTAATCGGGGGCCTGCATTAGCGTAGTACATTGCGTCTTGGCAAACTCCCGGTGATGGCATTTTGTACTAGAAGTATCGGCTGGAATGGCTGCCCAAAAGGGAAACGCGTGGCCATAAATTTGTCGATGCGCCAGTTTTCGGTACTTTGGTCGGGTACCCTTGGCGCTCGGTGACAGCACACCACGCCTCTATAGCACACCCTGAATCTCGTATCCAAACCCCGGAACCGGAGCTAAGCCTGGCAAACTTTCGCTTCATCCAAGTAAGCTGATGCCGCCAGTGAAATCCATAAGGTACTTTTGATGCTGCTGCGGTGTTTAGCACTCTGTTCAGTGAAATACAGACAATATACCCGTCGTAACTCGACTATAATGGTGGAGGAACAGCGGATCCGTACAACATAAACCAGAACCCGTAAACAACAACCAGGCGATCAGAACGTTTAACTACAGAGTGGCTTCCAAAAACACGGGTATTTTGTTAAGCTAAACACCCGTAAATTGGCTGTAGAACACGAACCACCCTTAACAATCTCTTAAGGAATAAGCCCATTTCCCTGCAAAACCTCTAACGCTTATGTACCCTGTCGCTGTTAGTGTTTTCGAAGAAGTTTGATTGGATAAAAAAACTTGGTGGAACTGAATATCCTGAACGGTAAGCGTTGGATATCCTGAATGGTAAGGTCACTGTCAAATCGGCTATTTGTAGTAGTTGTGGTTAAAGAGTATAGTTTTCCAATTACAGTAGTAGGAAGATACTATACTCGGCTGTGGTTGGCTTGAAGAATCCACGGGCGAGCGTCAGCGAGCCAACGCCGCTCGTGTAAACAGACTGCCCTGGCCATCTTATAGGCAAGCAAGATCCGTAGATGTGTTGACTCAAGTTTAAAAGGGGCACAAGTGGCCAAGTGCTGCAACCACAGCGCCAAATAAAGCTCCAGCCCCATCAATGCAGCTCAGAATAGCAGGACAACGGAGCAAACCATCCTTCCAAAGGACAACAATGGGCGACGGATTAATGACGTCAAACGGTGGAGAATTATGCGAGCATTACTCTTGATGCCTTGTCCTGGCGGAATTCCGGCCCTTTACCTACCTTCCTTGCTCTAGGCGGATCGGTAAACCCTCACATGCCACGAGTAGGTCTCTGTCGATACAATGCCTAAGGTCTTTAAGCCAACGTCACGGTTTCCTGACCACAAGAGCCCGGGACAAATGCTTTTCCCTGTTTTAGTATACACCGGGCAGCTCAAGGTCGATAAGGCAGTAACATAGCCCAGCTGTAGTACTGAAACGATCAAACACGACTCGATAAAGCCTTGTATTTGAACCCAGATTCCAACTCCAAGAAACTAGCCAGAGCAAGAAGGTCAAAATGCAATCTAAGGACGGTACAATGGGAACTTGTATAGACGAATGCCTCCCCTCGATTCCATTGTCCCCTCAGGCGATGATGCGGTGTGGGCCAATGATGCTCGGGTTGGTGATCATACTCTGAGGGAAAGGACGGACCTTCGAGCCAGGGCGGTTCTTGTTGTTCTGGAGAGGCTTGTTCCTCCACTTGCCCTTGCCCCTCAGGCCGGCTCTTCCCTTGCGCTTCGGGTAGGGTGTGCCCTTCTTGCCCCTCAGGCCGGCCAGCTTGCCCTTACCCTTCTTGCCCTTCAAGCCGCCCAGCCGGCCCTTGCCCTTGCCGAACGACTTGAACTCTCTATTCCCTCCGAAAGGTGGGCCCGGTTGGAAGGGCCTCGAAAGGCCGGGATTGAACATCATTGGATCACGCGCCACAACTTTTTTGGGGCCAGTGGGCTTGACGGAGATCTTGCTCTTCTGCTTTGGGGACTGTGGTCGTGGAAAGCCCCCGGGCCCGAACTGGAGGCATTGCTCGCCAGGACATGGATCACGCGCCTCAAGTTCGTGGGAGTCCTAGGGCAGGTAGTCAGCTCGTTAACGTTCTGTGGTCCTCCGCCAGGTGAAAACGTGGCAGATGTGTAAGGTGGTCGCACCTCTACATCTCTTTCCTCGACATCTCCTTCCTCCGGCACAGGGGCAGCCAAAGCCGGCACGGCAGCAAGACCAGCGGCCATTGCCAACGCACCCTGGTTAAAACAACATCATGTCAGCCGTATCTCTGAGGTAATTTGCCTCGATGGCCTATGTTGAGTACATACAGCATGACGCAGACCGAGGGCTCCAGTGCCAGGTGCAGAGAATCCGGCAACGGCGGTAGTGGCGCAGAGCCCGCCGGCAAGGACTTGAACGATGGTTGGGGCGTGCATTTTGACTCGGGTTTGAAGGGCAGGCCGGCAGCGCTTATTTCAAGACAGTGGAAATCCGGGTAGGTAGACTCTTTATTACAAGGCTAAACGAGTGTAAGTTGAAACGAGAGAACGTAGAGCGGACCGGCCGCTTGGAGTAAAGAACGTGGTAAAAGGAGTGGAAAGGACCGGGAAGGCGCTGCCTGAAAAAGTAGTCGGTGCTGGTGAGGAAGGATAGATCGGCGAGGACTGGAAGAAGACGATCTATTTATCATGGGCTGCCAGTGGTAAGGAGACCATTACCCCGTCATCCTCCAGTCCCCCCACTAGGTCCTCGGCTTGGTCAGATTCTCGGCCTGCTACCTAACCTACCTCGCAACTGAGATGAATAAGTTGCTGGGGTGTCCTCAGGCTGCCTGTTTTGCATAGACCAGGAAGAAGGATCAGGTCTCTGTGGTGCAGTGCTGGTGCAGCTGACGCCTTCAAACAGGGGGCTGGGAATGTAGCTATGTTGGTTTCGCGCCGCTCTCGGAGGCCGGGGCCAATGGATGCGGCTACAAGAGAGCCGAATCTAGCTTCAATCTGCGAATTACGAGACCAACTACCGGTCGTAGCAAGGATAAGTTCTAGACCACCAGGCCGCCCCAAATCCGCCGGGCGTTGGGTGAGAGAAACCTGTGCTGCGCCGCCACCAGCGTGCATATGCTGATACCTTCAAGCTGGCCTCGTTGGACGAGCTGAGTCAGCGGACTATAAACCACTAACGGCCGCCCTTGATCAAGCGAGTTTGGAATTACCTGAAGAAGATTCAATGCCGGCCCGAGACCCTGTGCTGTGCAGGTGCTTCACTACTTGGTAAGGTAGGTACCTTATCCTTGAAGTTGGCTCATTTTGTTGGTCGCAGCCTGGGATCTGAGATCGACTCGGACTTCTGCCCTGCAATGGCAGATAAGCGAGCTGCAATAAAGCTTGTTTGACCTGTTTATAGACTTATCCTGTACTGTGACCCTCGCTGTGGTCATGGACGGAAAGAGCGAGTTCGGTTTCGGTTGGGAACTCGATGGAGACTTCAAAGTTCAATCTCAATATTCGAGCCGTGCCTGACCTCTTGTGTCCCGCTCGCTCCTGCCTCCAGGCACAACCGAGGCTTTTCTCGACTCACCCTTCCCAAAGTGAAAATTTCCCGTCGTTTCTCACCTGCCCGGTCTTGACCCGCCCGGGCAGGTAGAGAACTCGACGGCAGTGCTTCGGAGACGTGGCCAATCCAACCGCAACGTCTAACTTGTCTTGTACAGGATATAAATCTCCCCAACAGGCCCGTCACTCGCCACATACATCCTCGAGTGGTCCGGATGCCAAGTGATACCTGTCGGCCGCAGGCAGGTACTTGACGAGCAAGAGCCCTCGTTCTGCGTCCACAGGATATCCGAATACCCCTTGGGATTGTCCGCAGACGCTACGGGCTCATAGCTGCTGTTGTCAAGCTTGCGGAACGGAATCTGGATGATCTTGTAGCCCGCTGCGGGCTGGCGATTCCACGACCCATGCAGCGACACGTACAGGTTGGTGAAGTCCTCGTTAAACTTGCCGTCAATAGGTGCGCTGTGCGCCTGCATTGTCAGCCTCGGCGGTATCGACCGCTCGGCGCACGCTGCGTCATTAAATGTCGAGTTGGGCGAGATCATGAACTGGTCTCCGACTTTGAAAGACTTGTCGGGTATTCCTGAAGGGTTGCCAACCGTCCAGCACGTCGGGTAGCCATACCACTGCTCGTTGGACTTGGCCGGGTCACCCACTGGTAGTGAGTCAGCGATGAACGATTCTTTTCCAAACTCGAAGGGTGCTGATGCTCACAATAATTCAGCTCCTCGGCCGGATTGTCAATGTGCACGTCAACCGACGTGCCTCCCGTGTTCCGGGTAAGCTGGTCTCCGCTGTTCTCGACTCCCCAAACCCTATTTGACCAAATCAGTCAACAGTTTCAACCATGAAATCTACGAAGCGTTGGTGTACTGACATGTTATTGCCGTCGAATATGATGCCAACCTCATTCCGCAGGCCGTAGCCGAGATACCATCCCTGAGTGTTGTAAGTGTACCCGCCAGACGGCGTCTTTGACAGGTCAAACACCTTGACGATGGCTCGACTAGTCTCCTTCATGATTGCCGGCCCGTCAATATTGCCTTCGGACCCAAGGGACACAATCAGCAAGTTCGGATTATTTGGCGGAACAGCAAGCGTCCGCGCTTTATGACCTCTAGGGTTCATGCCCCTGACAACAACCGTCTGGCCCGTCGCCGTCATGGTTGTTGCGTCATAACTGTACGACCACGCCGTTGGCATGGCGCTGACGTACGCCGTTTTGCCGTCCGGGCTCAGCGCGAGCCCGTGGTTTAGCTGGACATTCTCGATCACCGTCTTGCTCGCGGTGATGCAGCCGTCGGCGCCGATTGTGTGTGCCGTGAGTCCCTTGCCGGCTTCGAGTACGAGCAGATGCCCCTCCGTGTCAAATAGGACGGTACGCGGTTTTGACAGGCCCGTGGCCAGCAGCGTGTACCTCCATCCCTCAGCGGCGGTGAGGCTGTAGCTCGACGTAGCTGTAACGCCAGGGCAGGAGCTTGGAATTGGTACAGCAGCCTGGAGAGGCTGGCCAGCCCCTTTAGCGAAGCCTATCACATTTTCAAGTCAACCAGCTGTTATGACAGTTTCGAAGGTACTGAGTCGTCATGCAGAGAAGGCATACCTGAGCAAAAGACGGCAGGTGCCGCGGCTAGAATTATTGCACACCAATACATCTCAACCGTGATCGAGTTTGTCTCGCCCTGCTCACCAAGTCTTCTCAGTCTTCTGAGACCTTGCGGCTTAAGTAGCACGGTCTTATCGGTAAGAACCTGTTGTAGTATTACTTGACGTAGGGGGTCAACATTACCCGTGGCCTCAACTTATCTGCCTCGTAAGTCATAATGCTGTCTTATCTTCACCTCCTCTGGATGAATGCGTATAGAGTTCGCTTGCGGAAAATTCGGTACTTGTCCATTTGGAGGGTTCAATACTAGTCGTACCCCAGTGCTTCAGGTCGCAACGCCGTGGTCAATCATAAACGATCCAATGCCGGTATCCCAGATCCTGGCCAAGCCGGATGATTTGCCGAGCACGGGATGCCATAGGTCGGGCCAGTTGTCTACCGGACTCTCCGCTACCTCACCGTATGCTACCAAATATGAAAGAGGAACCAGGTGGCTGGTTCCCGAGCAGTCCGGTAAGAATGCCTGTCGGGGAGCTAGGTAATTCAGGGTTCACCTTTCTATGAAGGAATGTACAGTCCAGCTGTATCCTTGGTGTGGCTGCGTAGCGTAACTCATTGAGGCTTTTCCATCTCATATTGGATCAGTTCCATTGCTTCCTTCGCGGTTTTGATCTCGCCTCGCCAGCAGGCATTGATAACCTGTCCGCAACGAACGGCTTGTACGTCTGGAAACATTAGCCGAGAATATCTAGTCTCAACCTCATCGTCAGGGAGGTCGTTGTAGGGCTGCTCGCCAGTCATGATCTCATAAATAGTGGAGCCGAGGGCGAACAGGTCGGTCCTGACGGTTGACGCGTCATCCCACGACCGTGGTAGACAGAATCTAGTGCCCTCGATGGCAGACCCCAATATTCCATCGAAGGATATGATCCCGAAAAATCGATGATCTTGAGACGGGAGTCGGAATCGAGCAGGAAATTTTCCGGCTTGACATCGCAGTGAATGATGCCATGAGAATGGAGGACGTGAAGGGCTTCGGCAGCGTCGTAAACCCATTGCAATTTCTGGGAAACGGTGATACTTGAGCTCAATTTCTTGATATGCTCTCGCAAGTTACCCCTTGGCATGTAGGGGAGGAAGAGCCCATCTTCGGGAGAGTATTTGATGACTTGTAGCAAGCGGTCGTGTCGCGGAAGCCTTTTGTATATTTGAAACTCGCGTTCTAGGTCCCGCAAACTTTGTTTTCGCGTCTCAACATTGGGATAGGCGCATTTTCTGACGTTCCCACAGGGCATGAGCTCTATCAGGCCGGTGCTTCCGCCAGACACCACGTTCTGTTGCTCAACCGCGGGCGTTAGCAAAGATGCGATTGTTGATGTGTCCTACCAGCTATCTCTGGTAGTTCATAACCTCATACTCAGATGGCAGCTTACGTTCCGGTTAATCATGTTTCGAAGGGCTGCGTGCAAAAGTCACGTTGCAACAGTGACACGTTGACTTGACAACCTGCAAGTTGAAGCGGTCAAGCAGCTTGCCAATGGTGAAGGCGCCAGCCTAGACCCACGTACAGGCGGAAAACTGCTGGTTAGGTATGTACAGTACAAGTGAAACTGGAGGTGTCCTCAAGCTTTACATAGGTATCTCATGACAATTGAACATTCGGCCCTCCCCATTCCCTCGCTGATCCAACAATGAAGACCCTCTATCTACATAGAACTCGACAGAACCACCCGCTAATAAATACTTCATCACATCATAGTCTAGTATCGACAATCGCCGTCTCTCTCATATGAACCACTTCCATACATATCAACGAGCCCCGCGCTTGCCAAACAACCAACATATCCTAACATCATAACATGCCCATCAAATCATGAAACCCCCTTCCTCCATACCAACGTCATCAATTACCCTTCCAACGGCCCCTGCCTCAAACATAGGCGCGATGGTGGGAATGCGAGCTCCTCCTGCTCCTGCTCCCGCCGCGGTGATGGCTGCTGTGCCTGCTGTGTCTGCTATGGCTCCTGCGGCGCTCAACCACGTAAGCACGCTCGCTCTTGGCGGCGCGGTCACCGTGGATCCAGGCGAGGGCCGAGGTGATGAAGAAGAAGATGCAGTTCATGATGCCCAGCGCAAAGCTGGCCTTGAGCATGCCGCACGTCTTGTCGAGGCTGACGTCGAGGCTGCCAATGCGGGCGCTGCCAAAGATGCCAAAGTCGATGTCGACCTGGGATCCCGCCGTCACGCTGGTGCAGTCGAGGTTGGAGACAAAACGCAGGTAGTAGACTCCCGCAATGAGGGCGCCCACAAAGGCCAGGTCGACCAGTCCGACAAACTGCGCGTGCGCCGACGACCGGTGGTAGCTGAAGAGGGTGAACATGGCCCACGCGAGCGCCAGCACCGACACGACAAAGAGCACCAGAATGTAAGAGGGTGTCACCATGTTCGCCTCCACGTAGCCGTTCACGAACCAGGCCAGCATACCCATTACGGGGATCTGTTGTGTGTGCGTGCAGCGGTTAGCTCGCGCTCGCCGCCGGTGATGTGAGGATGAGAATGCGGGGTGTGCACTGTACGCGGGCAACTTGAAAAGTGCCGCTCATCAGCGCTTGCGAACTTACCAAGGTGACGATCTCGGCGAAGCGCCAGAACGTGAATAAGATTGCGAACAACATCTTTGCAGTTTTGAACGCGATGCGCGCGTTGTATTTTTGTGTGGTATTTACTGAGTTCGACACTTATAAGCCTCCGTAGGCGATTCTTGTATCTTGTCGTACGCTTTGTCGTGGTGGTATGATATTCACCAAAATTGGGTTTTTGTCGCCGTGGACAACTGACTAATATACCTTGTCGCCGTCGAGTTTAGAAAGTTCAAACTTGGGCACGCTGGCAATGTGAGCGAACAATGCGCCCGACCGGGACAATCGGAACGGCTTTGGGTGCCTTACAAGTGAATGCCCGGAGTCTCGGATTTCGCGGTGAGAGAGTGCCACCAACCACGCTCGAGTTTTGACGGAGCAGTGGATTGAACGATCGAGATGCTTCCGTGTAGTACCCTCCTTCAGCGACCTCTGTGGCTTGGCTTCAGGTACACGTGGTGGGTCAGGCCACGCCTCACCACTGACTCTTGCTCAACGAAGGATGGCGCTTTTGATGTGCAGATAAGGGTGCTCTTCTTGCGTCTAGTGTAAGGCTGGATGCACAACACTTTAGTATGACGTCTGTCGTGATCGTCCGAATACCTAGTTGAGATCTACGGGATACTGCAGGTCCCGATGGAGCCAGCAGTGGAGAGGGGTTCTGTTGGCGCGGTAACAGGCCCAGGCACCAACTTCACCAAGTCTCCACCAAGGTGGAGCCGAATCCACGGCAAAAACGTGGCAGGCGATGTTCAGACGATCCGCAAATCGGGCAGATAGGAAACTTCCACCAGCGCAGCAACCATTCTTTCATCAAAGCAATATCCAGGGAGAACGCAGCATTTGTGCTTAGCAAACCGACGACTTGTATCGTTGCGATGATTGGGAGCAAACGACCAAGAAAATCAGAAGGCTGGCAGCCAATCATTGCTCACCCTGACTGCACAGTGCATGCTCACCGCGTTGCTCACCTGCCCCGCCATCACCTTAAAATCATCAAAATCCAGATGGCTGGCAGCAGTCGGCAACAAACAGAACTGACTTCCCAGAACCCTTTTAGATGACTAACTACTCGATACCTCATAGCATACCTATTATGAAGATAAGTACTTTTATGGCTAATCTGTACAAAAGAAGAGAGAGCAAACAGTACCATCCTCCACCAACCCCAATCATCAAGCCATCATCACGGCGCATGCTGGTCAATGACATCCAGATCATCAAAATCCCGAATAACCGGGCCTGGGCTTGGGCTGTGACTGTTAGATCCCGAGCCCGTGCCGGACCGACCGCCGTCACGATTGAACAGCGGCTGTGGCAATGGCAACGACCGGTCCGCCGCCCACGATCCACGAGCCGAGGGCCCTCGACTATCCTGTCCGAGTCCCGCTCTGCTACTGCGCTTAGAGTTTGACCCGCTCCGATCCTCCCGATCACCCCTGGTTCGCCTGTCCGGAACTTGTCCCTGACGATCCTGATCTCTATCCCATCCACTCTCCGTTCCTAACCGCACCGCGCTGTTGAACGCCGTGGCAAACCCCTCCCCTTCGTCATCATCCATCAGTTCGTCCAGAACCAGGAACGCGCTGCTACCCTGTCTATACCCGTTGTTGTTGTTGTGGTTGTTGTTATTCCAGTTCTGGCTGCTACTGCCGCCGCCGCCCATCTGCTGCTCGTAGCGTCCCGGCGGCGGCCTGGCATGCGCATGGGCATGATGAGCATGGTACTGCTCCTCCTCCTCGACAGGGTCGATATACCTCCTCCCTCCACCACCAACAGCAGGCGAGACCATGTGATGATGATGAGCGACGGCAGAGTTGCTGTTGTTTTCGCGTCCTGGCCGACGGCCGCGGTGTCTTGCCGGGACAGAGGGGAAAGGAGGCGAGGTGGGCGACATGGAGGAGGAGCAGTCGCTCTCGTGCGACGAGTATGCCGCTGACGCCGTCAGGCTGGTGGGTGCCGAGCTGCTGCTGGTGCTTGTGGCCGCCGTGTAGACGCTGCTGGCGGTGTGTGCGGTGCTCGTTGGAGTCGGCGGCAGTGCCGAGGTCGGGGCGCTGCCGGCGGCCGAGGGCGTCGTCCGGATGCTGCTGTTGCTCCGGTGCGCCGAGCGGCTTGTCGTGCTGATGCTAGTGGCGCTCGGCGGCGGCAGGGGTAGCTTTTTGTGCTGCGGCATCGGGAAGGGGTACTTCTTGCCTCGGTAGCCGTACGCGCGGACGGGGCTTGCGTCGCCGCCGCCGCCTTCCTCGGCCGAGCTTTCGGCGCCGCTGGTGTTGGCATTGGAGGCACTCCTGGACCCTGCGCTCCACGTTGCTGGGACGGTCCAGCAGTGAGATAACTCGTGCGTGGCTTCGGGGAACGGGTTGTGGTGACGGTGACGGTGGGCATCGTGGTGGCTGCTGGATTTCCACGGCGGCATCTTGGCACCCTTCAGGCGCGGCGAGAGGTGGTAGGCTACGCCGTCGCGGTAGCGCACGTTGGGCGCGTCGACCGAGATACTGGCGAGCGTCTGCAGGACGCCGTAGATGAGCACCCATCGGCCCAGGCGGGCAGTAGCCGGGTCAACATCGCCGATGCGGTCGGCCTTCTCGAATTTCCCAAAGGCGTCGATGAGGTTCGAGTGGGTAGATTCCGAGCCTAGGACGTATATGTTGGTCGCTTCGGCATACGCCAGCTGTATACGCCGCTCCATTGCCCCGCTCCTGCCGGTACCGCCTCCTCCTGCGCCGCTGGTTGCGTTCCTCTTGTTCGACTTGGCGCCGAAGATACCGCTTGCCGAACCATCCTTGCTCAGGTTGTTGGTGTCCGCTAACGGAGGGATGGATTCCGGCACCAGCGGATAGGGGTAAGGAATGTGTGGGAACCGGTTCTTATTGTCAAACTCGATGAGCATGTCGGTCATGGGCACCTCGGGCCGGTCAGCCTCGAACGCTCGGTTTCCGCTCTCGCTCACCAGCATCCACTTCCGACCTGGTCTGGCCTCGGACCCGTCCCACACAATATCCCTGTTGACCAAGTAGTCATACAGGGCCGCAAAGTCCCTTTGCAGTGTCTGGGCCACCGTCCTTGTCAGCCAGACTTCCTCCTCCCCATCGTCCCCGCCATGGGCAATGCCAATGGCCGGCTGGCCGGGTGCCTGCCGCGGCGGCGGCGGCGGCCATGACCCAAATTCTCGTGTGTAATATTGCACAAAGAACATTTGCAGCCTGTCAGCCGCAGCCTTGGCCGGGGATACCCCGACAGGCCCGCTCGCGTTGGCAGGAATGGCGACAGACGATGGCCACATGCTGCTGTACTGGAACGCCGCCAGCCGTTCCTCTGCGGCTTGGACCCGCAGCTGCGTCTCGAGGTAGGCTCGCTCGAGGAGAGTCCGAGTGATTGGTGTGACATGGTGGAAGTCGGCACATTTCTCAAGCCGAGAATACATGCCGGCGCAATGCAGAAAACTCTCACACCACCCTTCTTCCCACCGGATGTCGCTGCCCTCGCTCCAAGCCAAGAGGCTAACGGCCGTCTCGGGGTCGTTGCGAACATCGTCAATGCCACGCGCCGCGAGATAGTCGAGGATCGTGCCCACATTGTCAGCGTCCGGCTGCATGTACATCTCTAAGCGAGAGAAGAGGTCCGCTAGCGCCTGGTGCAGGGACAAGCCGACCAGGGAAGCGTGGTACAATAAGGCAAAGATATTCCGGGTGGTGATGACGTCCCGCACTTGGTCGAGTCTGGTCATGTGGGTGGGTACGGGGAAGTACATCTCGTACGAGATTTGCCCGTCCATCTCCCGGAGACTGCTGTCCTGTGAAATAGGCGGTGTTGGCTCCCTACTGTGGCCAAACTCGGCTGGGCCAAGATGCTGTTGATGCCTATACGAACCATGGTGTTGCAGCATTGGCGGCGCGCCGGGAGGAGACGTGGGCATATGAATGTCCTCTTCTGTTGAGCCCTCCCGCAGGAGAGTGATGAGGAATCGAGATTCCGTAGCCTCAATGACGTGCGACGAGAGCCGAAAAGAAGGTTCCGGTCGGGGCGACTGGCCTCGATAGCCAAAGAAGACAAGCACATCTCCGTTCGGGTCCCATAATTCCGGGTCTTTTCTCAACTTGTTCCACCGTTGCACCGGCCGCCCGCCACCGATCCAACGCTTGACATGGAAGGCGTTGACGACATCGAACACGGTGGATGGCTTGTTTGCGATCTGCGACGGCGACATCAAGCCACCCCTCTCATCCCACGGCACATCAGGGCTCAGGGGTGTTCCTCCCTGGTACCCCACAGGTGGCACGTCCGGCTCATATTCTTCGTCAATGGGCTCTCGAGAGTGACTTGCCGGGGCGAAGGTTGGCCGTACAGTTGCCGCGGATTGCGGTCTAAAGTCGAGGACGGCGTCGGTATCATGACCCTTTTTGTCCTTTTTCTTGAAGGTGAAGGCTTTCACCAGTCCTTTGCGCACTTCGTCACTTTTCTTGTCTAGGGCAGACCTCAGGCCCGACTTCTCGATGCCTGACACGTCTTCGGTCTTGATGACGGGTCGTCTGGCACGGGCATATGCAAAGTCATCGAGAGGTCTGTGCAAGTGCGACGTTGTTGCGCCGTCCCTCCGCCCATCCACACTGGATCCGCTTTGGCTCCCGCTGCTCTGGTTCCCGTAACCGGCTATCCCGTTGTGGTAGGCTAGCGTCTCATCCTCCCGGGCGGGCTCCGAGAACTTGAGAAAGCGCGCGTTCGTTGTACCGACCCCGGTGACATCCCTCTCCCGCTCCCGGTCCTGACGCAAGCCAGGCACGCCTCCGACAGGGTAGTCGCTGAGCGTCGCATTATCGGAACTGGCGCTCGACTTGGCCCGGCCGCGAGCATCGGCGCTCTTCTCGCCTGGCTTTGTCTCGGTGATCTTTTTGCGCACGTAGGCGCTGCGGCCCGACATTATCACTCAGTAGGTCCCTCCCTAGAGGTGCGCAGCGGCTCGCCAGGTTGGATCCCTGAGCCGGATTCCCGTGTTTAAGTTGTCTTGAACTCTTGACTCGACGTCAACGAAGCATCCCGGTCATTGGGAAGATCTGCGGTTCGTGTCTCTTGATGTTGCGGACCGAAAGCAGCTGTTCCAGTTGTTTCTTTTGCCGGGAAGGGTACCTTTGGGGCTGCTTGCGCCGCGGTTGATGCCGCACTCGCCACTCACGGTCTGGACGCAAGGATCAAGCCGTCTTATGCGGCACATACAGCAATGTTAGGCGCGCTGGCGGCATATACTTGGAAGAAACTGAAGTAAGTGTTGAGAACTGCCGATTCTCGACGGCACTGTGTTGCACGAAGCGATGCAAGGCGGCGGCAAGGTTCCGCGACCGTTGCGCCCCGCTCAGAGGGGACGTATGGGATAGGTAAGCAGGAAGCAAGCAGATGTTCGTAAGGGGTCCAAAGACCGGAGATGTTTGGATAACTCTCTATTTCTGAGAAATTTTGCAGACGGGAAAGCAATATCTGAAGACCCAACACAAAACCGGGCTTACAGGCCTCTCCTTCCTCCCCGTGGCGGCATACCGTCACACGCTAGCGTCCTGCAATGCTGATTTTCGCGCTTCTCTTTTCCAGGCCAACTGCATAGACGATGGGACCAAAGCCGTTTTCTCGGGTCCAATACCGCAGTATCCCAAAGCCTCATTCGCCCACGGTGTCCTAGTACTGATACCTGGTCGAGATACCGTGATGGGCAGCTTCCAGTATCGGCCTATCAGCCGTTGTACAACGCCGATTGGTTGCTACCGGAGCTTCCGAGAGATTGGTACTGGTGATCTTGTGAGATCGGGGTCTTTGCCGTGGAGAAAGTGAGAGCAAAGAAAAGTCAGTACGACGTGCCCGGGCAAATCAGCGAGTGAGACGGCACGTCGATCGATAAAGAAAGTGTTATCCTCCAAAAGTCGTCCTTCATGCGAGAACGGCGAGTGAAGAGGCTTGGCTCAATATAGAATAGGGGGTTGCTGAACGCAAGAAGAAAACAACGCCGGCTTGGATTTGCTTGGGATCATTGAGGATGGTCCGCTAATCCGCCAAGCCTGCAGCTTCCACTGCAAGACGCGCACTAACGCGGCTGTGGGACCCCTGCGAATCAGGCCAGCGACAGGGGTTGTGAGTGGAGGAGCTGATAAGGGACAGACGTCCCTCGCGGGATGTGTAATGCCTATTATTGGAAGGGAACATCTGTTTGTAAGACGGTTTGCAATACCGATACGGCGATACCACTGTCGACGTACAATCGATGTGGCATATGATGGAGGTGATTTTCGTGCCTTTGTTAGTAGAGCCGCTCCCGCGGTGATTCATGTCCTGGCCAGACTCTCAAATGGCGGAAGATCTGAATATCAGGGGTACTTGTATGTACTTGTACAGTACATACATACATACGGATATGTATATGGGGCACCTGCTCGCCCCAATGACGCCAACTTAGGGATGGCTTGCCTCAACGCAAGGGGCTGACGTTGAAATCGAGTTCCCGTTCCTACCTCGGTTGTATGTAGCATACAGCCTGGATGGTAAGATGACAGTCAGCCTCGCTTGCGATGAAATCAGATGAACTCGAATCGCAGTGGATCACGTCCCGTCGGTGAGACGATCTGGAGCAATTGCATGTATTGCACTGTACAGTACATACATACCAGATAGGTACAATTCCTAAGGTATGTACATACAGTACCTGTATACTACGGATACACAGCAGTATACTACCTTTAACCTGAAATGAAATGCAAGGTGTTGTGGTGGCACAGACCTCCTATTTCTTAGGTGCTGCTGCGTCTCTAACGTCAACCGTTGGATCCATGATGCCGTCACAGTAGCAGTGATAGTTCGGTTGTTTGAGTCCAAAGTCTGGGGTAACGTTAGGGTGTCAAGTCTACTGCTTGCACCGAAACATTGAAGTTATAATTCCAGGCCATATGGGCCTGCCTTGAGCCACGACCGGGGATTTTTCTCTCGCCATCTGGTTCGAGGGAGAAGATGGCTTGTTCCTGGTTCGAGACTGGACACGGCCTGGGTACCCGATAAGTGGCTTGTACATACGCCAGATACGGTAGGTATTGTAGGTAGGGTTCATGTTACCTACAGTAGCAGCCTAATACTCGCCAGGGGTATCTGATGCGAGGCCCTCGCTTACAAGCCTTGACTGCATAAAGTACCTTCCCAAAAGTCGTTTTTCCACTCATCCTAGGGCCGGGAAGGTTGCCTCGCCAGGATAAATCATAAACTCGGTCCCAACGAGCCGGATTCATCGCGAGGGACGGCCATTGAGAGCTGTTATCCGTCTTTATCCTATCTGTGTTGCTACGAAAAAGTACCTTACCTACTGAATGCTACTGTTGGTAGCAGTCAAAAGAGCAACTTGAACGCTTCCTCCTGGTACTACTTGGTTGTTACTAGTTGGGGCAGTATCTGCTTACGTTGTCCGGAATTTCACCAGATCTTCAGCTCAATCCCTCGCTAGAGGGCCCAGACTCAGATCATAGACAGGAGTAACGTAGCATTCAGTCAAACATTGCTACACAGTATGCTTGAAGAGTCCAGTTGGTGACTTTCCGTCAAATGCCAGCTTGCCATCCTCGATCCATATATTGCATGCTCAACCTCAGCTTCCTACCTAGCTAAGGTACATACCTTATTTGAACCTACTGCACAATGTCCATTCATGGATGCCAGCTGGTAGCTGCATCACGTCCCTCTTGGGTAACAGTGACCCGTCTGTCCGATGTCTTACATGTAGCTGGATATTCATTGCATCCCAGTCTGCGAATGACTTTCTCTCAGCTAGCAAGACACCAGCGTACCTTGCCTCGGAGGAAGCATGACAGATGCTCTCCAACCGAACAAGCTAATGGAAGCGAGAAACGACATGATCATTCCCAGGTGCAGATGGTATTACTACACTCTGCACCTGTCATTGTCATAGATTACCACACCCTCCACTCCTAAGCCATAACTGCAAGCCTACCCATCCCGTGTGCTTTGCGAGACATACGAGGGTGGCACGGGCAGCCTCAAAGTAGGCTGGGTAAGGTAGGATAACCAACTTGAACTTTGTCCGGATCGAATTGTCGAGGGGTTGCGAGACAACATGATAGAATCCTTCCTCGCTGTGGTTTGTGAACACATGCCGTAGTGTACCGTATGTACATACAAGCTGGGGAAGTTTGCAGTTCATCTACTAAAGTATGCAGAGGTAGGCTTCATATTCATCGGCTTCAATATTAAGCCTGAGGTTGAAGCGGAGGGATACTAGAGTAGGTAGTAGTACTATTAGTACCTTAGGTGGTCGGTGACTTAGAGCACCTAGTAGCTGAGGAGCATTAAGCCAACGTTGCCCTGGTTAACATGTGATAGAAAAAGTATGGATGAATGCTAACTACTAAGACCAAGTCTTGTTGCTCCCTAGGAACCTTGAAGCCTTGCTTCAATCAAAGTGTTCGGTTGCCATTGAACTCGAGACCGGCTTCAATATCTAGTACCTAAGTCACTGTTCTCAATGTCCTCAACTTCAATATTGAAACAACATAACGCCCAACTCGGTGGGTCAAGTACCTAAGGTACCTAGCTAATCAACGCATATAGGCACTTGGCCGAGGCAAAAGACCTTCCAGATGAAAGTAGGTACCTACCTAACTACCTTGTAACGTGCCCAGGTAGTATTTGAACTTTGGGAGGTTGTGGGCCGCTGACTCTCTCATCTTGATTCTCGTCTTAGACATGAATTTCACCCTTCACTTCTGTGGTTCTGGCACAATCATAGTACCTAGCACAGCAACCGATGATATTGGAGTGTAGTTCCAAGAACCTAGGGAGGCATAGCTTGTGGGGACATGAATGCACCTAGGGACTAGCGTCTGGTTCATAGGGAATAGCGATATCTGGGGGGATATCGGGCCCATTGGGAGCGTTATCTCCCACACGGATGTCAAACCCTCAAAAGGTACCAATTCTATTAGGTCATTGGGGGATCGAAACTGGCGAACTCCACGAACTTGGAGCACAGCACCTGGGGAAGCATGTTAGTGAGAAGTTCGCAGGCCGTCTCAATCTACCACCGGACCAAGCCCGGTTCCATATGATATTCGATGGCCATTGAGAATCAGCTCTCTCAAGAGCTGCACACGCAGTATTTAGGCCACGTGCTGACTTCCCTAGAAGAGATGATGAGCTGCATGGATGATGGCAGGCGAAATACGTACCGCCCTTCTCCATGTTTATCGTCTGGCCTTCTGCCATTGGGCCGCATCCCATGTCTGGGGCCCAGATAACGAGAAGTATTTGGGGGGATGGCAAGATCTGATAAACGGCTGACCCCCCCCCTTCCCCCCAACTATCTTGACCTCCACGGCTTTCCGGTCAGCGGCCGGCTCCGACAGCTCCTGTCTTGGAGGACGGCGCTTGACACAGGGTCAGTCAGCTCGCACATTCGCATTGAGAGTATGAGATTCTGGGCCCGGGGTCCAAGCAGCCGGGAATAAAAGCGGGGAAGAATGGCAGTGAAATCAAGGAATAACGTTGATGTTGAGGGGAAAACTTGACCCCGGCCATTCCGTTCTGGATCCAGGTTAAAGCTATCTGTCAAATCCCTGCCAGCGATAAGCCCTCCAGTTCGTTCGTGCCTTGTGTTTTAAAAGATGAGTGGCCCTGCCTGCCTTGTCAACCGCTCCTACATGACGCCCCCAAGCCAAGCAGTTCACCGTCTAATTACAATTTACATGCATCTTCGCACTTACGGTTCCAGCTGACGGAAGTCCTTGCCTGCCCTGACTCAGCCACTCGGCCGCTACCGGCACTATGGACGAAGACCAGGGGCCGTCGCAAATTGTTCCCGGGCCGGCTCCGAAGCGGACCTTGGGTGACCGGCTCGGCGCCATCCGCCGGACCTTGTTCACCAAGGAGGGCCTCATCGGCAACTACGACTATGCCTTCCTGTTCCGCCCAAACCTGCCCTTCATGAAGAAGGCCGACACACCACCGCCCTTCTTCGGCCTGAACGACCGGATGCCCGTGGTGTTGGCCCTGATCCTCGGCTTCCAGCATGCCCTGGCCATGTTGGCGGGCGTCATCACCCCGCCGCTCATCATGTCCGGCGCCGGCGGTGTCAACTTCGGCCCGGAAATGACGCAGTACCTCGTGTCGACGGCGCTCATCGTGTCCGGTATCCTGTCAGCCGTGCAGATAACCCGGATCCACATCAGGAAGACGCCTTACTACATCGGCACCGGCCTGCTGTCGGTGGTTGGCATCTCCTTTTCCATCATCCCCGTTGCCACGGGCGCCTTTAGCCAAATGTACGCCAACGGCTTCTGCCCGACGGCCGACGACGGCACGCCGCTGCCGTGCCCGGACGCCTACGGGGCCATTCTGGGCACCGCCGCCGTGTGCTCGCTGCTCGAGATCCTCATGTCCTTCATGCCGCCCCGGGTGATTCTGCGCATCTTCCCTCCCATCGTGACGGGGCCTACCGTGATGCTGATTGGCATCAACCTCATCCGCTCGGGCTTCCAGAACTGGGCCGGTGGCACCGGTCTCTGCTCCGGGACCAATCCGCCCGAGTTCTATGCCCTCTGCCCCAACATCAACGCTCCGCATGCTCTGCCGTGGGGCTCGGCTGAGTACCTAGGTCGGTAACAAACACCAGCAAGCTCATTAGATACTAGTACTAACACACACACGCCGCCAGGCCTGGGCTTCTCCGTCTTCGTAACCATCATCCTCTGCGAGCGGTTCGGCTCGCCCATCATGAAGTCCACCAGCGTCGTCATCGGGCTGCTAACCGGCTGCATCATTGCCGCGGCATGCGGGTACTTTGACCGGTCGGGCATCGACAACGCGCCCGCGGTATCCTTTATCTGGGTGCACACTTTCAAGCTGACCGTCTACGGGCCCCTTGTGCTCCCGCTCATGGCCGTCTTCATCATATGCGCGTGCGAGTCCATCGGCGACATCACGGCCACGTGCGACGTCTCGCGCCTCGAGGTCGACGGCCGCCTGTACGAGAGCCGCATCCAGGGCGGCGTGCTGGCCGACGGCCTTAACGGCCTGCTCGCCGCCCTCGCCACCATCACCCCCATGACCACCTTCGCCCAGAACAACGGCGTCATCGCCCTCACCCGCTGCGCGAACCGCTCTGCCGGGTACTGCTGCTGGTACGGCCCCCCTTTTCTCAACCAACCTTCACAGTGCAATTAACTAAACCCTCGCAACCCAGCCTCTTCCTAATCCTCATGGGCATCTTCACCAAATTCGCCGCCTCCCTCGTCGCCATCCCGTCCCCCGTACTAGGCGGCATGACGACCTTCCTCTTCACCTCCGTCGCCGTATCAGGCATGGCCATCATCGCACGGGGTTGCGTGCCCTTCACACGACGAGCACGTTTCATCCTGACCGCCGGCTTAGCCCTCGGCTACGGCGCAACACTAGTCCCCACCTACTTTGACCACGTCTTCACCTACGGCGGGGAGAACCGCGCCCTGCAGGGCTTTCTCGACGCCATCGCCCTTGTCATGGAGACGGGCTTCGCCGTCACCGCTTTCGTCACGGCCGTGCTCAATTTGACGCTGCCCGTCGAACTGGACGACGCCGTCGACGGTCGTGATGAGACTCAGGCCGAGGATGTTGCTCGGAGTGGTGCGAAGGATAGTAGTGCTAGTGAGGACGGCTTCAAGGTAGTGCCTGGGCCGGTGGGGGTGGGGAACCTTTCAGGGAAGGAGGGTGACGACGGTCAAATCAAGGGGGGAAAGATGGCGTGATTTCAACTGAGAGAAGCAAGCACGGTTTCTCAAGGTCTTGTGTTGAAGATACCCCGCTCCCGACCTGTGGGATTCAGGTCGAATGTGAGATGTTCGTGTTCTGGATCAAGTGCATTATAGTCAGATATAGATACATGGGTAGGGTTGGTGGGCATGGATCGTTGTACAGCTGAATGCGACGGTATATATTCTCCCATCCCGAAAGGTCAACCATCACGAACAAAGCTGGACTTGCATTCGGGAAAGCCTGTGAAAATGGGTGCATAAATGCCGCTTCAGCTAGTGAACCGCTAGGTAGGAGGCAGACATCTCAGGAGGAATAGGTGCCGCAACATGAATGAGATGGCCGCCAGAGAATGCAGAGCCATATCAGATTTCGTTTCGCCTAATACAGCAATCGTTCCCCCAAGTCTAGCAAAGGGACGAAGCTAAGGATAGTTAGGTACTTTTGAGGGCATTGGCTGCCCATGATTGATAACGGATACTCTAGAGGCTGCCGGCTGCCCTGAAATCCTCGAGCGCCTGCATCACTCTCGCCTTCATCGACTTCTCGCCCTCGCGAACCCAGACACGGGGGTCGTAGAACTTTTTGTTTCTGCTCGACGTGGTCAGCAATTTGTTCAAACCGTAGAGGGCCAACAGATACGTACGGCTTGTGTGCTCCATCAGGGTTGCCGACCTGCGTCTTCAGGTACTCGATGTTCTTGGTGATGTAGTCGCGGTGCCCGGACAAATACGCCCACTGCAGGTCTACCGAAACAGTTAGCACCCGGTAGTCCCTGAGAATTGAGGGCAGCCATACCGGTATCAAGATTAACCTTCACAACGCCATTGTCGATCGCTGTCCGGAAGTCGTCGACGCTCGAGCCCGAACCGCCATGGAACACGAAGAAGACGGGCTTCGGGTCGCTGTCGCCGGTCTGGAGCTTCTCGCACACATACTTCTGGTGCTTCGCGAGAAGCTCTGGGTGGAGCTTGACGTTGCCGCTGCGTCGGCGTTAGCAAGCAGAAACCGTAAGATACTTGAGACAGAGACAAAGAAGAAGCATACGGTTGGTAGACACCGTGGACATTGCCGAAGCCAGCGGCGATGCTGAAGTAAGGGGAAATCTTGCTCAATGCCTGGTAGATGTCCCAGATGTCCTCGGGCTGCGTGTAGAGGGAATTGTTGTCGACGTTCTCGTTGTTCACGCCGTCTTCCTCACCGCCCGTGATACCGATTTCCATCTCCAGCCACTGCTTCCACGGGGCGGCGCGCTGCAGGTACTTTGCGGTAGTCTGGATGTTGTAGTCAACGGCCTCTTCCGACAGGTCGATCATGTGGCTGCTGAACAGCGGGATGCCATGCTCCTTGAAGTGCGCCTCGTCGGCGTCCATCATGCCGTCCAGCCAGGGCAGCAGCTTCTTGGCACAGTGGTCGGTGTGCAGGACGACGGGGATACCGTAGACGGGGGCAATGGAACGGATGTAGTGTGCGGCAGCGATAGCGCCGGCAATCGAGGCAGCTTGACCATCGTTTGAGACGCCCTTGCCGGCGAAAAAAGCAGCACCACCGTTGGAAACCTGGAGAATGATGGGGGACTTGGCGTCTCTGGCGGCCTCGAGAGCGGCGACGACAGTCGACGACGAGGTGACATTGATCGCGGGAAGAGCAAAGGCGTTCTTGCGAGCGTATTGGAAGAGCTATATACTGGTTAGCAGCCATGCAGACCGTAAAGGTCCTCGCAATGTAACCCAGACAAAATTACTGAATCACACATACCTTGAGGACGTCGTCACCGTAGATGACGCCGGGCTTCAGACCCAACTCCTTCATAAGGCCAGCCATTTTGTGCGATTTGAACGTGAGTAGACTAAAAATGCGACAATCTGGAGAGCACAATGCAGATACTGGGAGTTCTCGGTTGTCCTAGGGTTGTCGTTGTCTGAAATTTACTTGAAGTGGGATGACGAGAAGGAATCGAGGTGGGGGAACGGAGAAAGAGGAGGGGTAGCGCTGGCACGACGACCGAGGCCGGACCCGAGGGATTTTCGCATCATGACGTAAAACTAGTTCGGGAAGGCGGGGTCCACGGGCATTACCTACTTTCTTGGGGGGGTTTTATCTGATGAAGGCCTAGATAATAGTCTGTATTTAGTTCCTCATAGGAATCATGGCATTGAGGTCCTGACAGCTTCATGTTCAGCTGCCGGAGCTCGGAAATCAGAGGTGGTTCGGGTGGGTTGGGGCCAATCTGCGAATGAGGGGAAAGCCGGTTATGCTGCTTGTCGGCATTGGACATGCGCTACGGCACAGCATCTTCCATCAATGAGAGCTCCCGTCCCCTGTCTTCCGTCACCCGTCAACGTCTCCGTCTCCCGTTCCGAGCAGCGGGAGTTCCCGGAGTTGACTAGATACACATTGCCGGTCCCTGAACATGCTCACATCATGAATACACTTTGTTCCTGGCCACGGTCATCCACCAAAAAGTTCTGTCTAGTCCACATTAGAATCCGTCTCGTCTATCGTGAGCATTAGATTATTATCTTGTCGTCTCTGCCATACACGTCCATCAAGGCATGGTAGCGACCTATATACCGAAAAACATATCCTACCCATTACCCTGCTCTATAAGCCTTCTATATTTATACACCCTCCGAATAGCACTATCCTGTCACATCAGCCGCTGCCCATCTAGGCAGCCGGGACCCCAAGCTTATTGTTCGTCTTGCGAGTCATAACCTTGGTGATGGCATGCCTGATGGTTACGCCAGCCTTCTCGATGTCCTTCTTGGACAGGCCCGTCGTGACACAGACCTTGAGTGCGGGCTGAACTGCCCAGGTCCCGTCCTTGAGACTCGTATGGATCGTGATGGAATTGCCCTTGAGACGCGAGATGAGCACGCCGTTGGCGAGGGCCTATGTTTTCTCCGTGATCAGTGATATTTTGCTGTAATGGGATCAGAGACGGCACATACCTCGTCAACACACTCCTGCATCAGCCTGTCCTGGTCCTCAACGCTGAGCCGCCTGGCCTTGATGACTTCAGGTTTGAGCACCAAGATCATGATGGGATTTTCGGGGGCGCTTGTACACATGACCCAGTCGCTCCGCGGGTCCAGCTGCGCCCGCATGAGCCGGATGTTCTCACGGCATTGCTGCAGAATTTCTGGGTTCGATTGCAGCACGTTGAGGCTCTCGCTGGCCGTCATGGCAAGCATGGCTGGTAGTGCGGCAGAGAAAGTGAATGCGGCCGACGTGATACGTTGGTGCTCCACCACGTCCTTGGAGCCTGCGCAGAAGCCGCCTCCGGCGCAGAGAGGGCCGGCCATGGAGCCAACGATCATGTCCACCTGCTGAGGATCGACATTTTGCGCCTCCGTAAGACCGCGGCCTGTGCGGCCGAGCACGCCAAAGGACCATGTCTCGTCAAGGATGATGCGGAATTTGTATTTTTCTTTAAGCTCGATCTGTTGATGCCGTTAGAATGCATTTCGTCCGGCTCAAGGTTGCGGTGGGTGACCTGTGCTTACCAGCTTAGGCAAATTATTGACATCTCCGATCGTCTCAAACAACGCCTCAGTGACAATAAACCGCCTCGTCAGCTTCTTCCGGGCCTGCTCCTGCACCACCTTGCGCATGACGCGCTCAAGATCTTCTAGGTCGTTGTGATTGTACCACTTGATGCTGCTCCGCGAGATTTCCAGGCCGCGGCGGATGGAGCAGTTAACCGCTCGGTCAGCAACAATGACGTCTCCTCTCTTGCAAAACGCCGGGATCACGCTCGAAATGGTAGCGAACGAATTCGAGTATACAATGCATCCTTCGGTGCCGAGGTACGACGCGATATCAGCTTCGGTCTTCATGTGAACATCCTGGGTGCCGTAGAATTGCGGTGGGCCGCAAGGGCCCACGCCGTAGGTGCGCAGGGTCTGAATGGCCTTCTCCTTGATCTGTTCGTTGGCATTAAGGTTGTAGAAGTTGTACGAGGCGAGGTTTGTAACTGTCTTGCCGTTGGCGAGCTTCGATTTCGGCCCTGTCGGCCTACGCGCCGTCAGCCATCCAAAGCACGCCTCTCTACAGTGGTCCAGATTATCTTACCCAACAAGAACAGGCAGCTTCTCCAGCTCGGCTTCCTCGGCTGGTGTCGGTGCTGGCACGAGAGGCTCGGGTGTCCATTCGTCGACTAGCTCGTCAATTTCCTACCGAGCCATGATATTTATCAGCCCTGCTCCCCTTTCATTTAGCACCCCAACGAACGAGGGAAAACGCACATCCTCCGTCAGCTTGACATAATTCTGCTTCGAAGTCGAGTAGCTCGGCGCGAGCAGGTATCGAATAAAGAAGATGAACAGCACCAGCTCAATGGCTGACCGAACCGGGTCGTTCTGGTAGCTGGAGCGGACGTAGCGGATGAGGACGGCCGAGCCAGGAACCTTTTGGAAGACGACGACCGCTTCGTCGAGCCATTGATTCAGGTGCGACTGCACCTCGTGTAGATCCATCTTGTGCAGAGTGTCGGTTTTTCGCGCTTTTCCCGCCCTTTCCGTTCTTTTAATGTCGTCGGGCAGGACTCGGGTAATTGTCGAGCGGCGCTGCTCTGCAATGCAAGGTGATCAAAACGTCGAACACAAAACGAGACCGCCGGGAAGAGTGTGTATGCGCGGTCCAGTAAGCACAAAATGTTACTGTATTTGGATCGATAGCCAGGCACGCGAGATTACGGAGACAGTTGCATCTTTTATCTAATCGGCCGCCCCACCCTTGAAAAGGGGCACAGTGCACCACCCTCCCATGCCTCTTTAATGACCGTATCCCTCTCTACAGCACTACTAGGAGTATGAAGTACCTCTGTGTAACCCCCATTCCTCTGTGATACATGCCATGTCTAGTTCAAGCACCAAAGGAGTCAACTGTTGATCGCGGTCTATGGCTACTATGTAGTGCTCTTCCGACTGCTTCTTAATTAAAGTACCGAGTTTCCAATTCTTCATCCTCGACAACACCGTCATCCAGTGTGAAAGCGAAAATGTCCCGAGCAGATGCAGGTGGCATGATTACACAAAATTACCTAGGTCTAGAAGGGAAGACGGAGGACAAAAAAAGGACCGCATGAATACCAATGTTCACCGCCCACCAAGGAGATGTCGACCCCCTGCCACACTGACATAGATATGAGAAGACCCCATTACACAAGACTCCTGAATATGATACACCATGCCTGAAACCACCCTTATTCGCTTTCACCCAGACAGTTATACTTCCTTGGCTGCAGCGTGATTGCTCCTCCTCAGATCGGAGTGCAATATGATATATTGCACGAAAGTGCTTTCACGAGGTTGTCGCACGCCCTCAAATCATCATCCTGTTGGCGGCCGTGGCTGTCGCTTTCGCCGATAATTCAGATGCCATGACGCCCGTGTATGTCTTCGCCCCAGTACCCGTAGCAGTTCTGCCGTGAGTATCGTTCCTTGGAAATTCTGGCTGCACGAGACCCATGTTGAGATCATTGAGGGGTTTGAAGACCGACGCGGGAACGTATCTGCCAGCAACAACCGGGCCAACGAGGAGTGCGAGGAACACGACAAGCATGACAAAGTAGAGAATTGCGTAGCGGATGACACGCCGTCTCCGGAGCTTTGTCTGCTTCATCGAGTAGATGGGGGGGCGAATTTGGCGGCTAGAGCACATATTAGACAAGTTCTCGCGTAATCGGATGGGAAGACGCCAACATACCTTGGGCGAAGCCAAAAGAGAATCATTGAGTGCAGCTTGTCGACCTGCGGAATCAGGATGACTGGAAGCATGAGGAAAAGGATGAAGTGACCGAGGACGAAATCGGCGGCGAACATGCTCAGTTCGGTAATCTTGCACAGATACTCACGAGCAGGCTGGGAAATTGTGTGCCAGCCCATCGAGTACCACTTGCCAGTCCAGAAAGCGATGTTCGCCTCGTCCGTTTTGAGTTCGCGGGTGAGTGCGAGAGCAATGATCAACTTGAAGATGAAGCGCTGAAGGGCCACCACGGCGATCATGCCTAGGAGGGTCTTGACAAAGTCGAACTTCTGCAAAAAGAACATGACCTCGAAGAAGATCAAAAGTGCAACGACGGCAATGCCGTGCGCGATGGCAGCCAGGACGCTGCCAAACTTTTTGCAGCACATGCTCAAGAGCGGACCCATGAAGCAGGCCATCGCAAAGAACATTGCCAAAACGCCGGCATTGATAGCAATGGGAGCCAAGGCTACAATGCCAAGACGAATCAAGGCCCCGGTCTCCTTGGCGTTCTTATCGATCACGCCGTTTTGCGAATTCATAAACAAATATGGGATCGCCGTCACCAGCACAAGACACAGAGGCGAGAATATCTCAGCCCAGAACATGTTTGTGATAGCGGCACGCGGGACGTCGCCCGACATCTTGGCAGAGGGGTCGCCGAGCGCCTTGCGCTTGTAGCCCGTGATCCTTGTTCGTGAAAGTCGGCAGAAGGCGATCCAAGACGAGGCATGTGACCGAGAATTGCCGCGCGACAACCAGCGGAGGTAATCACGATAGTCGATGAAAAAGTCGTTCCAGGCGAACTGGTGGGGGTTGTAAAGGAACGGCGATATCGTCAAGGCCATCACCGTCAACCAGAAGTAGACAATTGCTGCCTGCCAGACCGTAATCGAAGCGAAGAGCAACATCAGGAACAAGCGCGCCCCAAGATATATGGATGGGCCGGCGAAACGCGAGTAGAGAACGCCAAACGGGATTCGAGCGGTGGCAAACCCACGACCGGTACCGATGTATCTGGCGCCGCCGAATGTGATGTCCTGCTGGACCGAGTTCGCGTAGATCTGGCAAACAAACACCTCGAAGAATGGTGACAGTGAGAAGAATTGTTTGAGGAAGCGGGTAACCGCACGCCACACGCCGCGCTCCACCGCCTCCTGCACAATCAGGGGCACAAAGGAGAGGAAGAAGACGAAGAAGATCGACAAGACACTGCGGTAGACCCAATCCATGAGAGCGTCCGTGTTCGAGCAGCCAGTGGGGTACAGAGGATCCGTGATAGGTACCTGGCGGTTGTACTCGCAGGGAGTTGTCTCGCGCCGGAGAGCGCCGATTTGCAGGAGCGAGATCATGAACATCTGGACCGAGAGCATGATGAACATGTTGTTGAGATGGAAACCAGGGTGGGCGTAGTAGAACGAGAGGAAGCGATCCAGGGGCAGTTGAGTCCCAAGGTAGTAGTACTCGCGAGAAAGCATCTGCTCGCCCATACCCGTTCCGATCTTTGTCGTGAAGTTCAAGATAGACCCGAAACCCAAATCACGACCCTTGCCGCACTGGTAATATTCGCAATGCTTGATGCGGCCGCCGCGTAACAAAGCGTTCATGCCGGCGTAGATATCTTCGTTCAGGTGGAGACCCTTTTGAGCTTTGGACACACCGCCACGGGTAGTCATGAAGATGCCGTTGAGGAAATCCGGGTGACCATAGTGTAGTTTGCCGCCAATCTGCGCCAGAGTTCTTGCGAAGAGCGTGCCGAATGTCTGTTCCTTACCGGCGGCAACGTCTCCGAGGACGCCAATGTTCTCCGAGAAGATGTATTCGCGAGCACCAAGGATGGCAACGGGGGCACGAGTTGGATTCTTAACCCCAGGAGTGTACGGCGACACGTTATCCATCTTCATCTCCTCAAACTCGGCAAGGACATTGCGGATCTTTAGGCATTCCTCAAGGTAATTGTCTTGATTGGCATCGATGAGCTGAATGTACTCGCCTCGGTAGAAGATGATGGCATGATTCTGATTGTCAGATTTGCCGTCACCCAGAATAGGGTTGCCGGAAAGCTGGATACGGAACTTGGGGCGGCGCATGCCATTTTCCATGATTTCGGAGTGGCCGTCGATGAGCGCAGAGTACAGACGGGGCTCTTCACCTTCAGCCAAAGGCGGTTCTTCGTCCAAGTAGGCGATTTGCAGATCGGGATAAGCTCGGAGCAAGAACTCGGCGTTTTCCATCTCCTCTTTCTTGAATTTGGCGAATCGCTGCATCGAGACAATGAGCTTGAACTTGCGGCGAGCCATTCGCTCCAGCTCACGCTCGAGCTTGTCAGAATTGCCGCCGAACATCTGCACAACCTCGGGGTTCTCGACGCGATACAGAAGCTTGATCGCACGGCTGTAATTCATGAAACCGGAGACGGTGCGGTACAGGGTTTGGAAACGGAGAGAAGCCCAGATGCGCGTCCTGAGCGTGTACTCGGGCGCAGACGACTTGAACCCGATGCAGTAGAAGGGCAGATCGTCAATCTTACTCTTGGCTGTGTCCTTCTCGTTCTTTTCATCTTCTCCGTTGAATTGCGAGGTCTCGTCGGCTAGAATCTTAGTGTCCTTGACGAAGCAATCCCATTCATGGGGATGGAGCTGTTTCAGATACTCGAGGAGGGTGACGCGGGAGTAAGGCTCGTCCTCGCGGATGATCTCCCTAAGCGACAAAAGAATCTTCTCACTGTAGTGGGGAATCATGACCGTGAAAGTCGGCATATTGTCGACGGGGACCGGCTCTGGGATAGGTGTCGAGAGCGACTGGGCAAAGAAAGATATTCTCCGCTCGGCCTCACTATAACTCGGGAAGAATTCGGTCTTGAAGGACTGATCATCCTGCGAAACGAAGAAGGTGGGGGCCCGCAAGGTGCGCTTTCCCTCCTGTTCCGACGGAACCTGATGGTAAAGCAGCTTCTGAACGTGGTCAATAGCCAGCAGATGCTCGCGATACATCGAGATGACGATGGCATTCCAGATCTGGGAGATGAGCACCTTGGGCTTGTACTTGATCTCCATGTCTGTCGTGGCCAGAATCTTGGAGTAGATACGCTTCGGCAGACGAGTGAAGATGTTCCTCCAAGGGGTCAAGATCGACGAGCCGAGGTAGAAGGACCGGGCGATGGAGAACAATGCGTTGAACAAGACATAAAACAGGTAGGTATCCAGGAAGAAGAAGATCAAGTCGGTGAACAGGAGAAGGCCAAGGGTAATCTGCGGTTGGTACTGGCAGAGGTTCTTTTTGAGAATCGTGTCGCCGATACAGTTGGTTGTTCTCATTATGTCCAGGTACCGGATGGGATCTCGGATTGACAAAGTCAAATATATGTACGACTCTCCGAACTTGAGTCCAAACACGACAAGCCAAAGACCGTATGACATGGCCATGTCATTGCCCTTGAGGCGGGGGTAACTGGCTGTAAACGTTTGACTCGCCACGTATCTCCTTGAGTTCTTGGTCAGGTAGCTTCCGAAGAGACCACCGAGCGGCATAACGGAGAAAAATATGTAGGTGGCCACGGCGACGAAGAATTGCACGATGCCGAGAACCAGTGAAATTTGCTGATTCTGCCGCTCGAGATATGCTTTCGTGTCGCTCGCGGGCATAAAGATGTACACACCCGGCGCGACATTGATGACGAAGACGAGGATGAGGAAGAGGAGTCGCTTCGTCAAATGCTGCGCGCCAGCCCACTTGCGAGGAACGTAAAGCCATTCTGCTAGAGTTGCCAGAATCTGGATCAAGGAAGCGATGGTCCCGCCAAACCCGACGATAGACCACACAGCGGCCGGTGGTGGCTGATTGTTGGCTTCTTGCTCGTAGTTTGGCGTGATGAGGGTAGGGGAATTGTAGGCCGTGAAAAACCAGAACATGGTCAAGTGAATAATCCAGATGCGGTTGAAGTTGACGAGGATGTGGAACCAGGAGCGTGTCTCCTTGTATGTCTTGAAGAAGACCTTCTTCCAATTCACATCCTTCAGCTTGAGATAGCGCTCGGCAGGGGGCACATCAACCAGCTTGCTCTTATCATGAAGGACGATGCGCTCGATGCCCTCGGGATACCAAAACAGCTGGTTGCAATCGTCGTAACCGATGATCTGACTGTGGTCCTTCTCGCGGCGAACGTAAACACCATCGAGAATTTCGTATCCCTGGTCGCGACAGTATTGGTAGAGTGGCGTGATGACGTTGTTGAGGAAGGTGAATTCCTCAACCGGCTCTACCATATTCTGGCAGGCAGGGGAATTGAGATAGTCGTCTGCGCACTTGAAGATGAAGCAGAGACATTCGGGCATGAAACGGACCTGGTTCGCCTCGCCCCAGATAAGAAGGTAAAGCGCAAGCTGGCGTACACGGTCGTGCTGTGACATTCGGTTCATCCGGGTCTTCCACCTATACTCGGCAGCCTCCAGCGAGTCATCACCTTCAAGATCTTCGAGAGCTTCGGCCTCGTTCTCGGGCGCTCCCTTCTTCTTATTCTTGCGAGATCGTTTCAAGCCTTTGCCCTTCATATTCGCAAAGCCAACGGCGTCGTCGAGATCGAGGTGGGCGGCAAAATACCACTTGCGATAGTTTGCATTGTCGCCGCCGATGTAGTCCGCATGCAGTGAGAGAAGCGCCTGGTTTGGCGTCATCCTCGACGCTCGCGAGTCCAGGAGGGTCATCAAATGGTCATACATGTTGCGCATGCTGTCGCGCTGGAAACCGAACTTGGCCGTCAGGTCGAGAAAGATGTCCTCCACCTCTTCCTTCGAGAGGGGAATTTGCGCATCTGAAGTCCAAGCAGGGTACGGCTCTCTGGAGCGCTGGCCAGCGGGGAGGACATTGCCGTAGTCCATGCCGTAGTTTGGTGTCGATGCGCCAGATGAGCGATTGCCTCCGTACGAAATCTGAGACGACGCGGGCCGATATCCTCTACCTCCCATTTGACCATCATTATAGCCGTCATAGCGCTCGTCGCCGCGGCCGTAGTAGTCCATGTCGGCTGCTCGGGCCATGTCGGATCTCATGGTGAAGTCGCTGAACGTCTCGGAATCCTCTTCCGAGCCGTTGCGGTGGCCCTGGCCGTTCCCATAGCCGTTCCGATCATAGCCCTGGTCGTAGTAGCCTCCCTGGTTGTTGTAGTAATCATCCTGGTACTGATCGTGATTGTCATAGTAGCCACCATCTTGGTGGTACGGGTTGTTGGGGTCAGCATTGTAATAACCTCTTCAATTCGTGTTAGCAACATCCTCGGAACGCAGCACTCTATACCAGGAAGAGCAACGTACGACTCGTCATAGTACCCTTCACCGTGTTGTTGCCCGCCGCGGTTATTGTAACCATTGTTGTCATAGTACTGCTGGTCGTCCTGGTAGTACGAGTCGGTGTTGCCATTATTGTGGCCATAGCCATCATCGTATTCCTGATGACTTTGGCCCTGGCCTTGGCCTTGGCCCTGCTGATATCCCGACATGCTGGGTAAAGGTCTATGAGAGAGCACGGGTTAGTTACCGCGCGGCTTAGGGAAGGAATCGAAGGCTAGGCGAATGGGGAGGCCCGCTGGCGGGCAAGGCTGGCCATGACGCAAAGTGTCAACTCACTAGATCAGCGGCTCATGAGAAGTTCTAAGAATGGCGTCTCTTCGCTGCTTCGACGTGAAACTCCGGGACGATGCAGTCTGACCCTGAAGCAGACTAGCAAGAGTAAGGCAATGTGATACCACGAGGTAGTGCCGTGCAAAGATCCTTGAGTGGCCCGCAACCGCAGGAAATATCTCGATCGGCGGATACTTTCCGAGTGCTCAAAAGCAAGCTTCTGTTGAGAGGTAGAGGCCGCGCTTGTTGTTGCACAACCAACACTTGGCCAAAGCGAATAAGCGATTGACGGCGCGGTGGGGCGCAGATTGGCAGGTCGACAGGTTGGCTCAGAGATGACGGAACCGCGAGTCGAGATTGACTGACGAGGAAACGATTAAGCCGCCAGAAAACTGCTGGATCTCTTGAATTGTTGTCCTCCCACGATGTTTCTGCGTAGTAATGATTGACGTTGTCACTCTTCTACTTTTTGGTGCGATTGCCTCTGTTGCACGGGGCTTTCGTGTCTCGGTTGATGGAAGCGTGGGCACGAAATGTATTGGCGGCCACAACCCTACGGCGTCGATTCAGTGGCGCAGGTGGTAGGGGGCCGCGACGGCCAGATATCCCCCGGTGGATGTGCCGAAAACGAGAGAGTAGAGGAAGATCTACTAGAGCGAGTGTAGGGAGAGCGAAAGGGGAAAAAAGGCACTGACGAAAGGAAACGAGCGAAGGTGAAAAAGAGCAGGAAAACGGGAGAACTTGGAAAAAGGAGACATTGCGGGAATGGATGGGTTCGTCGTTACAGAAGGAGAGCGGACAAGTCGGCTTGTTGGCGAGGACAGGGGTTGTGAGCCTGCCAGGGGGCTAACAAGGTTGCTGTTCGTGTTCCTTTCAGGTACCAGCTTGGACTCGTCCACACTGTGTGGCAAGCCACTGCACTGCACTGCTCCTCCAGTGGAGGCATGGAGGCCCAGATTCAGGGCAACTTGGATAAATGGTGGCTTTCATGGTGGCAACAGCTCAGGGGTGTTCACACGCTCTTTCAGGCCCTCGAGAAGTCTCCCAACATCCCACCATCGCCATTGATTTCAGTCGACAGACATCTTTACTCACCTGAAGTTGCAGCAGTGGATTCATTTGATCTTTCCTAGCGAAGCTTTGTCTGGCAGGCTGACCTTCAACATTGGCGGGCTCGGGCGGGCTACGGGGCCTTGGCAACTGTCGCCTGCAGCAGTGCGGCCCGCAAAAAGCGGCCGAGATGGATTGAGGAGCACAGTGCGGCAAGAACTTTGCAGCATATCTTTTCATATTACACATATCGTACTCCGTATTGAGTACTTATCGCACACACCCCAGAGTAGGAGGATTCTCCGTACTCTCTACCTGTAGAAGAGGAAGACACATTATGATACGAAGTATCTCTGTAGCCTCGAACGGTCTTTGGTTCAACAGGGCCCCATCGAAGCTTTTTAAACCAATAAGCTGCATTGGTGAATCTGCTTGGCATCCGCTCGTTGGCGGCCAGGTCTGGGCTTGTCAAGCTGGGAGATTGGACTGCGTCAGATTCCCATGCTCCGCCACCCAATTCCCCTTGAACTCAGGGCAAGCAAGTTTCGGCCAGGTAGCCCCCTTGTAAGTGCATACATTGAGGTATGTACACAAGTAAGTACTCCGTCCGTACAATACATACAGTACTGTAAGTGAACAACGTAGGCCTCCACAAGCTTGGCAATTGCAGATGACGGATGGCGAGGAAAAACAGGGAAGCGGCCTCGCTGCAAGCAAACTGTGAGCATCCACCCAGATAGCTGGTAGGCTCAGATAGGGTGCCATGCGAAAGGCAAGTTGTAAAGATTTCCAAGCACGCAGAGGGGAAGAGGGCATGTGGTGAATACTTTAGGTAGGACGCATGCAACTCAGCCAGCAGACACGATTTCGTGGTGAAGAGCGATAACACGAGATACAACAATTCCCGCTAGCTTTCCCACTCGTGCTTGTATGTATACCGTATCTACAAGTACATAACACAACTAGAGGTTAAACAGCATCAACGCTGGTGGAATTGTTCTTTCAGAGTCCACTCCACAAACCACCCTGTTGGAGTGGAACTTTGGAAACTCGGAAGAGTTTGACAAGAACCACCCGACTAATCCGAACACGCGCCCACTCATGTATTATGTATTCTTCCCCAGCAGAGTGGTGCAGCACAAGAACAGATTGATGACTGCTGCAGGAGCTGCGTTTCGGTCTCAACATCTGGCATTGTCGGTGAACGAACGGCCTGTCGTACCCAACGGTGCCAGTTGGGGCACATAATTTTCCCAAGGGTTGGTACAGTACATGCTCGATGACGATGTCATACCTAATCTGTTCTGCCCTGCTTCGGAGCTACTAAACCGGACCGTGGACATTGGAAGAAAAATGCTTGATCGGCGCCTTGTGGGGCGACAGCCCAGCCACGCCGGTCTTGGCAGATTGTGTCGGCGATGCTATCGCTGCTTTTCCCTTTCCTCTTTCTAAACATGGGCTTCGAGCTTGCGCAATCCGTCTAGCAAATCTGAGATGGGGGCCCGATGGGCTTTTGAGACTTGGCCTTATCTCTGCCGGGCCAGGAGAGAGGCTGTCGGCGAGATGCAGTGTGATTGGCGATCGGCACGGAAGAAGAGATCGAGGCTCACGCCGGCTCGCGCCTCACGGACGTCCCATATCGTGGCCGCCGAGACCGACGCCGAATGGACACCGGGTCACCGGTACCTGCGTCTGTCGAGGCTTTTGACAGGCTCACTACGGCGGTGAAGCTAGCTAGCGACATCCCAAGACGGCGACCGATGCCGCAGAGCGTGCGCACCCCTCACCTCGTTATAGGCGAAGCCGTACCGGTTCCCCCGAAGGGTATCCTCATCCAGACATCCACCGCCCCGTGTCAGAGATATGCGCTGTTCCGTCCCGAGTACGGAGGTGGAGATGAGGAATGTTTTATGGCAGCCTGCATCTGACCAGCGTGGGCACAGATGGCACATGCCATCCGCGTCTATGGCGTCCAATCGCCGCCAATAGACATCGCCCTGATGATAGATGATAGGACAAGTAGAGGAGGACGCGCAATAGATATGCTCAAAGGGGCGGAGAGGACACCAGAAGGCAAAGAACAGACATCGTCGCACCGAAACAATGCTTCGCGGTCATGAGCCCGCCACAGGTGTAACACATTCACAATCACCGTTTTGTGCTATTGAGTTTTGTGTTGTGCTACACGTACCCATGTGGCGATGTGCTTCCTTTGCAATGCCCTTCCACGGACAGCCGCATAGGAGTGTATCGCAACCGTCGTGGATTCAAGAGTTGTCCTAAACGAGATACGTATCGATTCAAGAGAGAGTTTAGGAGACAATAGCGGTATCAGTATGGCAATTGTGTCTGGAGTCCCCAAAACTCGAACGCATAAAGTTCTCAAAGTGAATTGTCGCATCGCATCACCTCAAGTGCTGGTGATTACCTATCCGACAAAAGGCCAAATGCCGATGAGATCGTCTCATCTCTACATGGCTAGCCTGGCAGCATCTTACACAGTAGAGCAGAGATAACAATGCATCAGACTTAACGTTGGATCAGATGAGCGTTTGAAGGTCCCGTCCACTCTCAACATAAGGTACCTTATGTGCTTCGTACGAAGCACAGAGATATGCAGTGTACCCGCCCTGCACAGCTGATAATGAATGTTGGTACGCACTGCATTCCAGGGGTTCAAGGGAAGTCAAAGTGAGCGGCCCGAGGTCTGCACTACGGAACTGCTGTGGAGGTCTTTGTGCAACACTCGTTGCCCCTAGCAACCACACAAAGCCGACTTAATTCTCGTGGAGCTCAGCAATCTTTCCAATTTCAATCTGCGCAAATCAGTTATCAGTCTCTTACATTCACTTCAATCCTTCTTAGAGTAAGAGGAAACATGGCGAGATTGAGCAAGCCGCTAAAAGATTGGAGCGACGACGATGATAGCGATGGATTTCCCGGCATCTTTGAAATGACACACAAGCGCCGGAAGCCCTCAAACCAAGATGCATCGTCTGTCCAACTGAAAACCAACGAACTACCGAAAACGGAAAAAGTAGCAAGGCCCCCAACATCGGTGAGGAGGCGGAGGCTCGGCCCTTTGTCAGACAACCTGCTGCTGAGAGCATGGACGCCTGAGAGTGCTGAGCAGGAGAATAGTCCGTGCCGAGAGAAAGAAAACACCGAGGTACGGCGGACAAGAGTTGAGCTACGGACAAGGAAAACGAAGTCAACTGCCCTCTCCATTGCGCACCGATTTGAGGATGAAAACCATGCATCGGCGCAGGATGACTTCAGAGTCGCTGAAGATGTGTCTTCGTTGGAGGACACCTTTCACTCGTGTCTTTCTGAAGGCTCCGAGTTTAGTGACTCCGACACGGACAGTGACAGCGGCAAAGAGAACAATCACCACAGAGCCCCCATCTCTAGCATTATGCGCCGAAAGGGAAAGCCTCCAAAGCTCGACGAGAGGAAGTCTCCAAAACGGGCGACGCAACTCACAAAGGCCAGGGAGAAATCTGCTGCGGCAGTCAAGGAGATGAAAGCAGGTGAAGATGTGGCAGATACATTGTCACGGCTTCGACTGTGAGTGTACTCTCCGCCAAAGACACTGCCACCTTTTATCGTTTCCAGGAATTCGCAGGCTAACCTTTCACAGAGACGACATTGGGGGCCTATTACCAGCTGGGCGAGAAGTGACTCCTCCCTCTAGTCCTACAAAATCCCGACCAGGCCTCGTCTCCCCTAAGAAGCTGCCACGGATCCCTGCCACACCACACCGCCCCAGCTCCGACATCTTCTGGAGCCGAGAATTTGTTGATGAATGGAACGACGAGCACTCGCCGCGAAAGCAACTGTTCCCCGATGCTGCTGCAGCCAAGAAGAAGCGAGTGAATCAGAGCAGCCCCGAAAAGATGTCAGGAAAGAGTGTATGTGGCGAGAGAGTACCAGGCCGCGGCGCGGAGAAGAAGGCCTTCGAGAAAGCAAGACAAGACCTGGCCGACAAGTTCCTCAAGGAACTTGACGCGGTGATCACTAACGGCAGATTGGCCGAGTTGACTGCCCCAACAGGGGGCATCCGGATATTCTGGTCGAATAAGCTGAACAAAACCGCCGGCCGTGCCCACTGGAAGTGCGAGCGGGTCCGGTCTGCTGTCCCAGGAGAAGACAAGGTCATACATCACGCTTCGATTGAGCTCGCCGAGAAGATAATCGACGACGAGCACCGCCTTCTCAACACGCTCGCTCACGAATTCTGTCACCTCGCCAACTATATGATCAGCGGCATCACCACTAACCCCCATGGGCAAGAGTTCAAGGCTTGGGGGGAAAAGTGCTCCCAGGCCTTCGGGAACAGGGGCGTTGTGGTCACGACCAAGCACTCGTACGACATTGCCTTCAAGTTTGTGTGGGAATGCGTCGGGTGTGGCATCGAATACAAACGGCACTCCAAGAGTGTCGACCCGGCCCGGCACCGGTGCTCGCAATGCCAGAGCGAGTTGAAGCAGACAAAGCCCGTGCCGAGACGGAAGAAGGAGGATGGGTCCCCTGCGAAACAGAGCGAATGGCAGATTTTTATGAAGGAGCAGATGCCGCTCATCAGGGCCGAGAACCCCAAAATGCCGCTGAAGGACATTATGAGGATTGTGGCAGCCCGATGGGCAGAGCGGTCAAAGGTCCCAACTCCAGTGCCGGATGAATCTGCCGATGAAGCATCCGAAGGCTGGGAGGACGACAAGCTAGTGATGCTGGACAGGCAGCTGGAGCGTGTGGACCTTGCTGAGGATTAATAGCCCTGCGATACCCTGACTGTTGGCATGCATTGTTGCATACTGAGATTGACGAGGAGGTTCTACATAGTAGAGCTTTGCTGTAATACTAAAGACTACATACATTCGTGAATTCCGTCTCTTCACCTCGCTCCGTCCCTGCCTTTCCCGGCTACCTATCCAATAACTAGATGCGATATCGACAGGCCCAACCTTCCAAGCGCCTGACAATCGTTGTCTCCCACCCCGTACTGAATCCATGTCATGACTCTCCAGTAATAGACACATGAAAAGGTCGTCAGTAGCCCTACAACAACCCGCTTGGAAGGCCATCCGTTCAACCATCCAAAATCCCCTTTCATAGAAACAAACGAGATGACTCCTTTCAGAGCAACACACTATAAAATCATCCACATCCACCTCACCACACCCCAACGCTTTCAAAGTGTCAAATCTGATCGAAAAGACCCCAGTCCTTGACCTGAAAAGTAGCCCATATCTTGGCCGCATGCTCGACCGCATCACCAATGAGCTCGCCCTGCTTGCCCAGCGCCAGGTCCACCTCGTCCTCGTCGTACTCGCCCTTGATGTGGGGCACGTTGATGGTGATGAGCACGTCCGTCTGCTCCTTTTCGAGCCGCACCAGCGTCAGGATCAGCGCCGTGAAGTCGGGCGCCCCCGCCCGCTGCTGCCGAGTCGGCGTGTCGCTAACCCCTCCTCCTCCTCCTGCGTGTGGCGTCTGCGTCGCGATGAGCGTGTAGGCGGGGATGGATTCACTGTGTTGAATGGGGATTGGTTAGATTCATTTTTCTTTGCTGTTTGCTTTCCCTCCGGGGGCAATGGGCGCGAGAGGAAGGGAGGGAAGAGGGTCAGGGGAAAAAGGGGTCAAGTACTCAAGATGTGTAAACTGCGTCTCTGTCGTGTTCCACACTTTGACTGTATCAGCATCGTCGCCAACCAGGTCCTCGAGGTGAGTTGTCAAAGCGCGCCCGTCGCGCTCCAGCCCGCTTCCAGGGGCGTCTACGCGCTCGGTTATGTCGAAGATGATGGATGTGAAGCCATCCTTGTCGATGTAGACTTCTTGGTTGTCGGGGACTTGACGGATAGTGCTGCCGGTAAGAAAGAACGGTCAGCGAAATTGATCGCGTTAATTTCAGATTATCCTGGAGGGCGTAGAGGAATGCGCCGTTTCGCATAAACGTACCTGACGTCGGCAAAGTTCGCGGGCAAGTCGCATACAAGTGCGCCCCCGAAGAGCGGGGTGGTCTTGTACTCCCTGCGCGGCATGATGTGCACAATAGCTTCACTCAATATACACAATCCGGATTATGCCACTCTATGCTTGATGGGTACTGTAGGATATGGTCCGATGAAGTAGAACTCTTGAGTTCGTTCGACTTCGCGACTGGGTCAGGCGGCAGTATCGTTGACTGCGAGAGGATGGCGGGGCATGGCGGGGTACCAGTGTCTCTAGAGCTTGTCATGGTGGCGCAGGCAGCAGTTCATGAAACCCAATCAAGTGCGTGTTTCAATGGACTGTATTACACTTACTGTACCTTGAGCATATCTAGATGGATCGCGCATTTACAAGATACAAATGTGTCCAGTGTTGCTATGCAACATTTGGCAAAGCAGATTGAGGACTGCCCTGTCGAGGTACCTGGTATTTTACCGTACAGTACAGTACCGATCCGCAGTGACGTAGCTTAAACCGAAACCCCGCCATGATTATCGAGGGGCACAGCAGTGCCTTACAGTACCGTAGGTAGTGGACTGAGGGTAATTATCAGGACGTTACACAGTACAAGTCGCGCTCCGGCCCGAACCGTGACGGGGAAGAGCTCACCTGTTAGCGACTCCAGAGCAACCCCTCTCGATTCTCGAATCGACTCTCGTAGGTGAAGCAGTCATCAAGGTGCTCCATCACACTCCATCTCTACCTGGGACAGACCAATGGCAAGCAAAATGGCCTCCTGCATCTTCTGCAAGATTGTCAAGGGCAAGTCTATTCTCAGCTCTATTAGCTATAAGCTTCAATCGACCAAAAACTAACTCTTGGCCTCAACACCAGGAGAGATCCCATGCTTCAAGCTCTTTGAGAGCGACAAGACGCTCGCATTCCTCGATATCATGCCTCTCAGCCGAGGACATGCTGTACGCTTCGCAGTCCCGCCCATCCGAGTTCTTCCCTCCTTTTACGAGCCCACTAACAGCGCTCATAGCTCGTGATTCCCAAGGTCCACGGCGAGAAACTCACCGATATCCCGGATGACCACCTGACAGAGATCCTTGTATGTGAAAACCAATCTATAGATACCCTTATAAGGAAAGGTTTAGATCTAACAAGGTGTTTCCCACCCCAGCCCATCGCCAAGAAGCTCGTCATTGCCACGGGCGCTCAGGAGTACAACATCCTGCAGAACAACGGAAAGGGAGCGCACCAGGAAGTTGGCCATGTAAGTGGACTATACCCTTGACATCGAATACGAGCCGTCAACTAAGTCGTGGAATCTACCCAGGTTCATTTCCACATGGTATGTGCATCATCAACCCTGGGATAGCGAGGCCTGTCCGTTTCTAACTCACAACGCAGATCCCCAAGCCCAACGCACAGGAAGGGCTCGGCATCGGCTGGCCGCAGCAGAAGACAGACATGGATAAGCTCAAGGCGCTTTTTGAGGAGATCAAGTCAAAAATGTGAATCAATGTGATCGCGAGAGCTGCCCATCATGGGCCAAGCAGATGCGTATGTACGTATTGCTCTTGTCAAGAGGCGCAAGAGCAGAATGGCCAAATGTCTTTTCTCAGTAATAGTGCAGAACGAGCCAGCCCAGATCAGCGGGCCGCATCCGCAATACTCCTATAAGATCGTACAGTGCATGTAACCCCCGTTCGCCGACTACTGTGGAAGTTGATATATGCTTCTGTTTCCACATCGACAAGCCTAATCAATATCATCTGGTGAGGTAACAATAGCAGAAACAGGTGCGGCAGCAGGTGCAGCAGCGGAGGCAGCGTTCACTCCATTCGCTGTCTCGATTTTGCCCTCAGGATACCAATTGAGCTTGCCCCCAGGCTGAAGAAAACCGGTCCGATCATAATACGAACGGGCACGGATATAGGGGTCAAGGTTCCAGTAGTCGTCGCGGAGCTTGGCCGCGATCGAGTTCCGCCGCGCTTTGATCTCGGTCGCCTTGTCACCCTCAGGGTTCTGAATCCACTCGAGCGTGGCGTCTTCATATGCCTTGTACAGCTCTTCCCTGGCCGCCAGCATCCGGTCCCGTGTTTGGGTGTCATTAAGCTTATCGTTCTCGCCCTCAGCTGGTTCAACGTATTGGTACGTCCAGTCCTCTTCACCGTCGAGATCTTTAGGTATCTGCTTCAGGCTGATGAACTCTTCCATTTCCTTAGCGCTGTTGGTGAAGTGAACCTTGTTGGCGACGACGGGGTCGAGCCAGCCTCGGATCACCTTCCAAATGCCTGGCTTGTGTCAACGGCGGATTCCCACTGGCGCTGTTGGGAAAGTACTTACCCTGGAAAATCCAGGGGGCCTTGTGCACCAGTACCGCACCCAGGCACTCGGGATAATTGGCCTCGAAGCACTTGATCATGAACTTCACAGGCGAATAATCCTGATCTGGTCAGCGATCGTATCATCACGGAGCTGAATATAAACCTACCATATTCGCCATGGAAAACCCGGTCATGTCGAATACAACGGTCTGTAATCGTTAACAAGCGGTAGGAGGTCTGCGATGGGTTCGACTTACGGCCGTATCAACAGGCGGTTGGAGCAGCATGCGGCAGGTCTCGATGAGATACACGGTGTATCTCTCCATGGCCGCCTCCTCTTGCTCCCCTTGCCTGTGTAGCCTGACATTCACAAAACAGAGGGGCCTCCCCAGCTTGTCCGTGCCGTGCACATAACTGATGCCCTTCCTGAGCTGCGTCATGAAATCGTGCGCAACCTTCTGAACCGCGGCATCACTGCTCTTCTCGGCTGCCAGCGCAGCAGCCTCACCATTTTTCATGATATCCTCATCGACCTTCATCTCGTGGGCCCGCCATTTCATGGTTGACACGAACATGATTAGGGCCCTGTCGACGTCCCATTTGCGCGCTCTTAGGAACCGAAGGATGAGGGCATCCGGATGATCGTGCTTCACCATGCTCCAGATAGTATTACGGATAGACTCCGGTGACTGACTGGCAAGTGTTTCATAGAAATCTTTTGTTTGCCCGTACTTGTCTGCCTCCCCGTCTTTTCCCAGGTTGAGCACGACGGGAGCATTCGCGGGCGCGGAATTTGAGTTTGCCTCAGATTCCTTCTTGTCTTTGCGTGAGAAGAACGACATCCGGCTTTTCTTTGCCTTCTTAGCGTCGCCGTCCGCCTTGTCACCAGCCACAGCTGAAGCGCTGTCTGCACCGGCATCGTTCTGCTCCTGGCCAACCCCACACACCTGGAATATTAGCTGCCAGAGGCGTCTGAGCTTCTCCTCTTGCTCAGGGGTCAAGTTTCCAGGACGGCCTGGCGGTATTTCTGCGGCCATATCGACAAGCTCGGATAGCTCCTGGGTATCTTGTCTGCTTGTCCTCTCTGGCCGGGCAACGTAGTAGACGGATAGGGCGACTACAGCAGCCGAGACAGCTAGAAGAAGCCCCGAAAAGGAGGCTCGTAGAGTGCTACTGCGAGCGCGCCAGATATGTGCTGGGTAACAAACTCCTTGGTATCCGGTACGCAGGAACCTTGCAGAACTGCCAACGCTAATGGCGCAGGATGCCGGGAGCGTGAAGTGCGCGCGGTGAAGACTGGCGAGTTGGGCGCAGCGGGACGGTTGGGCTAAGCCTGTGATAGCAAGAGAAGGGAATGCTGATTGAACAATATAGGCCGAGCGAGAAGTGAGACGCAGCGAGGTGTGCATGGAGAAATCCTCCCAAGAATCTCTACGCAGAAAAATCGAGAATGACGATTAGCGGCGGCTAACAAATGCAGTTGGGCACTGTCTGCGCGCCAGCCCTCTGTACAGCCCCGATTGATGGCAGGACAACCCTAGCTCTGCAGGCGCTCCCGTGTCAGCTCGAGGTGCAGCACGGCGCAGCACACCAGATTCAAAACGAGCTTAGCATCCGAAGGCTCACCGTGCGGTCAACTAGATTCGTTGGCGACCAAGAGCTATTCAAAAAGACACGGCGAAAAGGGGCGGTTGAGAGTTACAGAATGAATTGAGCAGGATAACACGCGTACCGGGTACCTGACATTAACGTTGCGATAGCGGGGCACGAGTCGCATGACGAGGACGCATGTCAAGACGTGGGAGGACCTGACCAGGGTCAAAATGGGAAAAGAGTTTTGCAGGAATAGCCCCAACTTTGCTAGGGCAAGCCCGGCTACTTAGATTATGTAAATCTGGAGCTTCTACTGAAATCCTCTCTTCCGGCTCTTCCGCAGTCACTGTGATGAATATAATTCTTAACAAAGACTCTCTCCAAGTCGGGTCACTCGGGTGCGAAACTGTCGCCTGCTCCTGATGGAGACCCAGAAAGTGACGTAACATATGTACACGTATGTAACGTAATTTACGCTAGTGGGGTTTCGTATCGATAAGAAGCCAACGGTGGGGGGCCAATTGAAGTGAGAGCAATCGAAGTCGAAGAGCTCCGTCGTCCTGGTAAACAAAGACGGTTCCTACTGAACAACAAGACGACAATTCTATCGCTAGCCCAAGCACTCGATTTACGAAATGGCAGGCGACGATACCAATCCCTCTGGCCGACAACGCGCGCGATCGACGTCCCGCTCTCGTCCAACGACACCGCTTCGCCCATCGTCACGTTCTTCGTTCCGTGACTCGGCTCGCAACAGCGTGCAGGGCGAGGCCCCTTTCCCTCTCAACGCGTTCGAGCCAGCCTTTGCCGAGCTATCTGACGCCATGGCCGACCTTGAGGCCAACATGATGCACTTTCAGTTGATGCACGAGAGCCTGGCCCGCTTTAGCGAAAGCTTTGCGAGCTTCCTGTATGGGTTGAACATGAATGCGTTTTGTGTCGATTTCCCAGAGGTGCGACCCTGAATAAAGAGGACTTGTGGTATCCATAACGAAATGCTGATGGATCCTCCTGATGTATAGGGTCCGATAACGGAGTCATTCAAGCGTATGAAGCTGCAGGAAGAGCAGCAGCAGCAGCAGCAGCATAGTAGGTTCTGTCACGCAGAATAACACGACGTGGAGGCTGATATAAATTGTTAGATATGACAAGGGTCCCTGAGCGGATGACGGCCGAGACCGACACCGAGGCTACATTCATGTGTGTAACCCTAGGACTAACCTCTCCATCGGGCACTGACACAGTTTCAGGACGACGGATACCTCGTTTGTGGAGAATCCCTCAACCTCGTCCAAGTCAACGCCAAGATACCGGACGCCAGGTCCTTCAGGTCGCCAATCACGACTACCGCCGCCATCTGTCAGGGGGACGGTGTCTGCCAGAGGAACGGCGGCGAGAGGCGCACGTGGAGCCGCCCGGGGTACTCGGCCGAGTGGGCTTGCGCGAGCTAGAGGACGGGGGGTGAGCTGAAGGCTTTGGGACAAAGAAATCTCTCTGCCTCATGCGCGCCAAGAGCCAGATCCTGGACGGCATCTCATCTGGATGGCCGATACATGAACACCGTGCCGAGACCCGCTACTCAGACACGTTGACCCCGGAGCGGGCAGCAACTTTGCGCGAGCCTTGAGGTGTTTGGATGTAGAGGGAGAAGGATAGGGACGAGGACGGAAGTGCCGAAGATCCGGTCAAGAGCTGTCTATGGCTCGGTCCAGATATTCTTTGGCGCGCCTCAGACACTCATCTTCAGCAGAGTTTATCCAAGATCCGGCTGCCGCAACAGTCTTGCTCCTGGACTTGAGGCCCTGGGTGATCTGCAAGTCTGACTTTGGCAGATCGAGCACCTGTACGGCAGAATTAGAAGAAGCATGCGACTTGTGTGATACAATACACACCTCGCTCAAGACCCTGACAACCGCTTTGTTCGCTTCGCCTTCGCGCGCCTGTGCAGCCACACAGATCTCGACGGCTTCTTCATTGACTGCCGCGATACCCTCGCGGTTTTTGTTGGTCCCAGGCTTGACATTGCAGCGCATGTAGAGCGTGGCTTTGGGAGCTTTCCTCGTACCAGCAACGTACCAGAGAGCTCGGGTTGACATGCCGGAATTGGAACCCGCTGGTCAGGACCTATGTGCCTACTGTCACCTCAGCGGAGGGACAACTTCAATGAATCTCGGCGCTTGGGTGGCACCCCAGTTTCGCCCGAGCGGTAAATAGAAAGCTGTTTAGGTGACCTGTGGAACAAGAACGCTTTTATAATTGCGGAAGTCATGCACTTGGGTATTGATGATCCTCGCTCGCCTGAATGATCGTGATCAACAATCATTCACTTGCGGCGAGTGGGCGCTTGGATCAGATCTGGCTCGAAAGCTCACTACTTTAGCGGCTCAATATTGTACTTGAAGTCGTATAGAGCGAGGGTCGTGTTCAGTTCCAAGGGCCTCACGCCAACGCTGTTATCTCTGGAAATGTGAAAGAGTCGACACCGTAGGACCTCATAAGCCATTGAGCATGGCGTTCCACTGGTAACATTGTGTATACTGTATGCTGTAAGTTACAAACCACACCGTAACCCTAACCCTGCCCTTCATGATGTCACCTTCTCACACCCAGCTGAGTTGGGAGAGGGACATCCATTTCATCCAGCAGCACAGCGATCGACTCTCCCATCCACACCAGAACCAATTGCTGGTTCCAATCGTCCCCAAAACCACCAATCCAACGTCAATCCGTCCGCGCTGACAAGGTCTCGAAACACGAACCGCAAAATGTTACGTCCCTCAACCCTCCGTCCGCTGGTTTCCTCAGCCCTGCGAGGAGCAACAACAGCAACAACACGGACAACACGAAGCTCCTTCCACACGACGGCGCGCGCCGACATCAAGGTGGGCGACCCGCTGCCGGACCTGGACGTGCTGATGGAGGGCTCGCCGGGGACGCGCGTGAACCTGGCCAAGGAGGCGCAAAAGACCAACAACATGCTGCTGATTGGCGTGCCGGCCGCCTTCTCCCCGGCCTGCTCGGCGACGCACATACCCGGCTACGTCAAGCACCCGCGCACGAGCGAGTTTGAGAGCGTCGCGGTGGTGTCGGTCAATGACGTTTTCGTGTGAGTACTATTAATAGGCTGTCCCATCTCTCTACGCTCGATCCCGCTATGTGCTTTGCTGGATAGCTGGAGGTGAAAGAATGAGAGCTAATTGAGAGGTTTTGGGGGGATTATAGAATGAAGGCGTGGGGCCAGACGCTTGATCCAGCTGGGACTCTTGGGGTAATTCCGACAACAGATGTTTTCTGACTGCCTTCCTGTGGAATACTGACAGCTTGTATGTAGATCCGTTTCTTGGCCGATCCCACCGGGGCGTTCACAAAGGCGCTCGACCTGTCGTTTGATGGCTCGGCCATCTTTGGAGGTGACCGGTCGAAGCGCTACGCCATTGTCATAGAGCAGGGCAAAGTCAAGTCGGTCGCCGTGGAACCGGACAACACTGGTACCAATGTGTCGACGGCGGAGAAGGTTCTTGGGCCTGCGTAGCGTGACTCTACGTGATCGCGGTAATACAACATCGTCATGTCATTTGATAGATGGCCTTAGTTGTCATCAATTCCTCGCAGGGGTATGAAGTCGCAATATAAAAGGAAGCCAAAATCAGCCGCTGTGATACATCTCCCGACCAAGCCGTCAACCACAAGCTATTTATCGTATGGTACAATGTTAACCCACCAATGCTAGACAGAGAACCTCCGCCGTACTAACCATTCCAATATCCAATTTCACTATTTCCTCACTCAGAGCATAGGCTTCAGGTCATCAGCCACACGGAAGGGAGCCTCGGTTTTGGCCTTGATCTCATCGACAGTCACACCATCGGCAATCTCGATCAATGTCAGCCCGTGGGCAAAATCAACGTCAAAGACGCCCTGTTCCAGCACCTATTAGCGTCTCATAAACCGGCTGTCGGAACTTAGGAAAACATACCAGCTCGGTGATAATCCTCGACACGCAGGCCTTGCCCGTGAGCGGGAAGGCGCACTGCTTGACAATCTTGGGGTTGCCCTTCTTGTCTGTGTGCTCCATCGTCACCACAACCTTTGTCGCGCTAGGGTTGCTGACCAAGTCCATGGCGCCACCAAAGCCCTTGACCTTGCCCGGCAACATCCAGTTGGCAAGGTCGCCCGTGGCGCTGACCTGCATTGCGCCCAGGATGGTCAGGTTGATGCGGCCGCTGCGGATCATGCCAAAGCTCTCTTCGGACCCAAACACCGAAGCCCCCGGCTTGAGCGTGACCGTCTCCTTGCCAGCGTTGATCAGGTCCGCGTCTTCCTCGCCCTTTCGCGGGTAGGGGCCCAGGCCGAGAATGCCGTTCTCGCTCTGCAGCATCACCTCGACGTCCTCGCCGACGAAACCCGGCGCCAGCATGGGCATGCCGATGCCCAGGTTGGCGTACATGCCGTTCTTAAACTCCTTGGCGGCGCGCCGGACGATGCGCTCGCGCTTGGCCTTGGTGTCGCCCGTGCCCAGAGCGGCGGCGGCCTTGGGATCCTCGGCGGCCTCGCTCGGGTCCTTGCTCCACGTGTACTTTTCGATGTTCTTCTCGGCGGTGCTCTGAATGACCCGCTTAACGTAGATGCCGGGGAGGTGGACCGCTTCGGGCGGGATCTCGCCGGGCTCGACGATGTGCTCGGCCTCGACGATGGTCATCTTGGCATTGCGGCCCATGGCGCCGTTGAAGTTGTTGGCGGCCAGGCGGAACTGGCAGTTGCCGAGCCGGTCGGCCTTGTACGCCTTGACGAAGGCGTAGTCGCCTGCAATTGCATGCTCGAGGAGGTAGCTCTTGCCATTGAACACCTTGACGTCCTTGGGGTATGAGAACTGGTCCGGGGTGCCGTCGGGCTTGTTGCGTAACGGCAGCTCGCCGGTCTGCACGACAGTGCCGAACGCGGCCGGAGTGTAGAAGGCGGGGATGCCCTTGCCCCCCGCTGCACATCGTTCGGCCAGTGTCCCTTGGGGCGTTAACTCTAGCTCAACTTCGCCCGTTAAGTACATGGTCTCAAACGTCTTGTTCTCGCCAATGTAAGAGGCAATCATCTTCTTGATCTGCTTCGTCTTGAGTAGCTTGCCGAGGCCGCTGTTATCGGTACCGGCATTGTTGGAGACAGCTGTTAGACCCGTAATCTCGGGCTTGTTGAGGACCTCATTGATCAGCGTGTCCGGCACACCGCACAACCCAAAGCCGCCGCAGAGAAGTGTCGTGTTTGGCTTCATGTCCTTGAGAGCCTCGGCGGCCGAGGGGTAGACCTTGTTGATTTCGGCGCGGCGGGCGGTGGCCGAGAAGGCCCGCGCAAAGAGCGCTGCATGCTGTTGTGCGCCATACTGTTAGCAAGGCGAGACAACTTGAAGCCAGTGAGAATGGTTCATCGCGCACATTCTGGCCGTACTTGGCGTAAGCCTTCAGCGTCCTTATGCACAGGGCTGTCGACGGCATCTTTGTGAGTCGGGGGTGTTGGACGGCTCAAGTGCCTATGAACCCCTCTGCAATTGATGGGCAGTCAATGGAAAAGAGGATTGGACGGCAACGGATCGAAACAGGGAAACAGACAAATGGGATAGAAAATCAACAGTAAGGAAAGGCAATAAGGTTCCGACTGAACCGTCGTTGGCACTAAAATGGTACAGTACCTTGACCCCATGGCAGCGAAAGCCGCGATCGGTCCCAATCCCGTTATCCCGTGAATGGCCGACGGCACTGCCGTAATGTCTAGTCTCGGCAAGTCTCCACCTTCGGAAAAGCAGCTCGGCAGCGGGAGAGTGTTCACCCCAACCCCACCGACCTGGGCTGCCGCACGGGAATATCCATACCGGCTCTTGACAGACAGCGCCTGGGGATTAACGTTAGTATGTACTGCCGTACAGTACTGTACCTACTGCACCGATGAAGAGGATGCAATGAAGGATCAGTGTGTTCTGATATACTCCATACATATCTTATTTCTCATTTATTTATTATCCTTTTGAAAAGTTTCCATGAGTCCATTTCTACTTCCCCGCGACGTCATCGCTCCTCTGATGGAACACGGACGGTGCGAGCGCAAGTTGACCCCAAACCCGTGACCAGTCCTTGCCGTCAGGTGCAGAACAAGGGGCGCACAAGCGAAAGTCGGGGCAAGGGAGTGGGGTCACAAGCACGACTCCAGAAGCCGAGAATGTCTGGGTTCCATTCCTGGAACTCTCCGACTCGGAGACCTCTACGTTCCCCACTTGACCAGGTGGACATCTTATAGAGCATCCGAGTCCGTGATGAAACGAGCATTGCATGGCACAGGTGGCTGGCAAAATGCTTGAATTGTTCACGATACAGGGCTGAGAGGAAGTGATGCAAACCTGAGGGTCGTTCTTCGTTGTTCTAATTCGTCCTTGTCTCGTCAATGGTCAAAATAAGTCAAAACACAAAGAGCCCTGCCTGTCCGTACCACCCAATTCCCCCAACCGCTGGACCCGACGTCCCAGGCCAAGCCCAAGCCCGATCCCTTCCAACCTTCTACATAGATATATTTACACCAAGCGATCCAGGCACCTCGCCAATGTTCAAACTCCTGTAATGTGCCCGCTCTATGCCTGCCCCTGCGCACCGCATGCTTGAACACGCTATGCGAAGTGCTTCTAGCTGCCCCTGATGCTCCGCTCTGGATCAAGGGATCCTAAAAAGCTCAAATTGTATGCGTAACCGCTGAATACGTAGAGCCATGCTACCGCTGATTAGACAGACACACAGTCCTTTCTAGTTCCTCATCAGTGCGCTGTGGGGTGCTCAGTCCGTCCAACACATCAGCGTCGAGTGCTCGGTCCGCCATTAGCTCCCGAACCTGTCAGCTCGACGTTGAAAGTCCATCGCCCTAACCATGGTCAGCAGTGCAACAAAGACAGTGAGTGGTCCTGGGAAATCTTACCTTCGGCGAGGTTCATGGCTGTGTCCTCTAGAAGAATTACCCGCCGCCTGTTGCAGTAGGAGGTCTTATCCATGATTTCTACTTTCAGCTTTGGGTCTGCGAGTTCCGTGACCGGCTTCTCAAACATTGCCGACAACGCTTCCACCGCCATCTCCAAGTCCTTCTGATTGTCCTCGAAGATCTCGGTAAGGTTGTTGCGGGCAAGGTAAAAAGCAAAGGCATACGTCCACATCAGGGTCTGCCGGCAGGTCTGGAGGGCCTGCGAGGCCGAGTTGAGATACTGGACTTCGATCCAGGACATGCCCGACTCCTTTTGTAGCTGCACCATCTTCTTCTCCGTCTTCACATAGATATCCTTGTCCAGCCGGGCCGACTGCTCGTGATTCGCATACCGGTTGTAGTAATGCAGATAGCGCTCCAGGGATACGCGTGACCGAGCTTGAGCATCTCGGGCTTCAGTGCCGCTCTTCTCTTCGTATCTGTTGCAGCTGTACCAGGCAGTGCCGTGTTCGGACCAAAGACCCATGCACATCCAACAGAACTCGTGCTTGCATTTGCGGCACGTCATGTGGTTGCAACCTCCATTCTTTTCTATCGTGCTATTGCACTTTGGGCACTCCTTGGTGTTGGCCGAGATCCAGTTGGCCGTCTCCGAGTCGTCGGCGCACTTCTTGAGCCACTTCTTCACCAGCTCACATGGTGCTGGTTGATGGTCGTTCAAAATGCAGCCGAAGCAAAATCGATGGCCGCACAGGCAAGACACCGTGGGAACCACCCTGTCGAGGTCCTTCTTTTTGACTCCGCATTCGATAGCATTCTGGCAGTCGGGAGCAGGGCACCATTTCAAGGTCTCCTTGTCCTCAACATAAGTCCGGTTGAGCAGCTCGTGGTATCGCTCCGTCAGCTCTGGGGTCACGAGGATATCCAAGGATCGGGCGTCGATGATCAAACTGCACCCCTCCGACGGACACTGGATGCGTGCTGCTTCACCCTCCTCGCGGATCTTTTGCGAAAGGTAATGACGGTAGCAGTCGACGCAGTATCTGTGTCCGCACTTGATAGCAAACGACTGAAGTCCCGGCCCATCCTCGCAGCAAATGTCGCATGTAAAGCCGGGGATGGTCTCCATCTTAGGGGGGCCGGCGGCCGACCTGGAGAGACCAGCAGCGTCAAGGACTTTGCCTGGTCTATCCATATAGTCCTCAATCAACCTCTCTTTGTTCCATCGGAAGTGGCGGAGTAGAATAGCCGCCTCTTCCTTGGAGATGTCTAAGATCATGTTGACTTCGTCTATTAAGTCATCCTGTTGTTTCTGAATGTCGCCCGGCTGGTAGACCTTGAAACTGACATCATATGCGACTCTTTTCTTTGCCCCAATCTCCTTGTGCATATCGATATCCGGATCGGGCTCATCGTCGAAGCCAAAATCTGGAACAAGCCGTATTAGTATCACTGTTACAGGAGACTTCGAGAACCGAATGACTCGGTGCAAACATCTGGGCAGGAACCGACCTTCGACACCGGACATGTCCTCATTCTCGCTATCATCTTCTGGGAGCATGTCGTCCTCACTGGACATAGCGGACAAGAAGTCGTCGTCAGTGTCCATTCCGCCGTTTGAAGCACTTGTTAGTGGAGTAGGAGGTTCCGTGTCGAGGCCGGCTGAGGCGAGGATCCTCTTGTTAGGGGCGGAGTCGGTAGAGGATATCGTCGCCTCAGCGGCTTTCCGCTTGCGAGTTGTAGGGGGAATTGTGCCGGTCTTTTTGTATGTCGTCAGCTAGGTACTGCGCCCGAGCCACCTGCCAGAGCGCAGGCTACAAGACCTAGCGAGCAGGGAGGGCCCGTGTGAGGCTTGACTAGGAAATTCGACGACGTTTGACCGCAACGCAACGACAGCGGTCGTTGATGGCAATCGAGTCAAGGGATCGAGCGGCAACCTTTGAGGGCGTTTGGGCCAGCGATCACCGCTTCGTGAGTGTCTTGGCAGGGACGGATGATACGGGCTTGACGGAGAAGTTGAGAAGTCTCACTTGGGACAAACCCGTGCGAGGGATCGACGAGCAAGACGTAAAGACAAGCACGTCAGGCTGACAGCGGAGTGTGCAGTTGGGGAGGGTCAGGCGAACATTCAAAGTGGGAGAAGCAGGCCCGAGCCGAGAGAGGGCGACAATCATGGCATGGTCCGCAGCGAGTGGTTGGATTATGTAACACGAGAGTCATTTCGCCCTCGCTGCACTGCAGTGTCTCATCTGCCTGCACAGTCCAGACAGCAACAAACGGCCCCATGAGGCTAGGCAACTGCGGCCTTGCAAGGGAACACTGAGCCAGCCCCACAGCCAACCAAAGACGGGAGCCAAGGATAGCGTCCGATCTGGAGCCCTTTTTTGCGCAGGTTGGGACGCGAGCGAATGACAATGAAAAGGCTGCTGCAATTCGCCTCGCAATTCACTGCAAATCAGTCAGAAATCGCACAGTGATCCCTGAATTTGCCAGAAGACTGAGAAAGTTGAACCACTTAACAGCAAGGTGGGCTCGCAGGGGCAGGGCCGCTGGCGCAGTTTTCCTCCAGAATTGGCGCACTTAAAGATTTGGGAAAGCTGGTGTTTGCCACTGGCTTATCAAGATTGATATTATGCCGGAAGCCGGTGATCGCAGGTCCCCTCCGAGGAAATTCGAAGATAGCACCCGGTGCAGCGAGCGGAGAAGACATCGTGATGACGAATACGAATCCAGCAGAGGCGGCCATCGGTCTGGATCGCGAGAAAATGAGTACCGGCGGCGCTCAAGGTCACCCGGGTTGAGAAACGAGCGAACGCGGTCGAGGGACAGAGAGAGGAGGAGAGACCGGGACCGCGAAAGACGCAGGAATAGCAGCGGGGAGAGGGACCGTCGAAAAGTGCAAAGCCCGGACCCTCCGCGCTCGAGGCACAAACCCCGACGTACCGCTGACGACGACGACCAATTGAGATCCGACGGCAGACGAAGCCTCATCAAGCGCTCTGGTCCATTACCCTCCCAAAATGACTCCTTCGCGCTAAGTAAAGGCGAAGAAATCGAGAAGCCCAAGGAAAAGCCGAATTTTGGGACTACTGGGTTGCTAGCTGCTGCTTCCAATTCGGTTACCCAGGCTGACGGAAGCGTTATTACACTGAAGTACCATGAGCCCCCGGAGGCCAGGAAGCCACCCCCGCGCGATATGTGGAAACTTTTTGTGTTCAAAGGGGACGACGTCATTGACACCATTGAATTGAGCACACGAAGTTGCTGGCTGATTGGGAGAGAGCTAGCCGTTGTTGATATCGCAGCTGAGCATCCCAGCATCAGTAAACAGCACGCTGTTATTCAGTTTCGGTATACGGAGAAACGCAATGAGTTCGGTGACAAGATTGGCCGGGTGAAGCCGTACCTGATCGACCTGGAAAGCGCAAATGGCACCCTGCTTAACGACGAAAAGGTACCAGAAAGCCGGTATTTGGAGTTGCGCAACAAGGACGTGATTCAGCTCGGCTCGAGCACGAGGGAATACGTGATCATGCTTGCGCCAAGGGATTGAGAACAGCAAACTGAGCCACCGAAGGACCTGTTCCTGACGTGTCTGACATCGGCGGCGAGGCACCTCATTCTCTCAGCACGGCCACCCCTCGACTCAGGGTTCACATTGCTAAAGCTGTTTGCTGAGGGACAGGGCGATAACCTGCTGTGTGGAGAAGCCGTCTACTTCTCTATCGGCAATGTTGCACCGAGGCTGCGAGCTCAGTCTTGCGTGGGCGCTTGACGATAGAACATTGAGTACTCGACCGTCATCCGACCCGGCTCTGAGGAGTCACATGGTGGCACAACAGATCTATCATACAACTGCCATCCTCCCAAGCTTTGGTTGATATTCGGAGCAACCGAAACAATGGTCCTCGGCGTCTGGGTGGCTTCGAGTTTCGTTGCACAATTTTGCATCCCGGCTAGAGAGAAGGCTCGCAAACTGATGGATTGCGCGGAAGCCAGGCCGCGGTGTATACTCGCCTCATCAGCAAATCAACAGATTGTAGGAGCCTAGCTGGGCGGAGGTGGCGATTTCCAGGCTGCCTTTTGGACAGATTGCTGACGAAGGCGATGCCGTATACATAGATATTTGGAAGAGCCTACTAGGCGTTCTAGTTTCAGGGGAACTATATGAGGCTGTAAGAGAGGCCTTCGATCCACAAACAATATCTCGCGGCCCTTCGGCTTTCACTTACACGTGCAGTATCGCTTGCGGGCGAAATACCATGACGCATTCAATCCATTCATTCGCGGGCGATCCCATGTGCTTAAATGCCGGTCACTCAAGTCGTTAGTACCGGTGGCGCCGCTGCATCGCAACCCTCCTTTGCAATGCCGCCTTGGCTGTTCCAGCTGAGGGCGCCAGGTAAAGCCTGGCGAAGGGGTTGACACACACCGAGCTCAGCTTTCGAAGGGGCAACGAGTCTTTTGGCCATGGCTTTTGGCCGCTGCCTCGCCGCGTCCCGCGCCGCGTAGCTTGGCGGTAACGTTCAACGGGATTGAGCCAAGATCGGAGATTTGCGCGAATCGCAGGCGAAAACTGACAGACATCCATGATACTTCGCCCAGCATCCGAAACATATTTTTTTGGGGCAGAACGCCCAAGGAGGGCTCAGCTGCCACACGGTTGGCCAGCCCCGTGACTGCCCTTCCCCAGGTCCCTAGGTTGCATTTGCCCGGGTGCAGCTGCCTTGCCCGGATATGATCCCCATAGGACAGTTGCAGATGTGGTCCTGCGTCCAGGTCCGATGATGGGCAATCAGCGGGTCCAGCTTGCCGCTATGAAGAAAACTACAGCAAAATAAAACGTCCAAAAGGACAGGACCGAGACACGATCACGTCGCATGCTAGTATTCTGTGTAATTGTCTTTGAACCGGATATTCTTATAGTTGGTGCCCCTCGGCCTCGGTGCGTGGCTGAGCATCAAGGCAAAACACGCCCTGGAAGTGGTCATAAATGGGTTACCTACCTGCCCAAGGTAGTGTAGGCTGGCTCATCGTGTCAACTTCTGTCCTGCGTCCTAGCCATCCCTTATTTAGGCGGAGCGACAAGAAATGGTTAGGAGTCCTGTCCATACCTCTCTCCTGGTCATCGGCAGGTAGCAGAATAGCAAAGGATGGTGAGTGCCCCGTTTCTTCTTGACTTTCCAGTTGCAATACCCCCACTACGGCTCCTTACCCCCATCAGCGCGAAGGGAGGTCCCAGCAAGCAGCTGCACAGCTTGCTGACCACAGTGGACAACCCCCTGTCCGCTGCGAGGGCGGCCCGGGCCGTGTCCGAAGATGCTTCCACCAACTACACCACACTTCGCAGTTCATGATGACCACTCGCCAGAAACCGGGTCTGTTCTAAACTGACCAGACGATCTCAGGAATCCTTCAACAAGAATCCGACGGAGAGGGATATCACGGCGGTATACCGTCATCCAGAAGCCAAGGCCGACATTGTCCTTGTCCATGGCCTCAACGGGCATCCCAAGAAAACATGGACGTCCAAGAAAAACCAGGTGTACTGGCCCACCGATCTGCTGCCAAAATCATTAGGCGATCAGCACGCCAACGTGCTGGTGTACGGGTACGATGCCCAGGTCACCGGTCACCCGAGCAAAGACTATGTTCACGACCATGCCGACACCCTGCTCGCAAAACTCACCTTCTACCGCCAGAGTGAGGGCACCGAGCGGCTCCCCATCATTTGGGTGGCACACAGCCTTGGTGGCATCGTGACCAAGTGCGCGCTCCTGGCGTCGTACAATATCGGAACCCACCAGAAAGAATATCTACGGTCGATATACGTGTCCACCTACGGCATTATATTCTTGGGCACGCCGCACAATGGGTCCAATGCAGCCAACTGGGGGCGAACGATACAGCGGATGGTGAAGGCTTCTACATTGGGCATGTTTGACTCGTCGTCCACGCTCCTCAAGACGCTCATGAAGGAAAGCGAGATCCTACGCTATGTCAGCAACAATTTCTTGGAAATCCATCAAAACTTTCAGATTCATATGGTCCATGAGATGCTCAAGACGGATGCAAGGTTATTCAAGTAAGTTGAGTCTCCACCGCACACAGAGTCTCTGCGACGCTGAAGGGAGGGGCGGCTAGTCTGATACTAACTACACCCAGGATTGAAGTCGTCGAAAATTCGTCGGCCAGCCCTCAACTTGCTGGCGTCACGTACTACGGCATCGACGCAACCCATTCGGGAATGTGCAAGTTTGAGAGTGAACAGGCGCCGGGGTACCGGATCATCTCCACCGCGATACGCCAATGGATTGCCGCATCCAGGGATACTGTTCTACCCCGTTGGGGATTTGAAGAAGACGATCGTCGGCGAAGGGCGAACCTGGATGTATTCGAGCGCCTGCGGAAGTACGGAGTAAGTTTGGATTTGCCCTGGGTTGGGGCATCTTATACTGACTTATTACCAGCCAGGAAATGAGGTTGGCTCTCATGCACGCCGACATTCCAGTGGTACGTTTCCCCCAACAGCCGTCCATCACTGCCTTGAGTCGCAGCTCTCGGACAAGAGCCAGGCGCCCAAAGGGGTTTACGGACTTCGGCGCGCAGTTGCAATATTGACGCTAATCCACTTCTTCTCATGTGTAGTGAAGGTCCGCAACATTATTCCTGCCCTCGAAACAAATCTCAACAGCGACCACCCGGAGCCTGGCCCGCCACTACTGCTAACTGACCAGCCACGCCAAGATCAGAGACCCCTTTTACCTGGCCCAGAAGATCCCCCTGATTCCCCTGCGAGGGATCGAGCGGAGCCGAGATTTGTCCATCCCGAAATGTTCCGCCCGAATTCGTTCTTCATCGGCCGTGAGGACGAACTGAGAGCCCTGCACGAAATGCTTATGGACCGCAGGCGTAGGTCTGAAGGGACATCCGCCGTGCTCATACATTGTCTCCCTGGTGGCGGCAAGACTCACCTTGCGCGGCAGTACGTCTTCAAGCATAAAGAAGATTATCCTGGAGGAGTATACTGGGTGCGGGCAAAATCGCGCCATGACATAGAGTCATGGTTTTGGCGCTTTGCTGAAGACGAGGGTCTTCGAGATGTATTGGACCACAGGGATCTTGAAGATCTTCGCGACACAAAGAATGTCATCCGCACCGTCAGGAAGTGGCTTAACGCTCGGACAGGCTGGTTGATGGTCTTTGACGGTGTTCAATTCGATATGCCCGACCTGCCAGAATTCATCCCCGATGCTAGGAACACGAGCTTGATATTCACATCAACCGAACAAGCTGTGGTCGGCGATCCACGGTTCGATAACCCTCAGGGTCTGCACCTAGGTTTGCTCACCGCTGAGGAGGCTCGAGATCTCCTCCTTCTTGAGCTTGAAATGGGAAGGAAGCATCCATGGACAGAAGATGACCGAGCTGTGGCCCTCGAGCTCGTGCAGCTCATGGGCCGGCTTCCACTCATGATCCATGTGGCTGCGCAGCACTTGAAAGCGACGAAGGAACCGCTGGCTCGCTACCTCAAGTCCTACAAGGCTCGACCCAAGGCAGGCGGTCTGTCCGCCTACAAAGCGGTGCGAGAACAGCTCCAGCTCCGGACCCAGTATCCAGCATTGAACCTGATTTCCTTGCTGGCTTTCTTTGACCAGCATATCCCCGTCGAAATGCTTGCCAGTGGTATGTCCATCCCAAACCTTCGCCAGGATCCGCTAACCAGTCCAAGGGCTTGAGGCGCTCGACCAAAGCATACCTGTTAAAACACGGGATTTAACCTTTGGAAAGCCGAGCTTGAACAACACGCTCAAAGTTCTCATCGCCTTTGCGCTCATCGATCGATCGGAAGGCGACGACATATCTCCCACAAGCTCACGAAGCTCAAAGCGCAGTTTCGACAAGCAGGCCGACCATCTCGATGTCCTCCGCATCCATAGCGTCGTCCAAGCCTTCTTCATCGACTCACTCCGTGAGATGCGTGCAGTCGATTACTTCCTCGCGCCAGCAACAGCAATGTGGTGCCTGTCATACGACAAAGCCGATGCGCGAATCCAGGAAGAATCCAATGTCGGGCTGCCGGATGACTATCGCCGGTTCTGCATCCACGGCCAGAAGTTGCTGCAAAACGTGCAGAAATTCGAGAACCGTTACCCCGCAACCCTTGCAGAGGCACGGTCTCAACTGGAAGAGAGGCTTGAGAAGATTGAGGGACGTATCGACTCCCTGTCGCAACTGCATAGGAAGAATATCATAGAAGGCTCCAAGGGGCAACAACCAACGTCAGTATTTGATCGGATGAGCACCTCATCACAGTCTGGCTCTAGTTCATCCGCGATGCTCCTCAGTCAGGATAGTCAGCTCAGCACAGATACATCACTAGAGGGAGACGAATACGGGGGGTTAGTTCAATCACCGACGTTGGACTACTCCTACTTTGACGCCCAGGAGGCTACCCCGTATCCCAGCATTGCTGTAATGCCTGCAGTGCCCGAGGCAAGCGATGACGACCAGGACACGGTCATTTCAACCGCTAGTCAAAGGACGCAGACGCATTTGGCGAGTGGAGCTGAGTCGGCCGGTTTTGTTTCAGTGCCGCAACAAGACCACAACAATCATCGGCAGACGAATGATTTTGAGGACTGGCACCAAGTTATTCCCCACCATAGGGTCATTGGCAGACAGGAGTTGCGGCGCTATCATGACCGCGCCGGTGCCTGGAGAGATAGGACCGTCAGCGATCCAAGGATCGGGCTCAATCGTGAGGTTGCTGTCGGCTCCATCTCAAGCAGAAGGGAGGCGTCGACATCACCCAGTGGACCTCGCTTGACAGCCAAGAGCGAGGCAGAGACGGAGTTGTTAAACAAGTTGAACCTTGCAGGGCTACCGGCGCCCCACGAACCAAGGGGAAGTTTAAGCCCGGTCATCCCAGCAAGGCCGCTCAGCGCTCAAGGGACAGAAGGCTTCGCCCGACCGCCAGTTATGAAGTCCAGCACCCAAACGGAAACCCAGCCTGCCGAACTTGCGGGGGGTTTTGCGCAGATGCTCAAGACCCTGACAGTCGGGAACCTGAAGAGGGTATTGTCTTCAAGAAAGCTGAAGGACGGGGAACCAGCTAGCCCTGTAGACGCCGGGCCACATCCGCATGCCGAGGTATCGCCCTCCGAAGAGGAGCCTCTCGCCCCTCCGGGGCCCCTGTTTCGTGGCAGCCGTTCAGCGAACAGCTCGCCTGCGAACCAGTCTTCCCCGTTCCCGGCACCATCCTTCTCAACGATTCCGACTGAGGAGTTGTTACGTCAGCCTGGGCCGCCTGCTGTTGAACGCTGGGAAACGGTCGCCGACTATCCCACTGACACCGCGCTGGGCTGCTCGGAGCCTGACCAGGCCAGCCAAGATCCCATGTCATCGTCTTACCCATCACTCTCTTCGCGTCCGCACCCCCATCCCGGCCATGCACACGCAGCCCAACAGTTGTGGCTCAGCAGTGAACCGCCTGCTGGTTACTCGTCTCAGCCAATGTCACGAAATGCTTCGCATCAGTCAAACCCAAGTGTTAACGTAACCCATAGCAACGGCGATGCGCATGCCGGCTCAGCATCGCACGCACCAGCCTCGTCCATGCTTCATCAGACACTTGGAGGAGCTGGTGCCACATCCCTGCCCACAGCAGTCCCCGGTCCAATGCCCATCCCGAGCCAACCCCATCGCCAATTCCCAACAACAGGCTCGGTACCGGCCGTTGGCGGCAGCGGCGCGCGCCTGTCCCCATTCACCCGCGCGCGGCGCCCATCCTACACCGAAACGGAACCTTCTCCAAGGTTAGACAGCCCTTTCTCGGACGTCGACACGAGCTATCAGCAGTGGGAACGTCACCACGGACGAGCGGAGCAGGAGATCAGCAGCAGCCCCCGCGCACGGCCTGGCAGGGGCACCCGCATCTCACGGGGTCGCGCCAGTGATGGGTGGAAGGGTGGGCGGCGGGCACAGTCGCTTTCGCCGTCACCGTCTGGCGGCTCACGGTCACCTCCTCTTGGTTCTTCTGCTAGCGGGCTGCGGCCGCGTTCCGGATCGGGGTCCGGGTACGGGCCGCGCTCAGTGTCCCCTCTGCCCCTGCCCGTGCCTGTCTCCAATAGCGGCATCGGTATGGCCACGCGAGGAGGAGGTGGGAGTGGTCGCGTGCAGTACCAGCATCAACATCAACACCAGCAGCATCCGCTCTCCGCCGAATGGTCCACCCCAGGGTATGAGACGGGCCAGCAACAGCAACGGCAGCAACGGCAGCCGGCGCCGGCGCCGGCGCAAGGCGGTAGTAGTCCACGGCTAGCGGGCGGCGAGCCAATGTCGCGGTCTGCGTCTGGAGGGAGTACTAGTGGTGCAGGAATCATGGTGGGTGATTCCCTGGTAGAGTTCGGCTCGTCCGGAGCTACTGGTTATGGCTCTTCGTCTGTCGGGGGTGGAGCGGGGAGGAGGGCCTCGGGAGAGGTGCCGACGGCTCATGACGCAGCTGGACTGGGAATCTCTCAGGCATGAGATGTGAGATGTGAAGCACTGTGAGTTGGAGTGCTCGGCTTGTTCTCTTGTTTGGCTAGTTCATTCAAAGGTAGACGGGAAGGCAGGGTCATAGGTATCATTGATGGGTGTAGAATACTAGGTGTGCGTTGTGACTGATACTTGCGTTGAGATGAATATATATGTATACTGTAGATGTAAATCAATCTGGAGAATAGGAGATCGCTCGTCACGTTATAGGTATATGAGGGTCTATTAGCACGGAGACCAACAAGTCACTCCGGAGAAGGTGACTGCTTACGAGCAGCGGGACTATATGGAGATATCTCCTCCCTAGGGTTGTGAGCAGCATTCCATGTCAAGCAATATGCAGCCTCATTCAAGTCTACCCAGCAAAAAGCGGAATGGATATCAAGTCCCATGCTTTCCACGAGCCACAGGGCACGACAAAACCACAGAGAGCAGTAATACGAAGCATGTCCCACCGCCGGAATAATTCGATTGAGCCTTGCTCCACGACACGACACACATACACACCCAGCCCGAAAAATACGCCCGACACCCCATCACCAGTCCATCATGCAATGCTAAACTCGGGAATGTCGCCCATCTCATTACGGAGATCGCCCCCAACCTTGTACGACACGCGCCACCGCAGCTTGATGGCCTCGACCTTCTTCTCCCTGTTGCCGTGATGCCATACCCGGATTGCCTGCGTGACGCCGTGGTTCTGCTTCGGCTCTAGCGTTCTCCCGGACTGCGGTCGCAATTGCAGCTCGTAGCCCTGTGGGAAAATTTGCAGATTGTTAGCATTTTATTCTATGCGCCCGTTTTCCCCAGTGTCACCGTATTCATCCGCCTGTGTTTCTGGAGTTTCTTTTTTCCTTACCTTTGTCACGGCCAGTTGGAAATGCAGCTCCGAAATGGGTCTCGCTGTCATGTTTGAAAAGGAAAAGGTCAGGTTTATGGGCGGCGCCGTGTCGCTTGACCGATTCGCCGTCATGTCGATCTTTAAATCTGTGCTGCTGACCACGGCCTGGTGCTCTTTCGGCAGGGTTGGTGTTTCCGGGGGTAGTGCCGAGGAGAAATTCCACTCGTCCTCCTCGTTCGATGATGCGGCGGCAGGAACCGGTGCGGGTGGCTGTGGTTTGGAGGAGAAAGACCCCAGCGCCGCGAAGGGGTCCGCGGCCGCTGAGCCTGCTGCTGGCGGGGAGAAGGCTGCTGTCGCTGCCGGCCGCGGGGTGCTAGTTTGCGAATTAGGTGCAGAGGTGAAGGAGGAGAAGTTCGAAAAGGAAGTCTGGGGCGGTGAGGATGCCGGGACTTGGCCCCTTGCGGTATTGCCCTGCGTTACGGAGGAGAGCAGCGCTGGTCCAGGAACGTCTGAAACTGTCAGCAAGGGAGATTGGCAAAATGGGTGGGATAATAGCATACTAGTATTGGCCCCAAATCCTAAAGCAATCCCTCCTGTCTGGCCGTAGCTACTCGTGTCAGCTATTGACAGGCCAAGCAGATCGTCCTCAACCCCTGCCGTCTGGGACGCTGCCCGACTTGCTGCACCGTTGGTGTCTCCGTCGTCTAGATCGATCAAAGACAGCTCGTTTGCCGCGCCTTTCTTGCCGCTTGGCGCAATTGGGGCCCCCTTAGCTATTTGTTTGGCGGCCTCAATATCACCCTTCTTCAGAAGTTTGTATCGTTCGACTGTTCGGTGTATACTGTCGTTGATGTCGAGCAATTTCGCCACAGCCTCATGGTCATCTGATTCTTCCTCGCACATCTTCTGAATCTTGGGCTGTGCGCTTGACAGCGCGGCGGCAAGCTCGGAGAAGACGTCGCCGTCCACCATCTTGTCGCCTGGCTTGAAAGCTTCTAGCCTCTCTTCAAGCAACCTAGCTTTCTGCTGAATCTTGGCGACTTCTTCGGCAGCCTTTGCGCGGTAGTCTACTTTGGACCTGGTGTCGTAACCGGCCATGATCTTCATCAGCTGGTTCGCCTCCCGCAGGTCTTCAGGTGTTCCTCTCCGAATCAGCTCCTGCAGCTTTGCTGACTGCGCCTCGCGCTCCTCCTCCTCCATCTCCTCGGCCGATTTCAGGTTCTACTCCCGATTAGCATAATGCGCGGCATCACCACACTAGAGCGCGGAACGTACATCGCTAGGGTTCAACACGGCGGCGTCCTCCCTCCTAACCTCGGGGAAGGTGTACCCCTTGTAGCTCAGCAGGCGGTGCATGTCCCGGATGAAGCCGAGGTCCTCCTTGTAGCGGCTCGTCTCGCAGATGGTACTGCGCCATTCTTCGATTGTCTCGAGGATCTTGAGCTGGACACGTGAGGGGCGGATGGGGGGGCGCTCGGGGAAGCGGCGCACCAGCTCATTGAGGAACTCCTTGGTGCTGATCTGCAGGTGAAACGGGTAACCGCAGTTCTTGACGCAGATGTCGAGCAGGTTGAGGGCAAGCAACGAGACGTTCGGGTTTCGGTGATTGATGTAGTTGACTATGGCAACAGCTGCCTCACGCGGGGCCGAGCCCTTCTTGGCATTGATGAGATCGGCGATCTCAAGGTTCAGCGCGAGATTGGGCTCGTAGTTTTCGGGACTGCAGGCAGCTTGGATGAATCTCAGGAGCTGTGACGGCGCTGGATGGCCCATTTCCCCCCAGCGATCTCTGGCGGCATACCGCGCCGAAGCCGCCTCCATTTGGTCTGCGCTGTGGGCTCTGCGACTTTCTGGATCTCGACAGCGCTGTGATTGTTTGGTTTCGTTGTTGTTGGTTGGTGTTGCGCCCTGGTGCGGCGAAGCTAAGTGCTGATATGTGCTGACTTGTCTTGCCACGGGGCTACTACACACCTCCAGGCAGACACTGAATCGCAGAGCTGATGCTTCCAAGTTGTGGAGGGTGCACTGCCGAGCTTGGGCCCCTTTGGCGGGTTGTGGTCCGACGACAAGTGGACAGTGGATGTGGATGTGGGTTGCGAAGAGCCCGAACAACAACTTGACTTCGAAATGACTCCAGGGAAGCTGGTCGATCAACGGCCCCCCTTGCTGATGGACGCTAAGGCAAGTTGGGGAGGCGGGGTGCTTGGCATTTCGACCCCACTACCTAGTATGATATCTGCTGTGGGCTGTGGCCCGTACTGGATGTTAAAAAGTCAGGCCCAAAGTAGTGAACTCATCGACGACATCATACCACAGGCAAGGGCCAAAAGTTTGTCTCATTCGAAGGGGAGAAAAGATTTGAGCGCTGGTTAGACTCAGTGATTCAGCAGCTCACACTTCTCACTCTCAGACCCATTTTCAAAATACCAGCCCTTGATTGACGATTCCTACTCTTTGATCAAGAACGCCCGACCCCGCCATGGTTCGCCACAAGAAAGACGGCTTCTCTTCCCGGGGCAAGCACTCTCATCGTGGACCTCCCCGTGGACCTCCGCGAAACCCTCGACGGACCGAATCCGACGACAACAATGCCGCCGGCACTGCCTCGTCACAACCCCCCAGTGATGCCTCCTCGTCCAGCTCCCGCCCCGCGTTCAAGGCCGCCTGCTGGGACCTGGGCCACTGCGACCCCAAGCGGTGCTCGGGCAAGCGGCTGATGAAGCTGGGCCTGATGCGCGAGCTGCACCTTGGACAGCGTCACGCGGGCGTCATCATCACGCCCAACGGGAAGCAGACGCTCTCTCCCGCCGACCGCCCGCTGCTGGAGCAGTACGGCGCCGCCGTGGTCGAGTGCTCGTGGGCGCGCACAAAGGAGGTGCAGTGGTCCAAGGTCGGCGGCAAGTGCGAGCGCCTGCTGCCCTATCTGGTCGCCGCCAACACGGTCAACTACGGCAAGCCCTGGCGGCTCAACTGCGTCGAGGCTCTGGCCGCCGCCTTCGCCATCTGCGGACACCTGGACTGGGCCACGCAGGTGCTCGCGCCCTTTTCGTACGGCTCGGCGTTTCTCGACATCAACGCCAGTCTGCTGCGGAGGTACGCCGCGTGCGATGACGAGGCGGCCGTCAAGAGGGCCGAGCAGGAATGGATGGAGCGGCTGGACAGGGAGTACGCTGAAAGCAGGGAAGAAGTGGATTCCAACGACCTATGGGCCGGGGGCAACATGAACAGGAGAGCACCGGTTGAGTCGGACGATGAGGAGGAGGAAAGTGAGGGTGAGAGCGAGGATGACGATGACGGGGATGCAGGAGGCGAAGATGAGGACGACGATCGGCAGAGCATAGACGGCATCTACCTAGGGAGCAAACCACCGCCTGCAGGACAAAACGAACAACCACAGGAGCGAGACCGCTATGCTCTTCCGCCCGACAGCGAAGAGGAAGAAGACGATGACGCAGAAATGGAAGCTATCCGCCGTAAGATCCTTGCTTCAAGACCCTTCTCCAACCCCGAACCAGATGAAGCCACCAAGAAGGCATTAGAAACCATACCACGACCTCAGCCCCATCAATACAAACCGGACTCGGATGCTGAGCCAGACTCGGATAACGGGTCCGACAATGACGAGTTCGACAGCATTATGGACGCCACGCCTATCACTGACCGTATCGGCCTAGCTAAGCTAGAAAAGGAGCGCGCGCGGATTACAACGACCAGCAGGACATTCTCATCTGGGGGAGCTTCGGCGCCCAGGCGATGGTGAAGGGTGTTCATTCCTTCTTTGCACATGAAATATGAGATTGCGTGTGGAAAAGCTGTCTATTATACATGACTTTCCTTTTACACTCAGCGTGGTCTACCGGCCACCCACCGTTGTATGCGCATCCACGCCGATCTATCTAGTATCCACGCTTTGACCAGTGATATAAGAAGCCGTGACACATGGCCCAGACATATCCGCACCCCGCCTTCTATCGTAGAAATACAGAGATCCAACCATCTTACAGCCGCCTCTTCTCGACGATCTCCTCTAGGACCTGGATGTGGTCGCCCTGTCGGAGCTCGTCCCAGTCTGCAAATGACAGACCGCACTCGCTACCCTTCTTCATCTCGGTGACATCCTTTTTGACTTGTCTGAGAGTCTCAATAACGCCTAGATTCCCACCGTTAGCCGTTGTTATGTATCACCTGATAAAAGAAGAGACCTACCCTCGAAGACCGTCTCACCGTGCCGCAGGACCCTGGCCTTGGCGCCCTTCAATACCAAACCATTGTTAACCCTGCAGCCCGCGATGTTCTTGTAGACCCGCCCCTTGAGGTTGATAGGGAAGATCTGCAGCACCTCGGCCTCGCCCACCACCTTCTGGATGATGACGGGCGGCAGCGCCGCCGCCAACTGTTCCCTGACATCCTCAATCACGTTGTAGATGATGTTATGCTCCATGATCTTGACTCCCGCATCATCTGCCAGGGCCCTGATGCGAGGCGGGATGGGGTTGTTGAAGTTGACGATGGTGCTGCCCGAGACGGCGGCGTGTTCCACGTCCGACTCGTTGATCTGGCCTGGCGATGAGCGCAGCACGCGTGCACGCACTTCGTTGTTGCCCTGTTCGAGAATGGATGCGGCGACGGCCTCGGTCGAGCCGTGAACGTCGCCCTTGACGGTGAAGTTGACGTATTTGGTACCTGATTGTTCGGGCTCCGTATTTGCGGGGTCGCCATCTTTGCCAGAGTCCGCGGCAGCAGCAGCCTCCTCTCTCTCCCGCTCCAGTTCGCGCCGGTCCTGCTCCTGCTGCGCCATCTGCGCAATCACCTCCCCGCGGTCCTTGAGCTCCTGTCGGTATCGCACTGCTGCTTTGGCCTTGTCCTCGTCGGGTGCCTGAAGAACCATGTCACCGGCTTCTGGAGGCTCCTTCCAGCCGAGAATCTCGACTGCCGTCCCAGGGGGGGCTTCCCGAACCTCAACACCTGCCTCATTGCGGAGCGAGCGGATCTTGGCATGGGCGCACCCGGCGACGATGAAGTCACCCGGCCGAAGCGTGCCACGCTTTACCAGCACCGTAGCGACGCGCCCAAGTGGCTTGATGGTGGACTCTAGCACCCACCCCTCGGCCATGCCGTCCGTTTCGGCGCGAATGTCGAGCATCTCCGAGAGCGTCAAGATGTTCTCCTCTAGGTCGTCCATACCCTGGCCCGTCTTGCCGCTGACGCAGACAACCTGCACATCGCCGCCGTAATCCTCAATCTCAACGCCGTGGCTGGCCAAATCAGACTTGACACGGTCGACGTTGGCCTCAGGCTTGTCAATCTTGTTGATGGCCACAATGATGGGAACCTTGGCGGCACGGGCATGCTTGATTGCTTCCCGCGTCTGCGGCATGACACTATCGTCGGCAGCAACCACCAGAATCACCATGTCCGTAACTAGAGCACCACGCTGGCGCATCGCCAGGAAGGCGGCGTGGCCGGGTGTGTCGAGAAACGTGATTTGCTTTCCGGACGACATCTTCACCGAAAAGGCACCAATGTGCTGTGTGATGCCGCCGTGTTCTTGGGCCACGATAGAAGACTTGCGCAGGTAGTCCAACAGCGTGGTTTTACCGTGGTCGACGTGACCCATGATGGTGACGACGGGCGGGCGCAGCGGTAAAGAAGAAAGATCTTCCGGAGGTGGTCGCGGCTTGAGGTCTTCATCCTCACCCGTATCCACCGTCGGTTCGAAGCCGTATTCCTGAGCTATCAGGGCTGCTGTCTCGCCCGTCAGGATGTTTTCTTTGCTGACCTCCTCAAAACCAAGGTCCTCGAGCTGCGCTACAAAGACATCGACCTTTTGACGCAGGGCCGTAGCCAGATTAGCTACACTGATATACTCTGGCAGTAAAATTGGTGTCGGGCCAGCTGCTTCTAATGCCGCCAGCTTTTGCCTCTGCCGTTCAGCCTTCCGTCGGCGGCGCTCTTCGTACGACTCGTCGAAATCGTCGTCCTCCTCGTAGCTACGACGGGAGGCAGTATTCTTAGGTTTATCCGATCGCCGTACACGGTCGTCACGGTCGTCACGGCTTCTCCGGCTCTTTTTATCCCGCCAGCGAGAGTCGGGAGCGGAAGAATCACTCACTCGCGGGGCTGGACTAACTTTCTGCTGCATCGGCATGTCCTTTGTTGTGCCGTCGAATCTACTGGCATCCTCATCGACCCAAGCCCAAGTTTTGATATCCACGTCTGGATCGGATTGTTTCTGTTTCTTGTCAGGGTCACTCTGGCTTTGGAGCAGTTCCTTCCATGGGTCGTCGTTCGGCTGGGCGCGTTGGGCCGAGGCTTGCTGTCTGCCGAGTGGTGATCTCGGATTGAGTGGCACCCGGGAAGGTTGCTGCTGCTCGCCAAATAGCTGACCTGGATCCAGCGGCCTTGACAGATCAAGCTTCCGGGCAACTGCTTGTCGCCGACGAGCGAGATGTGACCACTCCATTGCAACCGCAGGGCCTTGTGCGCTGTTGGTGTCTTGGGAGTCAGGAGAACGAGCCGCAGGCGCTTTGAGCGACCTTGGTGAAGCCCTTTGAATAAGAGGCAACTCCGGTAACGCCGATTCCCTCGGCTTCACAAGGGGAAACTCTGGCAACGCCGACTCCCTCGGCTTCACAAGGGGAAACTCTGGCAACGCCGATTCCCTCGGTGTCTGTGGGCGTGTGGATGAAAGAGGGAACTCTGGCAACGCCGATTCCCTCGGTGTCTGTGGGCGTGTGGACGAAAGAGGAAACTCCGGCAGCGCCGATTCCCTCAGTGTCTGTGGGCGTGTGGATGAAGATTCCGTGCCCCATAATCTTCTCCTCGCTGTGAGCTCCTGCTCGAAAAGGGGTGTGAGTGCGTCTGCTGTGTTTGCTCGCCGCGGCGGTCTCCCTCGATCCATATCTCTTTGGGCAGCTGGCACTCCAGTAGAGGGCGATTGTGGCATGTAAAAAGCCCGGGCTTGCAGACGATCCTTGGGGGCTGACGCCGGCTCGCTTCGGGAATTAGGCTGCGTATGGCGTAGGGATCGCACCGTTCGTACTTGGACTGAAGCTCGTTCCTTTGCAGCGCGCTCGTGAGGCAGCAGCCCATCGTCCGCATTATTGGCTGCTTGTGCATTCCCGCCGGAAGGAGGGGTGACCGTACCGCTTGTGCCAGACGCCCGCTTCTTTGCTTCGCGCTCGTGAGGTAGCAGCCCATCTCGAGCAGTGGTAGATGTTGGCTGTTGTGTTGCCCAGCTTGGGAGGGAGCCTATTGAGTAAAATCGCGGCAAACCATGACCCTGACGTGTCCATGGAGACGTCCCAAACCTCGACGTCGCCTTCATGTCGGGAGCACTGCGGTGCCCATTGCCGCTGCTGCCAGCTACGGCCGAGTATAACCTGTCTGACCGCCCATTATGCCGTAATAATGTCCCTGAGCGGTAGTCCAAAGATGTGCCGCTAGAGGAGTCTGGTAACGAGGGAAGCGCAGGGCGAATGCATCGTCTGTAGGTAGAGTTGAACCGACAGATCAAGCACGCAGACGGACGCTTCTGCTTCTGACTCACAAAACCTCGTCAGTCTCCGCAAGACGTCCAAAGCTGGCATTCTGTACGTACCTGCCATAATTCGCGCCTCATCATTCTTGGAACCGGCGAGGCATGGCGTTCTCCTACCACAAAGAGTCGAAGTTTGGGGATCGGCCTCGAAATGTCTCTACCAAAGCAGTTATCGGTTATCAACACCTCCGCTTTTTATTCGCTCGCTAAGGCGGTTACCGGTACAGGGGTGGGACTTGAAAGGTCGAGGTAAGCTCACACGAGGCTCGGTAAGCTACGCCCGAGGTACGGTAGCGTATCGAAAGAATACCGTAACGTTACAGCGAATCACCGAGCGATGCCGCAGACTGCCGCTGCGTAAGGGGCTATGTACTTGTACCTGGGTTAGGGTTCCACGGCACTGGATACAAGGCTTGACTCTCAAGCCGAAGTCCAATCATCGTGAACGGCGCATACAAACGTTTTCCCAAAGCGGCGCATTCCGGGAAGCACACGTCCTCTTTCTCATAGGGGGTCTCATAGGGGTGCTGAAGTGGTTCATCATTCTTCATTTTTCCTATTCCGGCCTTTTAACGCATCGCCAATATCATCCCGGGGGAGAAAAAGTTTCAACAAGCACCCAGAGGCCAAACACAGACGTATCATGGCCGAACCGTCCAAAACCGCCAAGGGCAAAGCACGCCTTTCCCGCCCTTCTTCAACCAAAACCACTAACAAGAACAACCCCTCCGAACCCCCTGCCCCCTTCCGCCCGGCCCCGGAGGCTCTCAAGCCCTTCTACGCCACCCTTCCCCCCGGGCACGTGTACATCACGCACATGGACCCGCGGCCAGCATCCTTCAAGCGCAAGCTGTTCCTGGTGCCCGTGGCCATGAACGTGGCCGTGGCGTGTATTTTCGTCTGGCGCATGGCCCACATCCTGCCGTACTATTTGGACCTGGCGTGGTCGGCGCTGGGCCACCGCAACAGCACGACGGTAGTAGCTGCCGAGTCGACGTGGCGGGAGCTGGGCGGGACCATCGTCGGGCGCGCCTTCACCTTCCTGCTCGACTTCCTCCTGGCCGTCTTCGTCTGGCCGTGGCCGTACGAGTTTGTCGTCGGCGCGGGCACCGCCGGCCGCGGCAGCCCCGTCCGCTGGCGCTGGGCGGTGGGATTCCGTGACCGTGAGATCTACGTCCGCCGCAGCCGCCCGTCTTGGGACCGGCAGCTCGCCGAGGCTGGCGACTTGCTTGCCGAGGACGCAAAGGCTGCCCGCGACGCTCGCGAAGTACTCATGGCCCAGGTCCGCAAGGCGACGGCCCCCATGCTGCTGCAGCAGAAGACGGGGTATTTGACCATGGACGGGGACTGGGACTTGGACTGGGCTGGGATGGTGACGGCTACGCGGCTGGTGGATCAAAAGAATGTCAAGCTGGAAGCATTTGGGCTTGTGGTGTTGCTGCATCATGAGCGGTTCGGGTGGTTGACGATTGATTTGGGCCAGGGGGAGGGCGCCGAGCAGGACGAGCGCCGGAGGCAAGTGTTTGCTTTCCGGGATGCGCTCGCCCAACTTGGCAAGGAGGACTTGTTCTTTCGCTGGGTCGAGATGATACAGTTCGAGACCACCCAGCCCGGTGGATTTACGGCTGAGAAGCAGGCCGCTGCGGCGAAGAAGATTAGGGACATGTTCAAATCGAACGGTGTGGATTTTGACGAGCTTTGGAAGGAAACGGTGGGGACGGATGGGTTAGCAGGCATGCCCTGATGGCCGGTACTGTATAGACATCTGTAATACCATGCCCTACCTCTCCGACTGCGTGGCGTTTGGCCCCTCCGGATATCATACGCGGCTTCGCGAAGCAGGGCAATGGATAAGCGGAGAAACGCGATCCGGTTGGAGATGCTCATATAGCGAAAGCGCAGACTTTCTGGGAATGTGGGCAGTCCCCTGTACTATCATAGATTCTTCATCGTCTCATTTCTTCTTCGGCTTCTTCGCCGGGCCTAACGCCGCTTCGCGTCTCTTGGCTTCCCTGGCCTCCATTTCGGCCCGTCGCGCCTTCTCTAGCGCCTCCTTCTCCTCCTTCTCAGCCTGCAAGGGAGTGTTAACGTTCGGCAACTATGAGGAAGAAAAGTGTTCAGGATCTCATACCTGTCTGCGGGCTGCTTCGGCCTCGCGCTTTTCCCGAATAGCCTTCAGGCGAGCGAGGTCCGCCTTGGCCTCATCCGTCTTGCCGGCCTCGTGCAGCTTGCGATATCTTTCCTTCGCCTGAGCAGCCTCGAGCGTCTCACGCTCCCGTCTGCTCGGTGTGCCCGTGCTCAGCTTCGCAAGGCCCTCGGTAGCCTCATCGACAGCCGCCGGCGCCTTAGTCTGGTTCCGCGCCTGGCGGGAATGATTCGGGTTGGCGGGCATGTCGTCCTCGCTCTCCTCCTCAGAGTCACTCGGCGGCAGGTCTCCGACCTGTACGGCCTGCTGCCTGGCCCTGGCAGCGGCGGCTTCCTTGCGGGCCTTCTTCTCCTTCTTGCGTTCCTCACGGCTCAGTTCGGCCGCGGCCGTGCTTGAAGGGCCGGCGGCATTATCCTCTTCCTCCTCAGAGTCTTCTTCCTCGGACTCTTCCTCAGACTCCTCGTCGGATTCCTGGAGCTTCTTCTGAGCATCAGCACTCCACATGCTAATCTCATTGCCGTCGGCATCGAGCGGTCGCAGGTCACGCGAAAAGTGCTTGCCGCCTATACCGGCCGGTCAGTCTCTGTTCAAGGCGAGCGGTGGGATTGTGCTCACCTCCCCGCGTGTATTTCTTGAATTTGCCGCCGCGACCGCGGGAGTTAGCACCGGGACCGCCGCCTGCCATTTTTGCGCTTGTTTGCGGAGAGGGGTGGCGGGATATAATCTATCCTCGTGCGGCGATTAACGATTGAGGGGCTCAAGCGCGTGGTCTGAGCAGTTTCAGGCCGGAAGCTATGCGAGGGCAGGCAAGGAACTCGAACCCTGAACACCAGTATGTACAGCGTAAGGGCAAAAGCCTCTTTCGGAATGATCCAAACTTGTTGACAATACGGACAAAACTGTGAGAGGCAAGAGCCAAAAAAACCAGGCACGCCAGGTATGTTGGAAGTGGTGCGGGCAAAGGCAATTTACTCACGGATCGCACCCCAAGGATCGCCTGCAAGCCCCGCCTTCTGTCAAAACCCCCACTATGCAGCTACGCTCGTTGACTCAACAAGACTTTTAAGAGCCCGAGGTACATACATACATAAGGTAGACATGGACTTTTAGGCCTTTATCGTGAGGTACTGCATTAGGTACCTTACCTGATATCCCAATTCTCAGCTCCCCTTTTGTAAGCAGACAGCCAGGAAATCGTTTACAACTTGTACGATACATAAATACGATACAGTATTCATTCTACAGTCAAATAATTGCGCCAGACGGCCAGTGCCTCTGTATGAAACTGCAGTGGTTACTTGATCTGCTACATGTATGTGTAATCCTGAGATCATATGAGCTTCTGGCTTTCATCGCGATATACCTGACCAGGCTGACGAACGATATGTCGACCACTAACCTCTGATTTATCAATCAACGGATGAGAGAATGAAACATGAGTGTATTAGTGTACTGTACATACATTCGTACCGCCGCTAAATTCTGATTGGCCAAGACGGGCAATGCCCCACTTCGCAATGGTCAAATATCATTTGAAAATCTTCGGCCTCGCAGCTTCGCTTCTTCCCTTTTCTCCTCATCATTCATAAAACAATTCCTTCATATTCACTCTGGTTTGAGTCTTATACCATGGCATTCTGGAGGGGAAACTGGAGGATAGATTGATTTCTGGCACTTACCCTCTGTCTCTGGCAGCTCGCTGCACCATTGGGGAACGGAGAAATTTTTCGCTTGATACATCCTTATACCTCATGCGATCCAGTCGTCGCCTCGTCGGGTCGTTGAGGCCATTGTCTTCAGGAGGGCAGTGTGCTGAGAAGCTGCAGTAGGTAGCTGGATTCTCTTAATTGATCACCTAGCCACCATCCACTTGGAGAAACCTACTACAGTAGGAAGTGAGATGTCTGCTTGCGTAGCTACAGCTGAACCGACCTCTACCCAGTACCACTCCCTGGCACGCCGAAAGTTGCAAGGACATCCCCAAGTTTCTGCCGCTTGCGAAGCCTTATATTTGGCTCCTCTTTCTCCCCTGGACGCTCTAAGCCTCTCTGCACTTGCTCCTCCTCGGGCCGAGGATCCATCGGAGCCTCCTGCTTCTGCTTCTGCTTCTCACCGCCTTTAGACCGAGAGAATATGATACGACTCTCGTCAGACCACAGGCGATGTGCTGGAAGGAGGCAAGGACCTCTTAGTCGGAGGGTGACGAATCTTCTTGTCATCACAGGAATACCCAGAACTCGGGCTTGAATGGAGGAGTTGAGTGCATCGCGTTCCATGTGAGAAAGAAGAGACAAAAACCAAAAGACATCACTGCCGGCCGGCCCTTCATGTGCCCACCACTGGCGAGGTTCGGGGTAGCTTATCATGGGTCCTGAACGGAGTCTTCTTATCTGTTCGATGCCGCCAGGTGTAGCAAATGAATGGTTGCCTTTCAGAAATGCTTGCCAGCCCTGATCGAGGCGATCCGTTAGGCCTGTATGGTGACCGCCTTTGGTGTAGTCATGGTCGAGGAGCCCTCGAGGACGGGGAATTAGAGCTACCGGCTGCCTGTCGTCCTCAAAGAGTAGACCCAGGTTCTCCATTCTTGACTTCCGGTGGTTTTTTGTTCGGCGATCATATAAAGCATCCGCATATGACACGAAGTGCGACTCGTGCCGTGGCAGCGAGGCTTCCCATCCCAAACTCTTAGCGATGTTCCTCGAATTCCGCCACCGAAACATCGACGAGGACGACAAGGCACTGACGTCGAGAATCTCTAGCTTTGGGAACTGAAGCACATAGTTCAAAAGACCTTCTGACAGTCCAGGGGAGCCGGAAGAGAGTATCATAACCCGCAGCTCAGCAAATGGGTTGGTCATTTCACTCCAACCCCTTGCGACACGGGTACTCATTCGGTGAATTGCGTCTGCCTTTGACTCCTCTTCAACTATTTCAAGCACTGCCAGGGAGCTGAGCCCCGCCAAGGAGAGTAATTCTTGGGCCTGGAAGTGCTTGACATTCTCGATGCGGAGGTATGTGAGACAACCGTCCAATGACCCAAGCGGATTCGTGTAGACGCTCAGCTCACACCGCGGGTCGGGTATCTCCTGGGAAAACCGGCGAAGGCCCATGGGGATGGTGATTTCGCCTTGATGTTTATCGCCCGAGACGGTACTAGTAAGCTGGCGCTCTGCCTCGCCAAAACCGTCTGCTTCAAATGCCTTCGAAACGACGGCCCAGTCACGGAGCGAGATAGGTCTGGAATCCTTGATATAAGCAAAGCCACCGAGAAGATGGGACATAGAGTCTCTCGCACCTAGTGGAATTCCAACCCATCAACTCGTTCCACAATTCCCAACACAAATGTGTTGGCAGCGAGAGCACGAAGTTGTCAGGCAGGGCGCTGAGACTGTTTGCAAGTACATGAAGGCACATTGCGCCTAATAACCGGGGGCCCTTCACCTGCCTTCCGCTGCGGCGGACACGAGGGAGTGCCTTCCCGCTGCGAAACCGGAACCAGCCCCTGTCATATTGAGACGCCGGAGCCACGGTCAGCTCCTCGAATTTCGACTCATCCTTGTAGGGATACGGAAGTTCACTCATGGTAGTTGACTCTTGCGGCGCGATGAGGGCAACCGGCGGAGTCAACTCTACTGAGTTGGTCTGTGGTGGCTTGGGAGAGGGAAAGCTAAAATGCTTGCGGGCTGCTCAAACTTAACAACGAATGGAAGGTGTAAAGCACGAGATTCAACATTCACACCACAAAGACATTTGCTGAATTGCTTTGACTACAAATCAGAATCATCAATGTCACTTCACGTCTTGTTTTGCCATGGACGAACCAAATAAACAAAAGAGGCACATGCGCGGCTTTGCCTTGAGTCTCTGGGGTTAGGGTTGATCGTGTGATTTTCACCTCAACTGCTGCTTCTTTCAACGTTGCTTACACTATCTCTTTCCTAGGTGGGAAGCTCCTGGACCTCTGGCGCTGCCCCGGCACCTGTCTTCTCTGGGCCCACCGCCTGCCCCTCGAGATGAAGCGACTTGTCCTTGCCCGCCGGTGGCACAATACCGACCTTTGTTTCTCGATGGGTGTCCATGACATCCTTCTTCCAGACGTTAACATAGAGAGGATAGCTGAGGAATTCGGATCAGCCAGCGAAGACACAGACCCGGGAGAACAGGTAAGCCGAAACTCACATCCAGGCCAGGATATAGCCCATCATTGGTATGGCCATGGCGACGTGGGCGTTCCGCCTATCCAGAACCGCTCCAGTCATAGGCGGAAAGACCATTCCCCCGGAAATCGCCGCAACCAGCAGCGACCCGCCCCTTTTCGTGTGCCGCCCTAGTCCACGGAGGCCGAGCGTGAAGATGGTGGCAAAGCAACACGACTCGAAGCACAAGACCAGGATCAGCATGGCGATAGACACGGTGCCGGCCGTGTTCATTGCTGCAACCACAAACACGAAGCAGAGCCCGAGATAGACCGCCAGCATGTAGCGGGGCCTGAACATTGGAATGGTAAGAAGGCCGCCGGCGACGAAGCGGTTGAAGGCATAGAGACCCTGGCCAACAGCGAGGAGATCAGCTATTCAGCGTTAGTCGGTCCGTCTGACGCATTTTCTTCGTCCGGGAGAAAAAGGATCACCTACATGATGTAGGCCGATCACGCCCGGCTTCCTCACAGAAGTTGATGAAATAGTTCTGCAGCTGGTCAGCAACCCCATCAATAATATGGCTCGCAATTGAACATGTCAACTGAACTCACCGCGACAGCCACCTGCGCACCGACATAACAAAACTGAGACCACACAGCCAGGAACAGATTTGTCTGCTTGCGGAACGGACCCGGGTCATACCCCCCAATCTCGTTCTCTTGCTGGTGCATATCGGCATCCGTGATCTCGGGCATGGGCGCAAGGAAGAAGAGTGCGATCAACAAGACGTTGAAGCACGCCACGCCCAGGTACACCCACTGGACGTTCCTCAACCCGTCCACATCATCCACCGTGTGCGCAAAGAAGACCCTTGACGCCAGCAGTGGCGCGACGAAGGAGCCCACGCCCTGCACGGCCTGGGCCAGGTTGAGGCGGATCTCGGAGTAGCGGGGCGGGCCGCAGATGGACAGGAACGGGTCGGCGGCGGTCTCGAGGGTGGCCAGCCCCGCGCCGACGACAAACATGCTGCCGCAGAAGCCGCCAAAGGACCGGTTCACGCCCGACGGCCAAAACAGCAGACACCCCACGGCAAATATGCCCAGCCCGCTCATAAAAGTCACCCGGAACCCGAAGCGGTGCAGGATCCACCCGGACACAGTCGGCGGGCAGATGAAGTAGGCGCCGAAATAGGCCGACGATAGGCCCGCGGCCATGCTCGCCGAGATGTTTAGCTCTCTCTGGAAGTGCGAGTTGAGGACTGTGTGCTCATGGATTTTGGTTGAGGACCATGTCAGTTTCACGCTGTGTGTCTCGCCTCCGGAGAGCTGGTTTCATGATATACAAGGAGCTGTAAAAGCAGATAATGGATTGAGCAACGAACCATCGAGCAGGCCGTAGGCGAAGCCCCAGAGGAAAAACAGCACGGTAACTAGACGGTAAAGGTAAGGTAAGGACACAATCAGCTGTATAGCCCAAGTCTCCTCCCTGGGGCGAGTCCCATACCAAGCAAATTTGGAACCATTGACTGCCTCAAGGTCAAGAGCGCGGCACTCGTGACCGTGTCGTCGCTGACCGTGATCTTCCTACTCCACAGGCCGCCCATGTTTGCAAGCTGGGACCTGGTTCTGGTTCGAATTTGTCTCAGTGATGTACCATCCCGTAAGTCCACTTCAGGTTGTCTCTGATAGTAAGGGAGTTGTCTAAAATCACCAAGGTTATCGTTCGAGCCCTCGCAGTCACTGACTCGGAATCCTGGATGTCAGCATGCTGCAAACCGAAAGTTCAACCACCTAGGTACTACTATTCAAGGCGGGGTCACGAAACCCAGATAAACACAATTCCCAGCTCGATGCCGGGCGGGCGATTATGTGGTTGGGTTAACCGTAGCATCGGGACGTACATGTGTAAGCCGTTGGGCAGCCCGCTTCTTCTCCCCCTCTCTGTACCAAGCGTTGGATATGTGTGGGCGAGGGCTCCCCTCTCAAGACATACCTCCAACCGCTGGCCACGGTTAAATAGAGAGCCATCTAGACCACTCTCATAGTTGCGGCAGTGATCAGCATACCGTTACTAACCCCCCGGCCTTGTGTAAAAGAGAATCCGGCCGCATACTTCGTAACTCATCTAGATGGATTATGTAGTAAGAAGTCAGTGCAAGCTGTGTGTTGGGTGCTGTCGACAAGTCTCACGTTGATGCAGCCACATCTCCGTATTATACGAGACTAAACCAAAGTCCAGAAACGGAACTCTACGCGTAAAGCGCCAGTTTATTGGTTTTTTCTTCTCTCTGCTTCTTCTCCTGGCCTCAGCTCTGCAACTACAAAGCAGTACCGCATCCGCGATAGGATCTCTATCCCAACAACTAAGTTGCCTTACCCAAGCAAGCCACCCCATTCCGGGCTTGCTAAGGGCTGCCAGGATATCGTGAAATCCCCTCCCCTTCTTCATTCCCCAAGCAGAACCCTCCCTCGTACAGGAGAAGGGTTCCTTTCCCGGAGCCTAACCACCCAACGGGCAGGCCAACCCGCCAAATGGCGCACCAACCAACCCGTTTCGCACGCCAGCAAGGCAGAACCACGACCCACAAGGCTTTCACGCCTCGCGGGAAGCAAAGTCTTGCTCCGCCCGCGCACCGCCGTGACCTCGGCGACAGAACAGATCCAGCTACAGCCGCCCAAGCCAACAGTACCTAAGCCTAAGCCTGCTCCTTCTCCAGGGTCTCCAACTCCTTAAGGACAGCCGCCTTGGTCGCAATCTTCTTAACTTGCGTATCCTCAAGCTTCTCGCCGCCCGCAAGCCGCATCTCGAGGTCCTCAATCGCCCGAATCTTCTTTTGCAAGCTGCGGATCTTCTTGGCATTGGCGTTGCCCGGTCCGTCGCCCCCACCGGCGGGTGCACCACCACCTGCCTGGTTGGCGGCCTGGGCGTGGCCAGGGCGGCTCTGAGAGCGGGCGCGCTGCGTGTTGCTGCGGTTGCGGGGAGGCTGCAGGTTGTTGTTGTTGTGGCTACTATTAGCATTATTATTATGGCGTGACCGGCTGCGCGCGTGGTGGGCATGACCGCGCCGGTCAGGGCTGCGGCCCTCGGCGCCCGATCCGGTTCCGTACTCGCGCGGAGACGGCGCAAGACCGCCTTCAGTAGCCGCCCGGGCCCCTGTCCCTTCTGCTGCCTGGGCATTGGCGCCCTCGTCCTTGGCTTTCTTGTTGCGCTTCTTCTTGTTCTTGTTGGCCTTGGACTGGTTCCCCTCCTCAGCGGGAGTCGCCCCGGGAACAGAGGGACGTTCGGCCGGCTCCGCTCCCGGCACCAGATGACGGGGCCGACCAAATCCATTCGACCCGATCGAGGGCGTGCCGTTGCTGACCGTGTGCGCCGCACCACCTTCGTCCTCGCGCTTGAAGTGCAGGGGCGTATCGGCACCGCGAGCGCCGGGCGGGCGGTAGGCGCCCACGGGCTTGGACGGCGTCTTGACCGTGCCCAGGTAAGCCAGTGCCGACGGATGCGGGGTTGGAACAGGATGCAACGGGTCCTCGCCAGGAGGGAAACTCTTTGGTGATGCAGGCCGCCACATGACGTTGTACAGCTCTACCATGTCCTCGTTGTACATCAGGCTGCCGCCGACGTGCCAGAGCTTGATTCCGTTATCCACCCGGAGGCGCGGCGACGTGGTGGCAGTCAGAATGTAACGGCTGTCTGGGCTCCAGGTGCACACGCTAGGGTTGCCACTCTCGATGGTGCAGATCTTGCGGTAGTCCTTCTCCAGATCGTACACATCGATCTGACCGGCCAAATTGCCAAAGCCGGCGACCAAGGCGAATCTGCCAGTGGGCGAGAAGATGATGGTGTTGCGAGGACCAATTGGGAACGAGTGAACAGGTACGGCCCGGTTATTGAAGATGGTGGTCTTAGCTGGCGTGTAACCATAGACCACACCAAACTCGGCCGAATTGGGAGACCAGGCAACGTCATGGATGGGGCCTTCCTTATCCAGCGTCACTCGAGCATCAACAGCTCCGTTGGCACTCAAAAGATACATGGTCGTCTCGCCGTAGTAGCTCTTGTTCGACTTGTCGACGTCGGTCTGCGCCAGCACGATCAAGCTGGTGCCCAGAGCGTTCCACTCCAGCCGCACCTTATCACCCTTGAAAAAGGTCTTTTGCGAAATCGGGCTGTTGAACTGTGGCACGTTATAGACCTTAACCGCGGCGGGTTGGCCCTGGGGAGGACACTGTTAGCATATTCAAAGGGATTGTTGCGACCTGTGAGATGAGATTACCTTGCGTTCGGGCACGAAGACGGCGACATTTTGATTGAGGCCAGGGGCAAGGGCGAAAGCGCTCACGCCCTCGACGCGCAGTCGGTTCCAAGGGGTGGAGAGGTCATCGCTGTTGTAGAACTGCACCTCATTCGTCACCATGCGGGCGCAGTAGCGCTCGTCGGCAGTGTATTGCAGGTTCCAGCCCGCTTGCGATTTTTGGACGAACTTGCCAATCGGCAGCTTCTCGGCGCCGTCCGCAAGATCCTCGACGACGCGCCAGACCTTGAGATTCTTGGTGGCGTCGCCGTTCTCGTCCTTGGAGGCCCGTTCCCAGGTGCTCAAAAAGGTTCCCCGCGGGGAAAAGCTCAGCTCGTAGACGAACGTCAGAGGAAGTGAGGTCAGTACGTGGCCGACAGAGGCGTCGACGACGACGACACCCTCATTGGAAGCGTATGCGAAGTAGCGACCGCAGGGCGAGTAGACACAGCACCTGAGGTTCCCTTCGGGCTTGACGAACCCAGGGAGGGCTTCGTAGACTGGCGCAGCGTCAAAGACGCCGATGGCCTTCTGAGTTCGGTAAGCAAACTGCAACGGATTCGCCATGACTAGTGAAAGCCACAGGTGATCGCGATAGCAGGTCGGTTCAGTGCTCTTGTTGGTTTCTTGGTTTCCTGTTGCTGTTTTCCGCGAGGGAGCGCCGATTGCGTCTTTGGTGGAAAGCGCAAGTGCCGGGACAGGTCCGCGTATTTCTGACAAAGCCGATCGGGTTTGACGAGTTTTTGACGCGGTACTGCACACGTGTCGGATGGCGGTGACTGGTCGTTCTGTGACGGAGAGTTGCGGCAATGACAATGAGCACAACAAGCCTCAACCGAACACAATCAGGCAGCAACAATTGATCGTCTTCTGTCTGTAGGTGCAGCAGGACAGATCTGGCTCAGCCGGGTGGAGACAGCGCTTTGAATGCGATCCGAAGATCACCACAACCACGCGACAGCGGAGAGACGATGACGGGGCGATCGACGGAGAAGCAACCGGATCGGGCCTTGCGGAGTTTGAACAAAGAGGCCACGCTGTGATCCGAAGAATAAAACCGACAGGCACGAAAGGGGAGAACCAGTGAAGAGAAGCACCCTAAGGGAAGGTTGACGAAGGCGGTGCGTGCTGAACCGGGCTGGGTTGAGGACAAAGGGAAAAGAGAAAAGGAACACGAAAATGGGGAGAAATTCCACAACATGACTGGTGTTTTTTTACCGTAAAACCTTTCCTGCAAGCTGATTCAGGCCGTGCCCGACTGGGGTCTAACTGGGTGCCACAGCAGCGACTGGACTAGGGTTGGTTCCAGGCCGTTAGAGACCCACTAAAACTCCAGTTTAGGTTTCTTGGCGCCTGAGTTGTCCGTATCCGTCACCCGGAACATGTGGTTCTTTTCTCCGCTACAATTGTTTTGATCGATGTGGAAATATCGACATACCTACCATCTAGGTAATGCGGAATTGTACCAATACGTTTCAATTCCCTTCTCTTGATGACTCGACAAACTTCTCACTATACTACAGTAAGCTAGGTTTCAAGGCTGATCTCGGTGCGGTCTGGCAAGAAATAGAGTCCCGGCTCACTTGCCGGTCTTGATCTCCTCTCAGGGCTCACTTTCATTCAGTTCACCCTGGCTCGTCCAATCCCACAGGAAACCGATCTCTTTAATGTCAGCCGACACGACATTCCACCGAGGGCTTTCAGGAAGCGGTCTGCCGACTCTCGAGATGTCATTTAACGGACTTTGATGCAGCTCCCTGCGGCTAGTCTCTACGTAGCCAATGGCTAGGCCTGGCCACCTCAAGCACAGAAAATTCAGTCTCGCATTTGGGCCAACCGAAGACGAGTTTTGTCAAGGATACCTACTGTGGTATGAATTTCCTAGGCGCGGCCGGCGGGCGGCACAGCTTCCCATGGCTAACTGATGGCTTCTTCCAACTCATGCTCTCTTGCCGGGGCGTACTTTAGGATTTACGCGTTGCATACAACTTAACATCCACCCCTATTCCACTGGTTTTTAGTGAAGCGCGTACAACCAAGTGGTTCGCCTCTCCAGGAAACTATATCTGACGGGACAAGTTGACAGCTACAGGGCCCATGCCATGTATATCGTGTAGACTCGACCCCTACTCAGCAGCCGAAGGGAGTGGGCATTCCTCAGATACAATCTGTAACTTCTCTTAGCGCGAGAGTGACGTCACTAACCCGCAGCAGAAGGTGCTGCACTTGGGCTGTTGCATCAGGGTGAAGGACGGATGCGATATTCACTCAAAGGCCAGATACCAGCTATGTATCCGTAGTTGCGCCGTAAACTCGGGCATTGCAGCCTATCCGGATTCCCATTCACTTGTGCACTTTGCTTCCATGGTCAAGAGGTGAAAGGACCATACTGAAAAACAGGTTACAATTTAACGTTACACGTATGAAGCGTAAACCAACTTGCCATTGATGTTCAAAAAGCCTGGATATGAAATCGAGATCATTCGAGATAACTGACTGCTTGAAATCCTCCGACAGTAAAACTAAGACGTGGCAACTGGTGTCTTTGATACTAATTGCATATTCTTAACAGCGTACTGAGCAGTCTCGACACCATGCTCGTCTTGATACGTCAGTCAGCCCTGACAGGACGGGAACTGTTTACGCTAATGTTAGGCTGAGTCTGAAACACACAAAAAAGAAGCGAGACAGGGGTGAAATGTCGCCGGAACAAGCCGCTGTGGGTTTGTGTTTTTTAAGTTTTCCAGGCGTTGCAGCACGGACCATTTCAGCCTCCACGAGTGGCGCTGGCTCCAACGGTGGGCAGCCTTGTTCAGCCGCATCCAACGTCTCAACATCAACAAATGTCCAACCCTTCGCGTCACAGTGGAAGCCGCTTGCCACCGTCGCTTACCAAACGTCCCGAATCTTTCAGTGTTATCTCTGCGGTTAAGGGGGACTCGGGGGGTGATAAGTCAATTGGATGCTCGTCAGGGGTGCATTCTCTTCTCCTATTGTCCTTAATGTCTCGAATGTCTAAATTTCAGAAAAGAGAACACTTGCACCTGGCTAGCCAGTAGCAGCTTGGCATCTTCAATGAACATGAACTTCCATTGGCACGACAAGTGGCCTCTCATTGTCTTCCGGCTTGACAATGGGACTTCTGCTCCATTGTTCCCTCCTGGCACTCCCTTCTTCACTCGCTCTTCCTCAAGGGCTTTATACAGTCAGGTCAGCACGACAGGTTGAAAGCATTGCAGTACCAAGGCTGGGATTTGACAAGTGACACCATGCTTTAGGGTCCTAGTCCATTAGCAAATTTGTACACTTCACTGAGGTTCAAATCAATTATAAGCCTCAATGGCGTTTCCTTTGCCCCAGGTTGTGTCACTGCTCCAATCATTTCTCGCCATAACCAATGATCGCTGTAGTATACTTGACTGACATTGAAGTACACGCTTTACGGCTGATCACTCACTGCTGGTGATTCTAATGACGAGCCTGTCAAGCTGGTACGGCTGAGGCTGATCAGGATGCCCACCCCCCCCCCCCCCCCCCCCCCCCCCTTTTTTTATCAGATTTATGAGCCGCCCACGGTGTTGAGTGAATACTGCTAGGACTCTGAACGATAACAAGCTTCCTATGGGGATATAATGACGGAGACAATCATCTTTCTGTTACATATCTCAAGGCCCCTGAAGCCATGGATGCTGGAGATAATGCCTTGTTACCGTCATGCTGCCCATGACTGAACCAGGAAACTTATCGCTTGCCCCGGACAGTACCGTGGCAGGGCTTCAAGTTATCTATCGCTGTGCTTAAGCACCACAGGAGGAGGGTCAGCATGCCAGTGCTGGTGAGCATAGTTGTTCAAGCACCTTCGGACGGAAGTCACGGGACCCCATTTGATATTCCTTTTGGAGTAAAAATGAAGGATGAACTGGGAATCAGATCAGTGCCAGAGGGTCCGAGCACCTCCAAGTGAATATCTACCCAGCCCTTCTTGCATCTCCCACCTTTCTTCTCTTTCCCCATCACCATCGACGTTTTTCTCCAGCCCTCCCGTCCCAACCACATCTTCGTGATCGAGAAAACAATGTAAGTCCATCGGTTCTTTAGTCTGTTACTCTGTCGCTTGCCTGTAGCCATCCCCTTCAAGTCGCCTGTGATATCTGAAACCTGCTATTTATCGGTGGGTACAAATCACACAGCCGACCGACCGACGGCGAGAGATTGGACGATCAGCAGTTCAGTATTCTGATCTGAAGACTGTCTTTCTCCATCGCGACACCATAGTTCCATCCTCAGACAACCTTCTTTCATCCCCCGACGCAACCCTCTCACTTCCTCTTGTCACGTAACCCATCGGTCACGCATCGCCTGCTTCCCAGGCCATTGAGACCCTCCACATTGTGCTAACCACCGAGTCTCAGATGGTGAAGGAAGCGCACGCCGGTGCTCCCAGCTTCTGGGAGACCCTCGAGGCCCGCCTCTGGCAGGGTCTCGAGGCTGATATCTTTCTCGGTAAGTCCAAGACTACACTGAGGGTAACAGATTCGCAAGCACAAGCAAACTACACAACTCCAAGTGGCGATGAGACAGTCAGAGATTGGCCCTTTCACAGGCAGACAACGGGCTACCCTTAGTTCTGGCCGTGGGTATGGCTTTCACTGTCAACGAGCTTGTCGTCGTTGGCAGCCTCGTCGTTCAGGGGGTGCTCGGCGCCACAGTCTATGGTCTCACCCCGATCATTCGCCGTGAGCGTGGGCCGGGCTGCGACCTTCGCATCGTCGGCCCCAGCCCGTAATACGCGACGTGTATGCGACGATTATTACGACGCAGACAGCTAGCTTGGACCGCCCGGCGACGCAGACAGGCAGCATTGACCGCCTTGCTCGAGCATAAATTCATCCTTTCCCTGCACAATTTCCTTCCTTTCTTTCCTTCTTATGAGATCACGAAAGGCTGACTTTTCTTTTCTTCAAAACAGCCACCGACTCCGACGAAGACTGGGAGTCCCTTCCTTCTTCTCCTCCGCTCTCTCCGCTCCGCCCGCCGCCCGCTTTTCTCTCTCTCTCTCTTTCTCTTTTGCCGACCGTCGATTCCCCGCGGTCGCCAATCCCTTCGCTGCCCTCCTCAATGGGCGATCGGCTTGCTGCGTCAAGGCGTAGCAAAATGGAGCGTACCAACGCGTGGCTCCTCGGCCACCATCACGAGCAGATGGTGGCCATGATGAAGGTCAAGGCCCGGGTCCTCGAGACCTACGAGAGGGCGGAGAACCGCAAGGTTCTCCACCTCGACTGGTACGTGGAATTTGAAGCCGCCCAGCCCTAACTTGAACCTCAATTGAAAAGAACACGCCTTTACTGACCGCCCTGTTTATCAGGATCGCTGGAAACCCAGCCGATCCCGCCGTGGCGACCGCCGGCAGCAATGCTGGCGGCGCGCAAGCTTCGAGCTCCGGCTCAAGTGGCCTGACCAACGTCGGGACCCCCACAGCGGATGTGTACATCCGCGCCATACAGCACCTCGACTCGAAGGAAGCAGTAAGTCTTAGCAATTTCTTCCACATTTCCGTTTTGGTTTCGCTCCCCTCCGCTCTTTTCTTTGTAACTCTTTTGGCTTCTGTTACCTTCGATTGTGATTTGAAATTGAACTTGATGCTGATGACCTTTTGCAACAGTGGAACAAATCCGCCCTCGCTGGCGACTGGCTGACCCATGCAAATGGGGAGCGCCAGTTCTACCTCGAGATCCAAGTCAAACGGATCTCTGGAGCCGACGAGGAGCTCCTACAGCTGTGCGGCATCCAGGACGCCTACGCCTGGTTGGCCATGCATGACCCTGCCAAAGTCGTCGAGCAGATCAAAGTGCCCGAGTCCACTCGACGCATGTTCCCCGCCATCAAGGAGGCTCATGAGGACAAGCTCCAGCAACAGCGCGAGCAGGCCATCGCCGCTGCAGCTTCCACCTCGCTTCAGTCGCCTGAGTCGTCCGCCGACAAGGGCAAGGGAAAGGCAGTCGCCGTTACTGAGGGCCATGTCGACGCCTCTGCTGCTCCTCGCACAGCTCTCGACCTCAATCGCGACGAGGTCCCAGTCGCCAGCACCGGCATCATTGGTGAGCAGAACTCGCCCTCGCCAAAGACCGATAACGAGTCGACCGAGGAGTCGGATGGATCGCAGACCGACGTTGCCAGCGCCAGTTCTTCGTCCAACGCGATCCGTCGTGCCAGCAGCGAGGGCCCGTACGATGGCTTCATCCAAACCCGCATGTTCGACCTTGAGGAGATGATCGCGAAAAAGATGGACGAGTTGCGCCACATATTCTCCTTCACCGAAGACCCGACTTTCAGGGCGATCAAGGCCAAGTCCTTCATTTACGCCGTGCGCGTCATCGCCATTCCGGGCGACAAGAACGTCGTCAATCTCTTCCGGGGCCCGGCCATCCCAGAGCGCAAGGGCACCCTCCTCGCACAAGGCGGCTGGGTTGTCCCGCCCATGGAGGAGCGTCTCGCCTATCGCAACCGTGGCCGGCACAACCGAAAAGCGGCCAAGAAGCAGTCCAAGAACCCTCCCAAGCTGTACAAGCCCGAGCGCTGGCTGGCCAACCGGATGTGGCTCGACTGGACCAACGACTCGGAACCGCGCTACCACGGCCTGCCCATGCCCCTCTGGAACGAGCCCGTCGACCCGTGCCTCGAGGACGTCTACTGGATGGTGTGGCAGCTGCTCAGCGGCGTGCAGTACATTGGCGTGCGCTCCGGTTACGGCTTCGGCATCAAGCGCCACGACGACCGCGGCGACAAGGCCTTGCTTGACGCGTGCCCCTTCCGCAGCCCTTCGCTCGAGGCAAAGTATTACCCCGCCGTCGCCGACGAGTCCAACGGCAGCAAGAGCTAAACCCCCCGGGCCTGTGATGCGACGCCAAGTTGAGGACATTTCTCTCTTTGATGCTCTCTGTCGCCCTGACATACCAAGACCCGATTGCGGCTCCATGGTTTCTTTTACTTTTTTGTCACGGTCTCATTCTCGGATGTTCTCAGTTTTTCGGGCGGCCCCGTCGCATGATACAGTACACATGGCATTATGGTGGTGGAGTTTGGTACCCTCCGGATATTTGGAGTTTCCTGGATGGGCCTTGGTGGATGGTCCTGGTCATGCCAGCATCTTTCACACGATAATGACTCTTTTTCCTCATGATGGCAATGATGATGATAATGATCATGACGACGATGATATGAGGGTGATACCCATTTCTTATTCTCTTCGGTTTCTTCTTCTTCTGTACTGTAAGATATCTCTCCGGCTATTCTCGCCGTGATAAAAATAAGAAGCGCAAGCCAAACAAATTATCCGCACCCTCCATGATAACTAGAGTGTCCATGTCCATTTCCCATCGCTTCACGATGCTCTTGTGTTTGCGCCATATCTGTCGTGCCCGCGTATGACACGCACCAGGCACCCGGGAAGCTGCCATGCTGCAGTGTCCCCGTCTTTCCGATCACACCTCCCTGTTCCATTCTTGAGATGGTTACTTATGCTTCCATCACTGTGTGCCATGCAGGCCACGCAAACAGAACCCCAGAGAACATCCACGTCGTCAAACGGTATGAAATCCTACGCTATGTTCTGGGACGTAGGAGCACACCTTCCCGATCTGACTCCAAGCCGCTCAGTCTGTGTCTTTTGTGATCTGTCGCAGGCCATTGAATGCTCTCCTCGATGTTACCGAGTGGATGGTCAAGATTTGGCTGAGCATGTGGCACACCAGTTGTCAGCCCTCCTGGGTAAATTTGAGGCGTATCGTGTATGCACATGATTGATTGATCTGTAGTATCCAGTCCTGGAAGCGCTGCGCTGTAGTCCACAATTTTAATGTCTCTAGATACGCAACTCATCCCACAAAAGGCGTGCCTGTCTCCTAAACCGCTCAATAGACGGTGAGCGTCACGGCGAAACTTCAATGAAGCGCCCCCAACTCTCACGTGCAAGTTGCTCACGATAGGCTCGTCCCGCTTTCCGAGATCTCGCCCCTCCCGGGCAGGATCCCGCGATCGACAATCGTATGCCCCGATCTGGAAGCCATCCATCGAGGAAAAGCCGAGAGGGGCGAGGGGCGTGTCCGTAGAAATCGAGATAAAGCGATCTGGTATGTACCGTACACGTGTAAATACACTGTAGGTTCCCGTCGCAGTGGGAAACCCCTGCCCCAGTGGACGGTTACCCTCGGTCACCAGGCTCTTTCCTTCCAGCGGGTACCACCAGATCTCTCTCCCGCACATCGTGGATGGGCTCGTGCCTCTGCCTACGCAAGTGAGCAGCATCAAGCCAACGCTGGAAACCCGACAGGAGGGCCGCTAGCTTGGGTAGCCCGAGGACGTCGACGACACTCAGTGCCCCGGGCATCCAGTAGCTACCCCGCAGTACATGAGCCGACGCCAAAGGGTTGCGACGGGGACGGGGACGGCAGTGGAGTAGTGCCCGCCGTGTCCCGCATCGTGGGTGAGTGGTAACGCAGGTGTTTGCCTTGCATACTGCACAACCTTGGTCTTGGAAACACTTGCCGGACCTGGTTGGCGGTTCTGGGCCCTTTCCCTCTTCGATGTGATGCGCATCCAGGGGTTTACCCATACCATTCTCAGGGTCCTTTGAACCACACGCGCTCGAATTTCGTGTTTCTTCCTTCCAGCTCGTCAACGACGCGTCGCGCGAATCCGTATCTTGGCCTCTGCGACAACCCGAAAGCACTGACGCGATACCAACATTGAAGACGAAGGCTTTCGAGATCAATCATGCGTCATTGCCCTTGGGTATGATTGCATCCAATGGAGTGGGCCCGAGATCTCTCCAGCGAGTTTTGTCTTTGGGGGGTAGGAAACATCGCTTGCGCGGGCCCCAGGACAGAATTCGCGACCATAAGGATCCAATTCTGCAGCCGAGAAGACCCCTTGCTGAAGGTAGCGACCGCAAGACGCCGTCTAGGCTGCTCGGGAAGGTCCAATATTGTTGTCGGACTGCTTGCAACTCGTTCGGCTGTGGCTAGAAACAACACGCCACCAGTGGCGATTCTGTAGTGGTTGCCAGAGGACACTGCCACGTCCAGGCCTCGTCTGCGTGAAGCTAGAACCGTGCGTTATTTGCACCAGTCAACGCGCTGGTTGTGTCCGCGTTGCCTCCGGGGAATTGTCCATTTTGTGTGTTCGATCTGCATCAGAACGTCAGTCTTTGAGCATCGCCATCACTTTCTACTTTTTGAAGTTGACATACATACCCTCTCTCAGGCGCCACCCTAAAAAAAGAATAAACGGCAGCAAGTCGAGTCGAGGTTCATTATCATGGAATGACGAGGAGAGCACATCATTTTTTCCTTAAAGAACACGGTCATAGGCGATCTGTGGCTGCGCGAGGGAGCATTTCCCCTGAACGACTGAGCGCCTAACATCCCGCTGCGCGCCACGGTGGTGCAATCTCATCCAAACACATCCATTTTCTCACTAATAGCACGTCTATCTCCGCAAAGCCCGTAAGATTTGATGAATACTACTTGGGATACATTGTCACACAAGAGCCACTTACTCTCCCCTGTAACTCACCACAGTACCGCAACACGGCGCCAATTGTGCCAGGAACACCCCCAATGAGCGTGCAAACTCGGCGGAACGCGGCCGGAATGTCCAGCAAGCGAGCGGGATATGGGCGCATCCGGAGAGAAACCTCCGGAGACAGTCGGATGTTAAACCGGCATTGCAACGTCCGCAGAGAAACTATCTTCGCAGAAGTCCATACCCGAGATGACAACCCAAAACATGCAACGAACGGATGAACATGGGCAGGCTTTGCATTGAACACCCCCGTAGGGGGCCCAGGGGCCAGCAAACCATCTGATCAGTCAGCAGCCCGTAATGAAGTTGCTGCAGTCGGAGTTTCCTCACTGCGACACAGTGCACAATGCACATAGCCCCAGACATCGCACGGCCTGAGGTGTGGCATATACGGGTAAACGAATATCACAAAAAGCAGAGCACATCGTTATTCATTCTCCCGTTTTCAACAAACTCCTGCTCATCGCAAACTCCGTACTTTGTACCCGTTTCGGCAACACCATCCACTGACTGCTATCGTAAGCCTGGAGTCAAAGTACCAACAGATACCATCAAGGGAGGACAAGGCCAGAAGCATAGTGGTATTGTCAAAGTAAGGTCCAATTGGGAATTGAAGGGAGACACAGAATCACCTCCCAAAAAGATAGAAACGTCTTGTACCTCGCCATGATTAGAAGAGAAATTACAACTATCATCCGCATCCATCTAGTATAACAACATAGCTCCAGTAATCAAAATACCTAAAAAGCCGCGACTAAACTCTGCCCATCAAAGGGACTTGGTATCTCAGAAGCGAAAAGAAATCAAATCGTTCTCAACGCCAAAAAAGCGCGCACAAGGATCCCAAACATCATCAAGTCCTGCGCAATTTTGATGCCAAGAAATTACAGCCCCTCCTTTTCTAGTTCCCCATTCCATCCAAGCAACCCAGGTATGGGGAATTAGAGTGGTAAAGACGTAGAGAGAGGGACGGAGAGAGAACAAGAAACGAACCAAGAAGAGGGAAGGTCTGGGGATCTCATCATCATAACTGATCGTCAAATGACAGGTTTCTCAATACCTCAACCTCAACTCATAGGCCCCATGCCTGGCGCCGGCGGCGTTGGTGGGGTCGGTTAATGGCGACGGCGACGCGTCCGTCTCGCCCGGCGCATCGAGCGCCATTTCCCACTCCTGCTTCAGGTTCCCCTCCCCGCCGCCGCCGACCTCGACAATCTCGAGTGTCATGTCCAGGCCCTCGGGCAGTTCCCGGATGACATCGTCATCCATCTCCACTTCCAGCCCGCGGTTCGCGAGCACGTGCACCGTCCGCACAACGCTGCCCGGGTCGAACCCCCATTTGGCCGCGACGCGTGCCACAAACTCCCCGAGCGTCCTCTGCATCAGGTAGACGGCCCGGTGGAGCTCGTGGTCCGATGGGGACGGCGACGTTTGCCGCGCGACAAAGAAGCACGCAACAGGCTTTTGGGTGCGTTCTGGCGGCGGACGGTACGTCGAATCGACGCCCAGGGCCTCGATCCAGCCCGTGAGGTTCCCCGCCTCGTCCACCTGCCTGACCCTTGTGGGCTGGTCCAGACCCTGCCGCAATGTAGAGTCCTGGTTGTCCTGCCACTTGGGCTTGGAGCCCCCAATCGAGGCCTGCGAGTGGAGTGAGAGCGAGCTCGGTGACGGTGATACCAGAGATGAACCGGCCACGGAGCTCCGCTCGCTGCGCCATGGGTTGCTGTCACGCGAGTCCACTTTGATCAGGTCGAGAGGCTCGCCGGGAAGGGAGACTGGGTGGAGGTCCGGGTCGTCCAGCTCGTCGCCCCGCAAACAGAGCACGCTCACCGGACGCGTGCTGGTGAACATGTCTTGAAGCGTAGCGAGTTTGACGTGCAAGTCCTCCTCGAGCGGCATTCGAGGACCCCCACCAGCCGAGCTGGCAGAGGACATGGACCATGTGCGCTTGTGTTTTTGGACCTTGTTGGGTCGTTGTCCGTTCTGGACCTTCATCTGCGCTCCGCCAGCTCGCTTCCTTTTACCAAAGTCCTTCATTCCGCTCTCTGCTTGGGCAATTTGCTGCTTGAGCTTGTCGATGGTCTTGCGAACATGGGCAACATCGTTGGAAAGCTTGCGCTCGGCGCCGTGATCTCGGAACAGCTTGACTTTGCAGTAACAGATCTCGGCCTCACCGTCCGAGTTCGGGTCCGGCGAGGAGTCCGCCGGAAGCGGGTGCGTTTTGGCGCACAGCCGGACCGGGATTCCCTTGACACCCTTGGAATGGCTGAAATCCGTGGAAAGGAAATTGAACCGGACAGCAATGTTGCACTCGACGGCGCCATTGATACCCGGCGTCCAGATAACAGAGAAACCGTCAAACGAGGCAGACTCCAGCTCGATGCGCGTTCGCTTATCGTCGCCCTCTGCGGGTTGCCCGGCTTCAACATACTCCACAGCCTGTAGTTTGCCCCCTCTCTGGTGAGCCTCGTTGGTGCCACGACCTTCCTTCCACAAGCTCCAGCATACTCCCGGCTTCTGTCTTTGCTGTTCATCCTCAAACGAGACGCGCACGAATGTCCGGAATCGCGTGCCTGGGGCGATGGGCAGCGTGGGGGCGGTATCGATAATCGACAGTGAGTATGCCTGGCCCTTGTTTAGGTACGTCACCGGGATCTCATCGGCGTGCTTGACCATGGCAGTTGGGGCGTTGAGGGTGGTATGAAAGCGGAACTTTTCTGCCGACGCCGGGAGGGTCACAGACATGGGCATCCCAAAATGTCTTGCTTGGAAAGCCATCATGGTAGACTGATCTTGAAAGTTGCCGTCGATGGACCCTATCCGTTCCTCGGTGTGGTCCGAGTCAATTGGCGACCCATCCTGGTCCATTGTTTCGTAGCCAGTGTCCTGGTGCACAAAGGAGGAAGGGGCAAACGATGGCTGAGTAGGAGGGGGCTGGACGAAGGCGTTGAATTGGTGGTGGAACTGCTGGGGATGGAAACCGTTGTGGAACCCGGACATGTCCATCGTTGCGGATCCCGAGTGCAGCGGGCCTTCAGAGGTCGGTAACGACAATGGCGTTCCGATACCCATCCCAAGGCCCAGGGTGGGGGTATGAAGATCACCGGCTTGAGGATGATACAGCGTGTTTGTTCCTCCGGGAGTAGGAGTATAGTATCCCGGAGGCTGGTTTGCGAAGTGGGCAAACGAGAAGGAACCCGGATCTAACAATGACGGGGTGAACCTCCATTGCTCGTTTGTCGCCCTTGGTGTAGGGTCTTGGTCCCGGAACGCTTCATGGTTAAGAGCATGAGGCCTGTTCCCGCGGTGAATGTATTAGTCAACGCATATTTCAACCACTCGAAGCAAATGAGCTCGGATTTGTATATTGGCAAGACAACGGCGGCCACCCAGCAACTTCACTCCGCGGAGGATCCTCATTGATAGCCGAGAAGCGCCGCAGCAGAGTGAGTTGCTAGAAAGTAATAAGAGAGAACAGCGCTCGAAGTATAAGACGCACCTTTCCTGTCCGGACACCGGGCCATCGGCGTGGTTTGCTGTGACGGTTCTGGCTGGAGGTGCCGCCGAGGTGGACGTGCCGACTGCTGCTACTTCAGGAAACTGTTGTCTGAAGTTGGCCAGCAAGTCATCGCCAGGCTTTTGCGAACTTGTCCTACACGCGATTTGATGGTCAATGTAGGTTTCATAACTCGTCCACCTAGGGGTCAAATAGGTGAATTTCGCGCCTCCTTGGAGGCAGGCGCGGCACAAGGTGGGCGCGAGGTGCAAGCTCGCGCCTGTTCTCTCAAACCTGGATCCGGTTCAAGGCTTACCTTGAGCGAAACATGAGTGCGACCAGTATATGATGGCCGGAAGGGCTTGCGGCAGCGGAAAGCAAAGTTTATCGGCAGATTCGGGGTTGGGGAACGAAAGTGCAAAGGAGCCGCCCTGATTTATTCTTTCGGAGAGCGCACCACTTTCTCATCAAGCACTGGCAAGCGCAAACCTGACGGGATCGCACTGCACTAGATAGAAGCTGCTGTTGAGGATGCGTCAGGAAAAGCGAATGCGCTTTTGGAAGCAGTGAAACGAAGGTCGGCAGAATGCAAAAGAGAGAAGACGGCCAGCGGCGCCGGTGAGTAAGTACAAGGGGAGAAGGGGATTAAGTGTCACCGCAGCATGGGGAAATGTGGTGCGGTCGGGTTTGTGGGCTTTTCAAAGGCATGGATATTATAAGTGTACCCATACCGTACAGTACGGGACTCATGTACACACACTTACGCGCAGACGCTAATGCGGGCCCTCCCCCACTGTCAGTTTTAAACGCAACGCACAAGGTCTGTGTGTGTGGAGCAAGAGAGGAGAATAGCGAGAAAAGGTAAAGCTCAGAAGCCGAACTCGAGTAAAGATAGATTGAAGAAATGTACCACATCCAAGGTACGAATATACGTAGCCTAGATTGTATATGTTTAGCTATGGTGAAAGTGGTCTCCGAATAAAGTGCGGTTGCGACTCGGTGTGAAGTGAAGGGACCTTCGAGAGGGGCCCCGAGGGGCCAAAGGGATGCAAATGTGGCTCCCCCTCTTACAACACGGATGGGGTGGGCAACGGAAAATTAGATGCTGGGGTATCCCTGCACAATTCCACCAATGTTCTCAACGGCAGACGAGGGACTTAACCCTCTTTATTAGCATATGTAGTTTATGTATAATACATACGAGCTGAAGCAAACTGTGTTAGATTTGCTTTTAGATTCGCCTGTAGGTAGACCCAAAGCCACATTAGATGGTTGCCCAGTCTCGGGCCAGTGCAGGTGTATCTTGCGGAGTTGCCACTGAAAGACTTTTGAACAGACTAGGAGAAATGAGGACCGATGGCATAAGGGATCCGGAAGCTGGAGAGGGCAAGAGTTGGCAGATGTCACAAACGGTATCACTTATCAAAGTTTCTACCCCCGAAGTAGCTACTGCTAAACGCATATCAATCATTGGTTCTCTTGTCTAGGAAATGCTGCACTCCTACCAACATACTATGTCACCGCTACTCAATCGGTTGTCTTGTGCGTCTGGACAGACTACGATATACGGCGGCGATTGAACAATCCCAATAGCGGCATGTCTGAAGTACAGTACCGGTAGTTGTGAAAAAAGTATAGATGGTTCTCGTCTTTCTGTACCTCGGTCGGGTTTTGGCAGGATATGCAATTAGCAGAAGTACACTTGGGCTGAATTCCCAAACCTTTTTCGAGAGCCTGGCGAGCTTAGGGAGAGTACCAGTACACCTAGAGCGGTGGCTGTGTCAAATGATCCGCTTTGGAGACACGCCTAGGTAGGTAGGTATCTCTTTGTCTAACAGCATCACTACCCAGAAACACATATATAGTATCTTTATTGTAACGGCAAGCCTAGAGCAACCTCAGTGCCATTGCAAACCAGCTAAGCCTCGTAGTACTGACGTGGCTTGCTGGTCGGTGTGGCTGGAATCTTGTCGCCACGATTCGCCGGGCCAATCATTGGCCATCGAATTGAATACTGATAGGTACTTGAACTGATAACGTACAGAGCGTACGGAGTTAAGCCGCGGAAAATCCGCCGCATACGGAAGGGGCCATGGCTCTACGTATCCGTTTGTGCGGTCGTCGCACCCTGCCGAGATGGCAGGATGATCTCAGGGGTTGACTTCGCATCCCAATCCACTGCAATCGAACTATGAGTTCGACTCGGAATTTTCGGCGGCAGCTCCTCGCAATTGTGACGACAGTTTTCGTCCTAAAGTCTTTCGTTACGCTATAAGTACGCGTGCACGTTCATGACAACACGGCTGAACCCTCCGTCAAAATTGACGGCCGCCGGGGTCTTCCGGCTGTCAACGGCTTGAATATCCCAACTGAGACTAGTGCTGTTGGGGTGGGATCTGCAGGCGCATGAAAGGCGCTATCCGAAACAATCAGAGCTATGACGTCACCGCAGGATTCGGTTCATTTTCCCGCATGAGAATGATTGGACCCAGCAGCCCCAGGTGGAGTCTTTGGAAACGGCACCGGCACTCGATAGCGCGAGCAACTCTCCATAACTTCGCCGATAAGCCGAGAATTGAGGTTCCGATGAACGCTCAGGTACTCGTTTGTGGAGCAGCAATGAGCCCCTGGCTAGTGGCAAGAGAATGGAATTCTCCCACGGTACCCAAAGTAATGGTAGGGTCGTGTAAATAGTGTATATCGTGGACCCGAGCGGCTCTCAGTTTTGCCGATCTCGCTTGGATTCTTTTGGCTCCCGAGACCCCATATTTCCGGTAATTCTGGAAGCATTCCGGCTTTGTTGAGAACGCGAAAAATAATACACCAAAAATCTTCTGGATGGGTCGCCTACGCAGTGTCACTAGGTGTTGGATGCCAGCTGGGTCTCTTTCTGCAGGCCACCGATACCCTACACGCATAAGGCTGATTGCTAGCTGTACTCAGCCCAGTCTGCAACGTATCTGATAATATACTGTGCCGGAAGAGTGCTTAACGGGACCTCGGGGACTCAAGGGAGTCTTTGTCTGCAACATTATCCTTTTGCTAAGGCCTAACGGTCACTTCCATAGGCCAGGGACTGCCGATATTCGTCTCACCATCCATATATCGTCATCGGAGATTGCGCCCAATTTACAGGCATTTTTTACCTCAACGTGGTTGTTTCTGACGAGAGTGGTCGAAGTAATAGATGCTGCTGTCTGTGTATACTCTGTTTTTTGCATCAGGCACAATAGGTACAGGAGGGTGTTGGTTCAAGCAAGTCCCCTATTTTCTACTATGTAACGTCGAGACCCGCGATTCTCGAGTCTCTGCATGTAAATGTTGATCATCAACCCCAGAGCCTAGGGTCTGATCTCCATGCCAATTTGCCGTACTTGGAAACAATCGGCGCTTCTTAGAAAGGTCGATAAAGACCCTTATACACTTCAGAGTACACCATTGCACAGTAACAGAACTCCGCAGTATCCGCAATCTCCTAATCACTACCGTATTTGCAGCTTTCAATTTTCCCAACGATCCCCAACGTGCGCATTGAAAGCTTCTGCGACTGCAGCTTCTTCTTTGGATGCACCGTTCCTGATGACGTCACTGGTCTGCCGTTAGCGCGGTGTCAGTGTCAATTCAGCGGCCTCAGCGCCAACGGTATTGGCGGGGCACGCGGAAAGGACGGGAGGAACTGTCGGTCAGGTTCTGCTACGTGGCATGTCCCCAAGGGGCCGCATTGCATGAACAACCAAATGAAATGCTCAAGATACACTAGACTCAGGAATTCAGCTTCCAGCTTGTCGCGGCCGAATGACAGCCGCGTCTTCGCCCGCTTCAGCGCCCAACTACATACCAAGCTCTGGATCAGAGCAGTTCAAGAAATGAACAACAAAAAAAAATAATAAGATAAATGGAATGGAACAAATCTATACGCCATCTGATCAAGTCGGCAGGCATAGCACAGCGCGCATGGCGCGCATGGCGCGTGGATAGGTCGTGTGCTATTCGTTGCCTGTGCGTGCCTGTCTGCAGCCACTACGTAATTATGGACTGACTCTCCCAGGGATGGAATTGTTGACAAATTCCCATGTCGGCATGCAACGCAGTTTGTGTTTGCCGCGTTTCATTTTATGCAACGATTCAGTTGACTGCCCTTTATGTGCATACAGCAGGGGTTCGGACGATGGGGTGAGCTTGAGGGTAAATTACATGTATCGTACGGAGCATTGTATGGACATGGCCCGGGGTCGTACATGTATTTTCGGTGCTTCGGGAATTCCATCCGGATGCTCACACAGTGGCCGGCGCACTTTGAGCCAAGACGGAACAACCCCCATGGGCAATGACGTCAGTGCCGCTCTTGTCAAATTACGTGCAGCGAGGCACGGATTCGGCCCCACAAAAGCTCTCAGCTTTGCATCCATCCCAGATCCCTTGTCCGCAGGAGCAACGGTGTACACAGCTATAGATCATGAAACAATAGGAAAACCTTTCATTGCGAATATGAGGTTGAGACAGGGGAAAGAGAGGGAAATGCGATTTGCTATCCCTCTAGAAGGTATGTACAGTACAGTATCTATGCAGTACGCTAACCCTAAAATCGGGAAAATTGCCCAACGGTTGAGCGCGCCTGCACATGTGCTTCAAACTCCCTCTTTCGGCACATCCGCCCGAGGCGGGTACCCTCGCCGTTGGACCCGGCTCACCGGCCGGCGCGCACTCCTACCAACTTCTGTTCCACCGGCTGCTCGGTGTGGTTGTTGTGCGCGTGCGTGCAAGGCCACAGCATGCCTACTTAGGTAATCATTCTATGTATTGCTTCGGCGCAGCTGCACCTTCTATCTACATAGGGACATATTACCTACCTATGTGAGTTGCTCTAATATTTGTCCTTCCCCGAATCGCTGCTGCTGTCCTGCTGTATTGCTGTCCGGCTCAATCGGTCCCCAGCGGAGGTGATGTCACCCTATCCCCTTGCAGCTGGTACTATATCCCCAGATTTTCTTAGAGGCCGTCCCTGTTACAGAATCCCTCTTGCAGCAGATGGGAGGTTGCAGGCGTGCCACTCGCTAGAGGAAACCTCCTACTGGCAGTCCGCTGGCGATGTTGCATCCCAGTTGCAGTTCTTGGAACCCCGCATGCCACCATCTTCACTCCTTACCGTCGTTGTCATGGCTTACATATAGGAAATAGCAAGGCTACGGACGTTCCATCGCGTTAGCTTACCAGATAGGTAGCTGTAGTCAAACTCCGGGGCAGGTTTAGGAAAAACCACTTGTTCTTCGCAGAGACTTCCTACCAAGCTGAGGTGAAGGAGGCAAAACGAAGCACGGCTGGCTGCAATGGTAGGTTGGGCCGCTTTCACTGTTCAGCTTCGGGGGCGAAAATGGTGAGCGCTTGTCATGGGCTGGCGAGGCTGGGAAGTAGATGGGTCACGTTTTGATTCCGGTAGTCCTAGGGCTGGTGCACTGATAATTCCTAATAACGTAGCTGGATCTCAGGCCGTCGATCATGCTACACAAGTCTGCGTGTCGGCTCAGATCCGTTACCTTTCCGTGACTTGGTGCCTTGATTAGTAGGTACTACTGTTGTCCCGGCAAGCACGTATACACTACACCTTCAACATAGTAGGTGTAGGGGTATATTGTTTTGTATCATAGGTGTCTACGTGTAAGTTCCTGCTTCTTCGTTTGCAGTTCATCCGGTAAGGGGCAAAGCTCCCTTGCCACCCCATCAACTTTATTTTTGGGGTCCAGTCAGGGAGATACTGTACACAAACCTTTGACATCGCCCGAAATCGTCGCATCATGTATGGGGCACGCAGAGCCGTTGAGATCAGCTGAAAGGGGTCGCAGTGGTTCCCGTCTTGGCACCCCATCTGCTTGCCAGAGAACGGCGATCGGAGCGCCGTTGGGGCGGGAAAGCTCGTATTGAAGCCCCGTCCGGTTGCCTCAGCCTCCCAGCTCGCCGTCGATCCGGTAGCCTACCGGACGTTCAGCCGGGCCGGAGGGAGAGTAGGGTTAGCATGTCTGCCGTCTTTCGGTGTAGTAGGACATCGATGTGTTACCCAAATGCCTGCTTATAAACAAGGCGGGTGGCGGTCATGCTTCTTCTGCCGTCATGGACGTCGCCTGGCTCAGGTGATCAGCTGGTTAAGTCGATGAGTGTACCAACTCGATGTCCCGGGAACATCATGTTCTCAGGACTCTCATACATCCGTCAGCTAGAGAACCCTGTCTGTCAACTGCACTTCCATAACATCCCAACTTTGCCTTAGGTGTTGACGTTCAAAAAGGGGGGTGAATAGTTCCAGCCATTTTGTGAACTTCCATACAACCCCTACATGGCGTTCTCCTGGGGAAACCGTCCTTGATGTTACCGCCCAGCATGCTAGATAAGAGGAGAAGCAAATCGTGCGTCGTCGCTTGCAATACGAGCCTCTCGGATGCGGAGCGGAAGCATCACGATAGCCTCGCAGTGCGCAAGCAGATAAGTGATGCACTTTGTATGGAAGGTTAGGTATGTATGTACATACAGTATGTGGTACATACCTATCCCTACATTTTTGCGCCATGAGCTGCAGCCATCCCGCAGCATACCAACAAGTCTCCCTTAGTAGGAAAAGGTATGTACCAGGTAGTATTGCTCCAGAAAGCAGATTGTCTGGCGGCCATCCTATATTCTTACCTTATGAACATCTAATGCTACTGCATGTTTGGTATTTGGATATGCTTCCCACGGTCATTAGGTGTCGACAACTCGACATGAAGAGGTCGGCTCCTGCGTGCACCTGAAAGGGCGTACAGATTCCTTCAGCAGGGAAACCTATTATCATCTTCAAGGGATCATTAAGACTCAAGTACCTAGACAGGCCTCTCTTTTGAGGCGAAATGTTTCACTCTCAGCGGTGTGCGGTGTGGACATCTGACAAGGTCCCGTGGCACGAAAAAACGAAGCCATTGGCCAGAACATCCAACGGCAGGAGAATGTTCAGATCCGTTGACTTTGGACGAAGGCATCCAGACTGTGAAGACAACAGCGCGCTTATCATTCAGTCGATGCTGGACTATTCGGATCTCGTAAATGGTACCCGTGGGCGGATGATTGGCTTCCGATTCGTCGAAACTCGAAAGACTCGAAACCCCGACGTTGCTGACAAGCTTCCGTTGTTTCTCGGGTAGGTGCTGAGGGCAAGTACGGTATCAGAATCTTACCTCATTTTTGCCCCTCCCGCGGTCTTCCTTTGTTGTCGCTAAATTCTTTTCTTCAACCTCCCGATTTTCCTGAGATTCAGAGTTGCGCAATTACTCAGGTAAGTCTTCTGCATCTAGCGTGTTGCTGAGGCGGCGAGGGCGGCAATCACAGCAGTTTTGCTTGGTGGGGTCCTGCAGAAGGCCCCGCGGCCCTTGCTTATCAGCTGCGGTGGCGGCTACAGTACCTTATCTTATCGGACACCTCGGCGATCAGCGCTGTCTCTAACGCCCTGATATTACAGGTACATACATACCGGCGCATCTCAGACCGCCCGGTAGAGAATCTAAAACGTAAACCTAAAAAGCTTGTCATATCCGCCTGCCTAGCATCACCTGGTCATCGTTTCGAGTACTTGTCGATTTCTCGACCTCTTAATCTCGCGGCAAGCTGCGTCGAGGCTAAGGTTGGTGTCCTGAAACCATGTGGACGTCCTCCTCTCCGGCCTCGGCCCCGGCGAATGCTCCCGTGGGCGAGGAGCAGCATCAGAACGAAGGTTCGAAGCTGAGAACATTAATCTCTGTTTTAAGAAAGTGAGTGCACTCAATGCCCAAAACATCTGTGGCATGTCGCTGGGTCTCCCTTCGCTGGGCTCCCTGGCCGAAGAGGCGGTGACCCAAGAGCTAGAGATCAGGATGGCTGCGAGCATGCCGCGCCTGTTGTCCAATCGACCTCTTGTCCTATTTCATATCATCTGCGAGATTGGGCCGGTCTTGTGCTAACTACACAATCTTCCCAGGTTTATCGGAGTTTCTGACCTCGCAGCCGTACGCTTCTCGCTGCCTTCTCAGCTCCTTGAGCCGACCCCGAACCTTGAGTATTGGAATTATCTCGACGCCCCCAATGCATTTGTTGCCATTGGGACCGCAGACGACCCCATCGATCGAATGCTGGAAGTCCTGCGCTTCTGGTTCACGAAGGACCTAAAATACGCCAAAGGAAAGCCTTGCAAACCATACAACTCCTGCTTGGGCGAGTTCTTCAGGGTAGGTTGGCGCCAACCTCGCCCTTTGGCGCAGGGTTGTCAAGAAATTGGGAAGTTACTGATGGCGTTGCTGTGGCCAGTGTAACTGGGAGACCGAGGATGATGCTCCGAAAATCGACACCAGGGCCTTTAGGGCGAGCGGCACCCCGCCGAGCAGCAGTGCGTCGAGTGTGAGGTCCGGAAAGCACCTCGATCCTGCCCGGCTTAGTTCTGGCGACATGCGGACCTCATCCAGTGTGTCTGTTTCACCATCAATATCCAGCCCCACCAAACCAGTCCGCGTTTCCTACTTGACCGAACAGACGTCGCACCATCCCCCTGTCAGCGCTTTCTATATCAGCTGCCCCGAGAAGGGCCTGCATGCCAAAGGCTTCGATCAGATCACCGCAAAGTTCACTGGCACCTCCATCAAGGTAATGCCGGGAGAGCACAATCTGGGCATCTTCATCACCGTGGAGCGTCGTAACCATGAGACGTATCAGCTGACGCACCCCGCTGCGCACCTGGGTGGCCTGCTCAGGGGCGCTCTGAGCGTCACCGTGGGCGACATGGCCTACATCACTTGCCCGGAGACTAAGCTGAAAACAATCCTTCATTACTATGATGACGGCTGGCTTGGGCGGAGTACCAACAAAGTGGAGGGAATCATATTCCGATATGACCCAGAGAACGACAACAAGCAGCGGATCAGCGACGTCCCTGAAGAGGACATTGTCGTGCGGCTTGGTGGAGCCTGGAAGGAGAAGATTGTCTTCACTATGGGCCCGAAGCCTTTGGTGAGTAAACGATGCAGGACGCAAAGGCGATCAGAGGCTAACGTCAAGGTAGAGTTCTCATCCGCCGGAAGACCAGATCACAATCATTGATATCGCACCGCTCTCAGTAGCACCCAAAGTGCTGCCACCACCGGAGCAACAACTTCCAAATGAGTCTCTAACGCTCTGGGGCGAAGTCACCAAGGCCATCCTGGCCAAACAGTACTCCCGTGCCACGGCCGTAAAGCAAGAACTTGAGGAAGCTCAGAGGGAAAAAGCGCGCGAACGCGAGAAGAAAGGAGAGACATGGAAGCCCGTCTTCTTCGAGCAAGCGACGGACAAGGCCGGCAAGCCCTCGTTGACGGAGGAGGGTCGGAAAGTCCTCGAGAGAGCGCAGAACGGTGACTGGTCGTTGGAGGGTATCATCGATTGAGGGTATTGAGGCACTAAACCGCTTTTTGGGTTCTGGTACCGGAGTTGAAGGGGAACCGCGGCCAAACTGAACGGAGACTCTTCATTCGCTCTTGCGATGGGCTTGTCTCATCCGGCGGCTGCATTGTTTGGCTCGACTGGGCATAAGAGGCTTGTGGCATCTTGTTTGAGTGGTTTCCCTCACTGGTTGCATGGCTAGAGGTGGCTGCTTGTCGGTCAGGTATGAGGGTTCGGGGCGTTTACTGTTGGACTTGCATGACCCAGGTCCAGGTCATGCGGCATAGAGGTTTGACAATCGAACGGCGATGGACAATACTTACATCTACCCCGTTATAATCTACCTTATACATTCGGGCTTTCGCGGTTGTAGGGCTGTCCCGGGGTGAGTACGTAAGTGCCTCAAGGAACTAGGCACAACTTCGTCAAGACGCTTCGCGGCACCTCCGCTGCAATCATTTGTGGTGGCCGCACTCCGATTCAGATACAGCGGAAAGAGATTCCAATACAGTAACTCGTGAATCGTAAAATGTCCAACGAATTGGGAAACGAGGTTCAGATGTGAGGCATTAGCATGAGAGTATGATGGAAATCCCCTCTGGCCTGAGAAGGTGTACGCAACTGCGATCTATTGGCAGTATACCACCTCGTCCGAGTCCCACTCTTTGGGTTATCTGTTGTGTTTGGCAGGCGGTCCCTGAGAGTCAATCTCGGTGCGTTCTCGCCGGTGGCAGTTTCGGCGTCTCCGTTATTGGAGCTGCACTGCATGCATGCGGTTGCCGGTCTTAGTGTACTTAGGCGCCCTGTCTGTTAATGAGGGTAGTAGAGCGACCAATTTCACCATACAAAACTTGCCTTGCACTAACAGTGGATTCTGCATGGTACCAAACGTTCTCTTTGCGGCAGGTTGGGAACAGGGGAAGGTACGAGGGGGCTCTCACCGGCCTCCTCGTCGTTCATCCCTATAGGAGAGCCACCTACTCGGACCCCGATGCCGTCGGGTGCCTCTCAGTGCCGAAAGCTCGAAGCAGATACTCCGACCCAAGTTACACGCCCCGGCTAGCATCTCAGGTAGACTGAGGGAGTCCTAAGAGAATGTACCTACCTGGGGTGCTTTGAAACGTATGACTCGTGTCAAAGGCCACATCAGCGGCAGAGTCACGTAGCGCCCAGTGAGACCGGTGATTGGGATTTGCAACTTTACATAGTCCGCTAGACATGCTTATGTTTAGTATTCGCTATCATGCCGTGCCTTGCTATTGAGGCCCTTTGACGCCTCAGCCAGGACGTCAAGGACTCATGGGTTGCCTTAGACAGGGCTTGCCAGTGAGTGTAATCCCAACCAGAGCTCCAGAAGGCTCCTAAAGAAATGAATCTGTTCTATGGTATTCTGTAGAGCCTACGGCTCAAACTCCCTAGCTACCTTATACATGGCTATGCCCTGACATGACGTATCCTAAACCCATGCGCCAAACACTGTGCTACTCCTGCCGCTACCCAACTCTCCCTCCCTAATCGAAGATATAAGCAATCTGTGCCAATCCCATGTCAACAACGACCCCCCTCTTACACTAGGGGGTGGGTATCAGAACTTCCTGCCAATGCTCGGCTCTTAGATTTTCTGCAGCACTTGCTGCCCAACGATGGTGTCCACCTGGGACTGGGCATATTGCTGAGGTGTGTTGGCGTCAAGGTTTCCGAGGTGTGTTGGCGTCAAGGTTTCGCTGTGCAGGCCCCTGCTTAGAAGGAGCGTGCTGCATCTCAACGGCGGTCTTGAACGGGGTATACGGCACAACAGCACGCGCAGGTCAGTTCGCCGTGGCAACCCGTGCAAGCTGCTCCTTGAGCTGCTCAATCGCCCCCTTTGTCCATTCCCCTCTCCTTCTCGGCCCTCGGCCCGCGGGCCTCTGTGGATACTATCCCAGTTCTACGGGAGTTGACCTGCCCGTGGCATTCGAATGATACCTGAAGGGGGGAGGAGGAGGAAGAGGAGGCGTCTGGGACTTCAGCATTTCGACATCATCCAGAGGCTGTGAGTAAACTCTCTGCTGTTGCTGAAGCTCGAGAAGCATCCTTTGTTGTTTCCTCACATATCGGAACCATAATATGCCACAAACGATGGCGGTAAGCCCGACGATAGAAACACCAACACCGATTCCTGCTTGCGCAGCAACGGGAAGATTGAGTCCAGAGTTCTCGAGCTCACTAGGTGCTGGAGTACTGCTCGTGGTTCCTTTCTGGTGCTCGCCCGAGGATGTGGTGGACAGCGACGTAATCGTGGAGGATGCGGACGCGGTCGTTGACGAAGGCGGTGACGTGCTTGTTGATGGGATAGACGGCGAACTGCTCGGAAGAGGTTCGTCGGTGATGTTAAAGTAGGCCGACGACATGGCTTCCACTTCCACCGACCCCAGATTCTCGAGACCACCCTCCTTCAGCCAGAAGAAAAACACGTTTGAGACCGCTAGGTCAAAGCTGTAAAGCTGCACCTGCCAATCGAACTCTGTCTCGGGCCCATCAGTGGTTCCTTTGAAGTGGAGAGTAAGTTGACCGACCATGATGCCGAGCGCTCAAACGGATACTTACGGAAGACAACGGGCCCCAGATTTGCGGAACCTCCGGCCAACTGCTGCTGCCATATCGCAATTGTATAGTTGGTAAGTTTTGTGCGGTACTGGATTTTCTGCACCTCCCCAACCCGAAACTGTTGCCTTTGGGTAAGCGGAGTGATGAATTGGGAAGAGACCAGAGGGACAAGGAAGGCGGAGACACAGGTCAGGATGCCAAACGGAATCATCTTCCAATGTCAGGGCCAAAACAAAGACAAAAGAAGCATTATGGTGACACGAGAAACGGCTTGGGAGTGCATAGCAGGGAACCATGATGCGTATCTTAACCTTGTGCGCCATGGGCTTTAAATCCTTTCCGATACGCGCCGCATCGCCCCGGCGGCGGCGGCTTGGTCTTTGACTGGCATCGCAAAGACGGGGAGATGAAACTTGTGGCATTACTGCTGAAGCTGCAGCAGCGCCCTCAAGATCACTGAGGGCTACGGAGTAACGAGCCGGCGCATAAGAGAAGCGCCGTAGAGACATCGGACAGGGCTTGGCGGCCGAGTTGCGTCAAATCAAGGTTCAGAGCCGGGGCCCGCACAGTGTATCCAAGCGCTCGGTACGCAGGTGATTGGCCGAATCAATCGCAGCGTGTACGTGCAAGCACGGTGTACTCCGTGTGACCCTTTCAACAACTGAACGGATACTTCGTACAACGGACACCTTTTACACGCGTACTGTACCTATGTACTATCCTCACTCTACAATACTGTGTGTTCTGCGCAGCAGTTGGCGGTTCCGAAACGCAATCACTGCGGCAGAGGACGCCTCTTTTCACACACAGATGTCCTTATTGGTCGGCGGCACAACAATGTTGGTCTCTAGGGTTTCATCGTACATCTTTCCAGCTGCGTTAAGCGCCGAGGCGCTCTAGAACCAATACGGCCTCGCCAGTTTTCCCATAGGCCATTTTCCCCCACGTCCGCCGTCTGGGCGGAATTTCCCAGCTGAACTTGCAAAATTCAGGGTTACAGTAGGTAGCAGCATACTTCCAGATTCAACGTTCTTCTGTTTCCTAAGAGTCGAACAGCTTGAACAAGATGGACTTGCGACTACTGCTAAGTCTACCAAGGAGACGGATTCTATACACCCTCGGCACGGCTGTTTTCATGCTCGGCACGCTTCTTCTTCTTCGCTTCCATGATGATATTTCAGTTCCTAGCAGCTCAGCGTTCAGGCATCAGATTGTCTATGAGCGTTGGGCCTCAACGAGCGGTTTGATGCGCGATATCAGAAATAGCACGCTTGGTGTAAGTGTGAACACCCCCTTGTTGCGCGTGGTTGGGATTATGAACACGAACCGCATTTTCAGTTTGCGAAAATATTTGTTATCGGCCTGCCATCTCGGACAGACCGTCGCGATACCATAGCCCTGCAAGCTGCGCTTAGCGATATCCAAATAGAGTTCGTCGATGGCGTTCAGGGCAAAGACGTCCCTGACAAGGCCATCCCTTCGAGCTACGAGCACGACCGTTTGCCTGACGGGCCCCTCGGTTGCTGGCGCGCGCACATGAACGTCGCCCGAGAGTATGTATCACTTTAGGTTCTAGTTCCTCTAATATACTGCTGGACCCTGTGCTTAAATACCCCTGGTGTAGAATCGTGCAACGGAACTTATCATCGGCCCTTATTCTTGAGGATGATGCCGACTGGGACCTGAGGATACGAGACCAGCTCTATGATTTTGCACGATCCAGTCACGCCCTTACGCAACCCCTGACACCGCGCAGTCGCCCGGGCCGCGTATATGCTGACCCAACGTATCCCATGCCATTTGACGACTCGCCTCAATCTGTACCCGAGCTAGACTTCTACTCCCTTCCCGCCACAGTCCCCCCGACGGCATCTCCTTACGGGGACGACTGGGACCTCCTGTGGCTAGGCCACTGCGGGATGCACTTCCCATTCGCGCACAGCAAAACGATCCCAAAAGGCCGCGTTATCCGCGCCAACGACGAGACGGTGGCACCCAAGCATCACCTATGGACCTTCAACACCCCCTTCACCCTCAAGGACAACTACCCTGACCACACACGGGCCTACCATCATGTCCAGGAGGGCGTCTGCACGCTCGGCTACGCGCTTAGCCAGCGCGGCGCGCGCGCGTTGCTGCACGAGGTGGCGCTTAAAGACGTCGACGCGGCCGTCGACATCCTGCTGCGGTGGTTCTGCGAGGGCGAGCAAGGCCGCAAGGCGGGCCGGCAGTGCCTGACGACGCAGCCGGCCTTGTTCCAGCACCACCGGCCAGCGGGGCCCATGAAGAGCCAGAGCGACATCGGAAACCACGGGGACGGTTACAGGGAGAAGGCCATGACTGATATGGTGCGGTGGAGTGTGCGGTTGAATGCCGACGCGTTGATGGAGGGGAGGACAGATTTTGTGGACCAGTTTCCAGACACATAACCACTAGAGGGATCCTTGGTCTGAGGATTTCAACTACTTTTCCAGGTCTTTGGAATAGGGGTTCTTGTTTGTATACATTGCCGCATGCATTTTCTCTTTTATATACCTCGCTGAATGAAAGGAAGGAGTGTTCTATACCCAGGACGGTGACTTGGGCCCTTGGTGAAAGTCGCTCCCCTGAGTCAGGGGCTTGCCCAGGCTCGTTTTGTTGTTTTGACTGCCGAGGGGCTCTAAGTATAGGAGGATGGGCCTAACTGCCTTGGGCTGGAAGTTGTTGGGAATAAACAGTTGGAACATGGTGCTTCAAACTGTCCTGCTATCTCTCTCTGGGCAGCAGAATATAAGCGATATCAGTAGGGCGACAAAAAACTCAGCTTCAGATTCTATCCACGTATACCTGTAGCCATTTGCCAGTGTGTTTGCTCCCAAACCATTTGACGGTTTAGTTCATGTTACCAAAACTCTTCGTGTCACACCGCCATTAAAACCTTCTTCAAGACAGGAAAGTTGGGCGAACTGTGAAGTTGTTCGTCGCCGTGAGGAAGACGAGGAAGGCTTGATTCGTTTAAAATGGGAGCTTACCCGAGACCTGTTACAGGATCCCAACCCTTGGCCGCAGGGAAACCTGGAGAGCCGCAGCCGGGATTACTACCAGACACGATGTCATGGAAGGCCTCCGGATGTTGATACTATACGGCTAGGATTAGTTCTGCCTTCCCCATAGCCAGAGTGACTGTTGGTCAACTTACGAGAATAGGGTGGATGAAACCTAAGGGCTCTTTCCGGCCTCAAGACGTGCCTCATTGATCAGGGTCAAGGCAGCGCCAAAGACGGGTGCGGACAGACTGGTGCCACCAACAAGCCACCATGAGCCGTTGGAATACACCACCTGCCTATCACCGACGGCCGCAACATCGGGATACCCCCGGCCACCGTTGTGGTAGACGCCGTCCTTAATGTGCGAAAAATCTCCATCTTTAACGAAGTGATTATAACCCGAAAACGAAAGGCTCTTCTCCACCTGGTCGAAATACTTCTTGACGGCGCTCTTCTGATAGCTGGGCATGCCGAAGACGTTGGAGAAGCCGCCACCGCTGGGGAACCGTGCCGTCGCCACCTCGTTCAACTTCTCGTACGGCGCAGGAGGCTTACTAGTATCAAAGCGATCCCACTCGGTACTGCCGACGGACAAGACGTATGGGCAGCTCGATGCGGAGTCCGGGTCGAAGATTTTCCCCTCGGGGCCGTAGCAGGTATCCGGTCCCACACCGCTGTCGCCGCTAGACATGACAACCGTCGTGCCCTGCAGACCAAGCTTCATCCACTCGTCGCACTGCCGCTTCATGTAGTAGTCGGGCCAGCCCGCTTCACTCCCACCATAACTAATGCTGATGACATTCGTAGGCTTGTATACACCGCACTGCAGCTGGCCCTTGTAGCCACCAGGAGCCGGGTTCGGGTACACGGGGTCGTTACACTCGGGTGCGGTACAGTCGCCTTTCTCTCCGTAGGCCGAGTAGGTGCAGTAGCTGCCGTCGATGGCGTCGAGGAAGGTGTGCCAGAAGCCGCTGAAGTTGCCGTGGGATTCGTAGTACTCGTCGTCTTCTTGAAAGAGGACAAGGCCCTGCGGGTAGATCAGGGGCCAGGCAGAGTCAAAGTCCAGTGGGGCCTCTAGATCGATGGGGACATATTCCGAGGTGTCTTCAATGGCGCCAATCGCCCCGTTAATGAGGCGCTCCTCTGGATAGGTGCCGTTGGGGATGCTGGGGTAGAGGGTACTGAAGTAGATGTCTAGGTCTTTCCTGCTGTAATGGACGTCCAGACTCTCAAAGATGCCCAGCTTATTGCCGGGCATGGCGGAGTTGCCCTTAGGGATGTTGTACTGGGCTAGCTGAGTGTCAGTAGATGACATTAACTTGAGACGGGCAGAGAGTCACTTGCCTCTTGTGCAGTCGGCAGTCACATAGAGCGAACAGGTGGTTGAATGGGGTGGGGGAAGGCTGGCAGCTGCGTGACAAAGGGCTTCACGCGGTTCTTGTCGGCAACACGGCGCTTCTGGACGTTGTGTGTCGCTTGCGCCCTCCTCGTACGCAGCCTGACACCCGGAGTCACGTAGTCAATGTGCTCCGAGATATGGTGTGGGACATGGTACTCTTCGGTGGAGATGTCATGACTGCCGGACTTATGCTGCCAGATGTGGAACTCAGCGAACATGAGCTCTTCGACCTCGCCAACCGTAGCGTCGAATTGAATCCACTTAAGTACAGGGACACATGTTAGAGGATTGCATAGACAAGCCAAGGAATCGGATGGTAGATGCATACTTGTTTGTTGACAGAGTGCCCGATACGCTCGGGAGCAATCCCAGAAGCGACTAACCACTCTTTAATGGCATCAACAGTGGATTGTGCGGGCGAGAAGAACTCTATGACCTCTTCAGGCGTCATGTGCTTGCCATAATTAGGAGAGCCAGGCGTCGAGCTGTTAACGACGTGTCAGTATCGAAGTTTGGAATAGCCAGAGAGAATGTTTTACCCACATGTCATAAAGTTTTTCACGGCCGGCCTCCAAGTTGGACTGCTTGAGACCGATACGCATCGGGAGGACCTCAGTGCTAGGGACCTTTGCCCTCTTTGTCCATTGTGTTGACCAGTGAGGCAAGTGGCGCTCGTGAAGCCTGTAGGAACCAGGGACCTCGCGCTTCTTGAGAGGACTAGCGAGGGCGAAGCCGGTTAAGGCAGCCAAGAAGAAGATCTGTGGTAGCATCCCGATGTCCCGATGCAGAGTTGCTTAGCAGGATGGAGGATAGAGCACAAGGACAGGTAGGGAGTAATCTGAGGCCAAGACATATCCTCAATATAAATAGTAAATACTCCCTGGCTCCAAAGCGCGGAAGTCTCGGGAGCACATTGCCAGCAAGCGGCGCGTTGCCGCTTTGGAATCCATCTCATGATCCATCTTGTAGATCCCAGCCTGGTAACAATTGCGCATGGCGAGCCAACGTCCTGGGAACCGAAGTCGAGATAAGCCGTGCTTGGGAGGTGGATTGTGATGTGCCTGGTTGTGAAAGGGGGCCTATGGGACGGTGTTCCCTGCTAGCGTGTTGCTTGTCAGTGCTTGTATGCTTGTCGACCAACAAGTTTGAGGAAAGGAAGGAATACGAACCCACTGGCGCCTCAGGAGTGCAACGTCGTGCCAAGCACTTGCCAAGCTCGCCAAGCACCTCCCCCTTGAGGCCTAGAGCCCGACGACCTATTCCACCCGATTGAGGTGCTGCGGATACTGGACCGAGAATTGTCCTCGGCATATGGGAATACGGCGGATACACAAACCCATTGTCTTCAAAGAACAAATTACGAGAGCCTGTAGAGTGTAGTGGCATCAATAACATGAAAGTACCTCAAACCTGGAACTGGTCTCGCTCAGTATCTAAGGCACATGCAAGTAAAGACTTTCCATGTTCTTATAGTTGACTCTCCGTATGAGTGTGGCAGATTGCAAAGCCCTGTGGTCTGGGCTTCCAGGAAGCATGATTCGGGGGAAGTGAGAGAATACAATGACACAGGACAATCGCATTGAAAATTGAGTGCCACACTGATGGCTATCTATGCTGCATATAACGAAATTGTCTCACCGGGTCCCAACCTACCTTAGTCGCTCAACTCTATCTTGCAGTTTCCCCGTCGGCCAACATATTTCCACCCAGCTCCTCTGCTCACTCCTTCTGCTCAGGCTTCTGGCCGTAAACAACGTGACTGCAAACAGAGTTAGTATCTCCGAGTTTACACCCCACGACGCTCTACTAGTAGGAGTCTACTGGTAGGTAGCCATCTGCTGGGGCCGGGAACCTTAGGTAGGAAATTTAGTACTCACAAGTCGAACTGAGCATGTAAGCTCGAGCTCTTGAGCTCGCGCCGGACCATTGCCAGCAGTGCCAGGACCTCCTCCTTGCTCCAGCCTGCCACGCCGCAAAAGAGGCGCAATGAGAAGGCCTCGAGGCCGCTCATGACCTGCGCCATGTTGTAGGTGCCCACCTCCTTGAGATGGGGGTCCTTCGGCCAGGCGCCGATGGGAAGGCGAAAGCGCTGGTGCGTTACCTTGGTGAAGCCAGCCTCGCGCACCCATTCCTCGAGCTTCGGACCCGGGCACGGCTCGCGCCCCGTCTTCCGAGCTGCGTCGAGCAGTGTCCCGATCCACTTCGCCGTGTGCGAGTCCGGCGCCAGCGAGCCGTCCTCCGAGTAGTATTGTAGGTCAAAGTCCTGGAACTCTGCCCACCCGCCCGGGCTTAGGTTGCTGTTGTTTCACTCGTTGGTTAGTTCCACGTATCTTGTGACGGCTGAGAGGTATGTGCACGTAGAACTGGAACAGGGGGTTGACGCAACTCGTAGACGGAACCGACGAGCTTTGGCCAGTCCTTAATGCAAGCGGCCATATAACGGCAAAATATAAAGTCGAAGGGCCTCGAGTACACCCATGGGCACTCAACGTCGTCGATCTCGAACTTGACGTTGGGAGGAACCCAAGGCGGTTGTATAGCACTTAGGTCATTTCCTAGGATCTACCTTGGCTGGTTAGCGACGGTCTGAATCTCATTCATGGCCATCTTGACCCCTGGATGCCATGCCTCTGCGTTGGGGTATTCATCACCCATGGCCATGCTCCCTAGCCATCATCAATCCGATCGAGTCAGTATGGGCGGCTATTGTAAGCAGGGACTTTGGGGTATGGATATAGGTGTCCCGAGTTTGTACGTACATATCCCTGTTCCGGTACCAATGTCCAGAACGCGTTGCGTCTTGTCCATGTCAATGGGCGCAAGAAACAACTTGTCGCCAATGGCTTTAGTCATGAGCAAGTGCGATAGGTCAAGGCGGTCCTGCTCAAGCTCATCGTTCGGCAGGCAGTAGACTGGTAACACGCGGTCAGCCCTGGGAATACAAGACGACGGGTGTAGGTTACCAATAACTACGAACCTCCAGACCGAAAGGCATGATAGCGGCGGCCGTTCTCGACGGGATAGTCGAGAATGCTGGATGTAATAGAGGCAGTCAAGGCCGAGCTACTGTGCATTAGCAAAACGAACGCCGACAGCGCTAGAAGTTAGGGTAACTTGAATGCATACACGTCGTCCGAGATAACCGAGTCATGGTCTTCATCAACCTCGACCTGCAGCTTGTCAGCGCTTGGAGGCCTTCGTACTACCAGCTAGAGGTAAAAGGATGACCAACCGGATCGACCTCAATATGAGCCTGTGATGCCTCAGCCATAGCTCAACTTATTTCCTTAGCCAAAAACGAAAAATAACATGAAGTTAGGAGGTATTTCGTTCAAATACTAAGTCAATTGGGACAATGTAGCTTAAGTAGATATAAGGACGGGTACATAAAATATAATTGAACTCTCTAAGGTAACGTCCTGCTTAGAATGCGGACATGCTGATGTGCGGGAAATTCCCTCTTGTCCGAATGATAATCAAGGGAGGGGATCGGGGGAGGAGTAGGTGTGGAGGGGTTAGGGTTAAACACGCAGCTTCCCTGCCTGTGGATGCGGGACATCTACTTCCGAAAACGCGACAACAGCCCATCCATGTCTGGTTTGTCGGGGTGTCGGCGTTCCTTACCTATTCAGACTAGGGACTTCGATAGTGGCCGCATGGGGGCCGTCCTGGCTACCCTTCTCCTCCGTAACAGGCTGATATTTTTGTTCGAGTCGCCTACCCCAGGAGAGGTGAAGAAGCAATAGCCGCCGCTTGGTGTATGAATTCTACGCAGTGTGTAGTCAATTCCCCACAAAGCCCAGCGCGCCCGTCGCATTCCCACGCTGCATATCCGCGAGCTAGCAACGGTAAAACCAAACGTTATTACGAAGTATGGCCGACGCAGAGAAAGCTGAGAGCTCCCCGTCCCCCGCAATTGCAGCCGGAGCTGCGGCCGGAGGTCCATCATCACCTCCACCCGTCTCTCCCAATGCGCCGGGCAATGATGAGTTCATCGCACCCACAGAGGGCACCATCATCGAGGCTGCAGACTCGGACGAGAGCGACGATGGCTACGCAACTGATGACATGTCGCGCGGCTCCACAAGCATATCCTCGAGCGTGCGCGACTATGCCTTTGAGAACAACCGGCGCTACCACAAGTTCAAAGAGGGCGCCTATGCCTTCCCCAACGACGAGCCCGAGCAGGAGCGCGAAGACATGAAGCACGCCATGATTGTGAACCTGTGCGACGGGCGCCTCCACTACGCGCCGCTCAAAAACCCCCAGAAGATTTTGGACGTCGGTACTGGGACCGGAATCTGGGCTATTGATAGTGCGTTGCCTCTTCTCCGTCTTCATGTTTGTTTTTATGTGTTGTATTGTACTGGTCTAACAGCAACAGTGGCCGATGAGTATCCCGAGGCCGAGGTGACAGGGATTGACCTGAGTCCCATCCAGCCCAACTGGACTCCTCCCAATGTTTCCTTCCTGGTCGACGATGCTGAGTCCGAGTGGCTTTACAAGCCCGGAACCTTTGACTACATCCATATCCGACACATGACGAGCTCCATCCGGGACTGGCCCAAGCTGCTCGCTCAGGCATACACGTAGGTCATCTCTCCCTGTGAGGCATCACCAGCGAATTCTCCTGACAGCTCAAAGTGCACTCAAGCCCGGCGGCTGGATTGAACTACAAGAGCTTCGTTTCATCGTCATGTGTGACGACGGCACTCTCAAGGACGATGACCCTGTGGCCGACTTCATCAACAACGTCAAAAAGGGCTTGGCTGCACTCGGCGTCGACCTCCTGTCGATGGAGAAGCACCCCCAAAGGCTGGAGGAAGCCGGCTTCACCAACATCGACAAGACGGTGCTCAAAGTGCCGATTGGTGTTTGGCCGCGCGATCCGAAACTCAGGACCATCGGCCTCTACAACCGGAGCATGATCTACGACGGGCTGCAAGGGATCGCCATGGGACCGTACACTAGGGGTCTTAAGTGGACGCCAGCCGAGGTGGAAGTCTACCTCATTGGAGTCCGGAAGGGGTTGATGAACCATCACGTCCATTCATACTATCCTTTCCACGCTGTCATTGGACAGAAGCCTCTGTAGGTGTACGCCGGATGCCAGTGTGCTGGCCGGTCACAACGCACATTGAAAATACCTCAACAACGAATCCTCCTTCAATCTTTCTCCTCACCATTGGCTCCATACTTTAGTGTGAGCGGTTGAGGCACAATGCCGATTCGCTATCCAGATGATTTCAGTACGTTGCATCCCACTATTGGCGGAGGCGTGGTTGCATACCACTATCGGTGGAGGCGTTGTTGCAAACCACCAAGGTCTCGCATCGGCGGAGGCGTTAGATTCTCCGGGGATGCGGGATCTGGCAACGCCATCCGACTTCTGTGCGCAGCTAGCACCACTTTGGAAAAGCGCTGAACGATTGGGGTCAAAATGAGGGGTTCCTGCAATTGGTGGGTCGTCCACGTCGTCAGGGTATCATCAGAGTGGACACACCTGATAAGCGGTCGGGCTCGTGGAGGAGAGAAGAGGAAAGGGGAGAACGCGAGACCGTTGCGATCAGGGGGACATGATGGGGTTGCATTTCTCTGTCGGTGGCACTGGCGATTCCAGACCGCCGGGACGGACTGAAATGTACGAGCTGCTGCACTCCCTCTTCCCCGGGTAACACAACGTCGCGCATCCGTTGATCATGGCTTCGATCGAGCGCATGACGGCTCTGGCCAAGGAGATATCGGAGAAGACGGCCATAGTGACCGACTATCTCAAGGCAAAAGGCCTCGACGCTCCTTCGTTTGATGTCAACGGACTCGACCAGTTCCCCATCCCTCCCGAGGATGAAGTGCCGTTCAAGGCGCGCCTCGCGCTCGCGGCGGCCACCAAAGAGCTATACGACATATCCGTGGGTCCAAAGGAAGGACTGCGAAACTTAGCCTGGGATGCAAGTCAAGGTGCCCAATTCAGTGTCTGACACATGGATTCTGATACGGCACAGTCCGCAAACAGCATCTCTCTGCATGCGATATGGGAGTTCAAGGTTGCCCAAGCTGTCCCGCTCGAAGGCACCATCTCTTATCAAGACCTGACGGCAAAGGTGGAGGCTTTGAACGGTGGCCTCCCCATCGGTGTGCTCAACCTGCGCCGACTGCTGCGGCATGCCATGACGACTCGTATCTTCTGCGAGCCTTCCAAGAACCAAGTCGCTCATTCACGAGTTAGCAGGCTGTTGCTCGAAGACGAGCCATTGAAGAACTGGGTGGGCTTCATGTGCAATGATCTGTGGCTGCCCATGGCCAATGTTGTCAATGCCATGAAGAAATGGCCAGCGAGTGACGAACCGACAGAGACGAGCGTGAATCTCGCGTACAACCAGAGCTTACCTTGGTTCGATTTCCTGCAGCAGGATACGGCACTGAACAATCGCTATAACCTCGCCATGCAGGCCCATGGAAGTGCTGAGGGCTACAGCACGGATCATGTGGTCAACGGCTATCCCTGGGGAGATCTGGGGGATGCAACAGTTGTAGATGTCCGTTTCCCCTTTTACGCAGACACTTGACCTTGGCTAACCACTCCTCTCCCCTGACAGATGGGCGGTAATCAAGGATACATCTCTTTTGCCATCGCCGAAGCCTTTCCCAACCTGAAGTTCATCGTGCAGGACCAAGCCGGGATGCGAACGCCTGAAACGATCGGCAAAGTCCCGGATCATCTGGTGGAGCGCGTCCAGTTGACGACGCACGACTTCTTCACGCCTCAAACTGAGGTAGCCGAGTGCTACTTTATGCGTATGATCCTGCACGGCTTCTCGGACAAGTACTGCGTGCGGATCTTGCAAGCGTTGGTGCCAGCTCTACGCAAGGGAAGCCGGGTGGTCATCAACGACGGTGGCCTGTCGGAACCGGGGACGGCGAGCTATCTCGAGGAACGGGCGATGAGGACGCTGGATTTGTTCATGCAGGTCACGGTGAACGCTCGAGAGCGAGAGGCGGAAGACTGGGCCGACTTATTTGCCAGGGCGGATCCGAGGTACCAGGTCAAGCGCGTATGGAAGCCCGAGAAGAGCGTCATGTGGTTTATCGAGGCGGAATGGACGGGGGATTAACTGCATGAGTGAATTGGATGGTGACGGAGAGGGATTCATTGTTGCCTAATCACGTACATTGCAGATGACGTGGAGAAGGATGAGGAGAACGAAATGGCCTGGGGTGGAAAGAACCTAGTATAAGGGGAGTCGCTTGGATTCGCTATCTTCAGGGGTACAGTTCAAATAAGACGCATCCCGAGTTTACTACTCCGCTCTCTCTGTTTGGTTGCCTGTGGGGATGTATATCACCAACTTGAGATTCCTGAGGGTTGTGTACAAAATTTTGTACTGAGTACGGATAACCTGTGGTCGAAATTTGAGCCAGTTTTGAGGTCAGCCTTGGCATTGATCCTTCCATTCTCGGCAACACTGCAGCAGAGGCGCTGCTATCGTTATCGGGGTGGACCCACAAGGCCCCCGAATCCAGGGTGAGGGTGCCGTTCTCGAGCAGCCTTTCCCAAGCCAGGCCGTAAACGTTAATCAAAAAAGGAGTGGAAAAAAAGGGACGACACGCGACGACTGCATATCCTTCCAAGACACTCGCAAAAGACAAAGCCCGACCTTCTACTATCTTGGCCATTCCTCTTTCGAAACCACCAATCCTTGAGATACCGTTTCCCTTGCTGGATTTCGGATTTTCTCCAAGGCTGCCTCGTGGCTGAGACCCTGGAATTGAAGTTCGAGTCTGCCAACCGCCGAGCAGCCGCCCGGCGTCGGTGATTTCCATACCGTCTCCCCAAACCGCCCCAACGTCTGCTGTGAGCCAACAGAGAAACAATCGTGCCGCAATCTCGGCTGCGCTAACTAGTTCCCAAGCCGACCTGATAACACAAAGAAAACTGATTTGCGCCGACCACGCTCCAGCGCTTCTGCATACCATGGCTACAACCACGTCAGGCTTGACACGGCGCCGCGGAGCAGGAGGGGGCGGGGGAGCCAATGGCGACGGCAACGGCAGCAATGGCATCGGCTCGCGGTCTAGTTCGGCCGCCAATGTCAGGGACAGTGCGCCAGAGACGAGCTACGAGAGCGGCGAGAACGGCCACAGAATCGCCTTTGACCCGCGCGACATTAGCGAGAGCGCCGAGCGCAGTAAGCAGCCAAAACTGACCCTGATGGAAGAGGTGTTACTGCTGGGACTCAAAGATAAGCAGGTTTGTCGGGTCCCTTGCCTTTCTCCACTTCATTTCGCAAGCATGTCATTTCCATTCGATGTGGCCGCTTGAAGGCTGACAGACGGCTTCTCTCGCCTTGGCGGGGTTGAATAGGGTTACCTGTCATTTTGGAACGACAACATCTCATATGCCCTGCGCGGCTGTATCGTCCTCGAACTCGCCTTCCGCGGCCGAATCAGCATGCAAAAGACCCCGACGAGACGGAACTATCCCCTGCCCGACCGGATCATTGAAGTTATCGACGACACCCTTACAGGCGAGGTGCTGCTCGACGAGGCGCTCAAGATGATGAAGTCGAGCGAGAAGATGAGCGTCAGCAGCTGGATCGACCTTATGAGCGGTATGCAGAAACTTCAGCCGAGTTTGTCCTGCCGTATAGGCACACTGTCATTGTCAAGAAATATTGGCTAACACGCATGGCGTGTAACAAGGCGAGACATGGAACCTCATGAAGATTGGCTACCAGCTCAAGCAAGTCCGCGAACGGCTCGCCAAGGGTCTAGTCGACAAGGGCATTCTGCGGACCGAGAAGCGTAATTTCTTGCTTTTCGACATGGCCACACACCCAGTGGTGGACGGCGGCGCAAAGGAGGAGATCCGCCGGCGCGTTCGCAACGTGTTGACACAGCGCACCGTCGTGCTCAACCCTTCCCAATACCTCCCCGAGCACCTCGAATTCCGCTATCTCCGGACCGTGGCCATGGTTTGCGCGGCCTATGCAGCCAACGTCCTCGAGAACGCCCTGTCGACGCTCGGCCACGAGGCCCGGGAGAAGGCCTTCAACCAAACGGACGAGCTACTGGCCGACTACAGTCAGTGGCCGTTCGGCAAGAAGGCAACAAACAACGATGTCGGCGAAAATCTGCCGCAGGTCATCGCCGAGGTTCGTCCGTTTTCTAGTACTCATCACTCTTCTCATCGCATTTTGCTGAACAAAAGGTACAGGAAGTCAACAAAGCCCCAGAAAAGGAGCTCCAACTCGAGGTCGTAGCCGCCTGCCTGAGCGTCTTTACTCGCCTCGACTCCCTCCTTTAGGGTGTTTGGACTCGTCAGTCCCGCTCTTTAAGCCGGCTGGAAGCTGTTCTTTGCGACGTGCGGGGACTATGCGGCGTATGCTCACCCATCTCACCCAACCGCTCCAGGCTTCTTACCGTTAAACCCGATCTGGTCTCTTCCAAACCCAGGACAAGGCAACTTGTAACCGCCGAAATGGGCAAGTGACTTTGCATCTTGGGTAAAGGCCGGCGAAGGTAGAAGACGGAGGGCTAATACAGGGAGGGGGGGTTTTCGGCAAGTTCAGCCGGGTTCCTTTTCTAAGGCGGTGGAAATGGGTACGGAATCAGTAGGGCTGAATTGGGAAGTCGGTTGGTCGCATATCTCTCTGCATGCGTGCTGATGGCTGGGTTCACCATTTCCTGTCCGTGGGCAACAGAGGAAAAGCCATCGGAAGGGGGAAGCGCTCGGTGGATCATTTCGCCGGGGCAGGTACCGTAGTTGATGAGCAGAGGGGCCGGTCATGATATCTTGTCCCGGTCGTGGTTTGGGTCTGCGTGGGAGGCGGATAAACGGGCTGTATTACCCCTGGTGGTTTGTTTTTTGTTTCGATAGTGTTCTTTTCAGAGGGCGCTCTTACTGGGAAAACGGAGTCATCTCTTTGTTCTTCTTATTTCGAGTTCCGTAGTTATTCCACGCATATATTTGATTGAAGGCCGCGCCATGACCCAGACCGATTCATGGGATGGCTCAGTGCGTAGAGGTTAAACACTCGGTGTCAATTGGGCATGTAACTCAACCAAAGAGGACGTCCAGCCTGACAAAATTGTTGGATTATTCCTCATGCCACTATATTTTCCTACCCCCTAACTCCTAATAAGCGTGCCAACTCATGCTGTCAGATCGAAATCTATGAGTACCGCAATGCACCCAGTATAACGCCAAACACCCGACGGCGAGAGAAAAAAAGAAAAGTAGCTAAAGGAAGGATGTCTAGGAGGGCCTCTATGGCGTGATCACCAAAGGCATTCATTTCCTCCCACTGCCAAACCCGCCCTCGAATCCAGGCCGGTTCTTCTTCTTGGTGGCAACGCCCTTGTTCTTCTTTCCCCCCTTGCCGGCAAGTTTCTCCTGCCTGCGTTTCCGGATATTCTCCTCGCGCTTGCGCTGGCGCTCCTGGATGGAAGTTTGCACGGCCTCTGTACGCTCCTTCCACTCGCGCTCCGACTTCTTCTTTGCCTTTTCCTTGCGCTTCAGCGCCTTCTTGAGCAGAGACTCGTTGTCGTGTACCTTCTCGCCCTCGGCGCGGCGCCGCGCAGCCAACCATGTTTCCTTCTCGACTACTTCCTTGCGTTTCTCCTCGTCCATTTCAGCGATGCGCTTCTTTTGCGCCTCAAGCTTGAGTAGCGCCGTCTTGGGGTCTGACGGTCCCTTCTTCTTGGCGCTGCCGGGTGTCTTCTCGTAGCTCAGGTCACGCGACAGTTGCGTTCCGTCGTTGAAGGTGAGACGGCCAAAGGCGAAGTTGGTCGCGGCCGGGCCCTCACTTTGCTCGAATAAGGGGCTCAGACCGGGGGAATTGCGCGCGCTGGCCAAGGCCTCTTCCCGTTTCTTGTCCTCCTCTTCCTTTGCCAGCCGCCGCATTTCCTTCTTGTGCGCCCTTCTTTGAGCTTGCTTCTCCCGCCGCGCCTCGATCAGATCCTGCCTTGTCCGGATTGGCGTACCGTCGGGATCGTCAGCCTTCCGAGCAGCGCGCATAGCGGCCAGTTTGGCCTCGAGGCGAGCGCGTAGCGCAGTCGTATCGGCAGGAATTTTGAGGTACTTGGGTTTTTCTGACGGCGGGACTGCGGATGAAATTGAGGTTGTGGTGCTGGCGGGCTCGACCGAAGGATTTTTGGCGTCCGGTTGAGAATCAAACACTGGCGAACCTGGCGCTGAATCGGAAGTCGATTCCGCAGAGGCGCTCTGGTCTTCTTTCGTAGCAAGCCCGGATACATCGATGGGTGCCATGTCTCCATCCTCGTCGCTGTCAACTTCAGTAGAGGCCTGAACGGGAGCTTCGTCTTTCGCCGGCTCTTCACCCTTCCCTTTTGGTTTGGCCCCATCAACGGCGTCGGTACCGTCTTTGGGCTTTTCCTCCTTCCGTTTCTTTGCCTCCTCCTTTCGTAGCTTCTTCGCCAACTTCTTTTCCTCCTTGGTCTGCTGCTTCTTGCTTGGCGCTGCTTCGCTTTTGACTGGCTCTTCGACAATCTTCTGCTTCGTCGGTGCGGGTTCCTCGTCAACATCCATCTTCTGTTTCTTCTTCAGCCCCTCGCCGGGCTTTTCCTTCTCTATCCCGACAATGTCGCTGACGCTGACCCCTTCGGAGCCATCAGTCTCCTCATCAGCTTCTAGCTCCTGAAGCTTGCGCTTATTCCGCGCCCGCTCGTCCAATACCTCCTTCGCATTACGGTTCAACTCGCTGTCAGGGTCAAGCTTCCCTCTCTTGGCAGCTCTAGCCTGATCTTTTGTCTGTTTCTTCTTCTTCCATTGATCCTATTGTGACGGACGGACGCATCAGTAAGAAGGTGTGGTGCGAGAAGTATACCTCGGTCTACCACAGTGCTAAGGTGTTCAAGGAACGAGGTAGGCAATAGGGAGGACGGGCAAACATACACTGGTGTCCTCCCCGTAGTACATCTTGGCAGGAATCAGCGAGAGCAGGCCATCAAAGGCCTGTGCGTGCTCGCGAAGGCGGTCCTAGAAAATCCAAAGATCAGAGCGGTGAACTCGGAGTTTCACACCGGATTCGAGGCCGGCGCATACCTTGAGTGTTGTTTCGCTCATCTTCCTCGCCTTGGCTTAACTGTTGCAGCCTCACAACCGTATCAAAGGGTTCGGCGGCGATGCGCCCGGTCCTGGGTTTGAAATAACAGGCACTGGGGGTCTCAATGGAGGAAAAAAGATGCGGCGGGCTGAAGCGGATGAATTTCTAGCCATTGAAATTTTGGGCGGATGTGGGGAACCTAGCACAGTATCATTCTGCCAGGCGGTGAGACGTGTAAGCGCGAGGGAGTACCTACGAGGGAGGAGGGACAAATCAATACTCCGTAGAAGGTCACGAGAGAAGAGAGAGCAGCAATGCAACCCGAAAACTAGCGTTAAAGAGTGAACAGGTAGAAATAGGTAATCAGGGCATCATCCATAATCATTCCTAGCCTACCCGCAAAAGCTGGTTTCCTTGATGGTCTGGAATCCTGTACACAAGCCTCAACCCCACCATCTCAAGTTCTGCCATACTACTAACAACCTTCCTACCATACTGACGATAGTTGGACAGTCCAAGATATGATACCTATACAGTACTAACAACCGAACCAAAGCTCCTCTTACCAGCATATACCCGGCTATCTACTCCGCAAACGCCGACCCAAACCATATTTATCGGCCAAAACGCCAGCGCTATGCACTCGAGTCCGCCTGTGATACAACAAACAGATCATGTGTACAGAAACTTGGACAAATCGAGCCTTCTATCGCAGCGTAGAGCCCCGCGCTCCTCGCCTCCAGTCTCGTCTTCCTCGTCGCTCTCGGGTACAATCTGATCTTCGCTTCCCAATGGCATGTTCAATGCCTCGACTTCCCCGATATCCGCTTTTGGTAGCGGAACGAGGGCCGGATTGACCGGAGACAATAAGTCCAGACATTTGTTCGGCGCAGGTGTCCGCGGTGTTGGTAAACTTGACCGGCATTTACCTCGTTGAAATGCCTGCGCTCCGATGCGTTGTAACGGCGTCAAAAGCGGGGTCCGTGGGGTGCTTTGGGCCGCGTTCTTCGGTGCTGCCGTTTGTTTTGTACTCGATGCTGGCGTGTGCAAGCCGTGGATAACCCGTGTACGGGGCTCTGCCGTCTCATACGAGAACTCCTTCAACAGGCGTCCTAGAGGTGTTACTGATGTCGAATCCTGCTGCCCATTCTTCTCAGCCCGCTCCGCTTGCACCGGAGATGATGCCGGTACTTCTACCACGTCCTTGGCACCGTCATCATCTTGACGACTATCAAAGAGAAGAACTGCCTCCTCCTTTAACTTCTCAGGGCAAGGTTCTTCCAAAACACTGAAATCGTCTGCCGCCGGTGCAGATTTCTGAGGACGCCGGGAATCAAAATCTGGCAGACTTCGGAATGCCTCCTCAATCGAGTCATCAGACATCAGAATCAAGTCCACCTCCTTTTTAGCAGGTTTCGCTTGCTTCGTTGAAGAAAAGAACCTGCTTCTCTCCGGTGTTTCGCCAACAGCATCCTCGACGACTGGATCGTCACACAATCGCGCTTTCTTTGGCGGTCTTGCGGAACGAGTCGCATCTTGGTATACTTGAATTACTGGTCCCGTTGTCCGGCGGCGATTTTCGGAAGATGCAGAGTGGCTTAGCCCGAGGAGGCTTGAGATGGGCTCGCTCTGTCGCCGGATTGTGCGTGTGCTGTTTGTGTACGGCCGACTTGGAGCTGATGGTGGTTCTGCTCCGTCCAGATACGGCCTAGGAAGCGGGAACACTATCGGGCGAGGGGCAGTCTCTGTTGAACCGTTGTTGCGACTGGGCTCGACTGCAAAACAGTTTGGGTCCATCTCTCCGAGAGGAACCCGGCGAGCTGCGAAGTACTCGCTGATCGGTTTCCCCAGCCGTTTTTCAGGCAAGCTTGCTGGCGCGAGAGTCTGGCTGATGCGTCTCTTCCCGGGCGAAATCGGGACCAAGATGGGCTGTTTGGTGATGGGGTTGACGTCGCCTGCCGCAATGGCCCTAGCCAGCTCTGTCTCTATCGGAGCACCGATAAACGGCATATCGTTGAGATTGGCCGAGGGCTCTGGCTCAGTCAACAGAACAATCTCTTTCTTCCTGGGACAGAAGACACGCTGGTGCAGAAAGGTGAGCTCAGCTTGCTTGAAGTCTTGCAGATAGCTAGCGGGGATCTGGTGCTTTCCATCGAAGCGAAGCATCTTGATGACTCGCTCCGGGGTCTTGTGCTTCCGGATTAGTCGATACGCGGTTTTCAGACCGATGTTGCTGACGCCTTCCAAGTAGTCGCACCCGCTGAGTATGGCCATGTGTCGGAACTCGTTGTCTGTCCAGCCGGTGAGCGAGATTTCGCGCACGGCGCAGAAATCCCTCCGGTTGATCTCAACACACTGTCCATGCTGATCTAGCTTGGTCAGGAGGCGCTTTGCGCCAAATACCAGAAGATCCGAGTCCTCCGACACGATTCCGGTGATCAAACTCTGGCGCTCAAGGTAGACCAGCTGGGCATCTGCTTCATATGGCGCGACGAGGTACGGGACCTCAGCCTTCTTGAGTTCCTCGATCAGATGGCGTGCCATTTCGGGAGTGACGTCGATGGCCTTTTGGAGTTCGGAATAGGCTTGGGACGGCTTACCGGCCCTGAGGAACTCCAGCCCGATCTTCCTGCTCTCCTCGCGGCGCTTCTCACGCGACGCCTCGGTCTTGGCCTTGCTGGGAAGGAAATCTCCGTCGAATACCACGTAGGGAGTTACACCGAAATACTTGAACATTCTGACGCGATGCATAGCGAAGTCGACATACCTTGCTGACGGTCAGGATACAGATGCCATAACAGAAGCATATCCAACTTACTTGCGGGTTGGCTTACCCTGGGCTAACTCGATAGCACAGGCAACCGCGCCTCTATGGAGCCAGCCATAGCCATCCACCCCCAACGTCTCCCCGGCATATTTCTTGAGTTCAGTGGGCCGATGAATGGACTTGAGTAACGGAAGAAGGCCTGAGACGCCACTGGATCAGAAATACAGCGACTCCATCAGGGAAAGGCGCTAGAGTCCATACCGGATATGCCCATCTTGAGGATAACGAAGGTGTTGTAAGGATCGTTACAACGAGCCCAACGTTCCAACGCAGTATCCCCTTGGATCCAGTATCAAGCGGGAAGTCGTTTCAAACAAAGGGCGAGGCCATCGAGTCTCGGTGCCTTGTCGTATCTCGGGATAGGGCAACCACAGGAGTACTTGCTCCCTGGAGACGCGTCGGATCGCAGTTGTGGGAGTCAAACGCGTGCTGGCACAACGATATACCGTGTTTTGACCGAAGAATAGTAGGAGACAGCAATGCCTCACCGCACTCTATGCTGGTAAAAGTCTACAGGGTAGAGCACTGAAAGTGAATGGGAATTGAGGGGCGGTTGCAGGTGGAAGTCCCGGTCTGAGGCACAATCGCTAGAGTACGGATACGGATCCATAGAATTGATAGCCGAGCAAGAAAGCGCGACCGCGTCGTGGGGCGTTACCCCCGCGACGGCCCACTCTACACCTCTGTATGTACTGTAATTTTTCGTAATGCAGGGGCTTCTGGGCACTTCAATCTGTAACATACCGGTGATGGTATGTAAATACGCCAGATAGTATCCGTATCTTCGTACATGATAAGTCTTGTTTGTTTGTTAGCGCGGGACTTGCCCCATTTTTTCTAACCAACCACGGCACAGAATTTGGAGGCCTTTGACCAATGGAAACTCGCGCATCTGGCTCATTGACCCATTTTTGGGCTTACATAATCTTTCAACTTCTCTACCCTAGCTTCCACCATGGCCTCAACCTTTCCTCTTTCTTCAACCTCTCCAGCCGACTATTTCTTATATGTTTACAACGTTGCAAAGCACTCGGATCAGCCCGCATCGACACTTCGCATCGACAGGGCTCAAAACAGCTATTGCCAGGGTTTCAAATCAATGAATGCTGGCGATTGATTTTGGTTGGCTTTGGCATGCCTGTTCAGATCCATCCATGTACCACGCTAACGGACAAACAAGGGTTGGACTGTAGTTACCAGCTTTTGATTAGGGAGAGTCTGCCCCACCATGATTTTTTTGAGCCCACCTCATCCATTCACAAGGGACATTTTCTTTGAAGAAAGGAAGAAAAGTACCTAGTGAGAGACTACTAGTATCCTTCATCTCTGACTCGGTTCAAGAACAACGATTATCGTCATGGCGAAGACGCTAGAAAAGACACGGAAGCAGATTGCGAAGAAAAGAAACGGCACGGTAGCAGCGCTTCATGAAAAGAGCCGGGACTCCAGACGGCTTCACCGAGCTCAAGTGCGAGATGACCGCTTAGAAAGAATTGCTGAATCGAGGCGGAAAAAGGATCAACCTCTTCGTTCGTATCCTGCATACACAATGCATGACAAATGGTACACTGTATGGCTAACTGGAAGACAAAGTCGCCCGCGTCTCCTTTTTCCAAGAATTTGTGCGCGAGCATGGCAACAAACCAGTTGGTCTGGAGCTAGTCCAGTCAAAGATCAATGAGTAATTAGAAGTCCTGCTCCGCACAGAACCAAAAAGGAGTATCTCCTTGTTGACCGGGAATCCAGATTCGTGCACCAATACGACGAGGAATATGAAGAGGTCAAGAAGGCGCGCCGCCCAGGGCGGCCACCAAGTTCTAAAGAGGACCTCCTAAAAATGAAGATATCTGCGCTAGAGAAGGAGCAACGAGATGGCTTTTGTAGGCATTCGCTCGCCCGTCCTCTAGCTCATCCCAGCTGACTGTCTCCTAGACATACCAGATCTCACCTCAGAAGATAATATCCAGCTGCTGGGCCGATGGGAAGGGTCCTGGTCGTATCTCACCAATCTTTCCTGGGTCAAAATCTCCTCGAAAGGGAACGTCAAGCCCTCCAGTTTCCCTCCCCAAGGTCTCTAGTTCTACCGGGCCCTGAGCAGAGGATACCGGTACACACAGCCGCACTGACCAACGGTTGTGTCTTGCATATCGGGTAGGAGTCTGCCAGCAAACTGGCCAAAGACCCTTGGATGCGGCTGCGGACGCGCACGTTGATGCTGTACTCCGTTGCCCTACCTTTGCCGGGGCCTTCCTGGCATCTCCTTGGCCGAACCTCCACGCGACATGCATCCGGCCGCCTCGGGCTGCAGCTTCAGAAGTCAAAGAATGTTCCCCAAATCCCATGCTTTATACTCCATACGCCATGCATGTTCGAAACGCAAGCTCAGCGTAGAGCTGCCGGTCTCCGGACAGGGCTATCCTGTGTCACCTTCGGCCGGCCCCATCCGGGTCCGAATGGCTGCCAGCCTCGTCCTACCCCGCAGCTCATTGCCGCCAGGTCCCTGCCACAGGGCAGGATCGGGCATCTCGGTAGGCAACGAGGCCGGGGGCAGCTCAACGCATGGAGTAGCAGCAGGTATCCGGACGCAGGCCACGGCCCGAAGCCACCTCGTTTCTCTCAGACCGGATCTTTGGGACCCTCCGTTTCGCTCTTGGCACACGCCTTCCTAGTGCCGTCGAGTCTCCGCGTCACCAAATACCGAGACCCCAAATGGGTAAAGCACCAATGATTACGCCCTTCACTTTGTCTCTTGGATTGAGGAATGATATATCATCTTCCGCCTGCATTTGTGCTTCCAACCCGCTTCGTCTCCGCTTCCACTCGGTCACGGATACATGCATTGGAGGTTCATGCTGCTCTCAGCGCGCCAATCTTGACTGCAACCCATCTAACTACGTATGCGCTATACACAGGTTGCTTCACCATCCGCAGTACAACCCTCGTGGCGGGTTTGACTCAGGACGAGGCATATCCGTGATTCGGAGGACTCGGCTAGGGGCTTATCCTTGGATCTCAAATATAAGGGTGTGGCAGAACGATCGGATCCAGTCGGCCACTGCGCGCGCTGGTGTCAACGCCGTACCACGGGTCTGGAGATATCTACAGCCGGCGCTGAATACTGGCAATAGCGTGTCGCCCTTGTACTTATCTCGGCAGTCCCCAAGACCACGCATCCTAGTTCCAGTCCCTGACGGAATCCAATAAACTCAACTGCTCATGACATGTTGAAATATCGCTGCCGGTATTCTATACAGAGTGTAAACACAGCTACCCGGCAGCCACGTTGGAGGAACCAACTATAAGGTGCAACCCTCCTCGGCGAGTCCCAAGTCATCCCCAACTCGTTCCTAGCGCAAAGAACTGAGCACTGAGCCGTCTAAAGAAGCAAAGATGTGCTCCTACACGACGCACGTGCATGTGTGCACCAACTGCGACGGTGAAGACACGGTGCTCATATCGGAGCAGCTGTGCCCCGTGGCCAAGGCAAGCGGCATCTTTGGAAGCTGTTTCCAGGGGGTCCTCAGCCAGCGGGATGCTACAGCGTACCGGTGCTGGCAGTGTAGAGAGATGGCTCAGCATGGAGTTGAGCTTGGGAGCATGACATCTTAGGTGTCAAGCATGATCCGAGGGTTCAAGCTTGAGAAATAGGAGTTGAATCTGATGTCCGGGATGAGGTTAAAAGACCAGGAAAAGAGCAATCATCATGTATGTGTAGATCTTCAAGGGGCTACGATACCAGGTCAGAAACACTCTTACATGTATGTGCAGAGGCTAGGTAGTTGAAAGGAGGATCCAGGTGTACTGTACTTGGTAACTTGGTTTTCACCTCGGCAACCTTAACACAATGCTCACTGCTGGGAACGAGAGCCGCCCCTCTCGCAACTTGAAGTTCGCAACGATCCCTGGCCATGGTCTTATCGATAAGGCCGATAACCCCTTATGGCCCGTGCGCTGGATTTTTTTCTCCTTAGGCTCTGGATCGTCGTGCCACTCATCGTTTGGTTCTGCAGCTTTGTTACACTTGCCATCTCCCCCGTTGATATCAGCTGGAATCTTTTTTGCCGTCTTTACCATCTTTTGCAATCAACGGCAAAGTTCTCTTCAAATCCTAAGCAGGTCCTTTTCAAGGTCAGTGGCAGAAACATCAGGCAATATGATGTCCCTCCGAGCGATCGCGCGCGCCGCGCCGAGAACTCTGGCTCGCGCTTCTGCTGCATCCTCCATCACCCGCTGCCAGCGCACAAGCGCCAGCATTCTCCATGCCCGCCCCGCCGCCTTCCTCCGTCCCCAGCAAGCTTCTGCCTTCTCTTCATCAGTCTTGAGGAGAGCGCCGGCCGGCGAGGTGGACGAGGAACTGTCGGCCAAGCTGGCCAGCGAGATCGAGTTTGAGAACGACGTCAGGGAGAACGAGCCACTGCCTGCGAGCATCAAGGATTTTCTCGACAACAGCCCGTTCCAGCTTGAGGATATACCCGGCCGGGAAGACGTTACGCTGACCCGCACGTTCGGAGATGAGAAGTGGGTTCCCCCTCAGCGCCGCATGAATGCCAGGGTTCCGGAATAGCTTGCTAACTATTGCTTCAGGATTACTGTGACCTTCTCCATTGCCGACCTGCACCAGTTCGACTCGGGCATGATGGACGAGGACCCGGCCCTCGACGACGAGATGGACGCCCTTGAGAGCGGCCGCGATGGGCGGGGCCAGCAGAACGCCCAGGGCGGCGCTGCTGACCTCAGCGAGGACGAGGGCCATGACGACTTGGGACCAGAGGATTCGGTCGCGCCCGCGCGGTTGAACATTGTCATTGAGAAGCCCGGCAAGGGCGCGCTCAACGTCGAGGCGCTCGCTCAGGACGGAACCATCGTGGTGGAGAACGTCTTTTACTACAAGGATGCCAAGCTGGCGCACAGCTCTAGCCCCGAGGCAGTACACGCCGCCCAGGATACTTACCCGGGCCCGCCGTTTGGCAACCTCGACGAGGATCTGCAGATCCTGATGGAGCGGTACCTCGAGGAGCGGGGCATCACGCAGTCCCTGGCCATGTTTGCCCACGACTACATGGACGTCAAGGAGCAGCGGGAGTACGTGTCATGGTTGAACAACGTCAAGGCCTTTGTTGATGCTTAAACGGAGGAAACGGGAGGGAGAAAGCGGCTAGAAGGGTGCCTTTCTGTGCTGTATGATGATTGTGTTATTTTCACTTGCCACTCTACTAGACGACAACGAAACTGTATGTACGATAGGTGTGATTGGTCTTAATCACTGAGGATACCTTTTTAACGAGAATCAAAAGGACGGTAAAGAGGGAACATGATACTGTTAGTTAATTTGCTCTACAAATCATTATTGGAATCTCTCATTAGGTGAGGCCAAGACTTCTCCCAAAAGAGTCCGCTTAGTCATTGGCTATCCAGACATGGCCTGATTTTCAGCTCAGCAGCTCAACTGCCTCCATTTCCTTGGGTGCGTGGGTGCGTTGCCCTTTTTTGGGAAGAGTTTTCTTAAGTCTCCATTCTTCGTATTTCTTATAGCGACTGCGGCGGGTGCGGTTACAAACCATTCCACTCTTTTGCACCAACTTGCTTGCTCATTCAGGGGCCGTAGTTACATTATTCGTTTATACCATACCCATTTGCCCTCGATTTTATCCCCTGCTCCACCCACCCAAGATCCAGAACTTGGGGGATCGAGAACAGCAGCTGACTGCCGGAGATACCTTGGTATTAGTATTATTTGAGGCATACTAGTGGCAGAACCGGACAGCGCGCTGCTTGGTAGGGCGTCGGCGGACTATGGGTCACAATGGCCTCGCGCCGCAGTACGGTGACCGGGAGGACCAGGTCGAAGTACAAGTACACACGTCTGAGTTAAGGTTCGACGAGGAGGCTCAACTCCTAAACGGCAACGACGCCTATGAACTTGATGAAGACCCCCCCACTGCCCAGAGACCGAGGGATTCGGCCGGTTCGAAGCCAAGCAGAAGAATCTCAATTTGGAGCCGGCAGCATGCGCCGAGATGGCTCGCCTTCCTCTACGGGCCAGACCCGCCCAAGATCTACTCTCTCAAACCCATATTTCCAGCGGTCCAGGAGCTTCCCGTGAAGTGGCTTGAGCGGGCTTTGCCACAGTCATGGCAACGGGTCATCCTGCTGATCCTGTTCCTCGTCGCTTGGGCGCTATCTCTCGCCGTGCCCCTGATCTTGAGCAAAGGCGCTGCCAGGGACGCATCCGGAACAGTCATCCGCCATATCGACTGCATCGACACTCTCTGGCGGCGCAACAACGAGTGCGGCCTTGACGGCGTCGACTGCCGGCCCTTTTCCAACACCTCGTTCGCCTTTCGCTGCCCGGCCGACTGTGCCAGCGTGCGGGTGCTCAACCCGCACCATGTCGGCCCGCAGGACGTCAACTTCCGGCCCCTGGTCATTGGCGGCGGCGGCGAGGGGAGCCAAGGCATCTACCGCGGCGACTCGTTTCTGTGTGGCGCTGCCATCCACGCCGGCGTAATCGACGACGCCACCGGCGGCTGCGGAGTCGTCACGCTGGTCGGGGAGTACTACCGCTTCTTCGCCTCGTCGCAGCACGGCATCGAGTCCATCCCCTTTGACTCGTACTTCCCGCTGTCCTTCACCGTCGCCGCCGACCCGGCAGTCAAGTGCACCGCCCTGGACCCGCGCTGGACCGTTTCCCTCCCGCTCTCGCTCCTTTTCACCCTGCTCCTCTCCGTCCTCACCACCTCCGCCCCCGTCCTCTACTTCACCGCCTTCCTAGGCATCTTCTCCCACGTCGCGCTGGTTTCAGACCCGCCGAACCTCTCCTCCCCGTCCTCCACCCTCCTCCCTTCCCTAACGTCCCACTTCGCAGGCCGCCTCCTGCCCGCCCTCGCCTGCGCGGCACTCATCTACCTGACGTGCGCCCGCCGCGCGCTTTCCCGTCTCCCTGCCTCCGCCAACCTGGAAAAAGCCCTCTGCTGGACAGTCCCCTTCTGGCTGGGCGCCCTCTCCAACAGGACCATCGAGCCCCTGATCCCCATCGTCCGTTTGACCCGGGCCGACCTGTTTGCCCAGCCGGGCTCCGCCCTGGCCCTGGGCGTGCTGCTCGCGCTTGTGTTCAGCCTAGCAGTCATACAAGCTTACACGCTGTACAGCGAAGGGCGGCTGCCGCAGTATCTCGCGCTGTACGGCTTGTTTGCGCTGGGGCTGGCGGGGCTGGCGGCCCTCCCGGGGCTGACGCTCCGCCTGCACCACTACATCCTCGCGCTGCTGCTCCTCCCGGGTACGGCGGCCCAGACGCGCGTGTCGCTGGTTTGCCAGGGTCTGTTGCTCGGCCTGTTTGTCAACGGCGTCGCGCGCTGGGGGTTCGACGCCGTTGTGCAGACGGCAGCCGAGCTCCGCGGGGACGGGCGGTTCGGGTCCGTCCTGCCTGAGCTTCTCCCCGTCGTGGTGGAGGAGGGGTTGCCGGGTGGTCTAGTAGGGAGTAGCAGCAGGATTTGGTTCAGATGGAACGGGCTAGGCTCGGGTGCTGGTGGTGGTGATTGGGGCAGGATTGAGGGGATCAGCGTGCTGGTGAATGATGTGGAGCGGTTTAGGGGTTGGTTTTCGGAGCGGCCTTTGGAAGGGCAGGCTTTTGCATGGACGAGGAGGGCGGGAGGAACCGTGGCCGATGAGTACTTCCGCTTTGGGTTTCTTACTACCGGTGGGAGGGCGCTGGACTATACCCGGGCGGGAACGTGGTTTGTGAATGGGACGTGGAGCCAGGGAGATGGGTGAGCTGTCCCTCGACTGGCTTGTTGGCTTTGTCTTGATGTTTATATGTAGCGAGAAGCCCAGCTACAGATTTGCATTTTACAAAGTTTAGGGTGATAGGAACCAGGAAAGGTGGTTTATCCATTCTCTTGCTGATTGTCCTGTAAGTACACACGGCGAGCTGGCCCCCGTGCGAGACTGCGCTCTGGGTCTACCGGTTTTTCTGCTCCTCAATCTCCTCGTCAGAGTCGTTGTCAACCTGTACCCGCTCGTCTGGTGAGCGGGATGCGGTACGCCGTAGGCATATCCGCGGCATATTACTCAGTTCTCTTCTTCTCCCCTTCCTTCCGTTTTAGCCTAGCAAGATGACCAGCTAGGCCACAGCGCTGGAATCAATTCAGTCGACATACCGCCGCCGAGTTCGCTTCCTGTTTACCACAAACTGACTCAAACCATTCCCAAAGCCAAGCATTGACGAGTGCCATCTAGGAATATACCCCGGCAGACTGTAGGGCACCACGCGAGAGCGGCGACTGATGAACAGGGACTAATGCGGCCCGCGAGGGCTGCCGCGGAGAGGTGCCCAGGAAGACCCGGACATCCTCCCCGCAGCGGAGCTAGGCACTGGAATTCGGCTCTTTGGCTCGGCTGCTGCATCCTTTTCCATGGACTGCTCGGGCTCCGGGTTGCCGTTGCGGCTTGCTTGTGGAGCTTGATTTCGAGGAAGTCATGATAGCTGATTGAACTAAATGGAGAGATTGAAGAAGAGTAGGTACACAGAAGCTTCGGTCCATCATCTGGACCATCTCCATGGCCCCAAACGGGCTAGGCACAGGACCAACACGACGTTGTCGTAGCTAATGCAAACACTCAGCGCGGTCGTCCCGATGATCGTGTCACCGTGCTCGACCAGTGCGCCAGTACCTCGGCCTCCTCCGTTTGCGGGCAGGTCGCTGTAGAAGAACTTGTACCCGGTCTCGCCGCTGAGCGACCTGCTGTCCTCGGTCCGGTACACAAACACATAGTTTTTATTTCTGCAATCGTTACATAAGCTACACCCACAACCGATGGAACTAATACCAAAACAACGATTGCCCTTCCGGGCTCATCCTCCCACGTGCCGAGCCCTCTCGTCCGATCCAAGACCACCTGCTGTGTCTGCTGGTGAATGGGAGTGAATGGGACCAAATAGAAATATCACCCTCAGCTCGTCGTCCGGCTCAAGACGGTCCTCCCTTGTCTGTTTCTTATCCTAACCGATCACACCCCGGGGTTCTGTATCCTGTACACCGTGAGGGCCAATGCTAGTACTACATTGACAGTCTCCTGTCTTGTCCCGACGATCTCTACCCTCTTCCGGTAGAAATCGGGGTTGCTCTCCAGCATAGAGTCCCCTTTCCACCGTGGTGGAAAGGGGTCTTCCTCGTGGGGCCCCCGCAATTCCCGAACCACCTGCTTCCAGGTGTCCCAGTGCCGTGTTAAGACCCAGGCTACAATGTCCTTGGCTGTAGCCCGTCCGGTCCCTACACAGTCCGTCTGCGCCCACCCCCCTTCTTCCCACTCCTTAGGGAAGAGGCAGTAGAAGCAGATAAACCCCCCCGGCAGATTAATCTTCTTGAGCGCGCTGATCCAGCTTGACGCTACCTTCTCCGTCGTCGCGTTGGGGTCTCCACCTGGGTAATCCCGTCCCCGGGGGCACCGGTTCGCTACGTGGTCCGTCACGCACTCGCCCGCATCGAGGTAGCATAGTGCGCAGAGCCTCTTGGTCCTTTTGGTTGGATCCGTGGGGTCCTTGGGCCCGCCACTGTTGATAAAGGTCGCCAACTCTTTCAGAAGCCACATGGCCTGGTGGCCGTGGGCACGCAGCGCCTCCTCGGCGGCGATTGCCTTCTTGAGAGACTTGGTCGTTGTTCCAGTTCTTAGGGAAGAGGCACCAGAAGCAGAGGCATTAGAAGCAGAGGCTTGCGATACTCCACGTCGGTCCACGTCACTACGTGTTTCTGTGGCCGCCCTTGGGGTTCCACTTGAGCGAGAAGCGGGCGAGGAGCAGGGCGGATGTGACGTACGTCCTGTCCCTGTAGGTGTCCCTCGCGAGCATGAGGTCGACGGGCTGATCCGTTCCCTTGAGCACCGAGAACGCCACGCCGAACATGTCTCGGCTGCGCGTCCGGAATACTATGACCCAGGCCTCCAGGTGTGGGATGACTGCCAAGGGTCAGGGGAACCCGAAAAAGTGCGAGTGGGCCGTGGACGCGCCTTTCGGATGTGGTCCGCGGGGATCCGTCAAGTGGCGCCATAACTGTCATTGCTTCTTTGGTTTCGTGGAAGAATCGAACTGACATTCAATGGAGTGAGTGAATAGGGAGATATGAGTGGGAGACCAAGTAAGAAGGTTGTTCGCTTTACCACTCGGCCACTTCACTTTGGTTCTTTCTACCATGGGGGGCTGAAAGTAGGGAGGGGGACTCACTTTATATACCCAATGCAATCTGGCATTCACTTCGAGCTCCTTCCATGATGAAGGGTCTGATCCCTGAGATTTACCTTCCTTGCAATGTCCTAGACAATAACGCCTACCTCGTGAAACATAGGCTCACCTTATCTCGGTACTCAGACCGGTTTTTGGGCGGCAAAGGGGTCCCTGCTGGTCCATGCACCTTCCTTGTGATACCCTTAGACAACAGCACCTACCGTATATTCTTGGGAAATTGAGCCGACCCTACTGCGAGTCTAACGTATCTATTCAGTGTCCCGCCCACTTCAAACCGTATGCTTCGACATTACATCGCATGGAAAGTTGAAGCAGGTAGGACAGAGTAAGGCTGGGATTGGTTGCTAGCCTTAGCATTTGCAGTAGGGTCAGCTCAATTTCCCAAGAATATACGGTACCTCTTTCAGGAGCCTCGTAAAACATCCGTGATAGCCTCGAGCACATTAGCTCAGCACTCAGACCACCTACTATGTTGCCCGCTGCGTTGGCCTGGGCCGCACGCCCTTAGCGTTTGCGCCGGCGCAAGAACCGGAATGACAATAGAGAAGGTCTGGGAACCTACTGAGATAGACGTCACCATCGTTCCTTCTCACTTCACAGGTGATCATCCCGTACAGCAGCCACTGTCGCTGCGATGCACGGGGTAGGTACCTGTAATGTCACTGGTCACTGTTGACGACAACATGACATCTAACTCACGGATAAGGGTCAACCATCTCTCTCTACCTTATTATGTCCGTCTAGCAGAAGGCAAGAAGGGTATATTGCATTCGTCACAGCCTAATGTTGAGTACAGCTTCTCTGTCGGCCCCTATTCCAGTCCAACCGTCCCACTGTGACACCATCTTCCGCGCAGCCTGTAGGTAGGGGCTTCCATGTATCGGCCCGTACGCCTTTTCCAATTCCCACAAGCTTCTCAAAGTCCTGAGAAAGACAGGGTCGTTGTACTTACCCCCTGAAATGCCTTGGCTGTGAAATTCCTGGTGGATGCTGTCCCAACTCATATCTCCACCGGGTTCCTCTATTGCGGTCAACAAGCTCGTGTCGATTATCGGTCTCAGCTGGGTAATGTATGTAAGGATTATCAGAAGCCAAATGCCCCTAATCAAGAGTCTTTTATGGCTTCTTTCCTCCAGCAGGTTCTCAAAGATGACCCGTGTGTTGTTGACGCAAGTAGAGATATGAGCAAGATAATAGTCGAATGCCGGTTTCCCAGGCTTATGCGTCGCACAGAGAAGCACAACGGCCAAGTTCGAAAGTTTCTGCAAGAGGACTGTCATGTCGCGGCATTCAAGCTGTTGAACGTACTCGACAACCGCGGCTCTGGCGGACGGATTGGACAGGACGCGTGCCACGCCGTGAAAGCCTGGACCGGCTTTCATGACACCGCTGAAGCGGCCATCATAAGCGACTCGGTCTAGAATGTCGTCGGGCGAAAGAAGTTCGCTAGGCGGGCTCTCGAGCCGCGGATCCGTCAGCAGATCGTATATGGGCTCCAGCCAGTCCACCGCGGATAAGGTTAGAGACTCAACAATCAGGACAGCTGCGCGCAGCTCGATGCCGTCGCTTAACAATGTAAGTGGCCGACCAACCCCGGAAAAGAGGCCATATATTAAAGGCTTAGCGCCTGTGAAGAGGTGAAAGACGGCCAGTGCTTTGGAGTCCCCAGCAAATCTGCCGTTATCAAGACTGAAATAGGTCATGAAAGCCCTCTGAAACCTGCCAGATTCATCAGCCTATGCCAAGAGTGTCGTTTCAATGAAGCTCTCTGTACCTGGTGTCGCCCAAAAACCGCATTTTGGCCTCTTCGTCCGTTATACTCCTTGGCGACGGACTCCAGGGCGCAAGGCCGTCTGTTCTCGAGTCGTACGCTGTCTGTAAGTGATTTGGAGTCCCGTTGAGCAAGAGAATGGTAGCCACGACCTAAAAATTGTCAGATTCTGAACATAATAGGGACCATGGGAGGGGATTTTACAGTTGGAATGTCGTTGTGTCGACCATCTGGTTGAACCAAGGCATGTTGGACGTGTGATTTGGCCAGAAGGCCGTCAAAAACACCTCGAGAAGCTTGCTCGACCATCCTCAACCCGGCACCTCGTTCCCAGGACCTGCGTAGGAAATATGAAGTGAGGACACATATCATGCTCGCAATGGGAGTTCTGTTCATGGCCAGCCCTGGCCTCAAAGCCAGGGGTTTTATAATGGTCACAAACGAAACGGACCAACTCCATCCTGCGGTGTGGATGTCACCAACTACTTTATGCCATTGCGCGTTTACAGTGGCTCATTGTAGCCTGGCCTGTCCCAGCTTGTCTGATGAGTGGGTGACAAATCTTCCAGGGCGGTGCAAGCATACCCAATGACACTGAGGCGGTCGGCGAAAGCCGTATGAGTCCGACGATCTGTCGGTGTACACGGCTGGCATATTGGTCGGGCCATGATTAGAGACTACCAGTGAGCAACTTGGGGAAGCCATTGCTTTGCCTGGCTAGGGGTCCGGTGACATCATAACCTTTGAGAGTGAGAAAGCTGAATGCCAAGAGAGCGCCATCGCTATGCGAGACATGAGGGCAGACCAGCTGTGTGAATAGTAGCGGAGCGGCCGGAAGGGAGATGTGGTTGTGTAGAGGCAGAGCTGCAGTGGTGCGCTGCGTCTTGCTACTCTTGTCTTCCCCCGAGAAGCCGGTGTGGCTGCCGCTCTGATGACGCAGTGATTGCTGATGCTGAAGAAAAGGGGAAGATAGTTTCAAGGAGGCTACAGGACGGATCAGGATGACACCGTCAGCGTGATTCTGCTTCGGGTGGTTCCTGAGCATTTTACGCACGAGAACGGCGTTACCAGAGAAAAGGTGGAAAAGCCCGAAAGGAGAACTTGGAGGCAAGAGGTAGCAGCAAATAGTACGAACATATTCCAAATATTTTCCGGGGTTTCCAGCAAGCCATGAGGGCAGCGGCGACAGCCTTGTCGTCGACTGAGCCGGGAGAGCTGATGACGGCTGCTAGTACCACGATTCCCGATCTGGTTGGAAGAATCCGTTGGTACGGTTTGGAAGCGGTCAGGGCTCACTCGCGCTTGCAGTCACGCTTCCTGCACCTATGTTACTAATGCAGGTCGTTCCAATACCCAGGATGGGAGAATGAAGGAAGGGGCCTCAGCTCCAATTGGCGATCGAAAGCCACGAGCCTGCCGTGTCAGTGTCGCATGCACATCCGCGCTTGCCAGTGCATCCGACTTGCCAAGTTACCATTGCCTTTCCGAATACCGGTACTCCGTACCTACCGAGTTCTCCCGTCTTCGGTCTTTCCGCTTACCTACCTATCCTCTTGGTCCTGGCTTTGTTGCCCGGCTGATCAGATAATCGTAATGATTACGAAAGATAGGTCCTAACCGACGACGGAATATCTCCGATTCTCCGCTGCTTATAAGTCCCAGCGGCGAGAACACCGAAGTCCGAAAAATAACTCCGCATTGAGAAATTTATAGTTGCTACTTACCTCCGTACTTCGAACTTTATCACCTTCACCTATTGCTGCATACATGCCAGTGCTCACCGTCAAACCCGCGATGACTCCTCCTCCAAGGTTGGACGGGCACTTGATGTTGCCACCGGTGTTTTGGGTCGATGGCTTCGATTTATCGCCTAACTGCGCAATAGGGTAGCTTGATAACGTGGCACAACACGGCGGCTTCTCTTTTCAAGTTTCGAGTCTTATAAGTGGCTCGCCTCCCCGATCACCAGGAAACCCTTTGTTCCAGGTAAATTTGGTGTAGCTTCAAGAAGGCAGTTGATTTGTCCCAGTCTCTTCTCCCAACTCGAATTGTCGGTATTGCGCACGCGCACCGGTCAAGCTTCCCGCTCGTCAAATGGTCGGGTGGTTGAAACCCGTCGCTTTCAAGACGGGCCATTTCACGCAGCTGAGCCTTGGTCGTTCTTCTTGCTGTCAGTCATTTCAGTCAAGGACGAGTGTATTTCGATACGACATTGGACTTTGCGACTCACTCCTTTACCTACGGTGACCGCCACCATAACGCATCCAGGTATGAATATTCCCAGGTTTGCCGCATCTGCCCCCTAGTTACCGTTCAGAGTGTCAAGATGGATTCTACCAGTGGCCAAAATCTCAGAATACTATTGTAGGGTTGATCATTTCGGCACTCCGTCTCCCTGAGCCATGTCCAGATCGCCGCTCGCTGAATGTCCCTACATCTTGCAGTGCGCTAAAAAGAGTCGTAGTATATCGGCTTCGGGAGGGAAGGTAAGTGTCCGGTTGTGTATTTCGTTCTCCTGCATGAGATACTTTTTTCCTCCTCAGGAATAAAGACAGCCAAAGCCCACCCCCTCACTTGGTGAAAACGACGCCGACCCTATCCGTCCTCCGATTCCGGGAACAACGCCGGGCATAGTGGGGTTGGGCGGATGCCGGACTGCGCGGTTTTCTTCAGGACCATCTGGGTCGCGGATGCAGCGACTCACGTCCGGCAATTCCACCCAAGCGTTCGATCTGCGAGCAGCACGGCGGATAATCTGCAATTAACCGGATCGCTGGGACTGGACAAACTGAGCTGGATGTAACACTGGTTCCACGCCGAGCACGCTTAGGAAGTGAGGAGCAAACGTCTGTGGGTAGCACGAGCATGCGGCTCGAGTCGATCTGATATCGTCATTGGACTGTCACCACCTCCTCCACCCACTTCAACAATGAACTGGAACCCCTTGCTGCTGGTGAGGGGCAAGTGCCGGAGCTTGTTTGTCGGAAGAGGGGTTCGTTGGGGTTAGGAAGGCTGACTGGGCCGTGCTGAGCCGTGCTAGACCATGGTGATGATGGTCTATAAAAGGGATGTCGTCTATTCCAGCTCGGTATTGCTTGTTCTCCCTCTCTTTTCTGTCCCACGCGACACACTGTCATTAGTCCAGTTGATAAAGTCGGCTCCCAAATAAACGACTTTTCCAAGCAAGTCCAACTGTGCAAGAGTATCGGAAGCATCGTGCGCACTGCATCTTCCCCCCTTCTTCCCCTGAGCCATCTAACCACCAGCCAGACTCCCAAACCGTCTGGTACATGATGTCGCCCTCCTATCGAACCCAAGAAGACGTGGGATCCTTGGCTTGGTGTTATATCCCAAAATGATCAATCGTCACCATCTTCAGGTAACTATCTGAATGCATGAGCCGGTGCCAATCCGGTTGCTGCTCCACGCCGACTCGTCTTAAAGATGAAGAACGCTGGGCAGCGCCGGAGCGGCTGAGATTATACGGCTGTGAACTTGATCTGGATAATACCAGCGAAAGGATCATGCTTCTTCCTCTCCCTTCTGTTTCGTCAGGGTTGAATCCTAACTCTCGCAGATCTTGAAAACACTCCCAAAACATACTTAAGCAATCATGGCACCCTCGGCAGTCTCCCCAGTTCAGCAGCACGCCTTTGCCGCCAAGAAGGCACTCGGTGCCGCCGTTGGCGAAGGCGGCGCGGCTCCGCTGAGCAAGGCCCTGACCGACATCATGGGCAACTGGGACAAGTTCTCGTTCGCCCCTATCCGCGAGAGCACGGTTTCGCGGGCCATGACTCGCCGCTGTAGGTGCCTTCTCCCACTGCACTCCGCCCCCTTCAGCGATCCGTCGCGCGGAAAGCAAGCAGTCAACTAACAACGCCGCCACGCAAAAAGACTTCAAGGACCTCGACACGCACGCCGAATCCGACGTGGTCATCATCGGCGCCGGCTCGTGCGGGCTCAGCTGCGCCTACACGCTGGGGACGCTGCGGCCGGACCTGCGCATCACGCTCATCGAGGCGGGCGTGGCTCCCGGCGGCGGCGCCTGGCTCGGCGGGCAGCTCTTCTCGGCCATGGTGCTCCGCAAGCCGGCCGACGCCTTTTTGCGCGAGGTGGGCGTGCCCTACGAGGACGAGGGCGACTACGTCGTCGTCAAGCACGCCGCCCTCTTCACCAGCACGGTGCTCTCACGCGTGCTGGCCATGGACAATGTCAAGTTGTTCAACGCGACAGCTGTGGAGGATTTGATTACCCGTCCTGCTGATGAGGATGAGGAGGGTAGCGGCGCTGGAGGAGTGAGGGTCGCCGGTGTGGTCACCAACTGGACCCTGGTTAGCATGCACCATGATGATCAGAGCTGCATGGACCCGAATACCATCAACGCGCCCGTTGTGGTATCTACGACGGGACATGATGGTGAGTTTTTCCTATGTCTTATGTTGTCCCCTGTCCCCCAGCGCAGTTGGCTGATGGATCGGAAATCAGGCCCCTTTGGCGCCTTCTCGGTTAAGCGTCTCGTCAGCATGAAGCAGCTTGAGCAGCTGGAGGGCATGCGCGGGCTGGATATGCAGCGCGCCGAAGACGCCATTGTCAAGAACACGCGTGAGATCGTGCCGGGCCTCATTGTCGGCGGCATGGAGCTGTCTGAGATTGACGGTGCCAACCGCATGGGTAAGTTACTCCAAAGGTGAGCTGCAACATGGCAGCTGAATGACTGACTGGGCGTTGTGCAGGCCCCACGTTTGGTGCCATGGCCTTGAGCGGTGTCAAGGCGGCCGAGGAAGTTCTCAGGGTCTTTGACCTTCGCAAGAAACAGAACAGTCTCTGAGCTGGTTGGTTGGCCGCTCGCAATAGTCAGCGAACACGGAATCACGCCTGGGGCTTGATATTGGGTCCAAGCCTTGGTACAGGTGCTTCTGGAGATTTCTTTCTCAGAGTGGAACAGATTGGATCAAGCAGATGATATACGTATGACAAATGCGATGTTTATTTCGATCTTGATGCCGTATCTGCCCGGATTAGCCAGTCTCTATCGTTGGAAGGGTTTGTCAAACTTACCAAGTCCGCCATTGCCAATCGGCTCTCCGATGAGGACCTGGGAAAACCCCAGCCAATTCAGGTGTTCCACATGCTGCCCAATGCAAGAACCCTGCACATTTAACGACCAAGGCCTTCACAATGTGGACTCCTCCCCCACAGCCACAAGAGCCTTCACCAACCCCTCCACTGTCCCCTTCAGCGTCTGGAAATTCACCACCACCCTGAAGAAGCTCCCCTTCTTGCCTGGCGCGTAGTCCACCATGTACCCCCTAGGGACAAGCCTCTCCACTATGACTCTCGTGCGCCGCGTATTCTCTTCGGGCTCGTCCGGCAGCCGTCCTCCAGGGGCATAGTAAAAGCACACCTGCAGACACGGCGGCGGGTTCTCCGAGACCAGCACAAAATCGTGCCTCTGTACGAGCAAGTCGGCAAGGTATCCCGCGAGCTCAAACGCGCCATCGATTTGCCGCTCGAAGCCGGCAGCGCCGTAATAGATCCAGCTCAACGCCAGCTTGAGGCTGTCGGCGCGGCGGCCGCACTGCAGGGTCAAGTCCGCAAGGTCCCAGATCTCCGGAGGAGTATTACCAGCCGCGTGGCCGTTCAACGCTGCGGCAGTGCTGCCATTTGTCACCTCCGGGGTGCTTGCAGAGTGGAAGAGGTAGCCCGCGGGGAGGGTGTTGGCCTTGTGGAAGACTGCCATGTCCGGACCGAGGAGGAAGGAGCACGTCACGGGAACGTTCATCATCTTGTGCGGATTGACGGTGAGCGAGTTGGCAAGGTGCGAGCCGGCCAGCTTGCCGCGATGCTTGGACGAGAAGATGGCCGGTCCGCCCCAGCTGGCGTCGATGTGCAGCCAGAGGTTGAATTCCTTGCAGACGGCCGCGATCTCCTCGAACGGGTCGTATGACCCGAGAACCGTCGTTCCGGCCGTTGCGTTGACGTACAGCGGCGTTCGGCCTTCTGACTTGGCGCGCAGCACGAGAGCCCGCAACGCCTCGGAATTCATGCGGCCGGCCTCGTCGACGGGAACAGTCCAGACCGCTTCTGAGCCGAGACCGCAGGTGATGGCAGCCTTCTCTACGGAGTAGTGACCATGCTCGCTTGTGAAGAGAACGAAGGGACCCGTGGCGCAGCTGTTGCCTTTGATCTTGCATTCGGGGTAGAGTATATTGCGGGCGATGACGATAGACGTGAGGTTGGAGGAGCTGCCTCCTTGACATGTTACGCCACCGGCGCGAGGACCAGTAAAGCCGAAAAGTCTGGCCAGGGTTTTGGCCGTGTGCCTTTCAATCACGGATAAAGCTGGCGAAACTTGGTAGACATGGACCTGGCTTTTTGAGCAACAGCTTTCAAGAAGCCAGAGCTAGCTCCTCCTCAGGGTTGACTTACATTAGTGTTTAGGACTGAGAGTAGAAGCTCAGAGACAACGCCCACCTAGTATAACGGGCATCAGGGACGGGGCATCAAACGGTGTATTAGTTGGAGAAGAACATACTGGGTTGGTGCTCGCATACAGCTTGTCCATGAAGCCTTGATCCCAGGTGTTGACACTATACTTCAGAACATCCTTGATGGTTTTGAGCAATCCCACCTCGCCGCGCCCTTCTCCGGCAGGCAAAGAGAACGAAAGCTCCTTAACCAGATCCTCCGGTCTCCGAGAGTCAACTAGTGTATTCCGGACCGCACCTTGGCTGTCGGCCAACAGCTCCCCGGCTGCCCTGGATGGCACCGCTTCGTCGGCGTCCCGGATGAACGGGATTATCAGGGATTTTACAGCATCAATAAGCTATGGTTGAGTCAGTATGTTTCTGTGCAGTGGAAAGCCCACGGGGTCTCTACATACATGCTCAACCTCGGCTGCTCGGCTCAGGGGTTTCCCCCCTTGAATTCCATCCATGCTTGGACTCTGCTATGTAATCTCGACCAGAGGTTCGCAACGACAACAAGATCGGGTTGACCAGGTAGAAAGAAGAATTGAAGTCGCACTTCGGTTATGAGTGCACCGACTCGGAGTATCTCGTTTTTTTGTTTTTCGCTCCTGTGTAAACTAGCGTATGACTGATGTCCATTGTCGACGGATCCACGGCCTGAGGCCCCCCACAGGTCGCCTCGGCATCCCCTTGGTAACGTTACTCCACCGCCGCTGAGGACAGCGAAAGTACCGCATTCATCAATAACCCAACATATTCAGAATATTGCCAGAGCCTATTAGTTAGCACACAACAGGCTTCGATTGGGGTGTCTGACGAGCTGCGCACCGCATCACCAGTTGATCTGCTGAGTGCCCTGGTTGGGAACAGAGGTGCCGTGAGGTACGGACTACTCTCGGGGGTTCTCTAGATGATCAGATTGCATCATTCCAGAACCTCACAATGGCGGTTCGGTGACTTGACTTTATTGGTTGCTTGTGACCTCTTCCACTGAAAAGCTTTGCACCTGCGCTAGTGCACGCTAAAACGAGGGGTCATGCGCGGGAAATCCCGAGTTGCTGTGCATATTCGACCCCTATTCTAGTGTACGGAGTAGCTCAGAACAAAACAAATGACATGTCAGGCACGACGAACCCTCTACTGGCGAAAGACAACTTCTCCAAACAGGTTCCAATTCATCATCGGACCCTTCCAGGCTGCAAAAAAGGAAAAAAAGGTCGTCGATAGAATCGTGAGGTCATTCACGTGTCAAACGTGCTGATCCCAAAAGTGAGGTTCAGGAGTGGGACTAAGCCCGATTAGGTCTAAGCTAGGAACCAAAGCATCGGGCATCCCGCAGCAGACCTTGAGCCCCGACTCCTCGGTTCTGTGGAGCAATTCTTCTCATTGTTGGAGTCTCAGAGGCAAGACAAACAAGGGGCATATTTGGCTTTGGCTTGGCCACGAGCGTTAAGTAATACCGCTACCGTACCTCCGTATTTAGAAGCTTCACTCGAGTCTTCATAGGCGCCTCGGGTAGCTATTGCCAGGCATTTTCCATTCTTCCCCTTCACCTGCGTCTGTTTGCTGCAGGGGCACCGCATCTCTTCAACACGCGTTCAAGGTTCTCATGCGTAAAACTTCCAGGTTGCATCCGCGATGCAGAAACCTAGCTCATATCACATTGGGCACGAGTGCTTGCCGGGGTATGCAGAGCCCAAAGGACGAGGGAAATTTCCTGCACGCAAGCCAGCACGGGCCAAGTGACGAGACGAAATGGAAAAAGCAACCTCAATGCCCTTGTTAAGAACATGGGCCTCGCCCTGCCGGTATCAAGGAGTTGTCAACCATCCCTTGACAGAAGCATTCCTCGACCAACAGATACAATTCCCGCTCGTTTCCCTGATGTGATCATTCACTTCCCTCTCTTTGGACTTACTTTCGTACCATTCCTGTTGACATCATCACGCCCGTGCTTGGATGCCATTGTTTGCTTGGTGACGTCGCGTCCAGATCGTGGCTTCCCACTCTCTCTACCTCTCATACTCGACCAACAGTGACCATCTTTCGACCCAAACAAGGCATTGACGGCGGCCCGGTATTCTACGTCAGGTCAAGAAGGATCGCTACCAGGCTATACCTATCCCTCTTTTCGCCAGTCCATTCATTGCTTGAGCTCCCTTAACCACCCTCTTCTTGTGCTCTTTGCAACACATTCCTTGGCACGCGTCGGGGAATCTTACACGGCTTGACCAACGTTTAAAAACGCTCTTTCCCCTTCAGGGGAGAAATCACGCGCAATTGGATCCGGTTTCCATACATCCTGCGGTTCGCGCACCGCGGCGATTGCAACACAAGCACCAACCCAGAAAGCAACAGAATTGAATCCAACATGAGATCACCGCACACACCTTCAGCGTCCGACGCTTCCCAGCCGCCGGTGCCCATATCCATCACCATTTGCGGCGACGGCGGCTGCGGCAAGTCGTCCATCACGCTGCGGCTGGTCCGGTCGCAGTGGGTGAGCGAGTACGACCCGACCATCGAGGACAGTTACAGCATCACGCGCGAGATTGACGGCGTCACCTACCACCTCAGCCTGACCGACACGGCCGGGCAGGAGGAGTACCGGGGCATGTGGGCGGCGTCGAACCTGGGCGCCGACGCCTTTTTGCTCGTCTACGACATCACGTCGCGCGACTCGCTCGACGCGCTGCAGTACTTCAACGACCTGATCGACATGGAGGCCGAGACGCGGCTCGACAACGCGGCGCGCGCCCGCAAGGCCGGCCTGACGAACCTCGCCCTCTCCCCGACCATGCCCGACAGCATGATCGGCCGCCTGCCCAACGGCGGTGCGGGTTCGGGCGGCAAGATGATCCCGCCCATCAAGATCGTCGCGGGGAACAAGTGCGACCTGCAGGAGAGCCGCCAGGTGCCCGCCGCGGTGGGGCTCGACTGGGCCCGCAAGAGGGGGTGCGGCTTCATGGAGACGAGCGCCCGCCTCGAGGTCAACATTGAGGAGACGTTTGCCGTCATTGTGCGCCGCGTCGTCGAGGCCCGCCGCCTGGCCGAGATGGGCGTCGTCGATGCCGAGTTGGGCATGAACAGCCGCGGCATGACAAAACCCCTCACGCCGCTGCCGCCCGGCGAGGACGATGAGAAGGGCGATGGCCGAGGGCCCGGCACGAGGGGACCCAATATCCGCGGCGACCGCGTAGGAAGGGGTGGCGGCGGATTTTGGAGGAAGTTGAGGTGCTGGTAGCGGCAAGCCAAGACGCTGGGGGTTGCGGGGCTTGTTTGGCGGCTCAGATATCGCGATTGGAGCGGGGAGTTAGGAGTAGTCCTTTACGGAGTACCTCTCGGCGCATGTCATGTCATATTCATGTCGAGGCAGGATGTGCCTGCTGATTTTTGATTTTGCAGTTTCTGTTTCTTGGTGTACTGATACCTCATGGCGTTTGGAGTATGTCGACTAATCGGAAAAGGGCTCACCGTTAGGCCCGGAATGATGCCTACCTCGTTCAGTTTGCTCTTGGTATGGTACTTGTACAGTGTTCTGTATCATCACTGTTAGACAGAATCGAAGAAGGTTCATACCTGCGTTTTGGGTGACGATGAACACGGGTCTGCTTACACTGGGCCGAAGCCTTCTGCCTCGCATCGAGCCTATAAAAGGAAAACGCAATGTGTAGGAGGTTGTTCTTGGAACCTGTTAATCATTGGGTCTTCCTGCGTCGGATAAAAAAGCGACCTCCTATCCCATGACCCTACCCATCTAGGTTCTCGCCTTAACCGGTACGCCTTGAAGCCTCATGATATTTATACCCTCTAAAGTGACCCGCTCCGAAGTTCCTAAACCGCCCCCTGCTCCGCGAAACCGATCAGCTTCGTTTCCCGTTCTTGTCCACCCAGTCCCGCCACCGCTTATACTCGGCATACTCCAGACTTTCCTTTTTCCCCTGGTACCTGACCACCTTCAGGTCGACCTCGGTCCACTTGTCCTTCTTGCCCACCCACCCGGCCTTGCGCATTAGGCTCACGACCGTCTCCTCCTTGGTCCACCCCTGCTCAACCGCCACGTCGGGCAGGTAGGTGCTCCCGTAGCGCTTGCCGTGGTAGTAGAACGAGATGCGCAGGCCGTGCTTGCCGAGCTCCCAGTCCATGGCGTCGTCGGCGTCCTCAAAGTCGGTCAGCAGCGTGACGGCCACCTCGAGCGAGGGCAGCTCCCGCGCCGTGATGGGGCTGAAGCGCATGTCCTGCAGCGCCGAGATGAGCGCGTACGACGACAGGCCCTCGTCCAGGTCCTGCGGCTCGAACGTCCCGATGCACCCCCGCAGCATGTGCCCGTGCCGCGGGGAGATGGTGTTCCAGGTTACGAAGAGCGGGGATTCGGTAATGGGCTCCGGCTGTTCCTCCTCCTCTGACGCTGATGCCGACGAGATTGAGGTGGCTGGGGTTTCTGGCCCGAGCGAGACGCTGCTGGTGGATGCGGACGCGGACCCGGATGAGAGAGGCGAGGAGCTGCTTGACACTGAGGCGGCGATGCGCTGAAGCGCCGGTAGCCGCTTGGCTAGCTTTCCGCGGCTGCTGCTGTCTGCTTCGGAAGCGTCTGCCGTCTTATCGCCTACTTCGGGATCGACGGAGTGAACATACTCGGCCCAGGACTTCTGCACCTCGGCCAATGTCATGGGCTTCCGGCTTTCCAGATGGGCGGCCAGGGCTTCGAAACAGTAGAGACAGTGCTCAACGGTCGCCATGGCAGGAGCCTCGGCCTGTTAGGGTCGCCTGTAGTGTGTCAACGGTGAGAATGGGACTCAGGCACTTGCTCTCAGAGGAGAGTCGCGGCAGTTTTGAGATATTCTTCTGGTCACGTCGTCCTCCAAATCCGGAGAGAATGAGGCAGCAGAGCGACTGAGGGTCAGCAAACGAGGGGCAGGGTGGAAGGGAGTTCTCCAGAGGAGGGGCACCGGACTTGAAGGCCCGGGGCTGGGCATGGAGTGGGGCGGGCGGAGCTGAGGGTGTCAAGTCCAGTGTGTGCCACTGTGCGAGTGCCCAACCCGACGATAAGGCTCCGCTAGTTAGGGGCTCCTGTCGTCAAGGAACCCGCTCACAGGCGCATCAGCCCCCGAGCCTTGCCCCACTCTCAGAATGTCGGGTGGAGAACAGCAGACCGTTCCGGCCGCTTTCGGTGGGTCTGGCAAGCTGACGGGAACTTCTGGAGAGGAGAAGAGGTTGCACCACTTACCCTTTCTTTGAACTCCGCGAAACATTGGGTCAGTGAGATAACACTGTCGAGTACAACGTGGTTCCATTTCTTGATGCGCCTGCGAGCATCGCAAGCACATAGGTTCATGGCCTGCTCGGCCGGTAGGTCAAGAACCGTATTGACTACCTAGGTACATACAGGTAACCGTGCGAGCCCTGGTTGCCATTCTTTGTGAGAAGTAGCCTTAGTACCTACC